CCGAACCCAAGCTATTTTGTATGAGTCTCACGAGTATTCCTACAGTTCTCGAAGTGTAATTCGCTTGGAAATCGAAAATTGCTATAGATAACGATGATGGAAACGATTTGTTGACGAAAGTATACTGTCATCTTCGTGACGTATGTCTAATCAATAAATAAGAACATCCATTTTTCATCATCGAGAAAATAAATACGAATTCCTCAAACGTTCCTGACGACGCATAAAGAAAAAAGACAAACAAAATTCTTTGCGCTCTGCTCTTGATCCTTTCATTTCCTCCGTCTTGATAAAGCGAACGAGAGACTGAAGAAAATTGCCTTGTTTACTCGGAATTATGAAAAATCCATTCGACACTAATTGCGTTAGCCCGGCCCGCCGGGCATGTACCCGAACGAATCTAATTTGATACACAGCATGAAAAATGAAAACAACCATTTTAGATAATGATCTGCGAAAATAGCACGTTTTTCATTTGTCGCGAGCAAGTTGATATAACCAGCTTCCTCTCTCCCTCGAGGGTTACGCAGCGAGAGAGAAAATGTCGCGTCAGACGCACAATGCCGTGCTTATTCTGAAAATCACTTGGATTGCACAGTTTGCGCTGCATTGTCTCGCAAGGGGCGAGACACGCCGAAGCGTCGCTTCATTTGGTTAGGAGACTTGGAGAACAGTCGAGCGATGTGGGAAGCCGCGGGGCGGACGAAGCTGCAGCTCTCACAGTGGGCTCCTCGTCGTCGTCGGCGTCGCGGTCGCAAGGGGCACTTTTATAAATAGAGCGCATGTATTTCGAGAGAGCTCGCGAGGGCGTCGCAGGCCGGTTCGAGCGACCTACGTTGGCGCGGCGCCGCGGCAGGACTCCCACCGACTGTCGCCCGGCTGAAAAATCGTGGCGCGCGCCCCTTTCCCGTCGGAAAATTTGCGCGTTGTTCGCCGACTCTTGCGCGAGAGCTAATTAAATTGCTCGGAGTTTTAGCTCGCGAGAGTTCCGCCGACTGATTGCAAAGATAACGAGCGACGCGCGGCACGAGAAGGACGCGGAGATGAAAACCGCGAGATTAGCTCGAGTCCTCGCCCCGCAGGCGCGCCTGCGATTGATGCGCGCTTCTTTCCGCTGGCTCGAAACCGCGAAGGATCCTCGGGTCCGCGAATCGCGCGAACGGCGAAGGGACGCACTGTGCGACGCAAATCGAGCTTGAGCGCGCGTGCCGATGTCGCTCTTTTGTCACGGCAAGTCCGCGGATGGCTCGATGGCCGGCCGAATTTCCATCGCGGATGAAATCCCGCGTAATTACGCCCAGCACACATTTTATCGATTCGCGCGCACGAGCGCGGGTAAACAGCGTTGAAATGGCACGCCTCGCGGATTACTCGATGATCTCTCCACGTCCTCCCCGATGCGAAAATAAAAGCTCCATAACTCGCCCCGACAACTCGAGCAAAAAGTAAAAGCTTGTCGTACGCCTGTCGGAGTTTGAATTTGCCATTCGCTCGGCGCTCGTTATTGAAAGCTCGCGCGCGATAATAAAAAAAGCTCCCTTCGAGCGCGGCAAACGTCCGTTAGCGAACGTGCGATTGAACTTTCGATTGTCTTTTCAATGGGACTTAGCGTAGCATTTTTACGCGACATCTCATCGTGCTGGCAATAGTTTTGCTTGAGATTGCAGTGGTTCGATATTGCTCGCTCAGTCAATTCATATGAGTAGTGCAGTGAATAATAGATGAAATAAATACGTGGATTTCGCTTCAAATGAAAAGTCAAAATAAATAGTTTTCTCAATTTTTCAAAAATATTACGAAGAATAGTTTGTAGACATGTGCGCGTGCGCACGTACCGAGTCTGTGCAAACGTTCACTAGCATATTCATTAAATAAAAAAAGGTGTTACTTTTTGAAAAATTAAGGAATTACTTTTTCTAAACATATTCATTTTTCAACACTATCTCTAGATATCGTTGATAACGGAATCTTGATATTATATTATATCATGAATAATATCTTTATGTCCTTTCGATCATAAGTTGCGAATAGATCGTCATGTAATTTACAAAATGAAGTGTTTGGTTTTCACATGAGCTTCGAAGAAAAATTTGCCAATGCACAACAGAAGAAAGAATTGGCGAATACTTCCTGATGAATAAAATACGACCCACGCCGAGGACGGAAAACCTCTTTCAAGTAAACGCAATTAGAAACTGCGCGCCTCGAAACCGACGGCAAAGCGGCGTCAAAGTTTTACGGGCGTCGCGCGAGATTGTCAGCTCGCGCGCTCTCGCGGATATTTAATGCGCGTTTTCAGTGCGACTGTAAGAGGCGCTTATTCCGGGTAATCGAATGGGTAATTAATTTGGACGGAAGGCCGGGCAACCTTCTTTTGCCCGTGACGAGTGCGGCTTGGGAATCAAGCGAATCGACAAGCATACAAGGTAACGAGTTGTCGACAGAAGGATGCAGGCGTGAAAACGACCAACGAATAAACCTCCAGAGGAAGTCGCCGCGCGATATATTTGCATCCCCGTCGTATTAATAAACTCGCATTTGGTACTGTAAACTGCTGGCGCTACGCAAGTCAATCACGCGCGAAATTGATATTGCTCTCTCGACCTCGAACTCCACATATGAACTTCATTCTATTTTCGCATAATTTTCCGAAATCCGCGCTTTAGCGAGCAGCCTCAAAATAAACGACAGCGTCGAAAAAAAAATAAATAAAAGGAATGGATTTTTTTCATTTCGCACTTGCAAGGAGATTGATGAGAGCATCAGCTGCGGCTGTTCCGGAGCGACACCAAAATACACTCGGCGTGATCATTTCACGCGGGTATACTCGAGACTGATGGCAAGCGAATGGCCGCCGTCTTTTTTTTCCGGAGCATCGAGATTTAACGAACGGAGCGTTTCGATAAAAGGAAAATTGATTCGCGCGCGACCGTCGTTAATCAAATCGTTTACTTTTTGTTTTCTCCTTCTTTTTTGTTTTCGCTTGCCAATTATTTCAAGGCCGTCGAGAATAAAAAGGATTAAAAGCCAATATACACACAGTCGATCTTTTTTTCTTTATCGCTCATCCTTCATTTTATCGATTCCGACTCGCGCGCTTTATATTTATCCATGAAAACATCTGAAATAGATAGACAGGCGTTCGCGAGGCGTTTCGCTCGTCGTGCACAGGCCGGCAGCGCTTTTCCATGCTCGCCGGCGTGCCTTGAAATTGTCCGTTACAAATCTTGGACGAGCGCGACAAAAGGACTAGGCGCGCGCGCGTAGCCCACTTTCCGCGACAGAAGCTAAAATCACGGCGAGTGTCTCTGATAATTCCATTGCGAGTGTCGAAGAAACTAGTTCGCTCGCGGCGAGTTTGCCTCGAATTCGCTTATAGGTGTCGCAAACTTGCCCCTTCCCTGAGCATATACGTTACACGACTGCATCTAACTTGCTAGACTGACGAGCAACTTTAGTAACGATCGTCTGGTTGAATAATACTAATAATAACAGGGCCATGCTGCCGGGCAAGTTCGAGTTGCTTGGTCTGCAAATTCTGCCGTCTAATTCGCAGTAAATTTTGTTACCGAGTTCTACGCCTTTCTCACGGTTGGAATAATTGGAAGTCGTCGCGCACTGCTCTGCACGTGCCCAAAAAAATCATCGGTGGCGACGGGATCACGGAATACGTCGTTCGCGTATACACGGCGAAAGTATTTAGTCGACGGGCGAGCGAATTATCGCCGTATACTCGGTCAATTTATCCGAATGCCAAAGGTTTCGAGGGATACTCGCGCTCGCGCTGGAGCTTTGCGGAGCTTAGCGAGAGAAAAGTTCTCCAACTGTCACGATAGGATTGAAAGTGCCGCGTGCAACGAATTTACGACGCGCCGTCAAGATGAGCGCGTGCGGCTCTGCGTGTAACGAAGAGCACGGCAATCTACGAAAATTACCGCCAGATTGGGCGCGAGCTTTCCAAAATTAGGAACAGCTCAGCCATCAAAGGGATTCTTCGTTCTGAATGTGCCGCGCGTTTTCTGTGTTTTCAGCTTAACACAAAGGTACGCGTACTCTCAGCAATTGCACCAATTCAAAGACTTGTGAATCAGGCAGAGCCAGACGAAGACGCTGCAACCTCGAAATCGAGCGATCGCGGGCGCGTCGTCGTGGTCGTTGGCCAGCTTCCGATCGGAAACTGATCGCTCTGCCCGCCAACAGCAAAGTCGAGCGAGAGGGGCCGCGCCTAACTTAACTTTGATGAATCAATCGAGTCGCGGATCGACAACTACGCTCAGCGCGAAAGTTGGTCCACGCAACTCGTCGCGGTCGAGCACATCGAGCGTCCGACGCCCATTAGCCAAGTGCATCGGCTACATGCGAGTTAATTCAATCGTTATACGCGCGCACACGGCCGCGCGCCGTTCGCCGTCATTACGCAAGCATTAAGCTGCGCAGCGAGCGGGCGAAACTGCCGCCATAATTTCCACTCAGCCCGCCCGGCGACTATATTAAAGCGGCGGGGGGAGCAGCGGCAAAAACAAAGACGCATCCTACCAAACTCACCGCACCACCTGGATCTCACCGTCGAGTCGTTGCTTCTTCTCACCCGACGCGCCGTCCACGGTTCAGCACCTCGCACGCGATCTCCGGCCATGGTGTGCTTTTGCCTTGCTCTTCGTGTCTCCCGCGCTCCATCGATAAGCAGAAGGAGATACCGGGCAGGCCGACCCCTCGTCGCCTCTTTCCTCGATCATATTTCGCCGATCGAACGGGTTGCGCAATCCACGCGCCCAGCTGAAAACCTAGGCTATCAACGTCCTGGACAATTCGACGAAGGGTGAAATGCACTTCGCTTAACGTCATTTCTCGCCGCCAGACGATCGATGCTTTAAACGCCTCGCTCGGGGAATGAAAATCCATTCTCGTTCCAAGTCAAATCCATCAAACGCGCGGACGGGAGGTGATCCTCTGTCGTCCGCATTCCGAAATTTCAAGTGGTTCTTTTGTGTTTGCTACAGAACGCGCAAACAGCAGCAGCGGCGTTGGTGGCGTTGGCGGCGGAGACAAGGAACTGGAGGATCTTCGAGACAGATACGAGGGCAAGCTAACAGCTTCGCTTTACACTGGCCTCCTGAGTGTCACTGTACTCGCTACTTTACCTCCTCTCGTCGCTCTTCTATGCCTTTATGTGAGTAACGAGTGTGTCGAACATTCTCATCTTCTTCTATTTATAGATAAAAAAGATTACAAAAGAAATTGGTTGCTTCGCGACACATTCATTCAAAATAATCGAGTTTTCCTGAAACTCAGAAAAATATGCTCGGAACGAGCGCGGATGTCCCACTCTTGATTTAATAAATTTCAGTTGAACGCGCAATCTTGTTTTCTTCATTTGCCTCTTTAGTGCTGTTTTGCGTAGCGTCACTCGAGTACCTCGCACTTGCCAGCCGTTCGTTGCTGACTTTAATGTCCAATAAAAGCTGGACACGAACGAAAAGCCCATTGCGAAATGAAACGCGTAATAACGACAACGCGTCTGGCTCGCTTTCGCGGAACAAACATACTCGATTTACGATTTAGAGAGAGAGAGAGAGAGAGAGAGAGAGGCACGCAACGCGAACTTCAGTCGTCGCGGAGCCATTAACGCCCGACTAAATCAACGTCGGCTCGCGCCATAAAGATTTGCTTCGGTGCGTCCTCCGAGCTTGCCGATCACTCGCGCGAGTTGAGCCTCTCCAAGCTCGTGGCTTCCGTTCGTTCGCTTTCGATAACGCGATCGTCAAGACTCGAGTTGTGATTTTTCCCCCGAACCGCTTGTCGCAGCGACCAATGAACGTTCGCCATTCGAAGCCGGCGCCGACGCCCGGCAACGCTTCCGTCTCGTTTCCACCGCGTCATATCTCCGTGCGAGCCCTTTGTGCGCGCCGCGCCGGTCGGCGGAGCGTGCGCTTTTGAAAAACTTTCCAGCTACGTCGGGAGGCTCCCGTGGCGGAACGCGCAGTTATTCGGTCGCAAATTGGAACTCTGGCGAACGGCAGGCGCCCGAGTTACCCGCGGCAATTGGACTTGTTACAGAGCAGCGACGAAATGAAACGCCTAATCCTACCGATAAGCAGTCTGACGGCGATGCTGCTGAGCAGCTGCTGCCTGCTCGCCGTCTCCCAGTTCCCGGCGAGCCTCGCCTCGCGCAGACGTCGCTTCGCCCTCGGCCTCCTCGCCTCGGCGCTCCTCGGCGCCGGCTGCCTGCTGCTGACGTCGCCGAGCGCCGCCTTCGTGGCCGTGCTCGCGCTCGTCGCCTCGCTGCCGAGGATCAAGAGACACCGGCCCTCGGTGCTGGGCTTTTGCCTCGCCGCCGCTTACCTGACCAAGAGAGGGGCCCTCCACTTGGTCTACGGCGAGCCGAAGCTCGCGGAGGTAAGCAGGCAGCAGCAGCAGCGGCGGCGGCGTCGAGACTGGCTGACTGGGCCGAGTCCCGTCTGTCGACAGGTGGAGAGCGACGTGCTGTTCGTGACCGCCGCGCTGCTCGCTGGACTCTACTACCGCGTGCTCACGTCGCGAGCGCACAGCCAGACCTTCGCGAGCACGGCCACCATCATCGAGTCGAGGATCAAGCTCGAGTGCGAGCGCGAGCAGCAGGAGCAGCTGCTGCTAAGCGTCATCCCCGCGTACATCGCCGCCGAGGTGAGAGAGTCGCCGCGCGCGCGAGCGTCCCCGACTGTTTATTTGCTTTCGTTCGCGACAAGGTCAAGCGGAGCATAATGCTGAAAATGGCGGACGCCTGCCAGGAGGCGAGCAAGCACAAGCAGACCAGATTCCACGAGATGTACGTGCAGCGTCACAACAGCGTCAGGTGAGCGGGTGGGCGCGCGCGCGCGCCTCGGCAGCGGCCAACGGAAGTCGCCGGCGGACGCGCGCTCTCACTCTCTCTCTCTCTCTCTCTCTCTATCCTGTGCGCTTGCCTGCTTCCAGCATACTCTACGCGGACATAGTGAACTTCACGCCGCTGTCCGAGCAGCTGTCGGCCTCGGACCTCGTCAGAACGCTGAACGAGCTGTTTGGCAGATTCGACCAGATAGCGCAGGTAAGCAGAGCGGAAACCGTGAGTACGGCCCACCTATCGCTCGCTTGCTCCGACAGCGAGACGAGCAATGCGTCCCTCCGACACTCGGCTCGCGCGGAAACAAAAGAGAAGGTTCAAGGAGGTGCGATCGATTGGATTTGAATGACGACGATATGGAGAAAGAGAGAGAGAGAGAGAGAGAGAGAGAGAGAGAGAGAGAAAAGTCGACGCTCGTTGAGAGTCAAACTACGATTCGCGACGGTGAAATGGCTTTCAATTAGAAATACTCAACGCGAGCCGGCGTCCTGCCCCACTGAAGCCGACGAGGATCAACGGAAAAGAAATCTCAAGCAGTCGTTTATCGCCCGCGCGCGGTCTGATCGAGCGCTCTAAAGCGAAGGCTGATCGTCGGAATCGACGTTAATTTACGCGCGGTCGGCTGGCTTATGCATGCGGAGGCGCCGAGCGAAGAATGCTTCTTCCTCGGGAAATTGCACCGCGAACGATAAAAAATTGCTCTCTTAAAACAAGATGCCGTGGAGTTTCAAGACCACGGCTGCGCCCGCGACGCGCTGAGAGAAAAGTTGGCGATTTATCGCTCAAAATTTCGTAGCGGCAGGCAGGTGTACGTCGCTTGTTTTTTCGCGCGGAAGTGTACTTCGCGGCTGTTTTCGCCGACATTCGTAATCGGGAAATGGAACGAGCTTGGTGAAAATTGAAAGCTTTCCCATTGAAAGTTGGAAAAGCAACGCTAAATCTGAATGCGAGGGACCGACTGCTCCGATAAATTACAATCACGCGAATGGGCATAGCTTAGGGCGAACGAATAACATGTATAATTGCAATATGGCTTTATATTCGGTTTGCAAATTCTCATCAATATTCTCGATTAACTAAGCATTTTCGAATGACCCGAGGACACAATCGAAACCGCAGTGTCGCATGACGTTCAAAGTGGATAAACAAACCGGACCGGTGGAAAATGAGTCCATCAATCGGGAGGGGGGGAAAAAATCAGTCTCCGCTGATAAATCATACGTCGCATCCCGAAAAAGGCTGATCATAAGCATCGTCCTGTGCGCGCGAGCGAAAAGATCCCTCGAGGAAGAGAGAAACGACGCGTCACTTTAGTCCATTAGCGAATGAAATCGATATGCGCGCGGCGTCCTCGAGGGACTGCAAGCAGCCAGCTGGACCTCGTGGCCGTCGCCGCTGTTTGTCTCTTACGGGCGCGTTTCTCGGAATGGCCTCTCCCGCGGGGACGCTCGATCGGGGATAAAGGAAGCGTGCAAATACTCGCTACGATGCCGTCGCTGAGGCGGAAAACGCGTAGCATCGGGACGCCGACGAGAGTTTTCCGCGCGCGTCAGCGCGAAAAGTTTCACCTCGCGCCACGAGGTTCGTGCAACGATCGGGGGACGAAGGCCCCTCCCGGTTCGTGCGTAGCCCCGCGTTCACGCGTGCGCCCATCAAAAATCCGTGCGCGGGACATCGGCTATTCCGTCGCTCCGAGTCGACGGCGAATTCGACGTAGACTCGAGCCTCGCTAATCCGGCTTTATCGATCGGTCGGCGAGTTCGCGCTGGAGGTAAAAGGAAAAAAACGACCAATAGATCGGCGGCGGGAGACGCATCGATCGACGCCGCCGCGTCTGAAATCAGACGAGCCGGGCGCAAAGTCAATCAGGCGTCTCGCAAAGGCGAGCTCGCGCGCCGCCGCATTAATATAAGCGCAACGCAGAGTGTATCGGAGCCACAGGTGCATTAGCCGTGTTTCGCAGCGCCATCATCGATTGCCGCAGCCGCGCTACATTGTGTTGCGGCCTATTCCTTTGAGGCGCTATCGTGCGCCCCACGGCGGAATTGCGTCTCTCTCTCTCTCTCTCCCGCGTGCGCGAACCCAAGCTACGCGCGGACTCTCTGTTCGTCGCTGCTTTCTTTTCGCAGGACAATCAGTGCATGCGGATAAAAATTCTCGGCGACTGCTACTACTGCGTGTCCGGGCTGCCCGTGTCGAGGCCGAATCACGCCTACAACTGCGTCAACATGGGCCTACAAATGATCGAAGCCATCAGGTATGCCGTTCAAAGTACTGCGCGACATTTGGAAAAGGCTATACAGCGAACGAAGCCCAGCATCAATCCCCGCTCGCTCGTAGGCCAATCGGAGAGCCCGAAAAAGATTAACTTACCCTCGCGCCAGAACGGAGAGCACTGCGAGGGACTTATCTGAGAAATTAGGTCGGAGAGCGCGCATCAAAAACGCACGGATCACCATTTCCATGACCCGGGCTGATTACGCCAGTAGCGAGCGTGTCGCGAGGGAATTACTTTTATCGTCTCTCCGCTGTTCTGCGCGCTCCCTACTAGTCAGCCGCAGCCGCTCATCGATTTCATATTCGTTCTGCGAGCTTCCCTCTCTCGAGAAACAAACTTCGAAATTTTAAATCTCCACGCTTTTCCCAGTTTTCGAGTGCCGCGCGCTCATCCTTTCCTAGCTTATTCGATCGATTTTTGTTTTCCAACGTTTTTGTGCGAGCTAAACGGACAATTTCAAGAGACCATTTCGACACTCTGCCATAAACTTCGTAGCTTTTGCCCGTTGTCAAATTTTTTTTTTCAAAATTACGTTTGTTTTTCACTCGAGCTTCCGTCGTCTACCCTCGAGAGAGAATAATTAGCCGCATAACAAAGCCTTGCGCTTTGTATCGATGAACAGCATCATCACTGGGAATTCAACAATTTTTAAAATGCACTTTTTACCACGATGCGCGTCAGCTAAAATATCATAAAAATATCGAATATCTCGACGAGATTCGTGACTTGTTTAACGATGAAAAATAGTCAGACGAATTTCAGCGTGGCACAGCATTTACACAGCATCTCCAATTGTCTTCGGTACAATCCGCTCTATTATGCCCAGCATTTGCCTCGCTTCATTCGCATTTTCATCTCGCAATAACCGAGATATTCCAGTGATGAATTCCAAAGTCGCGATGAGCGCTGATACTAAAAGAGAAAACAAATCACGCGCAGATTCGTTCGCGAGGCAACGGGTTTCAACGTGGACATGCGCATCGGCATCCACACGGGGAACGTCTTGTGCGGGGTGCTGGGTCTGCGGAAATGGCAATTCGACGTGTGGAGCGACGACGTCACTCTCGCCAATCACATGGAGAGCGGCGGTGAACCTGGGTGAGTACGCACGCACGCGATTGCCTCTCCGTCGCAGCGAAATCCATTCGGCAAACAGTCGGTTGCAGCTCCTCGCTGTTTCGCTTACTTTTGCCCACGCGTCGCTGTCGCTAAGTGGCGGAGCGCGTGCTTCATAAGCTCGTCACCCATGCGATTCCGTCGACCCTTTCTTTGTACAAAGGGGCGCAGAGGACAGTAATGTGATTAGTTGCGCCCGCGGGCTAATGAAATTTACGATTAAATCAACTGCGCGACAGGAGACGGATTCGGTCACGTTGTTCTCACTACGGTCATTATTTTTACATGGACGGCTAACGAATTGTTAAAAAAATAATGCCCTTGTTTTTTATTCCAATTCCAAATAATGAAACAATACTCGAAACAAAGTCCAAGTGAAAAAAAAAATCGTCATCGCTTTTATACCGCAGGTCGATATTTTACATTGAAAAAAAGACAATCTTTTCGTGGGAAACGACGAATATTGCCAAAATTGCGTCTTTTCGAATTCGATAAAAATGACATTTTTTTCCGCTACCTTTCCCACCGATGGAAAACGACTGCGCTTTATTTGTGTATTTTCACTAATCAACAATTGCATCGAAAAAATAAAATTAGCGAAACGAAGTAGACCATTTTTTTTCGCAAAAATGCAACAATTTCATGTCCGCAGTCGAGTACACGTGACGAAGGCGACGCTGCTGCAGCTGGGCGATCGTTTCGAAGTGGAGCCTGGCAACGGCGGTACACGAGAAGCTTACCTGGCTGAACATAAAGTCGAAACTTTCCTCATCATCCCACCCAAGGTTCATTACACAGACTTGCATGTGTGCTCTGTCATTTTTTTCGAGTTTCTTCGTTAATCGAAGCTCGGCTCTAGCGCGGGATGTGATTTTTCCTTGCTTCGCCGTTATACACTGCGCGCACAAGTAGACCAGAAAAAGGAGGATTGTTCTTCTCTTGACGGCCTCCTCTATCCTTAAAATTTAGGTTTCCTCCGTTTCATTGAAATTCGAATGACCTTTCGACAGAAAAATCCGGATGAGACCGAGCTGCTGAATGGCAAATCGTTCAAAGGTCCTGGACACACGCCGTCGAGGTAATCAGGAGAAATCTCAGGGTCCGACGTCCGGTTTGGGGAATAATGAAAATACTCTTGTAGATCCCGACCAAGTAGTAAAATGACCAAATACGTGGAGTGCTGGGGCGCGGACAAGCCGTTCGCCAACATTGCCGAGTCGACGTTGGCAAAGAACATCGGCCTTACCGTGAGTTGGCCTTACGTGCACCCGTCAGCAAAGAACGATCCGTAAGAAAGTGTTTTTTTTTTCCCGCAGAGCATCGCCATGATCGAATCGAACTTATTGGCCAACGGTTCTACGTGCTTCGACGTCAAGTGAGTCAATTGATGCTCTTTGCTGATTTTCGTCACGCGCGTCTGACAAAATTTATCGCGCACTAAATGTCTGGAAACTTTCTTTGCCCCTGTCTTACTTGATCCGCAGTCATAATCACAAATCGATATCGCCGTGACAGAGGAAATTCTTAAAAATGAACAAAAAAAAAGAAATAATAATAAAAAAGAAAGAATAGCCAAGCGATGGAAACCAACGACGAAGATTACATTGCGATTTACAGACAGTGGTGCGGTAGAGGCGAGGGTATGTCGAGCTTGACTTACTGGTTCAAGGACACAAATCAAGAGCACCAGTATCGCGAGCAGAGAGATGAGCAGTACCCCTGGTACGTCGTGGTCTCGACTCTGCTCTACCTCGTCATGTTCCTCGTGCAGGTCGTCTACTTGCCTGGGTGAGTGCCAGTTCGAAGGGATCGTCAAGGTAGTTTCGGCCGTGTCACTTTGGCTACGTCGGCAAAGTGCGAACTGTGTCCAGCAAGGACGTCAAGGTTTCTTTCAACCCTCGCGCGCTACGCGGTAATGAGCAAACCCGACAACGTAATCGAGTCAATGTTTGCTACTAATTCATTCTCCGTCGGCAAATATAATCTCCTAATTAAAATCAGGGATCATCCAGATCCCTCGTATCCGTCTACATTCGTATCTTTCGGTTTGACTTTGCTTATTACAGTCAAAAGTATGTGTACTGCTCGTAGCGAGCTTCGAAAATTAATCGACGACAATTTTCGTTAATTTTTTACGCGACTACGACAACAATGAAGCTGATTTCGAAAAATAGACGAGGGTTAATATATTTTTTCACAGGGTACTCGAGCATTGCCCGTTCGATTTGTTTTGTCTGGCTTAAAATTGTTATTGGCTGAAAATTGGTAATAGTAAAGTAGGAAAAGTAGGAGCGACACGAGCCCCCGGCGAGCCGGTAGAGGGGAGGCCGTAACGAAAGGGTGCGCTTGATCTGGTGTCCGCAGCAACTTGGTGGTGTGCGGCTGCTTCGGTGGCGGCCTGCTGTGCCTGTCCGCGCTGTCGGCGATCTCGTGGCTGGCGAGCCGCGCGCACAAGGGCAGCGAGGTCGGCTGCGAGGAGCGCGCGCTGCTGAGCCGCGGCATCAGGACGGCGGTGTACCTGATCACGGCGCTCCTCGGCTGCAGCTCGGCGGCGGTGAGCCTGGTGGACGCCGGCGCCGCCGACTGGCCCAGCAGCATCGCGCCGGTACGCGCCGCCGCCGCCTCCTTCTCCTCCTCCTCCTCCTCCGGCCCTAGGCCGCTGCTACCTACACACACGGCTTGGCACTTTCAGATGTACGTCGAGTGCGCGGCGATCGGCCTGGTGGTCGGCTGGACGCACCTGCGGGTCGGCTCGCTGCTCAAGCTCGGCGTGATGGTCGCCTCGGCGGGCTGCCTGCTGGGCGCGCTCTCGCAGTGGCCGCCCATGCGGGACTACTACTCGCAGCCGAGCAACGAGTAGGTCGCCTCGCTTCGCGGCCCCGCTCGCGCTCACCCCGGCCCGACTCGCTTTCAGGTTCTTCCGCGTGCACTACCTCGCCCAGCTCGGCTTCCCGCTCGCGCTCGTCGGGCTGGTGCTGCACGTGCTCGACCGGCGCATCGAGTACACCTCGCGCACGCACTTCCTCTGGCGGACCAAGCTCAAGGTGGAGCAGGACGAGGTGGAGACGATGCGCGGCATCAACAAGATCCTCCTGGAGAACATCCTGCCGGCGCACGTGGCCGGCCACTTCCTGGCCACGCGCGACAAGCAGGACCTCTACCACGAGAGCTACAGCAGCATCGCCGTCATGTTCGCCTCGATACCCAACTACAAGGAGTTCTACGACGAGACGGACATCAACAAGCAGGGCTTGGAGTGCCTGCGGCTGCTCAACGAGATCATCTGCGACTTCGACAAGCTGCTGCTCAAGCCCAAGTACTCGAGCATCGAAAAGATCAAGACCATCGGCAGCACCTACATGCTGGCCTGCGGACTGAGCCCCGGCAAGGAGGACACGGACGGCCTGGTAATTGCGGCTCGCCGCTCGCGCTGCTCCCCGTTTTAATCGCCGCGCCCGCTTCTTGCTTTGTGTTGAAGATCGACCAGGCCAAGCAGCACGAGCACCACGTCATCGTCCTCGTTGAGTTCGCCATCTCCCTCATGACTCTGCTCGACCAGATCAACCGCGAGTCCTTTCAGAGGTTCAAGCTCCGAATAGGTAAGTGGGCGCGCCAAGGGCCGAGCGCCAGCTCGCAGTTCTCACCGCGGGCGATCGCTCTCCCCAGGACTCAACCACGGCCCGGTGATAGCCGGCGTGGTGGGCGCCCAGAAGCCGCAGTACGACATCTGGGGCAACACGGTCAACGTGGCCTCTCGCATGGACAGTTGCGGCCAGATGGGCAGGATCCAAGTGACCGAGGACACGGCCAGGGTCTTGAGAAACGCCGGCTACGAGCTCGTCTGCCGCGGACCTACCTACGTCAAGGGCAAGGGAACCCTCACCACTTACTTCGTCAAGACTCCGTTCGACGACAAGGAGGACAATTACTGAACCGAGGCTAATGTTTTCTTTTCGTTGAAAGCGCACATTTCGCCCGTTTCGTTTCACTTTCGGCATACTACATGCAACGAAACCACGTAGAGCGTAGATCAATTCTTATATCGCCGATGGCCTAATTTTATGATTGTATTTGTCAACGTGCTGGGCGCGTCGCTCCTTTTAATCGTTACATTTCAAAGAAAATCGTAGTCTGTATCGTCGTCAATGTGTAAACAAATGAACGTAATAACAAAGTACAACAATGGTTCGATGTATTCTACAAATCAATGTAAATACGCTATTTTTTCTCTCTTCTTCCATATCAACGTACCAAATGTTCTAATCGTAAGATTTTCGAATGGATAACGAAGACGCGTGCTTTACAAACGCGATAATCAATATTATATGGCCTTTGGAATGCATACATGGAATGCAGTGGATTGCACGGAGAATTCATTCGCTCGACGTTCGACAAAGTTGAAAAAGTTACTTATACGCTATCACGTCAAGTCTAGAAAGCGTATGAGACATTTAATATTTCAAACTTATAAAACTTACAAGTTAAGAGTTCGAAAAACATTTGTGCAACTATAACCGTGCACATCTCCAAGTAAACGTGAAAATAACTTTGAGCGAGCTTGCAACAACTGAATTGGCAAATTCCTACAATTTTTTTCGAAAGTATGGCTTAGTTTGAACGCGCAACTTCGTAATTCCCGTTTTTAATTTTCAACAATAATCCGTTTGCAATGCGTGTAAGTGATAATTAGTGTCAACTGAACAATTTTCGATAATACTCAAACTGTACAAATACTCGGAAAGACAAATCTAACTATCTCTTGTATACGTGTCTTATCAAACAAAAGCTCCATTAATTATCAGAACCATAATATTGTAATTGGATGTCACCCAACACACGTACACATATTACCTAATTACAAATTGACATTTCGATCTAAAATATGAATGTGTGTAGAACGAACCTAAAAATTGCTGTAAAAACTGTGAAAATTCTAATGTTGATTGTTCACCGGATACTCAATTAAAAAATCTGCCCTGTCTTTTATAGATGTGGTTATTATTTTCATTTGTAATGTCAAACTTATCAAAACCTATATAGTATTTCAACTTTTTCCAACAAGTCACTGAAACTGTCGATATTACCATCGGTCGTATTAAATTTGAATTCGTACCTATCCCTTCCCGCTTTTTTCGAAGGTGGCGCCGCGACCGTTATTTTTTGAGTTAAAACGTTTTAAACTATGAAAACTGTTCACAGTTGACGTAGATTTTACCGGTCAACGTTATTCATTATTTGTTGAATGACAAATGTATAGCTTTTACAAAATAAAATTATCAATGAAAAGGTAGCTCTTCTGTATGAGTGAAGAAAGTGGGGGAATTAGATTTTAAGTCAAGAAACTTTCTTTTTTCTCACATTAAGTTATGAAAAATAAAACGATATGTAGAAATGTTGTTTTATTTAAGCGAAGCTTGTTTTTCATTATAAATATAATCTAAAAGTGAGATATATTATTTTCAAAATGTTCAGCAGATATCAGTCTATTTAATAATTCATTTTATTCTTTATTTTTACGCAGATAAACCTAACCTATAATCAAAATAATCAGTGAATGATTGATTTTTCATGAACTGATGAAGGTTTATTTTATGAAACAAATGAACGAAATAACAATAAATTAAACAAGAAATTTCAGTTTTTATCGGACTGTGTAAGGTAATTTGAAGATTAATATAAAATAGAATTTATTTTAATATCAAATTGAATTTTATATCTAGGGCTATAACTCAAAATGACAGAAAAGAGCCGTTCTAGTGCCATTAAAAAGTTCCTGCGTCAATTAAAAGAAAAAGGCAAGGTATTCGCAGATTTTCGAACATGTCTAGTAACACTAGAAGAAGAAGCTGCATCGAAAGGTTTGAGTGATTCAACCATAAAAACAATGGTGGATATCTTGCAACGTAATGATTTAAGTGCAACCAATGCTGTTCCCTTTATAAAATGCATGATTCCAAAAGGTAAAGTAAACGACAATGAAGCTAAAAAACTGATAGTCTGGTTCCTGCGTACTTCTGCTGCAGTCACGACACTTACAACTTTATTGCAATGGATCATTGGCTGTTGGGAGTACCAGCTTGTAAATAGAAACTCAATCTATATATTTTACGATGCTTTCTTTTATCTCATGGTGACACAAGATAAACTAGAGGCAAAGTTAGCTCAATTAATATACTTAATAACCAAACCAGAGGATGTGACAAGAAGACAAGTTCTAAGATTAATAAAGTTGAATGGCAATTATAGAAAACCTCCAAGGCATCTCACTGCATTGCTGTCGCTATTCAAATCATATAAACCAGAATTTGTACCTGAAAAAATTCCAACAATAAACATTCAAGGCATCTGGAAGCCAATACCAGAGTTTTTACGCTTAGGTTTTGAAGATGCAAGAGATAGAATAATTTTGATACAAACTCAACGAAGTAATGAACTCTATTATAATTGGAATATTTTTAATATACAAAAAGTCAAAAAAAATCAAGACCCTCTGGTGCCTTCTGTAGGATATTTTAATCTTGGTTCAAATATTTTTAATGAAAAGATAGAGAAATCCATTTTTGATATAACTACTACTGTACAACTTGGAAACCATCAGTCTTCTATAAGAATGCCATGCAACTCCACATCATTATTGTCAAATATAATAGGATATCATCTCTTGACTTATACTGATTTTGAGTATCAGCAAAGATTTGTACACAATCTGTACAACACATTCTGGAGATCTTTTATATTTGAAAATGGAAGGTACTCAAATGAGGAAATGAATAAAATTTTAGATATGACCATTGAATTTTCCAAATACATGCAGCATGGAATTCCCATTGTCAGTTATTTTGTAAATGAATACATGTCTTGTTATGTTGATGATCATCAGTTAAAATTATTGGGCTTAATGCAATGGAGTTCCATTTCTTTACCAGAGTTACAAGATTATGTGTTGAAACACATAAAATTAGTATTTTACAGTTCATCCATACAAAATAAATGTATGATAATTAGAACATTAAGAACATTGATGTTAAATCTATTTGTGATAAATAATAACTTATTCAAGAACAAATCGTTTCCATTTTTGGGACAAAATTTCATTGGTAACATTCCTGAATCAGTGAGAATTATTGAAAGTTTCACTAAAGAACTGATAGTGTCTTCTTTGAATATACACTCCGAAAATGCAAGTTTGGTATCAGAGGCTCTTTCATTTTATGAACAAATAGATATTCTCGAGATATATAAAGAAACTCCAATAAGTTTGCCTCCAATTGCATTAGTTTACAGTTGCTTTATCAACAAAAGCTGCGCCTTGCTATCAAGAATATGTGCTTTACTATTGCAATACAGAAAGTATTTTCAACATAAAAACCAAACTTCTATTATTAGTCGTAAGTGGTTAGTAACATTTGCAGAAGATTTTGTAAGTGCCCTATGGTTTGATAATTGTTTTAGCACTCGATTAGAGGTAAGAAGATACTTTCTGAAAAGTTTATCTGAAGTGATTGTCAAAAGTAATGGAACTTGTGATATTGATAGTTTGTTGAATATTTGTCAGCATTATGCAGTGCTGCCTTATTTATACACATTGAGTACTAGTGGATTGCATATTCAATCAAAGCATGATGCCAGAAATGTTGCAGCTTATTATTATAAGCATATTCATAATTTTATTACTGCATTATTGGGTGATGAAGAATAATCTTTTGATATCTACTGTAAATAAGTATTTTATAGGGCAATTTGTTATTCATGTAATTTAGTTCAAATTCAATGTAAAATTTTGTAAAATTTTTACTCTCTAATACTTTAAGCTGAAACATTACTTTTTCAGTATCTTTGTTTATGTATGTAACACTTTCTTGTGAAATCATGAAAAGCAAACTATCAAGTATTTATAAAAAAAGCACTTCTGGACAGTATTTAATGAGCAGTTTTATATTAATTAGGTTATTGAATAAAATACTTTTTATATTCATTTGTGCAAAAACTGTTGTGAGAAAAGAGGAATTATTAGTTGTAAACGTCTGAGGATTAAACGTAATGCATTTTCAATTAATTAAAAAATTTATTACTCAAATATTAAATCATTTTATAAAACTGATAACTTAGGTGTTTTTCAATTTTATAGATTTCTTTTTAGAAATGTTGATTATTAATGTAAATTACTTATAAAACTAAATAAAGCAAAATATTTTTTACATAAATTAACGTTTTATTATCTTATTTTATTTTAAAGAAAAATGTTGAATAATAAGTCATTAACTCTCGATCTATGTTATAATAAATTAAATTTTAATAATATTTTATAATACATAAAAGATTATGCATAACTAACTAAAATGTATCAAATTTGGTAAAACATTCATACATAAAATAACCGTTAAATAAAGAAAAACCTTTTTTTTCAACTTTATAAAATTTACAAAATTTTCTTATAACTAATTCTTTGAACAAAAAACGTATAAACTACAAGTATTATTTGCTTAAAGCTTCGAAATTTTGAATCTGGTGTTTTTTATGAGTAATAATATTATGTGCTTATTTTTGTAAAAAGATTTCCAGTTTTTTTATAGTAAAATGTTTGATTTGTTTGTTGAGAAATAATCTATTAGTAGTCTATGGCACAATATTTTTTGCTAATAAAAGGTACATAATAAAGTACATCATTTCAACAAATTTAAAGTTTAAAGAATGCTTTTCTGTTGTTACTTTTCATTTATTCATCCTCACTATTTATCCTCATTATTTTCAATATTTGTGTTTTGTAAAAGTAATTTAGCTAATGCAATACCTCCTTCCAGAAAATATCCAACCACTATTCATCACAGCCAACGATTAAGACATTTATGATGCGGTTCAAAAGTTTTATCGGCAATAAAAAAATTATTTATACTTCTGAGTTTGTTATTTTTATAAAATAAAATAAATAGCATGGCATTTTAAAAAGAATTATCTATTTTTCATAAATAATAATTCGATTAGTCGATTAGCTCTAAAAAAGATAGCCGATCACCTGTTGCGTTTTGTCAAATGGTGATTAGATAATATTCCGTTCGTCCCGCATGAGTTTGGCGCTCGAACTCTATGTCTTCTGCTAAACCGGAACTTTTTAATAGTTATTTCCTATTGTAAATAATATTATTTTTCTTGATTGAATTCACTTGGCAAGTGATATAAAAAACATTAAAAATTAATAATATGTTTTACATATGTTTTTTAGACAATTACAAAACTCGCTAATTGTTCAATAAATTCAAATTAGACTCTGGTAAGTGTCTTATTTAAAGGTTATCTTTTATTTTAAAAACCTATTTATATTATCTTCGTAATCATATTTACATTTTTCAGTTGTAAGTAATAAACTAATCAGTGAATTGATTATTAATCGACATGGAACCACCAGAAAAATTTCCATTTCCATTCCCTCCATATCCGATTCAGACTGATTTTATGAAAAATCTGTATGTTTGTTTGGAAAATGGAAATTTAGGCATTTTCGAAAGTCCCACAGGAACTGGTAAAACATTATCAATCATATGTGGTGCAATAAAGTGGCTAGTAGATCATGAGGAAAATAAGAAAAATTCCTTGTTGGCTGAAAAAGTAAAATTAGATATCAGAATTAATGAATTGCAAAAGAAAATGGAAAGCGATTGGTTTTTTGTCCAAACAGAGCAAATAAAATTAAATACAGAGAAACAAGCTGTACAAAATAAATTAGATGTTATTACAAGGCAAGAGGAAAAACTAGCAAAGTACAAGGAGTTAATCAAAAAGTACAAAGAAACTAATGAAAAGGAAAAGCATTATGATAAATGGAAAAACTCTAAGAGCAGTGATAAAAAGGAACTTGAGAGCAAAGAAATTGATGCAATTGAAGAAGATTTTGTCGACATGAATCTCATTTTGAAAGACATTGATGAACAATCTAACTATTCTGAGGAAGAAGAGGATGGTGCAGATGATATTAAACATAGCAAAATATTTTTCTGCTCAAGAACTCATTCTCAACTGTCTCAATTTGTAGAAGAGCTTAAAAAAAGTCCATACTCTGAAAAAGTCTCTTTAGTATCTTTAGCATCAAGGTAGGTATAAAAAAGCATTAGTACTTACCATTGCATTTATTACATCAAATTTGTAGAAACAATTACTGTATAAATCCATCAGTGAAAGCTTTGAAAAATATGAGTATGATGAACGAGCAGTGTCAGCAGTTGCAGAAAAAGAAATCTACATCAAAAAAAGAAAAAGATCTTAAACGGTCTAAAACTTCAACCTCTTGCCCTTTTATGCCTGGAAATCAACCTTTATTAATAGCAGAAATTATAATGAGTGTAAGAGACATTGAGGATACTGTAAAGAAAAGTGAAGAGTTAAAAACATGTCCTTATTACTCTACAAGAAAGTCAGTGGAAGATGGACAAGTGATATTAGTTCCATATAATTCTATTTTACATAAGACAACAAGAGATAGCTTAGGGATCAAGTTGAAAAATAATATTTTAATTGTTGATGAGGCACACAATTTATTAGAAGCTATTGAAAGGATGCACAGTGTTACTGTTACTGGAAAAAATATTCTTCATTGTTACAATCAGTTATCTCAGTATCAAAAAAAGTAATTAAATATTGAAATACTATGGTATTCAAAATAATAAAATATTTACTTCTCACAGGTTTGAAACTGTTTTGACAGCTAAGAACGTATTGTTTTTAAGTCAACTAAATTTCTGCTTAAAAAAGTTAATCAAAGTACTAGGAGGAACTTCAAAATCTCATCCAGATGATAAAATTACGAAAGTATCAGACACTAAATTATATGGCATTGAAGATTTTGAAGCTATGGCAGAGATAGACACAGTCAATATATTTGATCTAATTGATTTCATTCAGAAATCTAAATTAATTCATAAACTACGTGGGTATGCAGAGAAATATGAACATGATCCTATTGTCAAAGAAAATGTGGAAGAGAAGAAAGGAGTTACAGCTTTTCTCCAATCTTTGCAAAAAAAGGACAGTTCTGATGTAAAGCAAAATACTGTAATAAAACCTATAGATGAGAAAGAAAAAGAGCAAATTACCAGTTCTTTGATAATAATTACAAGTTTCTTAGAAACTTTAAAAACTAATTGCTCTGATGGTAGGATTTTTGTAACGCCTGGAGATACAATTGGTAAAGGATATTTAAAGTTTCTGTTACTAAATCCTGCAGCTCATTTTTCAGAGATAAGTACGTTGTTTGGTTATCATACAACAAATAAAATAATTTTTATAATAAAATTTTGTAATTTTTACAGTACAGGAAGCGCGAGCTGTTGTTTTAGCTGGTGGAACCATGGAGCCAATGTCAGAATTCAAAGAGCAGTTGTTCATTGGTGCTGGAGCTAAATCCGAGAGAATCATTACTTTTTCCTGCGATCATGTAATACCAAAAGAAAATATTTTGACTTGCATCATGAAGACAGGGCCAACTGGAATGGAGTTTGAGTTCAACTATCAAAATAGGCAAAATGTTAAAATGGTATAATAACATTTATGTTTATAAAATTTTCTTGTAATTGAACTTTTAGGATAAAATATGTTATAGTTAAATGAATTAGGAAGAACACTAGTCAATTTATGCAACATTGTACCAGCGGGTATAGTAGTGTTTTTGCCATCGTATGGTTATGAAGAATTATTATTCAAACATTTAGACTCAACAGAAGTATTGGCAAAAATTCGTAAGAAAAAGTCTATTTTTCGAGAACCAAAAGTTGCTACTCACGTAATCAAACACAAATCAATTGCAAAATATATTTGCATTTAGAAGAATGAGTTTAATAACAATTTATCATATTCTTAGGTAAATCAAGTTTTAGAAAAATATGCGAGTGCAATAAGAAAGCCGATGAAACCACAGAATGGTTCGATATTATTTAGTGTAGTAGGTATGTTAAATACCAAAATTTCTAAAAATTTAAAAACTATCCCTATATATTCTTTCTTAGTTGACATATTTTTTTCTTAGGTGGTAAATTAAGTGAAGGGCTAAACTTTTCTGATGACCTGGGACGATGCGTCATAGTTGTTGGTATGCCTTATCCGAATATCAAATCCCCGGAGTTACAAGAAAAAATGAAGTATTTGAAAGAGAATGTTGTAAGTACAAAAAGTATTCAAAGGAATTCTCTTACCATTGAAAAATGATAATCAATTTTTCTTGAACGACATTTTTTAAATCTGACCAAATATGAACTACTTAAGAATTCTACACTCCACAGTAACTAACAATATTTAGGCATTCTTTCTTAGTATTATTATATTGTATATTTGTACAACAAATCTAATACATATAACTATGATAATAATTTCATTAAATAATTTCATTACTTTCTCTGGACAAATTTATATTTTAACTATATCAATTTAAAAATCGCTACTATTTTTATTTACATTTTCGGTTTATAGAGTCCCAACGCTGGTACAATCTACTATGAGAACACATGTATGAAGGCAGTGAATCAGTGTATCGGTCGTGCAGTTCGTCACATCAATGACTACGCAACAGTGGTTCTACTGGACAAACGTTATGCTAACAAAACTAACTCACTACCTGGTTGGATCAGACGTAGTCTCGACATATATACAACATTCGGAAGCGCTGTTCAGGTGATTGCTAAATTCTTTGCTGCCAAGAAAAAAGATGAATTAAAATGAGTTAATGAAATTTGTGATTACTTACATTATTTATTGATTATTTTTCGTAATATTGGCTATGATATAATGAGCAGAAGGATGTTTTCATGCAAACAAGTTTTATGCGAATAGTGTTAGTTAGTAAAGTATTATTTTATTACGTTTTTTACTTATAACGATGTTCGTACACATTAAATATAAATATTTAACTTACTTTTATCGCATAAAGAAACATATCTGTTACATAAATTTTGTCATAAATTGTCAAATAGGTAAAAAATAAAAAAAGTTGTTCTTTTAGAATCACTCGCTTTTGGTGTATGTTTTTAACGTATGTTATGTTTTTTTACACATTTAATGTAAATATCTAATTTACTTTTATTACATAAACAAACATATTTGTTACTCCATTTTTACTATAAATTATCAAATAAGTAGAAAAATAAATAAATTTTTCCCAAGGAAACACTCGCTTCTTAGTTTATTACCTTATGTAAAACAATTTTTCATTGTATTAATCTATTTACTTTCTGGCGCTTGTTCCAATTACGGGTTCTCAATTCTACGGTATCATCTAAACTTTTGACATTATTATTAAGAAAACAAGACAATGTTGCAATAGATTCTTTTAATTCAATGTTTGTAAAGTAACAGCAGATGTGTTCAGAGCACACGTCTGGCAAATGTCGGTTTGCTAATGAATTTAATGCATACTTTGCTATCGGCAAAAGATTAGCTCTTTCTAAACCTGCCTGATATTTCAATTGAATTAAATAGCCATATGTCGGATACATATACTTGAACGTTTTCAATCGTACGATATACTTGAATGTGTAATTTTTCACGAGCTTTGACAAAGAATTTTCGTCTTTAAATAAAACATTATAAAGAGTACAATTACTGTTAATTTTTTTACCTTTGAGCTTCTCTACTTCAGATTTCCATTTATTAATTAACTTACTTTGGTCTAAATGTATCACGAGTTTGTTACATTGAACTTGCGATGACAAAGCTTTTTTACTTACTGTCAAACCAACCACTTGCATACTAATAATGTAGTTTTTCAAAAGAGAAATCAATGAATGTATGTAACTTCTCGAAAAGTTTTTTGACTTTTTTAAGTGTTGGTATAATAAACAAGGAACGGTTCTCTTTTGATTATCTTCAATATTTATATCCGCACCGCTGTCTAGCAGTACCCTCATGATATCATAATTTTCTTTTAAACAAGCTATATGAAGAGGAGTCAGTCCCATTAAATCTTTACTATTAATATCAGCGCCTGCATTAGTCAACATAAATACTGCATTTAACGCGGTTTGATTGTAGATAATACGTCGTGACGCTAAATTATGTAGTGCAGTTCTTCCATTGGCTTGTCTTGCATTAACATTGGCTCCTCCATCTATAAGCAGTTTGATAACGTCAATACAAATCGTGAAAGGCATTGATGTAGAAGTAGCAATCAAAAGGGGTATTGCATCTTTATGAATACCATCCACATTGGCATTGTAGTTTAATAGAATACTAATGAGCTTTTTATTCAATATCAAAATTGCTTGATGAAGAGGTGCTATCTCCATATCGTTAATAATATTAGCATTTGCACCGTTTTTCAAGAACAATTCAAACATTTTTTCTAACTCTTTATCATGTATCCAAAAAACACAGTTTAAAATAGAACCATATTTATAGCATTGATCCAAATTGACATGAAGTTTTAATAGATTGTTCAAAATTAAATCTCTTCTTTTATAAACTTCTTCGGAAAAGCTGTCGATTATTTGACTCCATAATGATACTGAGCATTTCAAATTATTTTCTAATATGTGTTCAACATTAGATACAACAGCATAAGCATACAGTACAGGAGTATTACCATGGTTGTCAGAGCAATCTATGTAACTATTGTAGCTTAACAGTGAATTTATGATTTTAAAATGATCTTTTCTGTTAGGTAACCAATTAATTTTTCTTATAAAACCACGAAATTCAACAGATTGATCTTGATGGACTTTAAAAATATCGGTGTGTGGTTCAAGCTGTTGCATTAATTTTTCATTCCTACCCAAATCATCTAGGATATTTTTTACAAACTCTCTAAACATTTCATTAGTATAACGATAAGTTATATGAAGTGGAGTAAACCCATTTTTATCTTTTAATGCAACATTTGCTCCTTTATACAAGAGCAGTTGAACAATTTTTGATCTGTTATGAGAAACAGCAAAGTGTAATGGGGAATAACCACTCCAATTCTCAACATTAGAGTCTGTACCTTTATCATGTTTAAGAACACAAGTGTCAATGGAGACTCCATTTTCAATAAAACTTTTTACAACATTAACATTATTTCTTGAGCAGGCAATATGAAAATGAGATAAGCCTTCAATATTTATTGGATTTGAATTAGCTACATTGTGAACTGAGAGCAGGAGATCAATGATCTTATAATTTTTTTTTTCAAAAGCCCAATGTACTGGTGAATTGCCATGGCAATCTATGGAAGTGATGTAAGCACCATAATGTAAAAGTAAACGTACTCCATCCAAGTAAGCTTCCTTCGCTGCAATATGCAATGCAGTCATACCCTCAAAATCTTTCTGTTTGACATCTGCTCCATTTTTTAAAAGTAATTCCAATGTTTTACTACATCTAAATTTGACAGCAAAGTGCAAAGGGGTAAAACTTTTATAAAGGTAACATTCTGGACTGACTGGCTGATTGATAAAAGCACCAAATTTCAAGAAGTATTCAATAATCTTGGGTTCATCTCTGCAACAAGCTATATGGAAGTGAGACAATCGGTGTTTTTCCACTGGATTGTACTTGAATTTCATGTTAGCTTTTAAAAGGAGATCAATTATTGAATTGTTATCATTAAATTCTTGCCAAGTTTTCCAAATGCCTCTTGCTTTAATTTTAAAAGCAATATGAAGTGCAGATAATTCATTTTCATTATGAATAAGAATGTCTGCCCCTTTGCTTATTAAAAATTTAACTACTTTAATCTTTGTAAACTTAACTGCACATTGTAATAATGTAAGTCCAGAACAATTTTCTAAACATGACCAAATGTCAGTAGTTGATTTCAAAGGCTTATTGATTGATAAACCAGAACTTATAAATTTTTTAATGACTTCCAAGTGGCCATTCATACTGGCTATATATGCTGGTGCTATATCATCATAATTATTGAAGTTCATACCTTCTACAATATGGTGTGATGATAAAAGGTAATCTACAATGTTGTAATTCTTGTTTATTAATGCTACACAAAATGGTGTTAAGTTTTTTTCATTTTTTGTCTTCAAAGAAAACCCCTTTTCAATCATTTGTATTACAACTTCAATTTTATTTTGTTTAATTGCATAATAAAGAAGATCGCTTTTATCGTAAGTTTTAATGTCAAACTGAGACAAAAATAGTTTAATAATTAATGGCTGATTTCTATCTATAGCCAAATGAAAAGGAGTTTTATTCTGCTTATTTGAAACTAAAATATCTGGAGAGGCTCCTTTTGCTAACAAACTTGTAATAAGGTCTATGTCTTCCAAATAAACTGCATATTCTAGAATTGTCTTTTCATCTTGAGACATTTTATAAACACGAAAACCTTTGTTTATTAACAATTTGGCAATATCAATTTGAAATCTAATCAAAGCTTCGATAATTAATTGATAATCAAGGTATCGTTCATCATTTAAATTTTTTAAATTAGAATTTATAAGTTTTTTTACGGTGATAATATAGCCTTTCTTTACAGCTTTCAATAATTCATACTCATGTTTTGTCATTAGAACTGCCATAACTGATATTTTTAAATGAACTGATGAATATGAAGATTAATACAAAATGTGACTATTCCAATTTACACCTGCAAAATACATATAATAGCTTTTAGTGAGCCTTTAGATTCTTATTATAATATTAAAAATTATTCAATGAATTTTATCAACGAATATTCAAATACTTATACCAACATGTAACTTCAAAAATTTAGGTTATATTGTTTCTTATATTTGTTATTTAATTTATTTTTCTAAAACAAGATTTATGAAAATTTGATCTGATATAGAGTAATTTTAGCTCTCACTGTTTAATTAAACATTATATATTTATATAATAAATGAGTTAAGTTAAGAAAATAATAATTTTCAGTGTTAATTTTTCGTAGCTTATCCTTATAAATTACAAAAATGATCAATCAGTTTGCATAATGCACTTTTCGCATTGTTCAGAACATAAATGCTCCAGGTCAGATTGTTGACTCGCATTACCTTAAGTAGAAGAGTAATCTGAAGTAATTGACGAGCAATTTACTAAATTATAATTAATAAATTTTTTTTACTTGGCAATACCTAATTAAAACTTTTAAAGATTTCTTTTCTATCTAATTATAATAAATTAATTAGAATTAAGTTGAGATCAAAATACAGTCACATTAGTTCATTATTAAAATTTTTAAGCTCTGATAACGTCAATTATTTCCATTATTCTTTTCTACTAATTTTAAATTATTCGTGTTGTGAATCTTTATAATTGAACGCGCCGGGAAGCAAATTTTGTATAATAATTATCTGTATGATGATTAGAGTGATAATTAAGCAGAGTGAAAAATCAAAGGACTGGTTTAGAAAAATGTCATTGATATGATATATGCAAAAACAAACCGGCCACATGCGCATATGTAATGCGTACAAACATGTACTACAAATAGTACAAATCACTAAAAATGTTGATAATGCCAACTACAGAACAGTGAATATTCCGAGCGTTCTATCTTTTCTCATTAAGTTAAAAAAAATAATAAAGGTCAGATTCATTTTGTTTAAATTTACAATTTTTCTTAAAAGATGTTATTTTGACATGATAATCAGTCAGTTACGCGTACTATAAGATTTATTTATATATTGATTATAAAAATGTGCTCATAGTAATTCTTACAGAACCAAAATGGATTTGTAGACAAGGCAAATATTTTACTATGATAATAAATTAGATGCAGCTCTTGAATTTTATAGCATACAATATAAATTGTTTGTAACAAGTAAATTGTATACTTATAATCAATTGCAACTGAAAAAAATAAAAATCTATCATCGCTTGTCATATACCTTGATAAATAAATGCAATTAAGATCCCAGTAGATAATTAAAAGCAACAGATCAACGAATAATAATTAAGTATATTCTACTTTAAAATGTACATATAGACAAGTTTTGTCCCATTAGAAAATGTAATATATCGTTTGTATGTGAATATAGCCACATTCATTGCGTTAAAAATAGATTTTTACAATACGTTATAGAATTTAAGTATTTGTTGAATTAATTTGAATAAAGGAATAAAATCCTGACATACCCTGTTGAAAATAATTTTTGCGTAAAACTGTTGGACGCAGTTATTTCCAGTTTAAAATAGTTTATAAATGTCAGATTTTAGACACGTATAACAGTTATTAATAGTTGTTTTCTGTCAGTAATAATTATATACAATTATTAATAGTACACAACTTCGAAAATGTACTTTTTTATCATAAAAAATTTGTTATTAATAGCAGTTAATAACAGCTATATGTGTTGGAAATCTAAAGTTTATAAGTGGTTATAAATTGTAAATAACTGTTAGTAAATACACTAACTGATGATTTCTATTTATTAAAATTTTATGCATGAATTCTTTCCACCAGGGTATCGATCAACTGAATTGATAAGAATAGATCTACGAAGGCGGCACCGGCACAATATATAGAAAGTGAAACTCGCGTTGACCTTCCCCTCGCACCCAATAGGAGCGTGAGTTCGACCAATAATAAGTATATTTAGTTTGTAACGTCTCCAATATTTCCAGCAACCAACATAAATGTTACAGAAATGTTGCCATAAAGTGCAAAATGTTTTGCGCCTTTGATTCCAGAATAATGTTATCAAAATATTTCTGGAATACTAGTTATAATTTTTCATTTTATGTGGCAGCCTTTTTGCAACATTTCTACATTTTTATAACAAGTTCATGAAACGTTGACTCTATCTTACTATATTTTCTCAATGTTAAACAGGACATTTTTTTGGAGTGAACGGAAGCTGAACTATTGGTAAACGCAATGACATTCTAGATTGCGACGTTATAAGTATATTTAATAACCAAACAAAGTTATATTAACAAAACATGGAATTACGTGCATAAAATTATTGAATATTTTGAGCCTCAACGAAAGAAATATTAAATTCCGCATTTTCGATGCAGTTTTCTCTTTCCAAATGTTCCCAAGAACCCAAGTCCTATCTCAAGAACTAAACTCTTAACACAATATGCGCCGCATGACAACATCCTGTCCAGTTGGTCGCCAGATGCGTGAAGCTGCAATACGAGTTCCGAGATAGATTTCATTTATGTACGAGTATGATCTGTACTAGTTCTTCATTTTAATGATTGTTTCATTGAAGCAAAAAAAATGAAAATTGAAATGTACATATACATACAACACGAATTATATGTACGTAGCATTCAAATGAGTCATAAATGTCCTTTATTTTCATTAAAATACATAAACTTAATTGAAACTCGAAAATTAATCGAAAAATGAAAAGAAGATATTCTATATATTACGAGCGGTTTTTTCGGGCTTACAGACAGATTTAAAAATACATATTTTTAATTTACAAACTTCTTTTTTACTTATAACATCTAAATTTAAATGAATTATTTATATAAAAGTGACCTTAATTAAATTCAACAATAGAATACAGCCAATTCATACAAAAAATTTTTTTTAATTCCAAAACAACTAAATAAAATTATCATTTCGAAATTAGTATCGCGTTACATACATGCAAAAGATTAATAATAAAACTTTCTCAAAGTAAATAAACGATCTGAATATTTTTTAAGATACATAAAAATAATATCAATTAAATTTTTTGTTTTATGTTTAAAGTTTAAGAGTGTATTAGTGAATTTGTTTAATTTTCATAATCATGGTCTAAAAATCACTTTAATATAGATATCACCGTGAAACTGTTTTCAACTTTAAGTATTCTAGATAAGATATACAATTTTCTTCATTATAAATAAAATAAGCTCAATCACAAGCTCTATGGAGTCACCTGTGCATAATATCTTATTTTTTGAAAAATTTTAGTTTCACATGCTTTTCTAAACGTAAAATTTGTTTTTCAACCATTTTTATTTACAATTTGCCTACAAAAATGACAATTAGTAAATTTTTGTCTCATAAAATTCTAGTCGATATTGAATTAATAATTTTTGGTATTAGGAACACATTACGATTAATTGAAAATTAATTAATAATCAATTAATTTATATATTGGGACACTAAAATTCCCGTAAAAATGCTATAAAACAAAAGTAAAATATTCTAAAAATATCTGAGTAAAGCAAATTTTCTCAGAACATCAGTCCGTTTGAGTTAAAGGCACTTCAAAATAGTTTAATGAATATTATGTCAACTTTTAGGGTTCATATCCTCTTCAGTATTCTTCTCTCAAAAAAGACCTTGAATTAAGTGGTTGTTTGTCAAGATGTACCGGCGTAGGTCGATTTCTCTTGAAGAAGCCACATTTATACAGCAAACACATTAACAGTAACAAAATAGCCATTCCAGCACAAGCAGCCAGTATGACTATCCACAGGTCAATCACGTCAGGCTTTGGTGGTGGAATCAAAGGTTGAACGGTAATGCCAATTTCAACGGACTCCCTGATCTTTTCAGACGGCTCACCAATGAACGGCTGCGAAGTTACCGTTGCATTCATGAAGGACGAAAGCTGCAATCTCTCTTTAGTTATGTTCGACAAGGTCGTCATGTTGACAAGGAACTTCATAACAATAAATACTTCTTCGTTTTGTTGCAGCTGTCCAATTTTACATGTCAAATAGACACACCTCGTACTTGTACAAAATATGCTATATGAGCTATCATGATTATATGCTTGCCTCTTGTTGCGCAAATTGTTATTATATTTATTAAATTCTTGCGGCGAAGAAAGACGGTCTCTCAGCTTCTTAATACTCAAAAAATCTGCATTAGCTGAATCACATACAACTTTGCCGGCTGTAAATTCTGGCTGTTCGAACAAATATAGCAAAATATCGCCCGCCAATGTCTCGGCCGACCAAGTAAGATTCACAACAGTACTTAAAATTGCGGATGGTCCACTGTTGCGAATCGTGTAATTGTGCATAACGAGCGGGCTTTTCTCAAAATTACTCGACTTGGAAAAGTTAGTATTGACATACTTGGCCCAATTGAAGTCAATTTCTTTGGGTTTGCTTTCACCGTACAATTTCAAAACAGTGTTGACACGCACAGGCACATTGATTCTATAAGCGTTATCTATAACGCTGTTAGGCCGCTCATTGTTGGATGAATTGACTTTCATGTTAAGCTCAAAGTTCGGTTTCATGCCGTGGAATAAAACTGGCTGAAGGCGAACTTTGAAATCGAGATTTTTCTTTGCTGGCAGTGGATTGCCGATGTCACAGCGTAGAGTATTATTATTACTATCTTTCGGAGCAGAACATTGTACAATCAATTCCCTGGAGTAGTTGGAATTTTCTACATTGACGTAATCTATACCCTTGGGTAAGAACAAATAATAAGAAGCTTCGAAGGCATCCTCGCCGTTATTTTGAATGTTCACGTCCAAATCAAGAACATGTCGTGAATTTAATACGTACTCGCCAGGGTGTCTTTTTACTCTCACTGACAGATCTGGTATACAAATATTATCTAGTCCGCAATTTTTCTGAATATTGAGCGAACCAATTTGTTTTATACTTTTCGGGCTCAATACTGCTTGTAATTTACTTTTTGGATTACGGCTTTTCCAATGATTGGCCGCCCTCGTAGAACTATTCTGCAATTCTATGTGCACTTCAGCATCTAACGGCGTCAATTTGTCACGCACTTGTTTTGCTAGATAAACTCTGAATTGTCGACAGTTCTGTAGACCAGACGATAACGTGACCTGGTAGGTCAACACACTCCTGGTTTCGTAATCGAGAAAAAACATGCGTGGACTTTTCCTCTTCTTGACGTCCAACGTGATCATCACGTTGAAGTCGTGTTTTGACCACGCACCTTTGCCGACATACATATAACAGACTTTAAAATCAGCGCAAGCAACAGGGAAACCGTCGGACAGAGCGCAATTATGTACAGTCAGTGAGATCAAATTTCTAGAAAATACTAAAGAAGCTACCATCTCAATGACAGGTCTGGCACGAAAATAAAAAGCTGTATTTGACTCATAAGCGCCAACAACGAGGTCAGTGTAGTCATTTTTATCTAAATCTAATCCTCCAGCAACAGACCAACCAAATGTATATACTGGTTGCTCCAAATTTTCTGAGTATATCACTTGAGAATATTTTTCCTCTACACCCTTTGGAGTTCCTCGATAAATATAGACAGCACCACGATTCTCATCTCCTCCGTAAGGTTCACCAACAACAAAATCACCAAATCCATCAATATCAATGTCACCCAAAGAGGCAAGTGATAGACCAAATTGTCCCCTGTTGCTTTGACCATCTCTAGTATGGAACTTTGAGAATTTGATTGGATCAGCCTTTTGATAAAATACATATATTCTTCCAGTTTCTATTTTTACTCCAGCTAACTTTGGTGAAGTGTAGAAAGGAGCAGAGATGACAATATCATCCAAACCATCAGCATCAATATCAGTAACAATTAATGCATAGCCAAAATATGAACCCATCTGTTCACCAGTGATATTTTGATGATTGTACAATTCGGAAGAGAATAGTAAAACTTTTCCATTGAGATTTGCTCCTCGCGGTACACCAACCGCAACACCACTGTCCTTGTTACCAAGAAAATCTCCCACTGCTACAGAGTAACCAAGATAGCTATTGTCTTCATAAGCAGGACCTTCTTTTGTTGCTAGCAACCGAGGTTGCTCATAAGGTCTAAGCCCACTGCCAGCAGGTGTGAAAGGTAAACTTATGTTACTGTCTACAGAAAACAGCTGACCTTGCCAATACCAACTTCCTGGAGCTCCAATAAACAATCTCTTACCATCCTTAGTAATGGCAGCAGCTGAACCTGCTTGACACATACCTTGTCGATGATGGCCCGCAGTCTCATTGTTACGACATGGCGAATATTCAGTAGCTACTTCATTATCTAATGTGGTAATCCAGCATGCGCCTACAAAGTCCTTGAAGCCAGCAACTGTCCAGTTTACCTTGACATAGCCAAACCAATGATATTTTGGAGCACATGCTAATAATGGGCCACCAGCCTCAGTTGATGCTGCAATTGTTGCTCCAAACCACTGACCTGACTTTTCATCAATGGGCTCTATACCACTGACATGTTTGTGAGACCTTACATAGTCCACACCCTTCTTGTCAAATTCAATAGGAAAACATCTGCTGTCTTCTGCAATATCACATTTAAACACTGAACCACCTCTGTCAATATTTAAATGCCTTGTTTGATTTAATGGTGCACCAACTATCACCCAACCACCTCCATGCTTATCACGATATTCAGCAACAGCATAGCCAAACATAGAACTAGGATCACCTTTGTACACTGCATAATTCTCTACTTCGATGTTGAACGTGAATACATGCTTGCGACTTAACACTAAGGCAACTATGTAGAAAAAACTAAATTGATTTTTTAGCATGGTCATTAAGAATAAAAAAAAGCAGACTAACACTAGAAGGCCAAATTTAAGGCGACTTCAGCAGCTATACGAGAGGGAGGTATTATTTCGAAAAAAGTGGACAACATCTCGAAATCATGACATATTTTATAAATATTACAAGCTCTCTGTGCTTCGTGCGTTCGCGAGAGCGGCGTGCGAAGTTACCCATGAACGGCCAATGTACGTTGAGACAGCCACACAGTACGAACGACTGCAGACGACTGCAGAACGACTGTCGCCTGTCGCCTGTCTGTTATTATAAGAGAGGGATAGAGGAAGGGTGGGAGAGAGGGAAGGAGAGAGAGAGAAAACTGAAGATCTGTCGCAGTAGAGGAAGAAGAGCGATTAACGTCTGTCAGTTCTCAGTGAAGGAGTGGGCCTTTGTAGAGGGGAAGTAAAGAGTATACAAATGGAAACAAATATTGAATATCAAAAAAGCTTATAATAGTTGAATGCTTGGCTTGAATGAGTGCTTATTCATCCACGAAACATTCATTGCCACGGATTGTACTGACGTATTTTCTATTTTTATATTACACTTTAAACAATTATTTAAAATAAAATGCCCGAAATACGAAGCATCATCTAAGGCCCTCGCCACATATGCGTTTGTACGCGCTCGTACGCGCGCGTATGCGCATATGTAGCGAGGGTCTAACCCTTTCAAGGAGATAATGGCTGCGAAAGACAACCCGCAGTAATCATCGAGATTTGCATAAATTTCTTTGCATTGATGGTAATCTGCACGTTAAATTTATATAGGATTTGTAGCATTTTCTTTTCATTCATTTTTCTTGTAAGAATTCATTGATAGTTTTACATTTTTCAATAGTTTTTGATATTTTATATATTTTTTTATTGTAACTAGAATAAACTTTATAAAATTACTGATATAACGTGGGCACATCTAGGTTAAATCATTATATCTATAATTAGCATGATATTGATGTAAAAGAATATATCTAACTTATCTTTTTTTATGTATGTATGTATAGAACGTATGTAGGTCTACAAGCGATTCCAACAACTTTTTCTTCGTGACGAGAAAATTTCAACTTCAGAGAGAAATTTAATGAATTATCTGTGTTTTTTCTTTTGTCATTTTCATTTTTTTTTGAATGCTATTTAAACAAATTCTCAAAAATGTCATATTAAAAACCATTATAAATAATTAGAAATAAAAAAATATGTTGTAATCTAGAAGTATTAATAGAAACAATCAATTATGCAAAAAAATCTAAAACTAAAACCTCTTTAGCATTTTTCATCAAACTCTATATTGTTGATTTAAAATCGGTATAAATAATCATTACTTTATTTGAATATAATTACTTTATTGACAGGACGATATTATTTGTAATGATTTTACGTCAATAAAATAGAGTTTGTTGAAAATTTGCTATCGAGGTTTCCATTTTGATTTCTTCATTTTAAACAATTATTAGTGTGATTAATTAAAAATTTTACAAATAAAGAATTGTTTATAACGTATTTACACCAACAAAATAGAGTTCGCTAAATAGGTTTTCACTTAAATTTCGCTCATAAAATTAATTGGTGCATTTTGTTTTAAATTATTTTGATTAATTGTTGAAATAAGTTTTTATAAACAATTATAAATAACATAAAAAAAACCAGTAATTTGTTTTTCTGTTTGCCTATAAATAGCATATTATTATTTTGATGCTAATTCAATTTTTACATGTTGGTTGCAATAAAACTATCCTTGCAAATCTACTATTTAAATATCTTTTTAAATTCTAATAAAGTTATTTAATTCTTGAGATAGATAACTTTCTTGGAACAGTCTGTTGTATGTGATAAGGATTTATTAAATTAGCATATATTTGTTATGTGATTGAAGTTGATTGATAGAGAAAGAAAGGCCGTACGAGCCTAAAGATGGATCTACAAAAAATATCAAAGACTATATAGAAAGCACCTTTATATTTAATTGGAAGATGTCTTTACAAACAAAAGATTTTGTTATAAACAATTTGTTATAATATTCAAGGGAAAACAGTGGTTTGGATTTTCCCTAAGGGAAAACAACGGCGTCGAGAGAAAGTATTCTCGACGTTCAAAACACACCTAGTAGAATTGTTTATGAAGTTCGTTGTCGGGTTGTAACTGGGTTTGTTAATCATTATTAGATAAGTAGTCGTTAAAAAGTTTGGTCAGTCCTGTCGTGATTCCGGATTGACGGATAGATAAGTTCTCATTTTTTGTTCAATCGACTCAACGCGATCAGCTAACTCTTCACTGAACTCCATTGTGAATGACTATTACAACTATCGTGACAAATAAGGTAAGAGGAATAAATAAATAAACAAACGAACTACCCTAAATTAAAATCTGATAATTTATTATTATAATTAATCTGAACAATAATAGGAAAAGAATTAAAGAAAGTATAAAAAAATAAAATAAACGCAGCTCGTGATCTCATAGGCAAAAAGGCAACAATTCAAATTTATGTTATGGGCAATCGACAATCAAAAATGGCGAGTGTAACTACCTTAAAAAATGTAATTTAATATATCACAAATAATATACATTAAGAATGTAATTTAATATATAATGATATAAGAATATAAAAGAATATGACATGATATAAAATATCATTTATAATATAGGAACGATTTGGAAATATAATTGATACAATACATATAATTGAAATAATTAACCATGCATTAAATTAAAAAGTTTTCAAACAACGAAACAAAAAACTTATCTTTATAAGCTGCTTGAAAAATCTTGAGGTTAAATAAAAAGCTAAATGTATGATTTTTTACGGTAGAATATTTTTTAAATGGTTACTTGAAAACTAGATAAAAGAGAAAAGGTCAAAGTATTCAAATTAAATAAAAGAGTATGTGTACAGCACTTGCAGGCTACGAAACAACGTTTAATTGTCGGGATAATGTAACTCGTCAAATTTATTTAATTTGTTCAAGGTGATCGTTGTTATTGTTTGTGTTTCTTTTTATACCATTTCGAAAATTCATATTATATATTAAATCATAGCTCGTAAAGAGAGGAATGAATTAGATTCTCGAAAGGTTGGTGATGAAATTATAAAATAAAATTGTTGCTCGAAAGAATCCGTAGTGGGTTGATTTTTTAACATTATTACAGCCTACCAATAATTTCTCTCAATAAACCTCTTATAATTTTTAATACTGCACTTTTATATGAATAGTTTTTATACTTATACATGCCTTGGTTTAGTGATCATAGAATCATGGTATACTAGCTTAACGAAACTAACTCGCTGAGCCACCTGTTAATCTTCCAATTAAAATAAGAAAACATTTTCATAGCGACGAAGAACCGCCAGTGAAAATCAAGAGTCGCGGTCGCGAATCGCATGCGAATTATAGACACTGTATTATAAAGAATATGAAGTAACCACGGCGCTGCGGCAGCGCATCGCCACTATCTATACAGTATACAGTAAGATGTCTAGAAGATAAACACGCGTGAAATGAGCAAGCAACGCCATCTGAGCACAGTAGCAATAGCCAATACGAATTAACGAAAACGGAATTCCGGATGATATATATATATGGCTCATCTGGTTCTCGCGCATCATCTCGTATGACGCACACCACACCACCGGATGATAAAGAAGAAAATGTCCAATAATCTACCAACTTATTTTTTTCGGCGTATAACGCACTTTCGCACACAGAATCTTTAGTCGCCAATCGTATACTCATAGCAAACTCGCTCGTACGAGATCGCAAAAAAGCTACAGGCGGCGCAAGTGTACGTGGAACGTTGTTTCTCTGTGGCGGTGCGGTTGTCTCCCGTTTGTCCGTCGTCGTCGTCGTCGTCGGTGTATAATATTTAACAATCATACAATCCAGAAAAGCCGCCTCGTCCAATAAACAATAGTGCGTTCAACATCCCGATATCAAAATCGGAATTGTGCATTGAATTCAGAGTGTCTGTGCGTGTGTGAGTGAGTACAAGTGTGTGTGCGGGGGAGTGTGTAACGAGAGAGGGAGGGAATAGACCTACCACGAGGTTATGTCAATTTGGCCACCCGCGACAGCGTCTTCCTCGTAGAGATAGTGTCACTACCTGTCGTTGTATATCAGAGCATACCGGTTTCTCTCAACGAGCAGCGAAACGTCAAGCAGCCCTTTCGTCCATGATACGGAATGCAGCGCATGAAAGGGCAATCTAACAGTCAAGGTAAAAAAGCAAATTCTTACCGTTGATTATATACAGTGTGAAATTTATGTTCGTGAGCGAGAAAGAGATGGATAGTGAGAGTTTGCAGCGGTGGAGATTGATTTGGCAATTTTCAAAAATGATAAAGCGGCAATATTGATTTAGCGACGTCTTGCGCCCTTTATCGCTTGTAAATACATTGTGTGACATATGTTTTTGCCTAATTAAGACAAGATTATTATTATCAGTGATAGTTCTTTCATACATCACTGATTTATGCAACCAATATTTTCAGTGAACAATGGACCAAAAGAACATCAACCTGGTGATCACTCGACTGGAGAGGACATTGGCTTTGAATCATGGAGAGGTGGCAACAGCACCCAACATCACTCCAATTATCCCATTGGTAGTGGAGGCAATGACCATTATAGCCCATATTATGCAGGCACCTCTTTCCAATATCAAACACCCTTTGGTGGTGGCGATGGCACTTGGTCCAATGGCACTGATCCTGTAACTTTTTTACCTGGATATGGAGGTCAAATGAGTCATGATGCCTATGGCATGGAAGGAGTTTTTGGTTCCAATGCTGGTGGGAGCTTTGGAAACTTTGCACAACCCACATTTCCCAATTACTTCCATGGTAACGGAGATTTCAGTGCCTGGGGCACACCTAGAAAGGCTAGATACGAGGACTATTATCCTCATCGTAGTGGCGACAATTATGGATCTACCATTGGGGATGGTAAAGCTATTGAACAAGGTGTCCAAGGATTGTCCATTGGTAGCAAGGTGAATATAATTTATATACTGTACTAAGTTTGTTTTCCATTAAGTTATGGAAATTTGATAATTTGTTATCAGCATTGAGTTTTTTCTTTTTCCTCTCACAGTTAATATACGCTTTCTGCTTGGATATACCATTAAATAATTTATGAAGCTCAACCGGTGACCAAAATAATGTTAAAATCAATAATTATTGATTTCTCAGTTTTAAAAATTAATACGTTGTAAACTTGATATATACAACTACAGTAAAGCAGCTCTTTCAATTATATTGATATGATTATAACAAGTTTTCTGTTATAATGACTTTATTCATTATGTGTTTGTTATTATGATGAATTACAATTAATTTAAAGTCAATGAAGAAAAATCATTTCTGGTAAACAATTTCTCACGAAAAAATTGTGTGACATAAATCAATTAATCAAATTTATAATTTTTTCATTTGCTCATCTTTCAAAATCAATAGGTACAGAGACCAGATCAATCAACACAGCAAACACCTCAAGTTCAGCAACAAGCACCAGCGCCACCGAAATTGGAACCGAAAGAACCTCGTAAGATAACGTGGGCGAGCGTAGCAAGTCAACCAGCGAAACCAGTACCCCAGTTATCCGCTTCACAAGGACCCAAGAAAAAAACTGGAATAGCACCACCGCCGATCATTCCAGGCAAACATAATATAGATATTGGCACTTGGGGCGAGGGTAAAGTACCACCACCCAAGGCGCCACCACCGCCGTCGCCACCGACAGTTCAACCAGCATTATCTTCGCCACAACCACCGGTGCAGAGGCAACAATTGTCGCAACAACAACAACAAAGGGGTCCATGGAATCGGAGTCCACCGCCTCAAATGCAACCTGGGCCTATACATCATCAGCAATTCACATCTCCTCAGTCCAGTCCGAATGTAAGAATTTTTGCGATACCGTAGTGTAGATCCTTTAATGACATTTTGATTTAATAGGTATTTTTTGATTGTGGCAAAATAGATATCAAGTAAAATAATGTTCACAGAATCAACATCATATGCAAAGTCAGCAGCATTCATCGCAACACCACACAGTTCCACCTCATCCACAACAGCAACAACATCACCATCAACAATCACATCAGCAACAAGCACAACAACAACAATTGCAAAATGTATCTCATCCAGTATTGGACGAGTTGAAGGTGAAGAACGATTACAACCCAGTAGAATTCGATACATCGGCGCCAGGAGCGCGTTTTTTCGTGATAAAGTCCTACTCAGAGGACGACATTCATCGCTCGATCAAGTACGAGATCTGGTGTAGCACGGAGCACGGCAATAAACGTCTCGATCAAGCGTATCGTGAGGCATCGCGCGATCAAGCACCGCTATTCCTATTTTTTTCTGTCAACGGCTCAGGTCATTTTTGTGGTATGGCACAAATGGTCTCAGCTGTCGACTACAAGAGCAACAGTTCCGTGTGGTCGCAGGACAAGTGGAAGGGACAGTTTCGCGTTCGCTGGATTTATGTTAAGGACGTGCCTAATGTACAGCTGAGACACATCAAATTGGAGAACAACGAGAATAAACCGGTGACGAATTCGCGTGACGCTCAGGAAGTACCGCATGCCAAAGGCGTAGCAGTATTAAGGATTTTGCACAGCTATCGTCATTCGACGAGTATTTTTGACGATTTTGGACATTACGAGCGTAGACAGGCGGAGGAGGATCAACGAAAGGTTCCGCATCCAAGTGTGATACCACATACCAATCAAAGAGGTGCTGGAGGTAGAGGACCTCCTAGGGGCGATAGAGATTCTGGCGATAGGGATCATCATCATGGTCCACCGCCGCATCATCACCCCCATCATCAACGCAGAGTACGTTTCGCATCATCCTACATACTTTATAATCTTGTAATTCTTGTTCAGAAAATTATAATCTTATAAATAATTAAGTTATTGTTTATTTTACTGCTGTAAAATTAGCTTTTGACATAATCGTAATAATAAATGACGTTTTTTAAAGGATCGAGACAACCGCGGACGAGGTAGAGGAGGATCACGTCAGTAGCAGCAACTGCTCGAGAGTCCAGCCAGCACTAGTATTCGAATAAAGGAAGTAACGAGTGCAACTTATTCTTCGCTTTCACCGAACTTCGATGGACTGCTCGAACATGCCACCAGGACCGGAGACAAACAAAAAATCACGTTAACGACAACGAACAAGATGATGATTAACGTTGTCGCGCAGAGCCTTGCAACTAATCCTGTATTTTATTTGATGATCGTTAGATCGACCAGCCGATGGACAAGACGATTAGGAGTTCATTAGTGCGGTGGTGTGTCTTGTGCTTTGACTCTTATTGCTAAAACGGTGTTTATTCAACCATTTGAACTGACTATACAAAAACGAAAAAAAAAACAACAGAAGACATGCGAAAAAATCTGATTAAAGAAAGTATATGTATATATATATATATGTATGTATGTATATGTATATGTATGTATGTATGTATATATATATAAGCAAAGGCAGGTTAATGGCATGTTCGCAGATTATGTGGTACGGCAAGGACATTGACTGAATATATGATGTACGCAGCGAAATGGACACTGGAATTCTTGTATAATGCTTGATGAACGTACTTTTGTTGACAAATGTTTGAACAAATTCTATATATAAGCGCAGCGTGCGGTCATATTGTAAAAGAGTGTCATTTGATCTTCATTATTCTGCATAAAACTACTTGAACGATGTACACAAGAAAAAAAATGTATACACTCACGCACTGAATAAATACATACACACACGTGCGATTTTAAATGCGACGAGCGAATGAGAAAACATCATTATACAACACGAACTTTCACGTAATACTACTACTGCAAAAAAATAATGATAATGGAAGGAAGGTTTAAGGGTGCGAGCGATGAAAATTCATATAACGCAAGCGATTTTACGTCGCGTTATTTGCAACTTGATGGTGATTATAATTGTAATCATTGTAACTTTTTTGTGAAAAGATAAAATGAAAAAAAACATAACGATAAAAAAACCTAGAGACATAAAATCTTAATTGTTAAACGATTGTATGTTATTATTTTTCTTTCGGACAGTGTGTAGAAAAAATCTCGAGAAGGGAAAAAAATAGTGAAATGTAACTTCTCCAATTGTAAGATTACGTTTTTGTGAAAAAACAAACGAAAAAAATAATACGAGAGAATGAACGAAAGCTTATCCAGCGATATACTATCTTTTTATACATAAAAAAACTTTGTAGGTCTCTGCCTCTCTGTCTCTTCCTCGTTAGCCTCGGGATTTCTCAAGGTGACGAATATCTTTTACATATTTTGATAAGATGATTTTAACAAAAAGTAACAATATTCTCCGTGTGTACTAATTTTCGTTTATTATTATTTTTTTCTGTTTCATTTTTTCCTTTTCAAACACATGATATATGCGTTGTTGCGAGAAAGCGAATGGAGCTGTGGAGAGAGAGAGAGAAAATAAAACACGTAATCCAGTTGTCGTTCCTAGAGTTGTTTGACGATTATTTTTTTCATCGTTTATGATGAGAAATAAAAAAAGATATGAACTCATGAGATGCTTCTTTATCGTTTGTAAAACCGGAACTTTATGTCTCTTGCTTTAGAAGTCATGATGTTTTTAGAGAGTAACAAGAAAAAAATGGAGAAAAAAACAAATAAGCGTTAATTACTATATTTTTGTTCTTTGCGATGCAATTGTTTGAAGTAACTTTTCCAACATGCGGTATTACGTATTGTTGAATTGTAGGACAGCTGAGAGTACACGTGCAAAGCAAGGGAGAAGAAAGTATATTAATTAATCGCCGCTGAATAAAGAAGGGTGTCGTTTTTTGCTGAGTTGCGTGACGTTACTGGGTTTGATCAAAACTTAATCTCCACCTCTTCTTATCTTAGATTTAGAACTTTAAAAAAAATCTCTTTTTTTCTTTTTCTAAATAGGAGATTCGACGCAATCAAAAGAATAAAGCATCCATTTAATGTTTATTTTCATGTATTGTTTTAATGTATAAGTACGCGATGCGTTTGATTTACGCAGAACTACTTATTACTTTACTATTTTTTTTTTCCTTTTTTAAATGGTTTTTCAGTGAGACATGAAAAAGAAAACAATTTGTATTATCTCAAACTACGTATTTTTTTAATATAGTTGTTCGAATAATAGGTTGTTCGAATTTAATTTTGAAAAAAAGAATTTCTTATTGAAAAGAAGAAATTCATATCGAAAAGAAAGCCAAAATTGAATCGTATTCTTTTGATTTATTGTAAAGAATATTAATAAACATTCTCAAAACTTATTTCTTTTCTTTTGTCTCAGTTGCATTATCTTTTTATTTGACCGATTTGAGACAATATTTTCTAGGTTGGGTAAAAACACGCACAATTATCGAATCCTTATTTTTATTAAGCCCCCTCAACAATCAACCTGATCATCTTTATCATTTTCTTCTTTCTCATCCTCACACTTACACTCAACTTTTTCCTCTTCATCAATCAATCCTTTATCCTTTAAAAATCTCTTCACCGCATCCCTCAAACTCGCATCAAACTTGTCAGGATTGGCCATCATATACTTGTACACGAAAACTTCAGTCCCAGTAATCAAAAACCAATGCCCGAATATATTCAATCTCGCTCCGATAGCAAAATCTTCAGGTGTGTAATAATCGTCGGTAGCAGGTTTTGGTATTCGTACCCAACTGAGAAAACGACCAGCTTTTCTACCGGAATTCTTCTTGTCGCGCTCGTTAATTCTGATGCAACCGTCAGCTAAACTGTATTCCATAATGAATTCACGACCAACGTCTTCAGGATGACAAGCCTCCATTGCCAAACTATAACGAAGTCGTTTTGGAAAATTGTAAAGTTGACGTATCAGGTCGCGATGCTTTGTCTCATCCGATCGTTTAATGCAGAACTTGGGCTTTGGGCAGAGATCCAGCAATGGTATCCTTGCTGGCTGATCGAAGCGCAATATCGTCGAGTAGTAACGACGAGTAAAAGGATCACAGTCATGCAAGAAGAAACGCCGACCGAAGATGAAAATTGTCTCACCAATCTGCATGAGTAAAAGATAATAGTTAACGAGCGAAAGAAGGACATCGACAATCGTAAGTCATATCATCTCACCTTTAGATCTTTCGGTGAATAATACTCCTTAACCTCTTGGTCGGTCTTCTCCAAATAAGCTCCAGCGTAGCTCGACGGCACGTCCGTCCAGCTCTTCGGCACCTTCGTTCTTTTCAGCATCAAACAGCCTCTCATGTCTTTGCCGTCGTTCGGTCTTCTGACTTCGCATACGGCGATCGTGTCATCCACCAAGAAGTACATTATCCGGTACTGCTCGTCGTTCCAACTTGCCTCGAACGACAACACCATGCCGTCGTACTCGAGGAATTTGTAAAGTTTGTCGTCGAACGACTTGGAAGTGTGTGAGAGTACACCGATCACACCGGATTCTTTGCGATTCTTCGTATACGGATCTTGCGGTAGGTCCTCTGGCTCTGACACGTCAATGCCTTGACTCGTGAGAAATTCTCGTGTGTACGCGTCGCAAGAATAGACGCGGTACACAATCCCGTAGATTTCTGAAGAATAAAGGATATATTGGACGCTTGCAGATAAACGTTTATTTAATTTAGGGTATCTATTGCTCGAGTTTTATTTTCTATTTTACATTTTTCAAATTATGTGTCTCTGAAAACTTTGCATGGTTAACAACAAACTTTAATGAAATTTTAATGAAATTTTAATGGAATAAGAACATTTTTATTCAAGGACAAAGTTTCTCATCTAAAGTAAAATTTTTTTTCACTTCATCGTGAATCTATCGGCATTCTCAAAAAAATACACAAGAGAAACTTACGTCACAAAGAAAACATCAATTTAACCCAACTCCCATGTGAAATCCTGCCTCCCCCTCCCTCCAAATAAAATAAAGTATATACGTAGAACCAAAACATCCCTCCACGCAGAAAAAAAAGACGCCAGACGATCTCTAAATCACACCTTACCGAGATTAATGCCAACGTTGAGATCCTTCCAATGATAAGCCTCTCCATTTGATCTCGGGATCCGATGTCTCTTCACCAATTTCCCTTGAAGAAACCCCACGTTCTCGACCTTCGGCTCGCTCACCATCATCGTGTCATCCTCGAGATAATAAATGATTCTCACGCGACGTACGCGATAATACTCGAGTGGCGAGCCGTGGACACTTTGCTTGAAGTAAGCGTCGAAACTGAGACATTTGCGTGCGTAGAGCGCGTAGTGCGGCTGGAAACGCTGGTGCTCGAAGAGATTGTAACCACGTGGACGACCGTATGTTAACTCGGGGATGTGCCTTATTGTTTTTTTTTGTTTGAAACGGTCGAATGCGTGAACAAAATAAGAAAAGGTAAGCTGATTTCAATGTCATCGAAACACGTGTCTGTCTATAAGTAACACAATGTATTTCCAACTGCACGACTGCATCGATTTTTTATTAAACGGCGTTATACCTTACACTGACAGCAAAAAAAGAAATGCATCGCTTTCTATTTCGTCTACGCGACAAAACGAACAAAAGGAGAGAAATTGAATGCCGATGAAGCGAGCCATGAGAGCGAAAAGAGAAAATGTATGTATATTCGAAAAAGTTGAAATTGGCACGATTTATTAAATGTAATTGTTACAAAATTGTGAAATACATAATTTGCTTTTAAATTAAAATACAATATGTCGACCGCCATTTTTTTTTGTAAATGTCATTTAGTGAATCATTATCAAAATAATTATATAATACACATTTCTGTTGTTGCTGGTTTATGTATACGTGTATGTGTGACAAAAATATTCAGAATTTCCCGTTAAAAATATATTTATATATATAGAGCATGTGTGTGTCGTGATGTAACATACTAAAGAGCGAATTACACATGGCCTATATAACTGCACTTATTTTTTGCGTTTAAGTTCCACATCAATGTTTTTTTGCACACTTAAGTAGAACTACATATTTAGAGGCTGCTTTTATTACACTAATATTATTCTTGGTTTTAACTCTGTTTAACTATTATTTAAATTTTGCTTGTCTATTAAATTCTTCAAGGAGGCATAGAAACTCTTCAATGCAGTCTACTGCTTCCAATTTATTATTATTAGTAAGAGAAAAAGAAGCAAATTTTTGTTAACTTACTCGACGAACATTGCGTTGCACTTGACATCATCAGGATTCAAGTCGTCCCTTATCACTGGCAAGCCGTTCGAGTATTTCAGCTTTTGTTTCACTTTGTAATCCTTCAGCTGTGAAATTCACCCTTTATCTTTTTATTATCACACGTCGATCGTTAAATCCTTAAAACTAGAATACCAATTTTCTTTTATGATTCAATTATCTATATTTTATTGGACTGCGTGTCTGACGTAAATGTTAGTTATATCACTTGAACAGTTAACGTTAATTGATTTTTTCTTATTTTGTCATTAATTCGATTAACTGTATTTTTTCATTAATCGTCCTTTTTTCAATTCATTAATTGTGCCGAAATAAAATATTTTGCCCATAACTAATCTAATTTTGGTATAGTAATACGAGCAACGATGAAATTAGAGAAAAATAAAAAAAAAACTTGTATCACGACTTCATCCTGACAAATAAAATAATCTTCTACGCTTCAAATCCTCGATTTACAATTCATTTCAACCTCATTCCTTCAACAATGTGGCTGACTTGTACTTCTTTGGAACAACAATATATAACATAACAATGTATTCTAGTTTCCGTTCAACAAATAAACGAAGGGAAAAAATCAACCTACCAGAGGATCTGTATCTGAAAAAATGTATCCTGGTAGCAGCGGTAAACTCTCCATTATTAAAAAAACAGATGAATGATAGGATTGTATTTATAACCTGAATACCGTAAACGACGGTAATATATTATAATCGCACTATGTATAGAAAGCACTTTTTATTGAATAGAAAAAAGTAATAAAACGTGGCTGACAGAAAGCACACATGCACACCAATTTTTTAATTCCCCTAGCCGCTGTTTATAATCATCACTATAACAACCAAATATCGACCATTCTTGTCTCGTCGTTATGACAGCAGCAACGCACGCGCGCATGTCTAAATAACAATTAGAATTTAAGAGTAAACGTGTTTTAATTTTTTGTTTCTTCAGATGCATCGACTTTTTATTGACAGAGAATGGAATTCAGCGAAAGAACTGAACCCTACGGTATATATTTATATGGTAAATATCTTACTTAGTCGGTAAGTCGTAAAAAGTATAACACGTAAGCTCAAGAAACTAATTAAATCTATTGCATTTACATGCTGTCTAATGTTTAGACTTTAGTGTTTTGTAATGTTTCATTATTGATTACGAAGCTTTCTCAAGCAAACAAACAACAGAATGTTTTTGTATTACTTGTGATTTGTTTATTTTGTTTCGACGGATCCTTCTTTAATCACAGTTCTTTCAAAGCAAAAACAAGTCTGTTGTATTTTTTCTTGTATTTTATTATATATATTTTTTCTTTTTTTTTTTTTCGTGTCGTGCCCATGAAAAGAAGCAACGTAGAAAAGTAATCAAAAAATCATTTCACTTGACGCCAATCTTTTACAATCGATATTTTCGAACAAAAGAATAGGTAAAAAAATGAAATATCGCTCATCATCAATAAATCGCGATGCACCTAATATAAAGATCTTCCTTCGTCGACAAAGGTTCAATTATTATTATTAGTAAACTTTGACGCACTGCGTGATCTACACTTTTGTGTTTTTTTGTTGTGTGAATGTTTGCGCCTAATTCTTCAGCAGTTACAAATATAGAAAAAAATAACTGCCGGAGATGGGTGTTATAAGTATACGCGAAGAAAATCAAAATACTATTCCTGATAATCGCTATATTTCGAAAAAAAAAATCATTTACATTGTAAATTAAGATGCGACAGCGTCATCAATCTGGTTTATACGTCAGCAAGCATTTGTTTGCATCCGTTATAAAGAGAAAGAAAAGAAAAAAAAAAAGAAGCTTGCGCTTTCATTAACTATACGAAAAAATGTACACATTGACGATTGATAAAAGAGAAATGAAGCACCCATCTCCATATAATCGTCAGAAAAGCTCATCAGACATCGATGAACTGTCGGAAAATGGCCATGCAGCTGGCAGAGAGTAGGCCGGCAATGGGCACGGTAACGAGCCAAGCGAACGCGATATTACGAAACAGCGCCCAGCTTACGCTTTTGCTGCCCTGTGAGGCCCAACCAACGCAAACGACCGAGCCCACTTTACAGTGCGTCGTCGATACTGGCAATCCTGCTTTGCTCGCCATCAGTACCGTCAACGCTGCGCCGACCTAAGAACAATACAAGTCAAATAACTTAAAAAGATCAACTGTCATTCGTGTAGGGGATTCTTAAAGGTCAATATTCTTTGCAGAAGCAATAAACACATTGCTGAACGCAAGAGAAAGAACGTTTAGGCTTTGCATTTGGAGTGATCCTCGATATTGACTCGTGTTAAAAAACAAAAATGAAAATCTGAAGGATCAAAGAAAAGGGTAATTTACCTCGATGGTGAAGCCCGTAGTGGGCGTAATCTTGGCCAAATCACTTCCTAGCGTTTCAATAACACGTCTACCCCAGATCCACAAGCCAGTGGAAATGCCCAAGCCGCCGTAGAGTAGAATCAGAAGCGGCGTCTCGGCCTTCTGCATTGCCGAGCCTTCGGCGTAGATAGCCCAGAGCGCGATCAGCGGCCCGATGGCGTTGCTGACGTCGTTGCCCCCGTGAGCGAAGCTGCCGAACGCGGCGGTGAGCACTTGCAGGAAGGCGAACAGCTTGGAGACGTCCGGATGCTCGGCGTCCATCAACGCCGCCTCGTCCAGATCGCGGACCGACTCGGGATCGCCGCCGGCCGCCGACAATAGCAGCGGGCTCGCGCTGTTGTTGCCGCGCAGCTGGCCTTTCGCGCCGGGCAGCGCCGCCTCGTCCAAGTGAGCTCTGTCGCCGGCGATCGCAAAGCTATACTCTCGTCGATCGGGCGCGCAGGCCGCCGTCGGTCCGCGTTGCCTAACGAGCCGACGTCATCGAACAACGCCGTCGCACACGCGCGCGAGCAACGCGCACCGATGGCGCTAATTGGCATCAATTGCCGCGAGGATGATTCACGCACCTGCAGGCGTCGTTGCGAACGGAGTTGCCATTAACGTTGGAGGGCGAGATGACCGACAGGGCGGTAGTCTCCTTGCAATCGTTGTTGCCGTCGCTCGCCGCTGACTGCAGGTCGATATCGGCTATTCGCCCGTTGTTCGCCACGCTGTGAGACAGCATTATGCGCCGGCGCTGCCATGGCACCACCACCAAGTAGACCACCGTAGCCGATACCACGCCGGTGATCATCGAAGCTGTTACGCTTATCCACCAGGGTAGCTTGTCCAGTTTCAGCACTGTCAAAACAACGTGTGAAGGAACATTCATCGCGGACGGGATCAACTTTCAATTCCTCTCTTCTTTTCGAAAGTTACAGGGTTGACTTTCGGTGGGAATGAAATAATTTGTCGCACCGTTCTCCTCGCTAACGACAACTTTCCTGATTTACGAAAAAGAAGCTTTCCATTCGTGTGTCCGAAGAGAACAATTTCTTATGAATCTTTGTCGATGAATTTTTCATCTTATTTCGTGAAAACACGGGAAATGGCGAAATTTATTTCATATCTTCTTTTCACAAGAATGTGTTGCATATTTAAAAAGGAAAAGCGCATTTTGACTTTTCATGCAACTGTAGTAAGGCACCTAAACGTCTCTTTTCGCGACCTGTTCATTGTCAAGTTTCGAAAAAGAAAGCAAAAAAATACGTACACTTAGGCCCGTCGTGAGCAATGGACAGTATATTGATGGCGATGGTGAGACTGTAGGCTAACGGTAACATCTTGAGGCCCTGATCGAGTGGTTTCGTCGAGCGCAAGATCGACTTGCGAATCAGCCAGAATATCGATGACGAGACTATTCCACTGAGCACTGGACTCGCGAACCACGAGGCTGCTATGTTCAACAGAGCCATCCACTTGACCTGCAACAGGCATTGGAAAGTTGACCGAAAGAGAAGGAACGATGGGAGCTTGGTGAAACAGGCGCACTGCGAAACGTACCCCAGCGGTGCCACGGCAGACGAGCGAGAAACCGACGGTAGCACCGACGATCGAGTGCGTGCCGGATATCGGCAGTTTGAAAGCCGTGGCGAGTAGCAGCCAAATGGCCGAGCCTATAAGGCTCGATAGTGCGCCCAGCATCAGCTCCTTCTCGTGGTTCTCGTACAGCGAGACGTCCAGTATGCCCTTGCGCATCGTGTCCGACACCTGCAATCGGAAAAACGCGCTCGCGTTCTGTCTTTCATCGAGTCGAAGGTCGAACGAGCGACCGGCCGACCGACCTTGTAACCGATGAGGACGGCGCCGGCGACCTCGAAGAAGGTGGCGAGGCAGCAGGCTTGGAAAATAGTGAGCACACCGGCGCCGACGCTGGTGCCGAAGCTGTTGGCCACGTCGTTGGCGCCGATGCCGAAGGCCAGCACGAACGCCACCAAGAAGCCCAGCACCAGCAGCCAGACGAGGCTCTCGTCGTACGGCGGCATCATCCTCTCACGCGCGCCTGTCGGCAGCTGCGCAGGCCCGAGGGGTCGAGGCGTGCAGTGGGCCCGGGAGGGACGAGTCAGCGCGCGCTGCGCAGGGTCGCGCGGCCAGCGGTCCGTCGGAGATTGGCGATGCTGCGGCGGCCGAGGTCGGCTCTCATTGCCCCGGCTGGCGCGACGGCGACGGCCGAGTGGCGGCGACTGCCGCTGCCGCGAGCCGGCGCCGGCTCAGCCTCGTCTTCCTCACGGCCGACTTCGTCGTTGCACGTGGCGATGACTCTGACGATGCCTCATGCCGCCGAATCGCTCGGCCCCGTGGTTTCCGCATCTGCAAGGTACAGTGGGGATTAATTACCGCTTCAATTCCAGCGAGATAACTGCGCTTTGCGCCGCTCTGTGCGCCGCTGCCGAGCTCACGTGGGTGCACGCCTCTTTTTGCTTTGGCCACACCGGCGCGTCCACGGAGCCCGGACTAATGGGACCTTTGGCTTGGAACATCGGTGGGGACATTTTTTCATAACTCGCCACTCGGATCACTCAGAGTTTCCAGTGATTTTGTTTGTTTTTTAATGCGCGCAGGGAAAATCAAAGCTGTTCGACAAAGGAGACAAATGTTTTTTCAATCGATGTGGGATATCTCAAGATCCGTTTGGTTTGTCCCACTCTTTCGCTCCCCAAACCTATACTTACCGCTCACCTGCATGCTCGACATACGTAAAAAGCGCGGACTTGGATGCGCTGAAAAAAAAAAAAAAAAAACGAAGCGCATGAATCACGCGATTAATGTCTCGAGTCGTTCGTCAATTGTCGAAAACCGCCAGGCAATTAAAAACGAAAATAAGCACTTCCTGACTCGAATTAAACGAGCCCAATTGTATTGAGCTCAATTTAGAATGCTTAGAACACGGCAGAAAGAAACAACGGGCCAAAGGTCGTTCCGCGACAATTGCATTCAGCGTCGCGTAGCTTCACGGTTGATCGAAATATCTCTTGAGGCGCTGCTACCACGATACAATTAACAACCCGCTATAAGGAAACGAATCGATTGGGCGACGCGCATTTTCACCCGCAGCTTCTTAGCCGAAATGACATTGGCCGTCGTCGTCGAGCAGAGAACTTTTCGTATCTCCCCTGTTTGCCGTGCGCTCGAACGTCAATCGCCGATCATCAGCGCGGATGGCTCATGAGGCGTCCGGCCTGAAACGCGACAGGTGAATCTCCGACGACCTTGCGAAAGAGTGCACGTAACTGACTTGGGGGAGGAGGGGGAGGGCAGAGCAAATCGATCCGCACAAAGCCACAGAATCGGGGTCACCAGTCGATTCTCTCGCGTCGATCACGATCCCACTGCTGAAGTGCACGTCGCTACGCGTGTCATTGCGATGCGCAATGACTCTTTTTTTCCAGGAGCGGCATTTCAATGCGACACCAGTTGGAATTGCGTTCGGATCAAATAGAAAATCTAATTCGGCGGAATGAACAGAAAGAGTGTGTGTGTGTGTGTGTGTGTGTGTGTATGTATGTGTGTGTGTGTGTGTGTGTATGTATGTGTGTGTGTGTGTGTGTGTGTGTGAGTGAGAGAGAGAGAGAGAGAGAGAGAGAGAGAGAGAGAGAGAAAGAGAGATGTGAAATATCCAACTATCAAAGAAAGAAACACAAGCCGCTACTTAGTCATTCATACACGATTGCGAAAAATTCCGCCGGTGCAAGTCGGAAAGGAGCTGGCTCTTCGGCAAATCGATACAGTTGCCGTCGCACGTGTCCTCTGCGTGTAGTGGATTTGGGGAGGGGGCGGTGTAGGGCTTTCGATCATTTCCGGCGCAGTGCATTGGCGAATTAATTTCGATGCTCGATGTGCCACGATGGATCATTAAAATAGCTATGTTTACGCGTTGAAAACCGAGAATTGCTGAATTGGAATATATATTGTGAGATAGAACGTAATTCTAACCTTAAAAATATGAGGGAGGGGGTGGGTTTCTCTTTCCAATCGAAAAGGGCTGCGAATTGGTTTATAAAAGCTCGTGCTTGTAATAAACAAACACGCTCGCGTTTATCTTGACAAATACGGCTCAAGAAAAGTAAAATAAAATAAAAAGGACTCACTGCTCTTCTTTCTTTCTCACCCCATCTCTACCAGCAACTACGGTAAAATAAATGTAGTTGCTTTTATAGCTCTTCTTCGCGGAGACGTTCTCTTACTAACTCTCTTTCTCACAAAAAATCACAATCCCTTGATTTTCTTTTTCCCGAAAAAAAAAAGAAAATCAATGCTTGACAATCTGGGGAGAAGAGAAAAAAACGTGATCACGCGCGAATAGCACCGGAAACTGAATCGCGGTGGCGTGAGGGTTCACGGGGCGAACACGTGAACAATATTACACTGCCGGGGTGCATGCGCAGCTGCGTTTCGCCGCTCTATGTATGGAACTCCCTACATTCTTTTACAACGACGATTGAAACGGTGTAGGAATGAGCTTACTCGTGTAATCTTCGAATTCGTGAAGAGAGGGTGAAAAGTACATTACGTACCTAGGCCGAGAATGTATAATTGTATATATAAGCTCATAGCACGTGGGAATTGACAACTGATGCAAAGTCAAGATTGTCAAAGACGTACTACGGGTTTGCCAAGTTCCTAGCCGTGATGCGTATACTATTTTTTTTGTCCATCAGCGAGCCCGAAATTAAGCACGTTATCGACCGAGCCGCGGCCGGGAAATGCTACTTTTGGGCCGCTGGACAAAAACAAATTTCACACTCGAACGAGAAGACAAACAATAATGAATGTTAATGAGATTAATTTGGCAGCGAAAAGTCGTTTTTATGTGATATTTCTGTGATCACAAATAAAAGAAACACTCGATTAAATCGTGAAATAAGATTATTGAAGGAATCCTGATGATGCTGAAAAATTCGACCAATCGGCGTCTGACGAAATATCCCCTCTACGCGATATTTTCCACAGATCAAAATCACATTTCCCCGAGCACTTTCTCTATCTCTAGGAGATTAAATGAATTTCAAGGCAATATACAAACGTCGTAAAAGATAATCTAGTGTCTGGATTAATGTTGCGAAAATTTATTGCTTTTAGTGCGTGTCCTTCTCATTGTACATCGACTTTTATTAGATAATTAGAAAGTAAAATTGTTCATTAACCTTTAAAACAAGAATAGAAGCTCGGTAGCAATTTTCATTACTTTTAATACTTGCATCTGATTGACCCACAAATACATTTCTCAACTTTTAATCCTTCTCTATACCCGTTGTAATATATTAAAAAAGTAGTCCTTCAAAACTGCACGTGAAAGTGATTAGAAATTCAATTTTCTGAACTTTAATCAATTTTTCTTGCACGACCCTTTCATGAGAGACAATGTTTTTTATATGTTATAAAATTCACAATATATCACTTAACTTTGTTATTCTAATGAAAATCTACATCTCGATTAATTATTGTTCACATATTAAAATTCACTTAATTGTGTTAATTAAATTTTCACGAAAAGTTAATTGCGTCAGATTTGTATTGAAGTTCCTAAAAAGTACTAATCCTTGAAAATAATTTTATAATCACAGCACATCAACTTTGTCAAAAGTCATTTCGTAAAATCAAGCAAGCTTGAAACACATTAACATAAGTTAATAATTAACATAGCTTAACATAAGTTCCGCTTGACAACTTCACATTTTACAGTAGAGAAAAAATCATATCTAAAATGTAATACTCGAGCAAAAGTATAATTCAAAAGCTGCAGCTTTGAAACCAAGCATTTAAGAAATTTCTGCGCTTCCTTGCACAATCAGTCGCATTCAAGAACATGTCCAGGTATATATGTTGTATTCTCATAAAAGATTTTCTCTCTCGCACAAAAGATCAAAAGTTATATCACCCTGAAGAAACCATCAATAGCATCTCATGTTGATCATTACGTAAGACGGACTAAAACTATTCGTTTATATATTTCTAAAGTCTTCATTTATTTGATGTATATGTGTGAAAGAAAAAGGATAATATAAAACATTTTCAGGTGCGACAATTAGTTTTCAAAATTTTGACGAATAATCGCGTCAACTTTTTCACGTGGAAATTATAGCACGTTCGATAAATTCTAATTTATTTCGGGACGATTCCAAGGATGTACGTGATTTTACGTAACACACCGCCGGTGGCTTGTACACTTGCCGGCACGCAATAGGCGACGATCGATCTTCTCTCCATAAAAGAAATTTTTTTTCTTATTGCAGATGAACTTAATGACCCACCAATAACACGTTTCGCGAGGAAATTTGTAATTATGGCGACATGGAAAAACGAATTACTTTCACTTGCCTTGGTTATCGTCATCCTGATGATTTCTTTTTCTTGAGAAACAACTAATGTTCGAACGTTATATTACCACTGGTGAATGTCTTGAGAAAATACAGAGAGAAAGGAGAAAGTTACACTTCGCGAGTTGACAATTGTTCCCGGCAAAAGCCCAACACACTGCCCCGCAAAGCTCGCGCCGTCGCCACGACTAACTTGCTGCTGTTTTCGACGTAGACAGCTTTTTTTCTCTCCTTTCGTGCGAGTTGGACGCGCGTTTACCTTGCGCAGCTTGCGGTATTGATCGCCAGAGACCTTTTGACTGGAATGTGCCCGCGAATATTCACTGTTTGATTTTTGTTTCGAGATCGTATTTTAGTTTTTTTTTGTTGTTTGAATGGTCGAAAGCCACCTAAGGCTGAAAAATTTTCATAATTGAATTTAGTCAACTATCTCCTTTTAGCTACAGAGATTTTGATTTTTGCTTTGCTAATAAACTTCGAGATAAAAGTTTGCTTTATTTATTTTTAGCCTTCGATACATGAAATTGAATTTACTTCGTTTGAATTTTGTCAAGAAATTAATTTGAATTCAAATTGAAAAGTTCTCAGTGATTTATTATTCTAGCTTGCTCAACAACTACTTACTTTAACAGTGTGCATGCAACTGTGATAATTTTATCAATATAATAATCATAAAATATATATAACAAATATAATAATTTAATAATAAAACGATTGTCACGAAGTACGACATGATGGTTTTTGCAAGCTGAAATTATAACTTCTGATTTGTATTTGTGCGAGAGAGGATATTTTTTATAAAAATATATATATTATTTACTAAATTGAAAAGAACAACAAATTTAATTTTTATATGCGTCAAAGTCGCCAATTCGATAAGTTATGTGTACTATATAATGAGGTTGTCTATTAGCAGAATTAAAACGTAATTGAAGCCTTTCAGTATTTTGCTTTACAGAACAAAAACCTGCTTTGAGGAGTTTGACCCTGTTTGAAAACTCTCAAAATTGACATGTGTAATTGTGAAATTATTTACAATGTACAAATTATAACATAAAAGGAACAAAACCATTTGTTTCTTGATAAGCTGACAAAAATTGTTAATCTAACTATTGTTTACAAATTAACATTTTTATTCGTGAACCTTTTATGCTTTCTACACGACTTAAAACGTATGTACAAGAATCGCCCTGGAAAAAGGTAGCGCGATATTTATATGTAAGAGCATAAACTTTTAATGAATCTTGGCTAATAGTAACACTCAATTGATAGATCTTTACATTAATTTTGTTTAATTATTTTCCCACTGCTCCTTTTCTGCAATTTCCTTCTTGACTTCTTCAATGATTGGAGTGAGATATAACACATCCTGAAGAAAAAAAACATAATTTGTAATATTAATCTGTCAGATAATTTTAGTCAATGATAAGAAATTCATAGGTATGATCATGGTGATAATCAGTGTTACGTGAGAATTATTAAACCAATCATAAAAAAAGAACTAATTTGATCATAAACTAATTTAATATCTGTAATTAATTAGTACTATGAATAATTTTGTTAAATTTGTAAAATAAAGTAAAATTAAGTGATTAAGTAAGAATAGATAAAAATCCCATGTTATGACATATACAGAGAAGTAAATTTAACAGCATATAAAAACACTAATGAAGTGATCAATGTTCTAAGAAATAACAAAGATAAAACATATTCCAAGCTTTATTAGAATGAAAAAAGTAAATCACAGTACCACAGTAAAAAGTGACCTAAAACTTGTTCTATCAATCATGTTAGCATCAACCACTACCACATGGTTGAATTACTGCAAAAATAGATGTAACGTACTGTTTGCTATGTAAATGTGGCAAAGAGCCAGAAAACATCAACCATATGGTGTGACAGTGCAACCTGCACAATAAATATACAGGTAGATTAATAAAAAACATTTTAAAATAAACCTGTATCTTCCACTCTATATAGAAGTGCTTATAGCTAAACCTAATATTGAAGTGAGCAATCAGATATTAAAAATCTAAATGATTATAATATTAAAATCTAAAATAACCAAAATACACATATAAATATTTATTTGTCAACAAAATTATACAAATTCAAGCTTCTTCCTTAATCACTCTATTATATCAGTACATTAAATTTAATTATTTAATGCCAAATAAACTTGTACAAATTTGAAAGCTTAATAGAAAAAAGGAAGAAAAGATATAACATAAAAAATAGAAATATAATCAAAATTAAGTAATAGTTGAAGTAATATAGTTATTTGAATGAATGAAATTTAGATGCAATATATATATATATATATATATATGTATCATTGCAAGTTCACTCACCTTGTCCAGTGTCATCCACTGTTCCTTAGGTAGTACATCCTTTTTCAAGCAAAGATAGCCAGCTCGTACAATTCTAAAGGTCCTCTCATCTTGAACATGTTCAGGTAGGCGTTTCAGGGCCTCTTTTACTATTGGTGTCTCGTAACGCATATCATCTCTCATTAAACCTGAAATATATTGTGGTTAAAATACAAGCTTCTTGAAACCAAAAACTTTCAACTTGCCATTATTTTTAAAATAGACTTACCATACTGATTGAATCCCATCTTATTGTAGATCCATTGCTGTAAATTGGGCCCTACAATTATGAGCTATCATTGTTTTTGTGTTATGTAAGGCTGCTGGTGTCTGGCAGAAGAAACACTCACCAACGATTTTGTTTTGTTCCACGGGTGGTTTCAGTTCATCCAAGTTATATTTCGCCTGACTTGCCAAACGACGGAAAAACGACCATTGTACCTTTGCAGGCATTTTTGGAGTTGATAAAGTCAACGTTCACTATATTCAGACAACTTGGCTGTTCTCTTATGGCTGTACTGCTCTTCTGCTTGGGTAGACTCTCGCTTGTCTCACGATGTTTCAGTCACTACAAACGCGGATTTATGAAAAAAAGAAATTTTGAAATTGTTTTGAAGTAGAAATAAATAATTTAATATTTCAGTGGATTGCTCAAGAGGTTATGGCTGTTATTTATTTTGTCGCTATGCAAATAATTTTTTTTTGTTACTATGGATTCATGAAAAATGTAGCATGGTGTGGAGTCGATTTCTGTATTATTATTTCAATCTAATAGAAAGTTTAAAAACACTATATATTTTAGAAAGTGCTTTATTCAATTAATTTTATGACGATGAATTATTAGTATTGATTTGTTATTCATCACCAAGATAACGAGGCATTTTCGTAATATTACAAAACTTTGTGAAATGAAATGTTATTTGTTTTGTTCACGACGGTTCAATGTACTTATATATAAAAATATACTCCATCAAGAAGCTAATAAGTATTGGTGTTCGAAATGTGGATTTGCAACAACGCAAATCAACAAAATTAAAGAAAAATAGTGAAAAAACGTGGTTTTCATTTATTTGTGTTTGAAAAAGTCGTTGGATGGTTAGAACAGCACGCATGCGTAAATTATCCTTTCGAGGCACGCCACATTAGCGCATTTCCGTTTCACGTGTGCATGGTTACTCACTTTCGAAATCAAAGCAATTTTACGCCATTTTATATGTTAAATTAAATAACTTATTTGTTAATTAGATGAAAAAAATTTAATAAGTTAATAAGAAAAAGCAAATACCAAGTGAAAGTAACGAAAAACTATCGTGTTTACGGAACTACTTTGCGATAGATGTCGCTACTAGAAGGCTGCGCGTAGTAAAATGAGTGCGTCGGCCCGAGGGTATAAATACAGGCGTGGGCGCTACTTTCCTTCGCCTCTTCCTCACAAAGAGTAGAGTTGTGTTCACGTGTGGTTGTGTCTCCTTTTTCCACAAAAATAGGTCACACAACCCACCTTCGTTATCGTGAAATAACTCTTCTATAAAAAAAATAACTAAATAAAAAAAAAGTAAAAATCCAAAAAAATATTAAAATAATAAAAAAAAATCAACCAAAAAAATCGCAAAATCGTAGCCGAGAAAATCCGCGCGAGAGTAACCTGCGTAAGTAAAAAAACAAAAAGAAAACGACAAACGAAAAAGAAAGAAGAATCTTTTAAGTTTTTCTCTTCAAAGGAAGAAAGTTTTCGTGTTTTTTCAACCCGCGTGGCCAAGTGACGCGCGCGAGACACATCAACGAGAAGAGAAGTATCAAGTCAACGTTCACTTTTTTCTCTTCCTCTACACACACAGACACGAGACATAGATACACGCGTTACAAGCAAAAAAAGTTATAAAAAAAAGGAAACGAGGCAAAATCAACAAAAAAAAAGATAAATAAAGTAACATAATAATAAAAAAAAGAAGCAAGTGCACAACATGAATCCTGGAGCGCCGAACTACCCCATGGCCTCGCTTTACGTGGGCGACCTTCATTCGGACATTACAGAAGCCATGTTATTTGAGAAATTCTCATCGGCGGGTCCTGTATTGTCCATCCGCGTTTGTCGTGATGCCGTTACCCGACGCTCTCTTGGCTACGCCTACGTCAACTTCCAGCAGCCTGCCGATGGTAAGTTTTTTTATTTGTCTGGTATACGCGCAGCACGTGTGCCACCATATTGATTTTGCGCCAGAGAACTCGGAAAAACCGAGCACGCGGAAGCGTGGTATCTCTCTCCCCATGAATTCGATGACTCATTTTTCGCCTTTCGCGACTCGCCATATTGCCGCGTTCAACTTTCTAATGCATTCCATCCGCACGCGAAAGGCAAAAGATTTTTCTCTTTTTTCCGTTGCATCTACGATTTGTTAAGAGTGCCATATGTCGTAACTTTTCGTCGTTGATGAGTCATTTACATTTCGAAAACCTTTGATGCCGTGTAGTATTTATCATTGTTGCCAAACACACGAATGCGATTAGCCCGTGTCAATAATATGACGAGGGCATCGAGGATATTCAACAAGAACAAAAGGCTGATCAGGCTAAGCGTAAACATATGCATGGAAACAAAACTAAGATTTCAATGTCATGACCGTTGGGTGATTATTTGAAACGTAACGATTGCTCGTTCGGCAACGATTTATCATGAAAAGCGCTTCACGGTTTACCTTGATATTGAAAAAGCATTGAATTATCTGAACAGATCGTAACGAGACAATGATTAATCATTCCAGATGGAAAGTTTTCTGAACTTTCATTTTTGTTTAAGTTTTTCTATGTTCTTCGAGTATAATAAAACATCTTAAAACGATCAAAATATTTAGCGATTATTTTTTTCGACATTTTTATACTGGTATTTTGTATCATTTATTTCAGATATTGCACCGTGCTGCACTTTCTATATTGCAATTTTAAATGCTTTCGAAATTTAACTGATTATAAATATTTTATTTGCAGCTGAAAGAGCACTTGACACCATGAACTTTGACATGATAAAGGGACGTCCAATTCGTATCATGTGGTCGCAACGTGATCCATCTCTGCGACGCTCTGGAGTTGGAAATGTCTTTATCAAGAACTTGGACAAAAACATTGACAATAAAGCCATGTATGATACTTTCTCGGCTTTTGGAAATATTTTGAGTTGCAAGGTCGCCCAGGATGAGACAGGCTCCTCTAAGGGTTATGGATTTGTGCACTTTGAAACTGAAGAAGCTGCTAATAAATCTATTGACAAGGTCAACGGAATGTTGCTGAATGGCAAAAAGGTAATTGCTTTGCTATTGATTTGCTACTTGAGGTGAACAAGAGTAGAAAAACACCTTGATAGAAATATTTACTATCAAATTATTTTATATGAATGTACTTTTCACATTTGAATAATCATTATATTTGGTTGAATAAGATTATTTATTTATTTTGTTAACTCTTCAAAACAACAAAAGAACAGTAATTTTTGTTGTAAATTGTATTGAAATTAGTTTTAAGAAAATGTACTTCCTGATATGAAGCTCCTTATTTATCTCTGAGTTATCCTTATATTCATCATTTATCTGTCTTTTATCTAAATAAATCTATTTAGACAGGATTTAAAATAACAGACTATATGTGTTATGAAATGCCAAATTGAATTTTTTATTGTTTTTTTTTTGAATTTCTGAAATAGTTTTTCATCTAGGTTGATGTATCTGAAATGAGTTGAAAATTTTACAAATAAAATTTGTTTCAATAATGAGAACAATTGAATAAAAATACATTGTCTTCGTTCATATATTACTCATGAAAAACTAAAACACTTTAAATTGTTATTCAATTTTAGGTATATGTAGGCAAGTTCATCTCGCGCAAAGAACGCGAAAAGGAGTTGGGTGAAAAGGCCAAGTTATTCACAAATGTGTACGTAAAGAACTTTGGTGAAGACATGTCGGATGAAAAGCTCAAGGACATGTTCGAGAAGTATGGTACAATTACCAGTCACAAAGTGATGAGTAAAGATGATGGCAAATCACGTGGCTTTGGGTTTGTTGCCTTCGAGGATCCATCGGCTGCTGATCGCGCAGTTGCTGATCTCAATGGCAAAGAATTGTCCGATGGAAAGATTCTTTATGTTGGTCGTGCACAGAAGAAGGCTGAACGTCAACAGGAACTCAAACGCAAATTTGAACAACTGAAGATTGAAAGGCTCAACAGATACCAAGGGGTGAACTTATACGTTAAGAATTTAGACGATACCATTGACGACGAACGCTTGAGGAAGGAGTTCGCTCCATTCGGAACAATCACCTCTGTCAAGGTAACATTCGTTAATAATTTCTTTAGTCGAACTTTTTGGCAAAATAATGTATTAATCATCAATCATATATTCATTAGGTAATGATGGAAGATGGACGCAGCAAGGGTTTCGGCTTCGTTTGTTTCTCCCTTCCAGAAGAAGCAACCAAAGCTGTCACAGAGATGAACGGTCGCATCGTCGGCTCGAAGCCATTATACGTGGCACTGGCTCAACGCAAGGAAGATCGTAAAGCGCATTTGGCGTCGCAATACCTACAACGGGTGGCTAATATTCGCATGCAGCACATGGGCCAGGTGTTCCAGGCAGGCGGTGCTGGAAGTTACTTCGTGCCGACGTTGCCGCAACCGCAACGATTCTATGGACCAGCACAGATGACGCAGATACGTACAACACCAAGGTGGCCAGCGCAACCGGTTAGACCAAATGCACAAATCGGTAGCTCTGGCTTCGCTGGTACGCAGGCACCATTCAGAGCTGCACCCAGAGCTCCAGCAGCTCAATCTAGCGCTATGCGCAATCCACTTTCTGCTAGACCCATAACAGGTAAGCATCATTCTGCTTTTTTTTTTATTTGTGTACTTTCATTTTCTTGTGGTCAAGGAAAAATCTTTTGTTAATTATTTTATGATTTATTATAAGTGAATATACTAATGGGGTTTTAACAATAGTATTTTTTTTTATATTTATCAGGAAAGTTTTAAATTTTCAAATTTGATACCTGTAACAGTAATATTAATTAATTTGCCATTGTAAATTTGAATAACAGTACTCGACGTCTATAAAATCGAAAAAAAAGTAAAGAATAAATTGTATTTATAAAATTAAGAATATGACAAGAGGTAGCAATTTAACATATCTAATCATTTACAGCTGGCCAACAAGCAGTGGCAGGAGCTGCGAACATGCAGAATCGAACGATGGCTGGACCTGCAGTGGGCGTGACACCTCAGACACGTCCCTCGAACTACAAGTACACGCCAAACATGCGTAATCCACCACAGCAGATGCCAATCACAGCTCAGCCACCAACTCAGCAAGCTGTGCATATTCAGGGTCAGGAGCCGTTAACAGCATCCATGTTGGCTGCAGCTCAGCCTCAAGAGCAGAAGCAGATGTTGGGTGAACGATTGTTCCCCTTGATACAATGTATGTATCCCAATCTAACCGGTAAGATTACCGGTATGTTATTGGAAATCGACAACAGCGAGTTGCTTCACATGCTTGAGCATCACGAGTCGCTCAAGGCTAAAGTGGAGGAAGCCGTTGCTGTACTTCAAGCTCACCAGGCCAAGAATGCTGTTGCTGCCAAGAAAGAGTAAAAACCTCCCACGTCCAATCTGCTGCTTGTTTTTCTGGAAGATGCTGCGGATTATGATAATCAATTTCGCGTCTTTTCTTTTTTTCGATTATCAATTGTGAGACTTTGCCTTTTTTTTCGAAGTTATTTTTTTTCTTTGTCATTCGTTTCGCGTTTTTATTATTAATAATTCAATTATAAGTTTCTTTTTTTCTCTTCCGTTTACTTTCGATGTCTTATCATTGTCAATTAAACGATATATTTGTCTTTTTTGGTGGAGAAAGAGAATAAAAATTTTTTTTCGATTTCATTTAAGTGTGCATTTATTATCTTGATAAAAATCCCTTTACATTTCCTAGAAATATACGTTTTATTGAGCGAAATTTTACAAATGAGTACAAAAACAGTTACTTAAAAATTACATAAATTATTAATAACGAGTACTAGCTTTGTATAAGAGACGAATTTCCAAGAATTCTAACAATCTCAAGTAAAAAGATTAGGTTTTGTTATAAAGTAAAACTTAATCTTCTGCTTTACGTTTAACGCCTTTGCCAGATCCAGAGTTAAGCCAGTTTGACATTACACTTCTTGATCCTAATATTTTTTTCCTAATTGAAAATATTATAAGATTACAGAATTTATATAAGTCAATAATATATGTAATTTTAAAGAAAAGGACTTACTTAAAGCCTACTTCAGCTGGTTCTCTAGAGCCAATTTTAGAAGTTTTGTGAAACTTTAAATCAAGTTGTTTGTTGTTTTTTATTTTGAATATTGCATCTGATGATGAAACTGTTTTGAAGTTTAGCCAAGCCTATGGATAAAGATTCCATTTGTTAACATTGTAAGAAAATCTTAGAATTATTTAATTTGTACCTCAACATCAGAGTCATCACGAAGCAATAAAGGAACTCTATGATGAACTTGCTTGACATCATTTTCTGCTTCTGTTGTTATTACTGTACAGGTATTCAAAGTTACTCCCTATAAATAATTCAGTTTTTATTATAACATAAAACCGTTACACAATTTAGAGTTGCACAACTTTTACCTTTTTAGTTTTCACAGTACTGAAGAGACCTGCAGCTTTCAACAAATTGTTGTCTGGAGACTGAAGAAAATACACTTCAGCTGGCCCTTGTCCAGTTTTTTTGAACTCAAAAAAGCCTTCCATTACTACAACACAACGTTTGCCTTCATTCACTGACGCTGAATAAATTTTGCTTTGATTGAGATTTTCAACGCGAGCATTATGCGTTGTAGCTTGCCACTCGTGCAAATCACCCTGAACAAATAACTAACATGAATATCTAATTTTGAAAGAGTAGACTATTTTTTACCTTAAACCATGATGGAACCAAACTCCAATACATTGGACAGAAAAGGCGACTTTCAGAACTTTGCAAATGTTTTCCGTCAACTATTACGGGTAAACCAGTGTCTTTTGGCCGCAATATATCTGATTGTTGATAATCAACAAAGTTTCCGTTTGTATTCCAAAGAACATCTTGTTCTATATTGTTTTTCTTGTAAGCACATTTCTTACCGAGTTCTGCTTTTGATAGTTGGCTGAAAGTGATCTTAATTTGAATATTACCAGAAATAACAAAGAAGAAATTGCTTATAATTTTAGCTACAATTTGGCGACTAACCAGGTGCAAAATCGACACATAATCTTAATCTCTGCGACTAACGAATTTTAGCGGGATTATTTCTAAATGTCACGACTTAGATTAAAATAATCTCAATAATTTAATGACTGTACAATACCGTGAAATATGTGTTTCGGAATGTTAATGCAATTTTATTTTATGCAATATGATTCCCATACGATGCATATGTAAAATCTGAAACGCGTTGTAAACAAAATATAAGCAAAAGTGCCGGATTTTTCTGCGCTTGATTGCAATGCGGCTCGTGGCTACCACTACATAACCTTATTGTGTATATCGCTACAACTGTAAATATCACAATTGCTATTAGTTAAAATTATTAAAAAGTAATAAAATAATTGAAAAAATTACACTTTACGAACAGAAAGAAATTTTAAATCATATATGTTTTATGGTGATAATTATATAATTTGAAGCACTAAAATAAATTATCTTTGTAAGCAACAAATCATAACATTTTAATCCGTTTTCATATTTTGCTCATGAAATATTATATTTTTACAGAATTCGATATCTGAGAGCAATAATCAACATTATTCCAAAACAATGTAAAAATAGAAATAAAAAGTATGATATGCTTTGAAATAGATGTTAGAGTTAACTAATAAGTTTTTTCCTAGCTTGTAAAATTACATAATAAGTAAGATTAAAATGGTGAAAAATCAAACAAAAGATTTTCCAGACACAATTGCTATGTTCCCAACTTTTCTTATTTCTTTTGTAACATATCTTTGTCAAGGCATTTTTATGTTAGTACCATTATTTTTTATTTATTTAAACACAATTCAAAATTCATATTTTATTGACGAGAAGTTTCATGTTCCCCAGGCTGTGCAATATTGCGATGGTAATTTTTATGACTGGGATCCAAAAATTACAACCCTGCCAGGTTTATACTTGTTTTCAGCATTAATACTTGAACCTGTCAATTTGTGTAGGTTCACATGGCTGAGATTTATAAATGTGCTTTTGACAAACTTGAATTTCTTTTTAGCTTTGAGATATATAAGGCTCATGAATGATAAAAGAAATAAGAAAGTTGCTAATGAGCATTTAAGGGATGATATTGAGTATTTAACAGCTTGGAATATTACATTCTTTCCTCCACTTTTCTTTTGGTTCTTTTTGTACTACACTGAAATATTTTCAGTCACATTAATTTTAACTATGCTTTTGTTTCATATTAATAATAGAAATATAATATCTACTTTTATAGGAGCTTATTCAATATTTGTCAGGCAGACTAATGTTATATGGGTAGCTCTTTTAAGTATTGAAAAAGGTTTGACACTAATTGAAGATCTCACTAAAAAACCTGAATACACAAATACTTTTAATATTATTCCATGTATTAGAACTTTGTATAGTATTTTCAAAGCTAAGAAAGGATTTGTATCTTTTTTCAAGTTTTCACTATTAAGTTGTAAGACAATCATTCCAGATATGTTTGTTTTATTAAGTTTTGTAGTTTTTATAATATATAATGGCGGCATTGTAGTAGGAGATAGAACTGCTCATAAAGCAACTATTCATTTAACACAAATTTTTTATTATTCTTTGTTTGCATGTGCCTTTTCATGGCCATATCTTGTACCTGAAACAAAGAGTTTTTTACGATTTTTATGTAAACATTTTGTTATATCATTTTGTATAATGTGTTTGATTGCTTTAATTGTCCACTACAATACTTTGGTACACCCCTACATATTGGCAGATAACAGACATTACTCTTTTTACATTTGGAAAAATTTCATGAATAAGTATTTTTTCTTTAAGTACTTATTAGTACCTATTTATTTTTTTGCAATCTATGCTATTTTGAAATCATTGAGTCATTTAAGATTACTGTCATTAACAGCTTACATATTATGTGTCATTATTGTACTTGTTCCTCAATTGTTATTGGAACCAAGGTATTTTATTATACCTTATATACTATTTAGATTGAGACAAAAAGAGCCAAAAAATTGGCAGATTCTATTGGAAACTTTTACGACTATCATAGTAAATATGGCGCAATTTATGTTATTTATAAATAAATCATTTTATTGGGAAGATGAAAAGTATCCTCAGAGAATAGGATGGTAAATTATGTCTATTTTTAACATGTAAATATTTGTAAATAAATTAAACTACTGTTTATGATAAAGTCTTGGCATTATGTTTCATCTTTGTTTACAATAACTAAAACATGTGTAGAATATTGATAAATAAATTGGCAAGCTGGCAATCGTGCACATAATTATTATACACATAAACTGTTGTGCACTGTAGCATACATGAAAATTAATATATAAATATACTGTGCCATATTTCCGGTGCAATAGTCCATATGCATAATAATTATATGCACGATTGTCAACTTGCTCATAAATTATAAAGAATATAAATAATTTACTTTTGTAATTTTTATTTCACTATTGTTTCTTGTAGCTTTTTTTCGAAATTGATAAATAATCTGTAAAATATAAAAACAAATCAAAAGTCCAAAAAAGTAACTGCAATTTTCAATTGCCATCTTCTCAATTAAATAGTGGATTTTTTGTATAAATTTAACACAAAAATAAGAAAAAATCATTTTTATTAACGTAGAAACTTTTTTGAGCTAATGCTCACTTGAAAAATATATACTTATTACAAAATACATATTCATCTTTAATCAAAAAATTGCTTTTGATCCAAGTCTTTGTAAATCATCACATTACAAAGAGGTTTTTTCTGCAAGTTCAGCCGCCCTGGACAACACAATCTGTACGTCAGTAGATGGAAAGTTTTGTAACATTTTGACATTGGCTGCAAAATCACCGGTTAGTATCTGTTCCTTGCACAGTAAAATCATGGCGCAGCAAATATGAATCAAAAATTCAAATCTGTTCTCATCCGAGAACAATGAGTCCCATATCCTCATCACATCTGGCAGTGGAAATTCTTGAGATAATAAGAGAGTCAACCATCTAAAACTGTAGTATTGTGGACATAATTCTTGTTGGTTTAATCGCATCCAAATTTCATAAGAACTGATTTTCAACTCATGCATAAGCTTATTCATCATGGCATTTATTCCAAATTCAGCTTCATCCAATGACTTGATAAAAAAATCCCTTATTTCAGCCATAAGGTTAGTAAAACAAAAGAATGTATCAGCCTCAGCATGTTCCCTCCATTTTTGATCAGGATCACAAGCAAACGCATAGTAGATAGGTCCAACAATTTCGTTCATACCCTGTACATATCCTTGGCCAGGATTCAATTTCGCATACAAAAATAAGACCCTCTCCAGCACTTCCCAGTGTGCTTCACCACCTTCTAAAGGAGCATAATCCTCAATAGCTTTTCTGGCAGGAACAGCAATCTTAGTAACACCCAAGCCTTTCCTCTCCACACTGGCACTTTTTAACACAGTATGATGTACTCTTTGATGCAAACGCTTCTGTCCATTACTGTTAATAATAGCCTCACATGGATACTCGCTACCCTGTTGAAAGAAGGAAATATCTGGACATAGCCTCCTTACGTCCTTATCAATCTGCAACAGTACTTCGTTATCTTTGAAGAATGTCTGCCATTTACTGTCTGGATCTAAATTTAAAGGATGATCATCGGTTGTTACATCTACCCTACCAGCCTCAAGATTAGATTCTCCAGGAATAACAATGAGATCGTCAATAAACGATTTATACAAATCTCTCTTTTGTTTTAAAGTCTCATTCCATTTGTCTCTCTCGTACGGCATGTAGTTTAGAAGTAATTTCCAGCAGAGTGGTCGGAGACTACCTTGATCTGGAATACCATTGAAACACAATTTTTTAAGTTGACGCGGATCAACCTTCTTAGCTGATAGGCAGTCCTCGAACTCTTGGACTTTCTTCTTTAGGATGCTCATTTTTCATACATGCTGCTGCGACTTATGTGGTTATGAAATAACAGGAGGAACACCAAGAGAAAGAGTAAAAACGCCTTTCAGTGAAATAAAACTTTCACAATATCGCTTACTATTATCATCATTTATCCAGAGTCCAGACATCCAGAAAGAGAGGTGTTATCATCACGACGATGATATCCCCCCCGTTTGTAAACGTAAACATATCACGCCGCACAGCTGATTTTTTTAAAATGGCGATGTGTTTGCTTGTTGAGGGCGTCCTCCATTCAATCAAAACGTTTCGCGCATGCGATTAACATAAGTTTGCGAGATATTGTTTAACAACGCTTCTTCCCCGATTACAATATATTATCACGTTTTCGTCAAAGATCAGATTTTAAAACGTAAGAATCACAAATTTTAACTTCCATAAAAATTGAAATACTCCAAAATACAATAAAACTTTTGTATTACGCGTGTACAGAATAGCACGTGGTTAAACCGTGAAATGATGCTGCGACCGGCGACCCGGAACCTCCTCTTGGTAGGTAGGAGATTGAGCACTTGGTCACCTCTTGCTACTGCCTTTAATGCTAAAAGTTCGGGCATGTTCGATTTCAACTTTGGACGCAAAGAAACAGTAAGTAATCTACATTTTCTATTTATGTACTTGCATTCGGGCTTTGTTTATTACGTTTGACAATAATTATATACCAAATATGTGCAGTCTAATTTTGAGAAGCAAGTATGATATCATGACTTTAAATTAACGTTCTTGTACAGGACATTAAAGAGAAGTTGTTAAAAGAAATAAGAAAGGAAAAGAAAATAAATAATGTTGTGATTGGAGGACTTAACTACATAAAGGATGACAGTAAAATGTTGAAGAGTAAAATGGAAGAATGGTTAGTGAATAATTTGAATGTTAAAATATCGATTGAGGATGTATGGAAATCCGGAAAAGGCATTGATGAAAAGATATATTTAAAGTGTAAGTCTTGGGAAGACAAGCAATTAATAATGAACAACAAGAATAAATTGAAAGGAACAAGAATAGCGATTGATCATGATTTTACAACTGAAGAGAAAGAAAGACAGAGAATTATTAGATTTGTTGTTAAATGTTTGAAAAATGAAGGCAAAACAAATATAAAAATAGCATATGAAAAGTTGTATATTGGTAAAGAAGAGTGGTACTGGAATGATATTAAATCTTACTATGAGAATAAATTGGAATTAGACGGTGAACCTGAATAAAAGGAAACCTAAACAAATAAATATTTCAATAAAAAGAGAAATATAAGAAAGGTTACTTAAAAATCAGTGAAATTCAACTTGGAAAAATACTTCAGGCTTGGAAAATACTATAGACTTGTTGAAGTTTTGTGATAAAAAGAAAAAAACAAGAAGAACAAAATTATTGCACTGACTTTCATGAACTATGTCTGTTTTTAGTTGAATGTGTTATAATGTAAATAATTATAAGATTTAATAAAATATAGATGTTATTCAATAAGTAATCTGGCTGCACATACTTTATTGTTTTAGCAATTCATTAACTTCAATTACATGTTAATAATCAAAACTCACAGATGAACTTAATAGAATTATAACATGTCTGTTTTGTTCCAGGGATTCTTTGAAATTCCCGAATTGAAAGATGCAAGTGGTTTTCAAGTACTTGAAAACGAGGTGATATCGCGTTGCGATGAATTGGTCGATGAAGCAACCAAGAATGAAGGAAAACGTACGAGGAAGATGGTGGAAATTTTCGACGAGCTTTCCGACACCCTTTGCAAAGTGGCCGATATGGCAGAATTTGTAAGGGTTGCTCATCCAGATTCTAATTATACGCAAGCTGCCGAACATGCTTGTATCACTATCAGTGGTATTGTCGAAAAGTTGGTTAATGTTCTACATTCTCAATTAATTTTTTTTTGTTCCATAGACTTTATATTAAGATCGAATGTTTTATTTGAAGATTGAACACAAATCGCAGATTGTACGACGCACTATCTAATGTTATAAAGTATGGCGATATCGTTAAGACGTCTGAGATTGATACTCACGTGTCGAATTTGTTCCTATTCGACTTCGAACAATGCGGGATACATTTACCCGAAGAAGAAAGGCGGCAAGTCGTGGAACTTAACGATCGGATTCTTGTGGTTAATAAATTGCAGATTACTATTATACTAAAGACTGCTTCAATAATGAACGTGAATATTATTTTCACAGAACGGACAGAAATTTATGACTGGTGCAGCAGAACCTCGAGTAATTAGTATGAGTGCCTTACCCGAAGAAATTGCTAAACAGTATGTTTAATAATGCGAAAACATGAAATTAATTTTCCATTAAAATTGAATGAATAATATTTTTCAACAGCTTTGCGAATCATGGAGACTCAGTTATAGTAAATGGTTTGAACACTGAATCCAGCAATGCAATGTTGCGAGAAGCTGGCTACAAAATATTTTTGTATCCTGATTCTAAGCAAGAAGTATTGCTTCGAGACTTATTAAACTCACGTCATCAGTTGGCTAGGATATGTGGGTTTCCTACTTATGCGCACAGGTAATATTCTATTTTTTGGTCTCGAAGTATTAAATTTTTAATTGAGATAATGATGAATTTAGAGCCTTGAGAGGAAGCACAGTGGAGACGCCGGAGAACGCAAAAAAATTTTTGAGTTTGATGAATGACGAGTTACAGAATCGTGCGAGAAAGGATTTCAACGAGCTTCAGAAGATCAAAGATGCCGAGACACCAAATAAAACAGCACGTACACTCAAAATATTTTAAGTTTCCTGACAATCACCGTCTACTAATTAAAAATCATTTTCCAGGCAATAATGCCATGGGACACGGCATATCTCTTCTCGAAAGCTCGTAAGTCCTGGCTAGGCTCGTCGAACGAAGAATTCGCACCGTACTTTTCTCTAGGCGCATGTATGGAAGGATTGAATATTCTTACACAGGCACTTTACGGAGTTCGGCTCGAATATCAACCAACGCAAATGGGCGAGGTTTGGGCATCTAATATTCATAAATTGGCTGTGATAGACGAAGATGAAAAGACTTTGGGACATATTTATTGTGATTTCTTCGATAGAGAAAGCAAACCTTGCCAGGACTGCCATTTTACTATTAGGGGTGGACGACAATTGCCTGATGGGACTTATCAGGTAGAGTTTGTTTTTTAATTACTTGCTCACCTAACTTATTGAACAAATTGAAACAAATTTTGCGAATTGGTTACAATGCTATAATTAGATATTCATAAAAATTTACAAAAAGTTAAGAGCGTTCAGTAAAAATTTTAAAGGTAAACTCAAATGTGATATCATAAATTAAACTCAATCTTTAAATAATATCTAATTACGTCTGAATTACTCGCAAGCTAGACTCTCCGCCCAACATCCTTTTAAAAGTCCATAAAAAATTCAATTGTTTGATTATATTACGATTCAATTATTCTTGCTTAGAATCCTATAGTCGTTCTGATGCTATCACTGCCATCGCCAAGGCGTTCAACGCCAAGTCTGCTGAACCCTAATCTAGTGGACAATTTATTCCACGAAATGGGTCACGCATTGCACTCGATGCTCGGCCGAACTAAATACCAACACGTCACCGGCACCAGGTGCAGTACTGATTTCGCTGAGGTGCCAAGTATTCTTATGGAATACTTTTCCAGTGACCCAAGGGTATGTCACACGTGCAAAATTTCGTTTGAATTATTGATTGACTAGAAATTTTTTGACAGATCGTCTCCTTGTTCGCGAGGCACTACGAGACCGGCGAGCGAATCCCGGAAAACATGTTGCACAAAATCTGGGCGTCGAAGAACTTATTCCCTGCGTCAGAAATGCAAAGCCAAGTTTTCTACAGTATGCTAGATCATGTGTATCACAGTGGTGAGGTCAAAGATTCGACTACCGATATTCTCGCACGAATTCAGAATCAATATTACGGTCTGCCATATGTACCAAATACCGTAAGTATTCTTAATTAATTATTAAGATTTTATTCGGCAGTTAATAAGTGTTAAACGGTTTTCTTAGGCCTGGCAGCTAAGATTCTCTCATCTCGTCGGATACGGTGCAAAATACTACTCGTATCTAATATCGCGTGCGATAGCGTCGTGGATTTGGCAAACGTACTTTGAAAACGACCCATTGAGTCGTTCGGCCGGTGAAAAATATAGATACGAGTGTCTTGCTCATGGTGGTGGTAAACCACCATCCAAAGTTGTCGCAGACTTTTTGAACCAAGAAGCGAGTCCGGAAAATTTCACCAAGTCGGTGATTAACGAGATTGATTCGAAGAGCGAAAGAATACAGGTTATTAAAAATATTTAGTAAGATATACAATAATGAACTATTTTTTTGCACGTAAAAAAAATAAAGTTTTCATTGGATTTCATCATGCTATTTATGTAAATCATAGTATTTACATGAAAACGATTGAGTGTTGATTAGTTTATGCAGACCAATATGTATATTTTTTATTATGCTATACCACACTGATTCGGTCTCGAGTAGGAAAAGTCGTTTTTATTAATTGCAACATCTAACACTAAAGAGTATTATATTACGTATTCAGTTTGTAAAAATTCATACTTTAAAATTTCAACGCACTCCGGATTAATTTTAATATTACATGTTATAAGTCTAATATCTATGACGTTAAGTTTTTAGAATTCAAATAAATTTAAACAACGTTTCTAGACTTTATATAATTTATTTATGTCATAATTTACAACAACTTAAGGTTTATCAGAAGTAAAATCACCATCTTACTTAATAGCTAGGAAAGTGGATGATTGAAAAAACAGCTCAATAAAATGACTGTAGTATTGGCATATATATTGTAGTGATGAAAAAGAAAAAGTTACAACGTAGCGAATCAAGTAAAAACAGAACAGTGACTGTGAATAAAAACCATGTATTATAGTTATTTTATTACAAGTACGTACCTGTGTTACTATTTACAACGTCTTTGACAAATATGTCTTACATAAAAATAATGTACCTCTTTACTTTACTGATCCTGACGCTATTTAATGCTCACTTTGACTGACTGGAAAGGCGTTTGTTTTACCAAATGTCAGTCTCAAGATGATTCCTTTTTGCTATTTTGCTTTTCTTCATTTCGAAAACGCGAGGTTACTTTATATCTCTTAGCCAGACAGAATTGATGCAGACTTTTTTACAATTATAATATCAATTCTTATAGAACTCAGTGGTTTTTAAATGTACTTAATGTCTACCACTTGTCTTCTTTTGTTTTTTTCTTTGAAATAATACCCATACATAAATCATTATGCTAATTTTTACAAATAATGATTTCCTTTTTCTATTATTTCAAATTAAACAATTCAACGAGATAAGCAAAGAAATTATTTTATTAATTGACACCACAAAATTTATGTTATAGTTATTGCCAAACAATATTTTCTTCTGCTTGTAAGCTACAATTGAGCCTTGTATACAAAAATGATCGAATGAATCGAGAAAACAATTTTTCTTTTATACACATAATTTTTTCAAATAAAAAAATGTTTCTCCTCAAATATTCTAAAATTTTTCTTTCAATAGCAGCCGAAATTTCTTTTTCAGTTAAACTAAAGTCGCTCACATTTTGTAAAAACGAATGTTTCGCTATTAAAAAAAGCAAACATAGTCGCGGTTACAATTAAATATCGAATCTTTATGTAAAAGCGTCTTCTTTGACAGTTATCATCCATGTTTTTCTATTACTTTCTTACCTACGAACTATACGAGAATACATCTCATTCGATCCTTGCTTCATGTTTTTAGCTAAGAAAAGCAATAATTCAGCTTTATCTCGTCAAAATTCTCCACGTACATTTTTTCTATTTTATTAAGAAACGCAAAAGAAATTACAGAGACTTTCGGGAGACCTGAAAACTGTTTACCGACATATGATTATTCTACGAATTTGTTATTAATTTCTTACTAATGAAGATCACGAAAAAATTATTCGTCAGTGTCAGCTCTATGTCTCACACATATTCTCAGTAAAAAAATAACAAATAATTTGTCACAATACTCAATCAAGTGTCTACAATAATTCACGAATTTCAAAAAACTACAAGTCGGTTCATACAGCATCGCTCATCTCCATTAGATCAAGGCATATCTCTGATTATTTATTTCACAAATATAGCAGTCAAGAGACAGATGTAATCATCTCACTTTCGTGATGAACGAATAAACAAGCAATTTGTTAAATCGTCGATAAAAAACAAAAAGAATGTAAAGATGCTACACACCATCAGTTCTAAAAGTATTGCCATTATCGAACGTTTATTCCTATAAATTGCTGTCGGCACATCTATGTTCTGAACTTTCACTGCATTCGCATTCACACTGCGAGGTTACGCCACGTAGTTATACTGATTCGCGTTATCTCGGTCGCGCTCCATATAGTCTCGGTCGATTAACGATTCTATTCGTTTCTTTAAGTCAGCAGGCTGAAAAAAAATGTTTTGATTTAAGTTCAAGAGTTAAAAAAAATTATTTGGATTGTATACCTTTACGGGAAACTTGAGCTGATTGTACAATTCAGTTATAAGACAGTTATGAATCAATGTTTTCCTCATCTTCATGATTCGAACGATAGCCGCGTCTATTTGGTACTGTCTGTCTTGGTACACTCGTTCTTCCGTCGCTTTTTGTTCTTCGTTCTAAAATTTAGAAAAAAAATATTATTCAACTATCATAAAAATAATATAGTATCCAAAGCAATAAAACTCACTGTCTCCTTCATCTGAATTTGATTAATCTTTATTCTAAATAGTTTGTTAGTAAAGTCTGCATTTAAAATAAATCTATCGTTATCCTCCACGTCACGTCCTTTCGGATTTTTGTGGAGTACCCGGGCTTTACCACAGGCTAATGATTGTAATGTTCGTCGAAGCTCGCCATCTTCGATATTTGTAGCAGTCTTGACTTCTTCCAACGACATGTTATCCGAATCGTTAAAAAGGAGTAAGACAAGAGCTTGGAACAAAGATACTTGCAATTCTTTATTACCCTGCAAAATTGAAACAAATAAATTAAGTTTCAAGAATTGTAAATAATATAATTGTTCAGTTAATGACATTGAATCATACCTGATTGAAAGAAGCCTTGAGTACACAATGCCCAAGCGTAGGTTGCCACTGCAACTTACGACCACTATGCTTTCCCAAATAGAACTTGTTGAAAATATCCTGATACTGAACCATCTCAGCTGGCAAGGTTACTTCCATAACGGGATAAGTCGGCCAGTAACCCATAGTAAGAATCGACACCGTCAAATCCAAGTTACTAGCGATAAGTTCATTTTGCAGATTACCCGAGTACTGTTTGAAAGCGATGTTGATATCCTTACTGAGTTCCATGTCTTTGAACATGCCCTCAAGTTTACTGGTAAAACCACCACCACATTCTTGCTTCAACTTGGACAACATTGATTTTTCTGCGTCCACCGAAGCTGATTTGCCAACTAACAATCTTTTTGCTAGATCCTTTTTATAGAAAGCTTCAAATACATCTTTTCCGTGGATGAAACGGAACAAGACCATTATCTTATCCAACAGACGCTCCAATTCTTCTTCGGTTGCCTCCTTATTGCCAGCTCGCAATTTGCAGTCCACGAACTTTGCTGTAAATTTTTTTAATTTACTTTAGTAAAATACTATACAAAAGCGAAGTATGTGGATTTATTGTAATTAAGTAAAAAGAAACGTATAAACTGGTTTTTTTCATGAAATTATACAAAAATCTAATTGAATTATTATTTAAATTTATACTCAAATTTTACGCACTATATTAAATTTATGTAAAAAATTCATCCATTAAAAGAAAAATACAATATTTACCAATAAGTTCAGCTGGTTTATTTGCTCTTTGATTAATGAATGCCTCGAAAGCTTCTTTCAAACTGTTGGCGAATTTCTCGTTTCTATGAAAACATGTGTTGACAATATTGTCCATTTTATCCTTAAAATCTAGTAATTCTTGTACCATAGTCTTATCTTTCTCTGGATCTATTACTATTGTTTTACCTCGTTTCTATAATAAACAAACGCAATTATCACATAAAATTTCTCAATACATTAGACAGGTAGTTGTTTTGTTACTTGCCTTGATATAACAATTAAAGTTTATACAAAGTTCTGTCAGACCATTTTTAATACGATTGTATAAGTTGTAGAGTAACGACAAATCGCTAATTCTATTCTCATCTAATAATCCACTCAATCCCTTTTGTAAAATACTTGTCACGTGCTCCGACAGCAATTGCTTTTCTACCGTGTGAATCAAAGACCATCTGCAACGCAAAAACATTAAATATTAGTACATTTATGTTTGCTTTAACTCAACAATAAATTATATCTGTTTTTTTAACAAATTTACTTCGTAGAAGAATCGAGGTAATGCAAAAGTCTCTCGTTCTCCTCTTGCAACCGTTTGTCCACGTGAGCAAGATACTCAGGTACATCGTGTTCTTGCATGAGTCTCTGTCCCTCGGCAGCATAAAGCCTCTCAGTGGCACCAAGGAATTTAGATTCAAAGGCGTCCTGATAGATCTGCAGATCTGACAGCATTCGCAGTAAAGACTTGAGTAACGTACGATCGACTGTGTCGCCTTGACGTTCTTTTTCAATTAGCATAAGAAGACCCTCTACAGTGCGTGTTTGTACCAAGTTATTAAGAACAATGTGAAGTCTAAAGAGGTACAGGCCCATATCCCTAAAAAACAACATTTAAAATTTAATTATTAATGTTTATTGTGTAGAAGATATAATAGGATTGAAATGTATTTGTTACCATATAGATGAGATGCCTGGATTTTGTAAGACATAAGTCCTGTCAAGATAAAGAAATATACTTCTAATCATGATCATCTGCCTACAATGAGACTGCCAACACTCGTTCATCTTTTTCAAGAATATATGTCTGTCCATGGACTCGGCTAAAAATTGCTCTGTATTAGCCTTCACATGGCATTCTACCAATTCAGTCAGATTAACATAGAGATTATGAGCCATTTTATGGCTACACATGTTCTCCACTGCTTTGTATAATTCTTCCAAGGAATAACGTATGCTTTTGCTTGTTTGTATTGCGATTACTGCCTCCCTTAACTTTTCCCATGTTTCCTCTTGATAGTTTTCAGGAAGCTTTGGTTTTTCTATTGAAGTGTGAGAATATAAAATTTAAGATTGGTTACTATTGTTGATTAATGTGATGTTTCTTAAATTATAAATAGATTGGATAATGGATATGAATTAGATTGACAGTGTAGACAGCACTTATTTGCAAGGTCTTTGTTCTTGGCAAAGAATTACAAGGTTAACATAAATCTTTTTTTTATTATTTTTGTAACTCATCAAACTAATAATTATTTTATAGGAACTATATTTTTTGAAACTTCAATGATTTCTGATCGAGCAATCTTATATTAAATAGTCATACTTTTTAAGAGTTATAATTGAAAAAATTTAATTATTCAATATGTTTGAGTAGAATGCATAATGATTATGTAATAATTACACATTCAATACATTAAGTTAGTGATATGAAAATTCATTTACCAAAAAAATAATTTCGAAACGGTATTTTTAAAATAAATTATATACTAAATAGCAACAATATATTAGTTAATCAGTTTATTAAATTATCTACACTAAGAAGTAGAATAGGCAATGCTATATTACACGTCTATATATTGCACTTCATATTTTTTTTGGCATAAATCAATAATATTAATAATCATGACAGAACTGTATAAGATTTTGTGCTAGGCAATAAATCATGTATAAAATCTCTTAAAAAATTGATCAATAAGAAAAATAATAAAAAAAACAAGAAATAAATCCTTACCTTTGAAATTTTTAATGATAAGCTTCTTGGCAGTACCAGGTTTGCCAGTAGCCAAGCTTGTAGTCATCTTATTAACTCCATTAGGGTTGGCAACAGCCAGTGAAAAATTGGGTCTTTTGCACTGCTGTGCTTGGGCATTGCCACCAGGTGATGTAGCAGCGTCAGCCATACTAAGGTCTTCTCCGTCAACTGTACTGTTATTGTATCTTGGCCTTTTGAGTGCTGATTGATGCTGGCTGTACTCGCTGGTTGCCAGTACCTGTGTCCTACCCAACCTGGACATATGAGCTCATTGCCTGTTTACACTGTAACACAAGCACATACACTCCTGGTTGTTCTTTTCTCCTTTTGTAGTCTGTAAGTTGATTTCTCTAATTGCCTTCACAATCTTCACTTGATAATATTTAGGCACTAAACAAGATAAACTCCTATTCTTTCAAAACCTTCGAGGCACATGAATAGTTATTTTGTTTCTTAATTATTTTGGAACATCAAAGGCAGCTAAAACTTCCTCCGTCGCTTAACCTCCAAAGTCGAGCACTAGGTGCATCGTGCTCTCATGGATGCGCGAGACTTTTTTAATTCTATTTCTCGCGAACCAAGGACGGATTAACTTTGAGATGGAGTTTCTTAACCTCTGAACAAACGATATAGTAAGTCGCACACGTACTTGGATTTATCCGATTTTCAGTCGTATAAGGGAGACACACTTCAAGCACGTACACTGAGATTTTTCTGGATGGGTCTTTTTTCGTGACACACACGGAGAGCGAGCGTGTATAAAGCGTATCTGTTGTTTTTATTACTGCGCGAGAGCCGAGAGGCGACCGCGTCACTATGTGTGCGTGGGCAAACGGTATGTTATAATAATCAAACGTGATTAATCACATGTGTATGCTCTCTTCGCTCTTCTCTCTTCGCGAAATCAACGTGTAAGTAACTTACCTATAAGCTTACACGTTAGTGGTTTGATTACGAATTACGATACTCGCCCGCTATCAAGACTTCTTAACGTCTTGGGGGCGCGCGTGCAATCTTTTCTTCTGAGTGATGATGAATTTTCGTCGGCGACGGTAAGTATACATATTTATACAATGCGTAATTGAAACGGATGCAGATGCGGTATACGGATAATTTCAATTTTTTTTCTTTATGGAAAAGAAGCGCGCCGAGAAAAGACATCACGTATATTACGTACACGAGAACGCGACGTGTCGAAGATCGAATTTTCCAATGCACCTAAACTTCGAAAGCCGAAACTTCATGATCGCGCGAGCCTCATTCGAATTTCTTTCGCGTCTTCTATTGGCTCATTGTTGTGAGAGTGTAATGTTTACAATCGTAAATTTGATCAACGTCTCTTTTGGGTATTGCTTGATCGCTTTAAAGCAAATTCGTTTTCTCAATTGAAAATGCAGACTATTAAAGTTGAAAATGTCGATCCAAGCAAAACCGTCGCTCCGGAAAAGAAAGCTCAGAATAGAGGTGGGTTATTTATCACATATGAATTCGTGATTTTGGAATCGATTTATTTGTTTTTATAGAAAAACAACTATTGACTTTTGTTGTCAAAGCGACGGCCCGCGATCAAGAAAAGAATATTTTGATATCAAAACTACAGAGAGGTAACGTTCGCGTAGTTCATTTGTGTTGCAAATTTCACCTGATAATTCTCGCGTATCACTTGCAGAAATATCGGAGGCAGTTGAAAATTTGGAAGCATTGCAAGCAGAGGTCACACTGAAGGACAAAATTCTTCGCGCCAAAGACGACGAATTGTTGACTATAAAATCTGAGGTACAACGCGTGTTTAAACTGTTTTACGAAAGGATGGAAAAATTCCCTTGATCGCCTGAATTATTCGTGTTTTTGTAGAACGAAGCATTGAACCAGAAACTACAGCTTTTGTTGAGTGACAATAAAACTCCGTTCAAGTCTGGTAACAACAACTTTGGTCTGAAGAAAAATGACAATAACGTCTTTAAAACTTCACTGAAGCTGATCAACAATGTTGCTCTAAAGAATAATGACAAAGACGTTGTTAAGATCAAAAATAACAAAAGTCCTGGTAATAATAATCACTTGCCTTCTATGATTCCAACTCCTGATATTTCGAGAAAGTAAGTTTTTTTTAGTATTATGTTTATTTACGTATTCACACTTGAATGATGTTTATATTTTGTCTTTTAGGAGGTCGTTTAAGAAGTCTAATATGCCGAAAGATAACATGACAAATGTGAGTTACTCGTGTTCTTAGTTGAATACTGATCTTGTAATTTAATTAAATGTTTGATTATTTTTTATGCAGCTTTTTTACAATTTACGCAAGAAAAGCAAGAAATAGTGTACCAGCTCGATAAACTACATATGAGTAAATTTTTTTATTGACATTATGAAAGAGACGAATTATCATTATTTTTATAGCTTACAATCAAAATCAGTTAAATAAATTAATGCAATCTACATTCATAGTATTGTTTTAATTTATTAGCATGATTATTATTAATTTATGCTTATCCTAATAAATCTTTTTTTTTATATAATTTGGAGCGTTTTTATTCATTTCATTATTATTGAAATACGTGAAAATTCAAATGATACCACGTGTAGCGCACTCTGCGCGCGCATACCCGGCTCCAATAAAATATATATACATGAATGGATGATAATCATAACCTGCAACCAGCAAATTGTCTATATACAGATGTATGTATATATACATAACTGTGATTCGTTAAGAATCTTTCATTATTGTTAATTTTTATACAATGCCACCGAAGAAAGCTGGTCCTAGTGGTACCAAAGCTGGAAAGTCTAAAGGTGGCGGCGGTGGTGATGAAGATAAAGGGAAAGGAGAAAAGAAAGGAGGAACTGCTGTTAAGGTTGGATTTTATAAAATAAAACTACTTTTCATATACTTAAAAAAGGCTGAGTTATAAATAATGATATGTGATAGGTTCGTCACATTCTTTGTGAAAAACAATCTAAAATTCTTGAAGCTATGGAAAAGCTGAAAGCTGGACAAAAATTCAATGAAGTTGCTACAGCATATAGTGAGGACAAAGCAAGATCTGGTGTAAGTGTTTAACAATTTTTTATGTTTTTTAATTAGAACTTATTACTTTTTTCAAAGGTTTAGTTTTTTTATATACTGTTAATAGACTATCACTTTCTAATGGAATATATGTCAGCTTACATTAGACAGTTTCTTAGATTATTTGATTTTCTCTTTGGAATAATAAGTTTATTTGTATTATTTTCTATCAACATTAAAAGTGTCATAATAGATTTATATAAAAATATTAAAATAAAATTATGTATTTTATTTAGGGTGATCTTGGATGGATGACAAGAGGCTCTATGGTAGGACCATTCCAAGAAGCAGCTTTTGCATTACCTGTATCTAGTCTTGGCTCACCAGTCTATACAGATCCACCAGTCAAAACAAAATTTGGCTATCACATAATCATGGTCGAAGGAAAAAAATGATTAGTTAGGTATATATTTTATGAACTTTGTTTAATAAAGATATTTTTTTCTTGTATACAAAAAAAGAGTCAGTACTTGTACAATGCTTGTTGTCACTTGTCACTGCATAATTTAGCACCGTGAAATTATTACATGATGCAAAAAAAATAATGGTATAATACCCGCAACACTCACTCAACTCATCATAAATACATCATTTAATCTCGGTCTTTATAGATCAACTTAACTAATTTGCTATTATATAGGACAGAGTTGTCAATATGTGATAATAATAATAATAAATTAATCAGCATGCACCTCGTCTCAGCCATCAATCGCATCTATGGCCATTGGAAGCGAAATTTTTTTTTTCATACAATTGTTGCAGCAATCACCACAAACATCAATAGAAATCATTTCGCAATCACTTTGGAAGGAAAAAAGAATGGTTCTGTTTTTTGAAAAATTGCTATTAGCGACTGTGGTTTTGATGGAGAAAAAGCCAATCATTAAACTCGGAGATTGGGATTGGTGAAGCGTACGTATTTCAGGAGAGCATCGTTCTCCTCGCAAACCCACGGTTTCTTGTGATGGCAAGCGACGTCGTGCCAGTTGACACCGTCGTTGTAGAATTGATTGAGGATGGCCAAGCAATTCTCGGGTGCACCACCTTGGATAGCCTCACGGTTATCTGGCTGAGGTTTGCCAATACTGAACAGAGACAATGAGAAAGTGGTTAGTATGCGAGGTGAATTCGCAATGTATTTGGAAAATTGAAATCAAATGCTCACCCTCCACTTTCCGACCAGTCGTTCTGGCTACGATCGTTCGTGGGTGCGAGTTTCTGAAGCTCGGCAGTCCAGAACCATCCGTTGATGCGGAGTGGCTGAAGATCGGGCCTCTCGCAGCCCTTGAAGTCGCAGAGGCGACCGGAAGTCCAAATGTACTTGACTTTATCTAGAAAAAGGGCACGCATTCGTAAGCATCGATCCTTCGGAACGTCGACCATCAATTTATAAAGCGTCGAATTACTTTGAACGATGCGGCTCTTGATGAACTCGTTCTCGGCCGAAGTTTCCAACGACACCAAGTCCATGCACCGCTGTCTGCAGAAGTTTCTGGCGGTCAACCAGTCGACTTCTTGGCCCGCCGTTCTACCATCGGCCCACGAGTAATAGTATCCCTTGCCGTTGAAACGCTCGTGGATGATTCCTGGAGCGCAATCGCAGAACGCGTGAGCTAGTTTCAATGGCACGCATCTCCGCGAGCGCGGCTATTCATCTTTCCTTCGCGATCGAGGCCGCTTGACGGAAATTTTATCTTTCCGAAAAAGAGTTCGCGGTCCGTGCCGCGCCGGAGGAAGAAAGCGTTTTCGGCACACTTGGACGCCTACGCGTTTGCGCACCACTTTCTCCGCGCTTGCGTCGCCTGGAAATCGCGACGACCGACCCTTTTGTCGACACTCGTGCTCGACCTACAAATCGGCCACGCGCGCACATCGCACGTGTTTGCTTCTGCGTTTGCTCGAGGTTCGGCTCGCTTCGGCATTTCCCGTTTCAAAACTCGTCGCAATACTATTGCCAGCGCAAAGCTACTTTTTTACTCGAGACGAATGTTCTCGCGAAGATAAAGTTACCTTATACCGTGTAATCGACAACGTTCGCAGTGAGAAAATTGCTTCTATCAGGAACTTTTCTTTCTCGAACCTGCTAAAGCGCATATTACGAATCTCGAATCACGGGAGATTTGTACGCAAAACCGGGTCAAGCTCGCCGCGAACGAAAAACCCGTGTGACCGAACGTTCTAGCGCGTCGCGTCGCTTTCCCGTTTGCTCCCAAAGCCGCCGACGCTCGCATTCAAGATTCACGGAGAGAAAGGAAAAGTCCAGCCCAAACCTTACATGCGTCCGTCGTAACCGTCGCCGGCGCGACACTAAATACCGCGAGCACAGGCGGCGAGAGCTTTCCGTCAGAAAAGACGATGCCTCTTCGGACACAAGTGAAAGGGAGGACAAGTGATCCCGTCGCAGCGCCAGGTTTCTCTCCGCGAAAACAATTATCAGGCGGTTTCGGAACGACCGGGCGCCACGTGTACACAAACGCGAGCTGTCGCACAAGTTGAGCGACGGCGACGCGACGGCGACGCGACAGCGAGCCTTCGGTCCCGTCTGAAAAGAGAAACGAGCTGCGACGTCGGCTGTTTTTTCCCGCGTCGCGCGCTCTCCTTTCGCAGGCTGGTCACTCACTCTGGGCGCAGGCGCCTGGGATCGGCGGCTCCAGCACCCGGCCGCTCGGCTGCTGCGCCACCGCCACGGCGGCCAGCGCCAACACTGCTGCGAATCGCAACATCTCGATGAGCTGCAAACAGTGGAGTTTGTCGATTAGCGCGCGGCCTTGAATCCCGACGACGTACTCGCGCGCCATTTCTCTCCGAATCGCCGCCGACGAGTCTCGTGAATGAATATGAATGAAGCGGAGGGCACGGCGGCTTTCTTCCGAACCGGTTCTCTCTTCCGTGCGTCGCACATACCGCCGCGCCTCCCGCGACCCGCGACTCGGGTCAACAACTCTGTTCTCTTGTGCTTTTTCGTTTGTGTTTTTTTTTGTTTGTTCGTTTTTTAAAAACCATCGCGAGTCCATTGAAAATAAAGCCGACGCTCCCCGGGTGTCGCATCGACGATTAATTGGGCTTGCTACGGAAAAGGCGGTTACACATTTTTATTCGTCGTTTATTTTTCGTGAAAATTAACTGCAGTACTAAATAATACTGGATTATTAAAAAAAAACATTTGTAAACAATGTGTGAATGTTGTATTTATGAGCGAACGCGACACACATTTATATTGACCTATAAAACGCATTGATGTTTTTAACGTTCGTCAAGAGACTAAAGCCAAAGAAAAAATGGTTTTGTTCGGTGAAACATCCCAATCGCGGGGTTCACAGAAGTAAAGCCAAGCGAAATGCGCACTGAATGAAAGAAACTGAGCCGAATGGGAAAAGGAAACGGCAGGCACTCGCGCTGAAATCGAAAAAGGAAATCGAAGCACTGTGCAGCGAAAAGTGAAAAATAAAGAAGTCACTGGGTCGATTCACTTATATGCGGCTTCGTACCTGTGCTGAGAAAGTTGTACGGCTGACGGTGATGATGCTCGAGCAACGACGTTCGCCGATGAACTACGGGCCTCCCGCGGCCCCAATACTCCTATATATATATACAGGCTCTCGCACCTGCGCCTCTTTAGGAATTCGTGCCGGCCGAGCTGTGTCGCACTCTCCTTCCTTCCGATACAGTTTTCATCGTCATCTTTTTTTTTCTTGCCATTACATCTCTCATTTCCATCCATGTTTTTGTCGTTTCAGTTTTCCCTCCAGGGACAGGCAGGGCTTCAAAAATACAAGTTTTTAATAATGTTGCTACGACTGCGATCGCCAATACCAAGAGCTGTTCATCGCACTTCTTTTCAAGACTAATTTCATCGGTTACTTGGAATATTAATGTACGCGTGAGTATATCGAGATCGGAACGGCAAGACAGCCAAATGGCTCACTCGATAAAATGAAGGTGGCTTCAGCGTTCATGGATTTTGTCCATAATTTTCTTAGATTCCCTAGCTATGCTCGTTATATTTAAATATTTATATAGTAAACGTTTTACTGCCTTCTTATGAGATTTATTATACAATGTGACTACATAACGACGACGATGGTTAAGTTTGTCTTCCAAGCGAGTCGCCAGTGGTGGCTTGATCGATGTCGCGCCGCTTCTTCTTCGGGCTTTAATGTATGCTCGGCAATCTTTTCCTCTTTCTTCGAATTATTTTTTATGAAAAATCAATGCTGGAATGCAGGCCTCAAGCTGTCCCCTAAAGATTTATCGAGATTACAATAGCAGTGTGAGTAAAAAAGGAAACGTGCAAATTCGTTTCGTAACGAAGAAAATAAATCAGAATCCGGCTAAATCAACTTACTTCAATGTATTAATCACGCATCAGCACTTGAAATCTCAATGTCTTCCGCATTTCTCTAGTACGCCCTCATCGTCGAGCGATATGCATGCAGATCCAAGTCGTCCGATAAGGAATCGTCGGCGATCTCATCTCCGTACGCATAAAACGTATTGTCCTAATCAGAACATATGCTAATCCCGTGACATTTCACATTTTCAGTTGCGAAATTTCTAACGGTATAAATATGTATATATATATATGTATATATATAGCTTCATATGTATATATATTTTTTTTCGTTTCGACGGATCTTCGTCTCGTTGAATTCCTGTCCGCGTAATGTCCTCCTCTACTAAAAGAAAGGGAGATGCAACTTTTCTAGAAGCTACCGTGCCCACGTGATTCTTTACTCATGAGCTGCTTAGGTATACGTGTTTCGTCGCACGTTTTTCTTTTCTTCATTTTTTGTTTTTAGTGAGAAAGTTTAAACTATTTTTGTACGGCAATTTTTTGTTCGGCAAGTTGGAGATATTTTTTTATAAAAAATGAATTTATCTGTGGTTTTTTCTTTTCCTACATTTTTAAATGCTCAATTTAGATGTTAATAAAATTGAAATACAAGAGCGACATTCAATTGAAAAAGAATAGATGTATTATAAGATAAATCTCTAATTTTTGGTTAAAGTATCGGTAAGATTATACTACACTTCATTTTGCTTGCGAGCATTCAAAAACAAACTTTTCACCTTTGAATCGGATAAATGGCTTTACAACAGTGATGTATTGGTGAAATGATAGTTCGTTTGAGCTGATTAATTAGCGTTGTGGACTCTTTGAAAATCTACTACATCGTTTGAAAGCCAAGTGCACATATATTGTACTTCACTTTCTGCGCCTCCATTTCTTCTCTCTTCTCACCCAATTTCAGCTTCTCCGTGGCTAACCGACGACCCTTGCCGCGGCCAATTTGCTTCACTGAAAATTATCTCGGAGCAGAAAGAAAGATAGATAAAGAGATAGGGGGGGGGGCGACAAAGAATGGGAAAAACCGTTATCGAGACGCTGCCGCGGCGCAAGAGAGGTGAAAGTTTTTCAGCGCCTCCGAGCTCGGCTAGTCATCGCTCGTCGTTACACATTCAAATTCCGCAGGCCAGTGCATCGAATGTCGAATTTACGAGGCGGCTTTCTTCTTCTCCCGTCGTCCAACAATGGAATTACGGACGTCGGGCTTTGCGCGTTGCCCGAGCAGCCACCTGCAAAATGCCATTGGCTGAATGGATACATGAAATTTACACGCGTCTTCCATTGAAATGACGAGTGAAATTCGTAATTTTCATACGTCGATTATTCGATTTTTGTACGATCATTCCGTAGATGCTAGCTACAATGAATAAGTGGCAACCCTTTGGAAAATCCATTATTATCAAATTGATTATTCAGACGCAAGTGCGAATCGAATATTTACATTTCACGGACAATCGTCGATTTATTAATGAACAGCCGATAAGAACGTCATGCGACAGAAGCGCGCCTATACTTTCCGCGGAATGAAACTAAAATAAAAAACTAGCTTGCAAATTCCATATTGATTGAAAAAAAAATGATGCTTCACTTTTACGCGTAAGTGAAGTAGAGGACTTTCCACTAGTTCGCTCTCAGTTTTTTTATTTCGCGCGCGTTGCAAATAAAAGTTGCATTGTGATGGATGAGCGGCTACCATCGCAATAAATCGCAATAAGCGTCGTCATGAAAGCGTCAAATCTTAAATTACATTATTATGAAATTATCATGAAAATATATTTAAAAAACGAAATCTTACGAAGCTTCGCCATTCACGGATATCGTCTATTCATATTATCCTTTCAGCTAATTCCGATTGCGTTATAACGTATGAAAATCCACGATTTTACGGAATTAAGTCTTGTCGTACATGAAAAAAACATAATTTCAATGTAACGTACATTACAGTGTGTTTATCAGTGTTCCCTGATGGATTTTTACAAACAATAGTAACAAGTTTTTTCTTTCAGTTACAAATCTAAATGTTGCAATCTCGTTGTACTCGCGTAGATAAATAATGCTACAATCCCATTGTAGTGTAAGTGATAGCAACAACTTGATTGAGCATAATAACCTTGAATAACCCTTTTTGTCTACTTTCTTCAGATTTTTGTGTACATCCAATTTCAAACGCCAATATACAAAACTAAATCAAGTAACGCGAAAACGTATGACTTATCAGGGAATGTATCACTGTTAGATAAAATGTAATTAAATTTGATTTGTCTATAAAATTTGCGGTTTTTCATGAGGTTCATCATCAAAAAGATTTGTAACATAATTATACGCAGAATTAACTTACGTTCATGTAGTATTGTTGGCATTTGAAAGGAATTAAGATCTAACCTCTCGAAAATAGTCGGCAGGCCGGTTAACGAGTCAAATCATCTAAGTAACGTCGTCGTAGAAAACGATATCGCTCGAAACATTTTGTCGAGTAACTGTATGCTTAATTATATGCAATATGTCAACTTCTAGATAGTCGAAAAGTAAACTCGAAACAAATTATTCGTCAATTTTTCGGCAAGTCTCAAAATAGGACTTACTAATGTCGTATTATCCTAGTAATTATCCTTGCTTAGTAATGAAAATTTGACAGTCTCGTTGACCCTGAGAACAGTGACGTTACTACATTGTGTCATTAAGTGGTTAATCGTCTGCTTGAGCAAACAATAAAATAATGAAATCAATGCTAAATAGTCACTTGAATTACCGAAACATCTTTTTAAGTGTGTGCATTTTTTTTTTAATTTGGATTCTGTCATCGGGGAAACCGCGAAAAGAAAAATAGATCGGTATGTTAATTCAAACTCCTATCTCATCTTTGCAGACGATTTAGATCGATGCGCTTGAGGTATTGGTTTGATGTGATTTCCGTTTGGATAATTCCAATACAAATAGTTTGAAAATACAATTTATCGGTTGATAGGACGTCACGACTTGCGAGAGAATCGAAATTAGGTCAAATCGTGGATGAAAGTCATAAACCAAAAAAGACACGCTGACCCAAATCCACTTATGCGTAACACTAATAATTAAAATTGATACAATGACGACGGTTGGTGGATAAGGAAATAATTATGGCGCAATCTCCGAGAATTAATTCTGCGCTGGCATTTTTCCTTCGCTGATCGTCGTCAAATGCAGATTCACCCTCGAACAAGCCGAGAGTTCCGTGTGCGAAACCGAAAGGCGGCGACTATCGCGAGGCCAAAAATAAAGAAAAATAAAAGATGAACAAAATAAGAATAGGAGAATCCGTTATTTGCTTATTCTCGATGCGTCCCGCGCGAGTCTAATGTCCTCTATATAAGCTCAAGGAAACGAAAGCGCCGGGCCGTCGAGGAGAGCATGTATAGAAGAAAAGTTACGTCAGCGCGTTCATAGCCGCTGGCTCGCTCGCGCGTACGGAGAATTCGCTACCGGATTTTTCCTTTCGTTTTGGCGCGACACTTTTTTTTCACGTTTTCACCGCTTGGAAAGCGCCTTCGTCCAAACGATTCTCGACCGGCATTCGTGGCGACGCTGCGAGGAGGCCGTGCATCTTTTGCGTAAAATTCAAAAGGATGTGTCCTTGAATTCACGCTTGCAAAATAATTTCTTTCTTGTTTCGTTGCTGGAGGCAAAGATATTCTTTTTTTTTTTCAGCCGAGTGTCTTCATTGAGATCGTTCGGAATCTCTCAGGCGTTTTTATGCGCAAGGATAAAAATTTTTTACCGACTAGAAAGTGTCATCGACGCGTGCGCGTGCCCGAACGAAAACGAGTCTTGATCTTTCTCTTTATCGGCGAATCGTCGGAAATATTGAATGGGAATGGCCGTATTATGTATATCCAGGCATCATTAAAGAAACAGGTACGTTTTAATCGATTCTTCCCACAAGGTAAGTGCGGTTATATTGGCTGGATATATTCACGCGAATTAAAGCTCGGATTTGCATAATTAATTGGAAATAAAACTGGCAGTCGCGATTCCTACTTGGTGATTTTGCTGTCGTCGGGATGAAAACGACAGTGTTTCCGCGCTGCTAATGTACCCGTGTTTCCGATGGGGCTCGACTAACGGTGTTTCAATTTGGATTCAAAAAAGTTGCAAGTCCCAAACACTCCTTGATATTCTTCCGAGTGCAACGTCTTTATTTTCGGCAAGAATGAATTAGTCTATGGACGCGTCATTTTGCTTCAACTATACACCCATCGAGATCCAAAATCGACTGACAAAGTCCGTTCTCAGTTCTGTTGTTTTGAATGACAAGCGGAGCGAAGAAGTAGATAAGATCGATGACAAAGAGACGCGGGATTCCCCCGGTATCTTCATCGGCCTGATGCCAATGTCACGTGCTCGATGTACTTTATTTCGTCCACTGCAAAAAGTATCTTACATTTAAGCGGGATGGGGGCAAATAGTTTTCGAAATTCCTGAAAACTACTGTTTTCTCTCGTTTTGGCGAAGAGAACGACTCGAGCGCGTATGCAGATAACGCACACGAATAAAAATTGGAAAAGCATTTTCAAAAGTTCTAATTCTTGCCGTAGCCGTCCCGCTGGAGCCAACCGCGAGCACCAAACTCAATGATGATCTCTCCAAAGAAAGTTAGCGTTTCATCGATTGAAATCGGCTGTTGGTCAATAAATCTCGGCGGCCCATTCGTCGTGGCGTGTCCGGTCTAGCGTGAGGCAACCAACTTCTAACGCACCGGACAAAAGCGCGCGAGACACACCTATGTAAATATCGAGCGGCTTTCGATTTTCTCCGTTCGTTAGCGGCGCATTAATTATTCGCCGGATTTTTGGGAAAAAAGATATAGAAAGTTATTCAAAGACTTTGCGCGTTAGCGTTGTCGGTTAGGAAATCGAATTCGGAGTAACTAAAAGGACTCGCCTCCATGAGCTTTTTTATTGCTCTCGTCCGTCGAATACTGGACGAACAACAAACGCGGAGTTCCCGTTCACATATTACTTATACTGCTCGCACTCGACACTGCGCCTCCGCTCATCCGAACAACTACCTCGCTGCAAGAGTGCGAGCAAACAATTACGCAATCGATCGAAGCCTGCAAATACGCAAAAACAGTATCTAAGACGAACAGTTTTCTAGAGATCCACGGGCGTACAATAGGAGACGCGGCCGCTGAAAGCCAACGCGGAAAATAAATGAAGTCAAACAAACTCGCGACGAACAAAGCCCCACGGCTCTTTTCTTTCCAGTGGGTATATGCAAACGAGATCGACGCGCTCGTTTCATACGAGGCGAAAGTCGAGCGTTCAAACACACGTATCCCGCGAGCAAACTCCTATGGGCCACCGCTAATTCTACACTTACAGCTCCCGCGGTACACTCGCTCTTCTCCGTTTGCGTCTAACATTTTTCAAGCGTGCCTTCGTTCCCAATCGTATTCAAGCTGCGCGATTACTCTGTGAAGAGCGTTATTCTACTTTATTTCTTGCCTCGTCCTCGTAACAACCAAGTTATCAAACTTTGTAATTATACTAAAAATGCGTGACATCATAATTATATACTTCTTGTCTTATGATTATATGTGCAATGCGTATTACGTCTAGTGAGAAAGTAGATTAAAAAACAATTTTTTATGACACACTTTTCAATTGCGCAACATATGCAATATTTTCTCTTTCTAAGAGTATTATCATCATACATCAATCTCAGCGCTAATCTAATGTGTGTGTATGTGAGCTCCGAAATTTCAAAATCGCCGACAGGTGTTCCAATTACTTGCCAATCTGACCTAAAGATGGCGTGCGGCACTTAACTTAACCACCAAAAAAACAAAAACAATTGCATTCACGCTAGGTTACAGTAGCAATCTGCCCCAAACAACAACGATTTCGCGCACAATGTATATTCTTGTGTAATAACGATAAATTTGGCTCTCGTCAACAGTCGCCACGATTGAACGAGCAAAGATGAGCCAATTGTGTCGTTTGTGTGCAGAAGCAAAGTCTACTCACTCGTTTGTCGGTATTTACGAAACGGAAGGCCGGCGGCTTGACGTCGAGGCTAAAATCGCCAAATGCCTTCGTATCCAGGTAAATTTTTATTTATTTCGTTCCTCTATTGGGATCTCCGAAAATCTTAATTATTAACTTGTATGTAACCGCTACAGGTATTCATAAACGACTGCCTACCACAGTACGTATGTGTAGAATGTTGCGACCAATTAAACCAATGCAGCGACTTCTACGAGAGAACGAATCAAGCTCAAATTGATCTTCGTCGTATGTTACTAGACCCACGCAAGGTCAAAGAAGATCCACAAAATATTCCTGAGCCTGTACTCCAAGCAAGTGTCAATTACATTGAAAACACAGAAGTGGTGTTGTGTAAAGAAGAAGGTCTGGTGGATTCTACTGGTGTTGACCATTTTATTGAAGATAGTAACGAGGAATTGGTGAAAGATGAGACTTGCCAAATAACTAAAGAGGTTGAAGATGAGAGTAAGAGTTTGTCAACAACAGCTGTGGTAAAAAAAAAGACCAAGAAGAACAGTCAGGAAGACTCTGAGGAATTGTTGTGCCATGGAATTGAGAAAGAGAAAAGCGATCAGGAAAATGGAAAGTCTAATGTTAGAGTACCAGATAATTATATGACAGGTAGGTGTTTCAAAACTGAAAAAATTCAATAGCGTTGTAAATTGATTCCATTGTTGTAACATTACAGGTACAGATTCCGACATAGAGACTATTGTTCTAGGCAGGAAAAACAATAATGTCAAGGCTGAGAGGAAGAAACCTATGCGCATGGATAGGTATCCATGGCTATGTACAGATTGCAATGATAAACTGCCTAGCTTGGAGGCTCTGGAGGAGCATCACAAGACGATTCACAATCAAAAGGCTAAGTACATGTGTGTACAATGCTGCAAAGTTTATGAAAAATACTACGGCTTCCTTACACATGTAAAGAGACACAAGAACAAGTTGAAATATACGTAAGTTATTTTATTTAAGTCACTTGTTAAGATCTTATGAGATAGAGATTTGCAAATATTTGTCTTTTGTAGGTGTGACCACTGTGGTAAATCTTTTGTTCACAAGAAGGTTTTGGAGACACACAAAGCGACACATAGCGATCAAAGACCTTACATTTGTAGAACTTGTGGTAAAGCTTTCAGACAACAAAGTGCTTTATACATTCACAGTAGGTGCCATTTACCAGAAAATATGAAGAATAGATTTCCCTGTGATCAGTGTGATAAGAGGTATTGAAATTTTTTAATCTAATCAACGTTATTATTTTATTAGTTACATTAATAAAACAATTAATATTTAGTTTTTCTACAAAACCTAATCTCGTAACGCATAAACGCATACACTCCGGAGTTCGAAACTTTACCTGCGATCAGTGTGGTAAAAGTTTCATACAGAAAGGCAATCTAGAAGCTCACTTTTTAACACATTCCACAGATAAACCTTACAATTGTTCTCAGTGTCCTAAAGCGTAAGTTTTTACGCTTGAGTTTGTACAATTTTCACGCTTCTGGAATAACAACAAAAACAATTATATAAAAATGAAATTTTCAGATTTAAAACGCCATTGCAATTGAAAAAGCATGAGACGGTACATACGGGTGTTAAACCGCATCAGTGTGCTGTTTGCGGGCGAACTTTTAGAGAAAAAAGTACACTTAGGGAACATCATAGAATTCACACAGGTGCTATGCCGTTCGAGTGCGAATTTTGCGGCAAACATTTCAGATTTAAAGGAATACTTACTGTAAGTAAATTGTACCAAAATACTTTTATTGCTTTTGAACTTGACATTAACATAAGAAATCTGAAATTAATAATAATTGTCTTAGACCCACCGGCGTCAACACACAGGGGAACGACCGTATAGTTGCCAAGAGTGTCAACGACATTTCACTAATTGGCCTAATTATAATAAACATATGAAACGACGACATGGTATTAATACATCTCAGTCGAAAAACTTGCAACAGCAGCATCAGCATCAGCAACAGCAACAGCAACAGCAACAGCAAAATCAAGAGACTCAACAAAAGGTGCAAGAATCACAGCCACAGCTTCAATCACAAATTCATGTACAAACGTTTCAGAGTCCAACTGAACATATGGGATTGTCGTCTGGACATGCCACTGCCTCGACAGTTCAAGTACGCATAAAGAAATCTCAACATTTTTTGTAATATGCAATGATTGTCATATTGTTTTACTAATTTTTAATCTATAGGTGATCCAAGCAGTACCGCACGTAACAGTATCGACGCAACCAATTGTCTTGCAAACTCTTCCTTCGAGTGCCTCGGTAACGGCAATCCAAAATTTCTCCGAGAATAACGAAACAGTTTCAGTGTCGAGTACAGGTGTGACAAATCAGAACCATCAACGTGGAGGTTACTTCAATGCCATATCCACGCCGCTGAGCAACTTTATGCCAAGTAACTTGCCCTACAATTTTTATAATATACCTAATGTTGGTGAATCAGATCTTATACATCATAGATAAACTGTCGAGAATTTTATACCTAGACTGATTGTGTAGAACGAGTTGGTGGTAAAGTTATAAACTTTTTTGTATTTTTATACAGCTATGATTAAAAAGAAAGACGATTTTTACTCGTTATTTGTTAAGATAATAAACGAAAATGTTTGTACGATGTTTTAAACAAGTGTAAATCAAACATTTAAAAATTTATTGTATGTGGTATTACAAATAAAATTGTCATTTAGAAAAAAAAGGATTATACGATAAAAGTATTGCATAACGGATAGAAACTATCCGATGGTGCTTTCAAATTTCAGATATTCCAAATATAATTAATTAGTAATTGTCCAGAGTGTAATTGATTTGCAATTACATAATATTCAATAAGATGTACATGAAGATAAAAATTTGATACAAAATTAGTAATGTAATTAGTATTTTAGTATTGTAGGGTTCCATTAAGATATCCACTTCATTTACTATAATTTTATATAAAATAATTTTTGTATCTTAGAAGTTAAGTTTGAAAACACATGCTATCGTCATTTTATAAATAAGTCATTTTATAAAACGAGTATTGCGAAAAAATAGATTGTATTGTACACATATTTGCCTCTAGTTTTACTGATACGTAGTAATATATGCGATTTATTTTATAATACGTTTTTTAAAAATACGTCGCGATGACAATGTATGTTTTTGAGACTGTTTTATTATAATTTTTGTATTTTATATAAAAATTTGTATAAAAGTATGTCAAACACAAAAAAAAGGAATTTCTTTACAGATTACATTTTTTCTACTGTTACTCCTTAAAACTATGCAATAACTTAATAGAATAATTAACAGCCGTATTTACTCTTCGTCATTCTGTAACAATGTAAAACGTTTTGTTCACTAAAAAATTTGAACTTTTTTTGCTTAAAAATATCAATTATATAATTTTATATAATTTATACATAAAAATTGCTTACCTCTTCAATGTCTTCGTCGTCTTCAATAAAATTTTCTACAGTAAGTGGCACTTCTTCGACAACAGTTAAAGCGTCAATATCGCTTTCTTGGAGATTTGGCCAGAAGAGTTTGGTCAGATCGACCACGGAGTAAGCATTGCACTGTATCTGTTTCTCAATAAATTCCTTAAGATGATCGTACACGAAAATTAGTTCACGCTGCGGTGTTGGCTTCAGACCTGATGCAAAGTAAAAAAAAAATTTCTTATTCTTAGAAAATCTATTTAAAAAGATTCATGTAGTGAATTTTCTTACTTTTCAAATGTGCCTGATCTAATGTGAACAGATGAAGGTAAAAGCTAAGTTGGTTGTATAGTTCCGTTTCTTTGTGCTAAAAGACCATGATTTCTATGAACATTCGAATAAAAAAAACTTCAATTTTCATATTAGTAAAACTTACAATTCTGTGCACATTTCCATCGAGACAATGGTAACATTTGGGATACGAGCCTGCAGTATCCAAAGTAATCCTTCTCATGGTGTTTAAACAAGCAGGATTCTCGCACTCGGCTTCGCCATAATAATACTCCGAAATGAACTTTCTAATATCCAACTGAACTTTATTTTGTATAGCAAAAGCATATTTCCAAGGTGCCATGTGACACTCAGGATTTGAACACATTTCTAACGATGGTCGAACAACACCATCCTACGATATTTTACGAATTACAACACATGTTAAATCTGTAATGACTAGTACTTACAATTTCGGTAAGAACAGTCTTGATTTCCATCTCAGTTTTGCAGCTTTCATTTCTACAAGTGAACCTAAACGGGTGGCATTTATCGAAGCGGTTATCTTGAACGCAAAGCGGTACCTCGCCTGCCTCTTGATTCGAATAGACTTTTCTTGGTTTGTATAAATCTGCGACCCCTATAACATTTTGATAAAATTAACGTAAAGCTTTTGTTAAGAAAAAGAGAATGATTTCAAGGTATGTAATTTCATACCTAAACATTGAGCAAGTACGACATCGTCGATACCCTCGATAGGCTCGCAAATTCTCATGATGACAGGGTGTATCTGATTCAACAAATAGTAATTGACGTCTACTTTTAACTTGTTACTCTTTTTGAATTCTTCAATGTGATAAGCCCTTTCATGTGCCGATTTATCTGTATTGTCCTGCAATAAATTTGATCAAGTCAAAATACCAGTATAGGGACTTTCATGATATTTAAATTCAAATTGAAGATAATACGAACCAGGCAAATGATATAAGGAACCGTATCGCCAGCTTTCCATTTACGACCACCACTCTCGTTAAGTCTCAACGCGACAGTAACGTGCGACTGCTTCTTATCACCACCGTATTCATTTGGATTCTTCGATAACTGTTTGGTAATTACAAGACAAGATAAAGGAAGTTTTCCCTCGCGCAAACTATTACCGATATTTTGCAGTGTTTCGAAGATATTATTGATACGAGTCTCGCTACTTTCATCGCTCAATAGTTGATCAATGACTTGACTGAAATGAAGGAAAGATAATGTAAGAATTGAAGCTTGCAAATGATATTTATGACATACTTTCCGATGTCACAGGCGAGACCACACCAATCCCTCCTGACAATATCTAAACCTTTGAGTTCTTTGTTCGTTTGTATTTGTCCATTCGGTAGTTTCGTCATTGTAAGCACTGCGTATTTTTTCTTCTGCAACAGTAGAAGCTTTTTGAAAACACCATCAATGTCAAGCTCGACCTTCTTGTACATCTTGTTGACTTCTTTTTTAATCTCCTTGCCGATATTAAACACCTGGTCGTACTCCACGATGTTTGTATTTATCATTATTGAATCGGTGTCACCATAGATTACCTGAAAATAATAATCATCATTGTATACTTTTATATGTTAATAATTCTATTGAAATTTTTCAATTACATCGTAATTAGCCTTCTCAACGAGGGACTTGGTGCTCTGTAGAATTTCACGACCTTTCATAGTAACAAGTGCAGCAAGACCTTTGGCATAGAAACGACAGTGAGTTGCTCCTAAGCAACCGTACATCGAGTTGGCTGTGAGTTTCAAAGCCAATTGACGAATGTTATATTGCATTTTTAACTCGGGTGTGAGATTTGGTGCTTTCATTAACTTCTTCACTTCAACTCGACTTTGGACGAGTTTACGGATTTCTGTTGGTATAATTCCGGCGTCGACTGACGATTCCGGTAATGCTAAGTCCTGAAATAGAAAACTCATAATTGAATAATACTGAAATTGCGCATTTTTAAGTCGCATATTAATGTTTTTATAATAATTACCTCAAGAGGAGCAAAAGCAGCGCCAGACACCGTAGTAAAGCACAAATTAAATTCTTGGATAATACTCGGATACAATGAGTTGAAATCCATCAACAGAATCAATGTATCGTACAATCCCTTTTTTGGCTCTAAAACTAAACCACCAGCATACTGAGGTTTCTTCTTGTTAGCCTTAGCTTCATTATCGTCCTTCTTCTTCATCGACCTTTTGTCTGGTGTAATGTAACCTTTGTTATAGAACGCGTGAAGGAGTAAAAACTCATTTCTTTCCGCTCTACCAGCTGACAACGTTCTTGACAATGTGTTACCAGCGATGTTGGTTATTTGCAATGCTAAAGGGAGAATGTTTAGCTCAATTACGATAGAAAGTATGTACGAAGCTTCAACCATAGTCGTTTGGATAAGATTTTCTAGTTTTTCTGTAGATATATAGAATTTAGAACAGTCCTCTGGTTTGATTTCTTTACATTCGTATTCTTTTTTGTTTAATACCTGCAGATTAAACATTTACATATTATTAAATATTTTATATTTTGAGAAATTTGAAATTGAAACAAAATGTAGAAACTTACAGCAACACAGAGTGAAGTGAGATCATAACTCCTGACTTTCAAATTCAGCTCTTTTGCTGAGTTGGTAATATCGCAAATCGGACGACCGCAAAAGATTTGCCCGAACATCATTTTCCCCTAAAACCACGCAAAAGAAGATCATACTGAGTTAAAAAACTGAATTACAATAACTCATATACCTTGTTGTAAGTCGGCGCAGCACGTCTGAGTTTGCCAACAACGCTCCAGTTTCTAACTTTGAGTTCATAAATTTTACTCATAAGGACCTCAAATTGAAAACCAATGTCATAACCAACAATTATATCTGGATTGGAAGTACGAAGTATCTCTAAGAAACGTTCTAACAACTCGAGTTCTGTTTCACAAACTATTACTTTAGTTTGCTGAATTTTGGCAAGGTGGTCGCGAGCTTTCATTGGCCAGCCAGTGCATTTTGGATGCGTAACCACTGCAATATAAATGAGTTCTTTTTTGTTCATCGAAATATCAACTTCATTTACAAACAAAATGTTTATAAACTTACAGCAATAATGTGTTTCAAACGGCGGCTTCGGCGGAGCTTTATCTAGTTGAAATTTATGATGAAGTAACATACCAATATTTGCGATTTCATTCTTCTGTTGTTTAGGGTCCAAAGATACTTGAATGTTTAATGTGGCTATGGATACTGGTGGTATCAAGGAGAGTTGCTGAGGTGTCACTGTGACAAGCTCCAGTTTCAAACAGTTTGCCTTTAACAGTGAATTTCGTTAGTTTATTAATTATTACTCAAAGAACAGTAATATATAATCTAATTTTCAAACTCACCTGAACCTTGCACCAACTGTAGGGATTACTAGCCGGCACAGCAGCTTTAACGTCCAACCAACATGGTCCCTTGATGTTTCTCTCGATCAAAAGTAATTCCAAAGCATTGACAGATGTACCAAACACTGCCTCGATGAGTTTGCTCGAATAATTAGGATCTATGGGAGGATATTTCGCGGGGTAACGCACCTCGAGGTATTCAGTTTCAAATGGTGTTTCAGGGCGGTCAAAGGCGTACTTCTTTTTAACATTACGATAACGGAATTCGTCAATTCTCAAAGCTTTTAGGTGTTCATTGAACTCTGTGTGGATATCGCCAAAGTTGATCTCGTCATCGTAATCGTCATCTTCTATTTTTCTCGCCTGGAAAGAAAATGTATGTAGATACAACGACCGAGATTAAGATTCAACTATTTTTCCTTACAGTCTCCCTCGGCAGCAGATATATCCTTCTCGGTATATTTTTGACAGCAAGACTGCACGAAACATATTCGTTCAAGCTCTTCACGAAAACTTTACCAAAGAGGTAAACCACACCAGGTTGCTTATAGGCATCTTCAAAAGCATCCCACCAAAAGAACCGAAAGATCTTTTCACCAGCTTCATTCGTTATCGTTGGCAGCGGAAGAGGTTTATCTTCCGTGACTGATATTTTTGACGAGATTAACTTTGATACTTGCGTAAACTCGACTTCCCAGATTTTCGCGAATATGTTCTCGTCGTGTTTGTCTGCGTCTTTCTCTTTCCACATTTGAGATGTGTTGACTGGCTGCGTCACCGATGTGTCCATCTCGGTGTTGCCAAAGTCAATGTCGGAGATCTACAAGAAATCCAATGAATTAGAATGTTAAATATATATCATTTAAATATCATTTTTTAATATCGTTAAGTATGATAATTACATCTCCAATATATTGATTCAAATCTTCTCCATTAGTACTCTCGCTAGTAATATCAGCGCTGTTCATGCTCTGCCTCACTGAACTTGCAGTGCTATTAAATAATGATTTTGAATTTTTGACGGTGCTAGTTGAAGTGCAAATAGATGATGCAGCAGTCGAGAAATCATCAGCTCCAAAATCATCATCGAAATCCAGGCTTTCCGCTTCCATTATGGAATCAGTAGGTTCAGAAATTTTGGTTGTTTTGAGAACGTTTATTTCATCTTTGTTCAATGGTGAATCTAGAATTTCAATATGCTTGATCTTGGGTTTCAACCGGTTAATTTCATCTTTATTCAGTGGTGAATCTAGAATTTCAGTATGCTTGATCTTTGGTTTCGGTGTTCGATCTGGTTTGTCATAAAGGATCTGGTCATCTAAATCATCTAAGAGAGTTTTTTGTTTTGGTTTTGCTGTCTCTTTTATCATATTTGCAAATAGTTTGTTATCATCGATCCTGAAAGCAAAAAAATAATTAAACAACTTACATAATGCTTAAAATTATTATCAAAAGATTCTTACTCAGTAGGTGGCTTCTTTACAGCAAACTTGTTAAATCTCGGCGTTTGTTTCTCATTTTCCGAGCCCTTCTTATCTCTGTCCAGTTCTAACATAAGATCACCAAGGAAATCATCGTTTTCATCCGTGATTCTATCACTGGCTTTCTTTTTGTTAGCCATACTAGAAAACATGCTAGTGATGCTACTACTTGGTTTTTTTGTATCAGCTTCTCGCTTACGTTTACGTGGCCCTTTGGTATGATCATGATTCTTAGATGCTTTTTGGACGCTTTCATCATCCAAGTCGTCGTCAAAGATTTCACGGCCATCTTCCACATAGCCTGAACCTCCACCTATTGAATGAATTCAATAAACATATTATTTCTAAAAGTTTTGACATAGTTTCAAGATAAAGTAAAAGTTATATTAATTAAAAATAAAGGTAGGATGAAATTGAATTATTAGGAGTATAATAAAGAACGTAGTTTTATAAGATTAATAATTTTCATTTAAATTTATAATTAAAAGAAGCATAAAAAAGCCTTTTTTTTCATTTTACTATCGCTATAAAATAATCATGCTCTCATCTCTCTTGAGTCGTGGTTGATTATAGTAACTATTTTTGAGAATTTTTAATAAAATATCATGTAAATTAAGTGAATAAGTATGAAGTTTTTAAGTATATGAAATTGAGGCAGAATGTATAATCATATTTACCATCATCAACAATCCAATCATCGCACTGCCTCTTGAGAACAGTTTTGCTATATTCTGATTCCTCAACCTCATCATAGATATTGTCTATATCATTGACCTCGTACTTGTTTTTACTGCCTTTTAGCTGTTTAAACCGTTCAAGAGCAGACAATCGACCTGTTTTGTCTACTTTTTGACGTTTGCTCCTGTGGGTTGATAATGCTGAAATTCAATTGTTTAGATAAATTTAAGCTCGTGTAGAATATTTACAGATAATTGATGTTACGAGTGAAATAATAGGTAAATAAATTCCCTTATATATGCTTCATTCGACGTTGTTTCAAATAAAAGCAGTTGTAAAACTTTTTTAAAAGTATTTGATAAGATCAAAAGAAAGGATAGCACGTGGTAAGTACTTTTATCAAATGCAAATAATACTAACATTGCCATTCGTCAATCACAAATGTATTTAACGAGTGCTGTCGCGTACTCAAATTAATAATTGTTACTTACATTCGTCCATTGTTTCTCGTCAAAAGCATCTGCCAAAAAAAACAGCAACTACACTCTTTGACAGTCTTCTACCGAGCAGCAATGTAATGTGTTTGGTAACGCGAGTTTTGGCGGGATTGGTGATCACGTGACTATAGAGGCCTGCGTACGCAGCCTATCCAATCCGACTTTTGTTTTGAGTCTTAATTTTGACATATAATATATCGAAAACGTGGTTACATGCGTTAGTAACTTTATTCTGCCGCGAATCATTTGAAAATTGTATCCTTTTGTTGAGTAGAACTTAATTAAACGGACATATTCAATAATTGCCAGCTTGTACGTTTTTCATTTCATAGTGCTGACTTTTTATCATTTCATGCAAGCGTTACATTTATTAATTTATTTTATCATATTGTTATTTACTTAATTTTGTTTCAAAATTTATTGCGAGATGGCTTATAACTATTTTTTTAAATCCTAGTTAGAAATCTATCAATTTAATTGGCTTGCACGACGATGAAATGGGATCATTGTCGGTTTCCTTTTATATCTAATAGTCCATCAATCATTCAAGAGTAGATTCCTAGCCTCGCAAAATAAAAATTTTCGTTTACAAAGTGACTTTACGACAAAATTAACAGACGTAACGTAATGATTGGGGAAGAATCTTGAATTGTCTGAATGCAACTAAATAAAAATGTTATTCTTTGTTTTTTACCTGAAAAATTTGTTCTGCGATCGGAATTTTTTAATTAAGAAACTGTATTACACTTTAGCGGAAATTCCATAAAAAGAAATTAATTTATAAACATATTTTATTGTCTTGGAATTACGTAACCGTGATTTTAAATATTTCATCTTCTCTAATGCGAAAAGCTACTCGAATTAAGGACCTAAAACGTGATTTTTCTATTCAATAACGAGACATCGAAAATTGCTAGTTAATAATACTTTATGTTATCTTTTTCAACGAAAGGGAACGTTTTTCAGATTTTTTCCTTAAAATATTTACGACGATACATTTAATGTGATTCACCACGACACGTTTAATAAAGAATGAATGCTTAAAACACGGATGTGCCCATACGTGTACTGTTGATTTTCCGTTTGAGAGCGATGGAAATAGAAGTTCCCCCTCGCGAATTTTCGGCTGCCGAGTGCCGCTGAGCCCCGGCTAGACTTCACCAGTTTGCTCCTACTAAAAACGGAAAGTCAGACGCGAAATGCGCATACATTCTCGGATTTTTCTTCCAAATATACATAATACCAGAAACAATCGACTCAGACTTGAAACTCGAGCGAACACGTTTCGGAGTGGGAGACACGAAAACATTTATTGGAAGCACTTTAGCCACAACCTTGATTTTAAAAATAAAATGATATCTGGGTTCCTAATTGCTGATGAGCGTAGCGTCGTATTTTTTTTTTTCTCGTCCAAATTAATGTTCTAGACAGATGAGTTCTGGAACGTCTCCACTTGTTATGAGAACCTGCCTCTGTTATTTAATTGATTATACAATTTCGCTTGTAACCATTTACTGCGTCCATAAAATTTGTACTTTTAAATGGAGAAAACGAAACTTCTAGTATTATCTTTCAAGGTGAAATTCCTTGACTTATCAAATTCATTTCGTCTGATCAAGGTAACAGGTGAATCATTCTTCGTATTTGTAGTTATGTAAAAAATTTTGACCAGCTGAGATGTTGGTAATTCCGGATTTACCTGGTCGTTATTTTTATAGAACGGACTTTTATAAAGGAACCATTGAAAATATATTTTCATACATATCTTCAAATTGTAAACCATTGAAGAATTCTATGAGTTTTTTCATTTTTATTTTCGACTTTTAATGCAAAATTACAGTTATTGATTAATGTAAGTCAATAAATTTTTCATAAACAAGTTCTGTATAAAAATTCATAAAAAAATCTACTACCGTTTTTTGCATTAGAGAAATAGAAACAATGTTGCAAGCCCAAAATAAAATGAAGTTATTTACTGCTTTAAAATGTAAGACCGTAATTATATGAGTTTGGTTTGATTCAAAAGTTTGCTTTCCTACTTCGATAGTACTATGACTGGAAGACAGAGAAAAATGTTAAAAAGAAGCGAAATATCTTATCGGAAATAATTTATGTATAAAATTATAATAAATAAAAATCATTAGTTAGTAAGATTTGCTAACAGTTATTTACAATTTATAATCGTTTATGAATGTCAGATTTTTGACATATATAACAATAGTAAAGAGTTATTTTCTGTTAAAAAACTGTCATTATTCAATAATAACAGTTTTTTTCGTTACTAACGGTTATTTGCATTTTTATTCATCAAAACAAATTTATTTTGAGAAATAATAGATGCAAATAACTATAAATAATTGCAATTAATAGTTGTCATCAATTGGAATAAAAAATTAATAACTATGATGTGCAGTTAATTGTAATTATTAATTTTTCAATACCGGAAACAAATAAAGTACTTATAGGCGACAAAAATTGAATGATAATAACAATATATAAGTGTTTAAAATAATTCTTAATTATCACATATGATAAATATGATAAATATACTTTGCTATTAATAATAGCAAAGTTTTTTATGATAAAACGTTGCATTTCCGAAATTGTATATAACTGTTAATAACTGTATATAATTATTAGTGACAGAAAAAAACTGTTAATAACTGTTATACGTGTCTAGAGTCTGACGTTTATAAACTATTTTAACTGCAAATAACTGCATGCAACAATTTTACGCAAAAATTATTTCCAACAGGGATCTGCAAAATTATCGAAAATCGTAATGTTTGGTACAGATTTTCACATTAGAACAGAATTTATTTCATTATTTTATTATTTAACTGTAATACATTACAGAACAAATTACATTACTAGTATCATTGGTAATTGAGTAATGTGTAGAACCTAAGAGTTCAACCAATAGCTGCGGTAAGATATGGAACAAAAATTCAAATGCCTATTTTAGCTGCGGCTTGCTAATTTTAGCTGAACGCCGGCCAAACCCTATATGTTCAAGCGTTGATTTTGAATCGCAGTGTCGTTTATAAATATAAATTTTCATTGTTGATTGTTTCAATATAAACAATTTATTTTTCAGGAAAACGGATATTATTATAAGCTGAAATTGGTCTTTGAGTTATACGATCGTTTGGAAAATTAATAATCTGTTTTTAAATGAACAATCAAATTTTTACAAATAAAAATATGTAAAAGATCACACAATCGATGCTACCTAACATAGAATACTCTCGAATCGTATGTGCAACGTATTCCAGTACACGTAAAAACACTGGGCTATCTTAGCAATGTCTTAGCAATTATCGGCTCACTAATGCAGCTTATCGCGAAATTAATTGCCTTTTTGTTTGTAGCTTATTTTTTATTTGGAAAATGCATTTAGAACCGGTTGTATTTGCTTAGCGTAGTTTTATTTCGATTGTTTTTTGAATGGTGATTTAATGAATCCAAACTATTCACAACGTCACAAAAGGAAAAAATGGAAAAAAAAAACTTTTGTTTTGTTTGAAAATATATACCCCCTCTTTGGACTCGCTGACATATTTTTAACGTTTAAAAAACTGGAGTGTGCTAAATAGCTAGCATTCTCAAAAGAACTATTATTTACATATTGGGGCTTCTTGCTGTCAATAATATCATCGGATATTGCTAAATATAACTCAGGTCTTCATTTTTTTTTTCTAGTCGACGGAGTAACGCTCAAATATTGTAAACATTTAAAAAACTGGAATGTAAAGCAACTTAAAAAACAATTCTAAGTGAAACGTAAGTTTTCGAATGTGCGATACCTTCCTTTTGAATAGAACAATGAACTAAAGATCCATCGAATAACAAACAATGAAAATTTGAGCGTCACTGTAGTTGAAATATTATATTATTTGTATATGCTTGAAAAAGTTGACATTAGAAAACTTAACGCTCGTCGATGGAACAAGCTGTAGAGCTTGCAGCGGAATCCACCGTTAAGCATTAAACATTTGTACAACGTTAGAAGTGAAACGCTTGAGATTCTGAGATTCGCATGGAACACACGAAAGGTTGAATTACAAAAGAAGGGAGAAAGGAAACCGCGACCGAAGTTAGCCTGAAGTAAGGGAGGTCTCGTTGAGCTTTAGGAACGAAAATACCACGTGGGAGAAAGCAAAGTGGGTCAACTTAAAAAATTTGGCACTCCTAATTTTTTTTAGATAGCGCTGGCATATTTATACTGGTCGGAGACTTTGGTTGCTAATCGTCTCCCTCTGCCACGAATGACCATCGTCGGGAGCGTCAGCTTCGGACAATCGTCGCGATGATCGACAATGGCAAAGCACGCGGACATTGCAGTGAAAAGCGGAAAAATTGGCGAGCGAGCGCGAAGAGACGGCAAGTTGGGTCGGTCGTTCCGGCGACTCGAGAAAATGAGCAAGAACAAAGGAAAAAAGAGCGAGGAGGGCAGGTTGCGCAGCCGGCGAGCGCACTGTACGTGTTAGGAATGAGCGTGGTTGAATTTAGTGAGCGGCGCGAGGAGCCGCGCGGCGAGCCTTTTTCAGCATCTTTCGTGCAGCGTCGTCCGCGGGGGCGTGTAAACTAGAACATAAATTCGACGCGCGCCGCGCCTCTCGGCACAGACGCTATTTTACTCTGTCCGGTGCACGGTACGTAAGTCTCTCACACACGCCTTGCGCACGAGCTCGCTCTCTGCCTCTTTCGCGAGCCGCTCGTCGACGGGCCCGACTCCTTCGCTCTCGCTTACCAAGGCGGCTTTGCCAGTTTGCGACGCTCTTGTGACGCGCGACAGCAGTTTGCGGCCCGACCGCTGCAAGTTCGCCAAGTGTTTTGTTCTCTGCCACCCTTTGTCCATTGCCAAACCATCGCCTTGCCGTTTCGGACGCTACTCAGTGCTCGATTCTTCGATGCGCACGGCATATTGTAGCACTTTCGGAACATTAAACCACACCGCCGACACGCACACGCAATCATTCACAGTGACAAGCTCTTACTAACGTTCAAGTGGCAAAGCTCGCACTAATATTCGAGTAGGGAAGCTCGTGCTGCTGCTCGAGTTCAATTGCTCTATTTCAAATACTCACTTTTTACATATCATTATTTCATACTCTAACATCAATTGGCCCAGCACTTTTAAAATGTGTGCTAACGAGCAAAGTTAGGAGTAGCGCTCGAGCTCGTCGACAAGTTTCGATGCATTTTAGAATATCAAATCTTGTTTCATCGATAACCAGTTTTAGCATCATTTTTTAATTAACAATATTTTTCTTTCGCACCATTATATTCACCATTAATTAAATTATATTTTTCATTGTTTGCAACACTTTCTGCATTAATACATCTTATGCAAATACATTTTTGCAATGCGGGAAAATTTCTAACGATAAAAATACTTTTCAGCGACTTAATTTCGCAATTTTTGAAAATTTCAATTAGAAAAATAAAAAGAAATCTTTTTGGACTATTCAAGCCTTCGTTTCTACGGAAAATCGGCTGTGTTTGAAAAGTCGAAAATTTCGATCTATTTTTAAAAACGGCAGCGCGACTCAGAACCAACGCTTGAACATATAGGGTTCGGACGCCGTTCGTCTAAAATTAGCGACGCCTAACTTAAAATAGGTATTCGGATTTTCGTTCCGCACCCCACGGTAGCTGTTAGGAAATTTGATTTCGGCAGAATTCGTTCAGAATTTTCTTGGCGTATCTGGCAACGGTGTTATTAATAAATCGTTTTCTGAAATGAAATAGATTGAATTTCAATTTTTATTTTAATAATTTATACTTGGATTGTGCTAAGTACTAATTTTGAATGCTATACACACCTCAATGTATTACTTATTTTTCGCTTTTTATTAATTAAATCATAATATTCCATTGCATCAATTTTGTTTTTGTTTAAAACATTTTAAAATATGTTCTACAGAAAAACATTTGTCAATGGTTTAAAGTTGATAATTTTGTTTTTCTAATTTTGAAAAAACGGTTTGTGGTATATTTATACCAAAATATTCGATAATTTCGTATTTTACAATTTTCTGCCAAAACGAATCGAGTCATACAGACAGAAGTCGAAATAATAATTAATTAATAACCGCTACATCGATATACTAGAAAAACAGCACGTTAATTTATTTCTCATCGTCAAAAGTTTTCACTTGATTCTGTAAGTATCGTATTATTTAACAATTAGAATTCACTGATAATTGCGGAGGTCTATCATGGTGCAATTGTAAATTTCAATTATTATTGCAAAAATATTTTTCAGATGATAGATTATAAATTACGATTAAAAGTGATAATTGATAATTTGAAAACTTTCGGCGGCAGAACGCAATCGAACAAAATATTCATTTTTAAATGCATGATTTGCAATCGCTAAATCGATTTATCATGTAATTTTGACAAGCAACAATAGTAATGAATTGGATTCCGTTGCAGATAAAAGAATAATCAAGCCACAAGTATGTGCGACGACGAAGTAGCTGCCCTTGTCGTAGACAATGGATCCGGCATGTGCAAGGCCGGTTTCGCCGGGGACGACGCTCCGCGCGCCGTGTTCCCCTCGATCGTCGGTCGGCCCCGTCACCAGGGAGTGATGGTCGGTATGGGACAGAAGGACAGCTACGTGGGCGACGAGGCGCAGAGCAAGAGAGGTATCCTGACGCTCAAATACCCCATCGAGCACGGCATCATCACCAACTGGGACGACATGGAGAAGATCTGGCACCACACCTTCTACAACGAGCTGCGCGTGGCCCCGGAGGAGCACCCGGTGCTGCTGACCGAGGCGCCGCTCAACCCCAAGGCCAATCGCGAGAAGATGACGCAGATCATGTTCGAGACCTTCAACAGTCCGGCCATGTACGTGGCCATCCAGGCCGTGCTCTCGCTGTACGCTTCCGGTCGTACCACCGGCATCGTTCTCGACTCCGGTGACGGCGTCTCCCACACCGTGCCCATCTACGAGGGCTACGCCCTGCCCCATGCCATCCTCCGTCTCGACTTGGCCGGCCGCGACTTGACCGACTACCTCATGAAGATCCTCACCGAGAGAGGCTACTCCTTCACCACCACGGCCGAGCGCGAAATCGTGCGCGACATCAAGGAGAAGCTCTGCTACGTCGCCCTCGACTTCGAGCAGGAAATGGCCACCGCCGCCGCCAGCACCTCCCTCGAGAAGAGCTACGAGCTTCCCGACGGACAGGTCATCACCATCGGCAACGAGAGGTTCCGCTGCCCGGAAGCCCTCTTCCAGCCCTCATTCTTGGGTATGGAGTCCTGCGGCATCCACGAGACCGTCTACAACTCCATCATGAAGTGCGACGTCGACATCCGTAAGGACCTGTACGCCAACAACGTGCTGTCCGGTGGCACCACCATGTACCCCGGTATCGCCGATCGCATGCAGAAGGAAATCACCGCGCTGGCACCCTCCACGATCAAGATCAAGATCATTGCTCCCCCCGAGAGGAAATACTCCGTATGGATCGGAGGCTCCATCCTTGCCTCCTTGTCCACCTTCCAGCAGATGTGGATCTCCAAGCAGGAATACGACGAATCAGGCCCAGGCATTGTCCACCGCAAGTGCTTCTAAACTACGAAAACAACGAAGCGATATCTCTATCTATTTACGTCATACTTCTATATGTTCATTATATTTATTGGTAATGCGTTGCCACTTTTTGTAATCGAACCATACGAATAACGGTTCGACTATTTTCTCATTCACAAGCAACGTTGTAACGAAAATTTTTTTTCAAAATATTTATTCTCTTGGAACACCAGTAAAATTTTGTAAGAATCAATACCGTCATCTTTTGTATATATCCCTACATTAAAAATAAATATTATTTTGTGAAACATGATTTTCTTTTTCTCTTGATAAGTTTTGAAATCGTTTGATTGAAAAAACACGTTCAAATGGTCTCAAACTTTCAGAGAGTTCGATATCAATTTCATCAATTAATTAAGCAATTATAACTTTTTCCACATTAAATTAGTGAATATTTCCAATTAAATCGAAAACAGCTGTCTGTATTAAATTCATAAAAATCAGTTACTTTGCTTGTAGTAGAGATATTTATGGCAATAATTATTGAAAAAAGTAGGCATGCGTGGTCATATATTTCGTAAATTGTATAATAATAGAAGTTATGATTTCTACGCCTGGAAACTTTCAACGTGTTTTCATGTTGCACTTTATTATTCACGGAAAAGCTCTTACTCAACATTTATATGACATTTCTCATTTTAGCTCTACTTAGGATTGTCTTATAAATATTTGTAACTTATATTTCGAAGTAAAAATAGCTCTGAATGATAGCAACAAATACTACCTCAATTTATATCACAGAAGTTTTAATTTATCTCTAAATTACAATATTAGCAGACATTGATCTTACGTATAATCCCTTACCTTTTTGTAGTTTATTCGACCCTCTCAAATAAACATTTCTTATTGTAAATTTGAACTTACTTTTAGCTTCTTAAATTTAAATATGGCTCAAAACTTATAGCTGTTGATGTATTTTGTCGCTTTTTTCTATATGCATCCACCTGTGTGAATAAACTCATCACAAAATAACTTAACTTTTTATGGAATCATTGATTTCATTCAAAATTATATTTTTCATTGTGAAATAAAATATATTATTTATTCTATTAAGTAATGCGATTGAACGTTGGAATGTGCATAAAAGTTAATGATGAGCGAAAAACTGATGTATTGTGAGTCCTCACATCTTAAAATGTTTCTATAACATTTTAAGAACTCTATTTTTTTTATAAAATCAAAACTTGTTTCACGAAAAAGCAATACCGGATTATAAAATTACACGCAGTAATTTTCCCGAAATACGTATCGTAGATTTCGCCTCTTGTTCAGTATTAGTTTTTAGCAATAGCGACAGTCATCTCGCCTTAATGAAGTATTAGAGGAGGCAGGATGACTGATATATTTCGTGTAAACTGAAAATTATTCCAGTAAAACGATTTTTCTCCAAGTGCTAATTTGCTATAACATCCTGTTGAGCGCTAAAGGTGAAAAAAGATGTTATGCAAAATGTTGAATTCCAGTTGAATTGGAGGAGAGGAAAACAATCTGAGTGATTTATTTCAATAAATTTATTTTAATAAAATATTATGAGTAATTTATAGTATTACAGTGGTAGTACATTATTTAAACGAAATATTATATAATAATAGTTAAATCTTCATTTAGGGTGTTTTATTTTGAAGTAATAAGTTTTAAGCACTCAATATCTCGCTCCTCTAAATAATCAACTATTTGATCAGCGATGAAAGGATAATTATCATACTCGAACTTCATCAGTGTAGAACAATTCTTAGCTGCTGCTTTCTTCAGCTCAACCATTCGACTAGCTTTTTCTACCCTCTTGTATAGTATATTGTTGAAATAATCAATTGTCGTCTCGTAATTGTTCAACAAAGCCTTGAATTCCTTGTTACGTAAATAATGCTCCATTTTTTTTGAACTCAGTGTAAGTAAGTCAAACAACGTGATCGACGGGTAGATTGTCATAGAAAGCTGTCGATGGCAATATTCAAAGTAAGATTTGAATCGAATATTGGAATCGATTTTATTGCGAATAAGTTCGAGAATAGATGTTCCGACTAACTCTTGCAAAGCTAAATGAGCGAGCATAAGTTTCGCCAATACAAAGTTTTTTTTATCCTTTAACAATGCATCAAAGATTGTTCTACTGCTGTCACCAGCAATTTTTATTTGTAAATTTGCGCCATGCCCCAGCAGAACTTGAATGGCCCCAAGTTTTTCTTCGGCATTCTTCATTTTGCTGATAATGGCTATATACAAAGCTGTCATGTTATCGTAATCGATGGCTTCGATGTCAGCCCCTTCATTGAGTAAAAACTTCACACCACCGACGTTTCCATTCATTGCTGCATACATCAATGGCGTCCGTCCAAAATTATCACGCATATCCACATCGAAATTTTTACCGTGCAGTTGCTCCGTAACATGAGGATGAGGGTTCATTGCAAGAACGTGAACTAAAGATTGTCTGTCAATATCAGGCACGCATAAATCGATATTTGTCTGCACTAATGTCTTAATGACTTCTTTATTTGCCTCAATCAACACATTGAAACAGCTTAGGTAATAAATCAAATTTTGATATTCGAGTACCACTTTTAGGATCTCAACCCTTCTAGTATCTTTCATTAACCATTCAATGCAATTGACAAAACTAAATGCACTGTAACCATTTACGTCCTGCTCCATTATATCACTCCCAGCTCTAAGCAAAATGCTTATGACATTTTTGCATGGCAAATCAGATTGAAAGCTTTTAACTATTGGAGTTTGTCCAAGGTTATTTTTGGGGTCAACATTGCTACCTAAGTCTATAAGAAACTGCACAATCTCTGGATTTCCATATTCAGCTGCATAATGTAATAATGTATTATTTTTTTCATCGACTGCATTATGCACAGATGTAGTAGTGATAATCGACTTGACTTCGTCATTATCCTGGCTGTTAATTAAATAAACTAATGTACAATCACTAGAAAACTGAAATAGAAATTAAAATTTATTTAAATAATTTCCCTTTTAGAAAATAATTAATTGTCATTGTTCAAAAATTAAGCAAATATTGGAAGCATAAATATATGAAAACCAAATTATCAATTTTTCATAATACGGTACTTATTTATAGCAATAATTCAATTTTTTTGCTGAGGTATACAAGAGTTTTATTTTATATATCTACATGGTATTTAATAATACTATATCAACTTTTGATTATTATAAAAGAAATTATTGTACTCGTGTATAGGCTAGACTAAGTTCTCGTAGCCTCGTCACAAACATGCGATGTACATTACACATAATGACGCTAGTGATTTATTGTAATGATAAAAAATAAACTTAAGATTAATGATGTTTTTTCTCACATGTTGGTTTTTCTGGTTATTGTAACATTAAAATAATTTCCTTGTTCATTTTACAAAGATTAATTTGAATTTTGGCGCAATATCAAGCATCACGTGATATTTGACATTCACGGGCCGTAGGCCGTTAGGACATCCACATATAAAGGGGAAGATTAAAAAGTATGTATGTAAACATAGAACGAACGGTTATATTATCTTTTTATTCAACACGTCGTAAGGAAAGTACTTTCCGTAGTTTTCCGTATCCTCGTCGACGAAAATTGCGCGCTTAAACTTAACTCGATGGAAATTGCGCTTAACTTCGTACTTTCTATTGAGTTTTCAAAAAGTATCCGGTGTGTAATTATGTTACAACCCTAATAACCGATAAAATAAATGTTTAAATTTGACTTACCAACATTGTAGATATATAATTACTAATATATAATTACTGTGTGGAAAAACTATTTTGTCAAATCAATTGTTGGTGAAAATGTGCAATCTTCTACTTGAATCACGATGTCACTCGTTTTTTTTCGAATTAATCAAGGATGTAAAAAGTGGGACGATTTTACCCACCAAGATAGACAGACTCGTTTAATGGAATACCCCCCCCCCCGGGGCTAGTTTTAGACCCATCTAGCAGAGGCTTTAGGCCCCGGTCCCATAGGTTACCCAACGTGAATTGAATCGCGACCCCCCCCAGTTAGGTTGGTATGAGTGCTACTTTCAGTCCGTAACGGTGGTTTTCAGATCGGCCATAGTATAACGCTCGTTCTTAAATTATATAATTAAAACCTAAAATCAAATAATCAAGCATCTAAATTCATTGTTCGCAAACAATTAATTTTAAACCTAAAAACAAATTAGTAACGTTTTAGCTTTTTATCGTATCTTAAAACGAATTTTCATTTTTGAATTTTCCCGCGGTTTTTTCGTTCCGATGCAACGACGGAATTCTCATACCAACCTAACTGGGGGGGTCGCGATTCAATCCACGTTGGGTGTACGTATGAATGCGGACGGATACGGACGCGAATCGCAACTCTAGTAACATCACTAAAAATATCTAGTTCGATTATTTAGTACCAACACTACCGGTAGTGAGCAAAAGTAACTGTTGTTTAAAACTGTAGCGCCGAACGTACCACATTTAATGAACGCTTATATTTAACCTTTACATTATTGCAGTCTATAAGATGGCAAATGATAGAGAATTGATAGACTTTCAACTACAATTAGTGGAATTAGGCCTTAATTTTATGGAAGTACTTGAATGTATGAGAAGAAGAAGAAAATATATATAAATGATATGTATTAATCATCCCAAAAGCTTTTTTTACATTAGCATACTCATCAATAAGCAATATTCATGAGAATTTGAAAAGTAAATTATAGACCTGACACTTGAACATTAAATGTGGTACGTTCGGCGCTACAGTTTTAAATAACAGTTACTTTTGCTCACTACCGGTAGTGTTGGTACTAAATAACCGAACTAGATATTTTTAGTGATGTTACTAGAGTAGCGATTTGCGTCCGTGTCCCGTCCGCATTCATACGTAGCTATGGGACCAGGGTCTAACACATGAAGTTGATAATTCCATGTGCGCATAACCAACACTAAAATAAAGCCTTTTCGGTCTGTAATCTGTATGCACCGTAATTTCACTTCTGGTTTGGGCCTTTAAAAAATCATATTTAGCGATTGAACAACGCGTTTATTACACGTGAAATCAATTTACTTTGATTTCAGTTCCAAATGATTTACTTGACTGTAAATTGATCGCGCTGTGTTATACTTATTAGTATTTGCTATTTTATTTCTTATTCTCCAGCACTCACGCTATACGACACAATGATCAGCATCGATAACAAATGTCGTCTGCTTGGCAGTATATTTAAAATTCGCGCGTATCAACTGAAGTTAGTTTCCCTCTAAGAATATTTAGGGGAAAAAATCGAATCGAACTATAACCTTTTCATCATGAAAAAATTTGAAAATCAACCATCACCATTATTGACACAATGACCTAACATGAAAATAATAAAAACAAAATAATGCGCAACAAGTGTGTTGCACGAAAATACATCAACAATAAGTCGTTTTTTAGGGTTAACAATCTTAATAAATTCAGATACACATTTAAATCGATAATTATCTACAGCGATCCGTGCAGAACTTCGGTTCGATGTGCCGTAACGACACTAACGACTTGCTGATGAAAGAAAAGGGGCGCAAGAGAGATAGAGAGAGATAGATATAAATAAGAAAAACCATCGTGAGATCAGCGTAGCCAAGGTATACAAGGGCTTTGTTGTCGTATATAGCGGTTACCGAATGCTTCTATTGCCAACGAAAATCTAGGATTTTCCTTCCGCGTCATCTCAACGTCACGCTCAGACTCGATATAAAGGTAAGTTATTACGTCAATCTTTTGTTGGCTTTGTTTATTCACTGCTCCGATTTCGCGCTGCCCGTTTTTTTCCGTTCGCCCTCTAATTTTTGCGTTGATCATGCCAAGGTATGATTTCGATTTAATTTTTGACATCCTCGTGCTAATATTACAGTTATGTTCTCAATTTTTCACTGCATTTTGGAATTGTTGCGTAAAAAGAAAAATGTTTAATATTTCCGATTATTGTTACATTACGTTAATTTTTATTGTTATTTCAGATTTAGCACAATGGCTAATGCACACAGTCCCACGCGTTTCAATGGTGATCCTGACAACTGGTTTGATCCCAATTACAGTCTCGACATTAACAAAAAAATGAGGGTGCCAAAGAGCATCAGAGTCAATGGAGGTTACAATGAAGATGAGCTTAATGGGACAAATGGTTCTTCTTGGAGTCTTGTCAATCCAAAGGTTGAAATGAATGTTCCAGATCGAATCCTTGTTGTTGGTAAGATCTAATCATGTATTGTGATTGTTTTGAATAGTTCAATTTAATAGGTCATTGTTTACAAATAAGTTCTGCTGTGCTTAGGTCAAGAACAACATGTTGGTGCAAAAGCTCCTCCAAGAGAAATCGCTATAGAAAATGAGGTCATGCATTCTGAACCTCCAATTGTACGATGCATTGTGAGTAAATTTTTAATTTTAAAAGCTAAGACACGCATGTCATGTAAACTATTTAATTGCTTGAAAAATTTTCTATAGACGCCGCCAAGAGTGCTAACTCTGGATACTCACTATTACCCTGCAGCTGATGATCTTAATGTAACAAGCCCCCAAGAGTTAGAAGAAATTGGTGTTAAAATACGTAATAATTTGAACGAATCTCAAGTTATTCCTAGACATGTCAGGTGAATGTCTTCTGAAATATTTTGGTGCTTGAAGTTACACAACAGAGCATTGACTTTAAATATATTCACAGAGAAAACACTCCAGCGTACGGTGTTATGGATGTCTCTTTGCCACCTGGTGAAGAATTTCAACATTTGAAACGACAAATGAACAAGCTCAATCGACGAATTATGGCCCTTGAGTCAGAAGTCTCGCAACAAGGATCAAAACTGAAAGTTATGTACATCACAGCTTCTCTGTATTTTTTGGCGAGGATGATATCTTGGTTTGGCAAGAATTAATTTGAAAGATTTTTCCTTGTGACTTGACGGATGATTTTTCATCATTGATGGTATGTGAATGAATTGTGCCCTACTTTGCCCTTGAAACAAGCTCTCCAAGTACGACTACCATATACAATCAAAAAAGTTACTAAGGAATGTGAATTGAAAAATCGAGTATGACACAAGCTTTCTCTTCTCATCCTTGGATCTTTTTTATCTATACTGAATTTGTTGATTTACAGATGAATTTATACTCGACTGACGTATCATCGAGAGAATAATTTATCTTATAGTAAATTAAGCGAAAGTAATTTTTAAAATGCAAATTTTTTGAAAGTTTTGAATTCTATGAAACAGAGCAGAATTTTATATATATATAAAAATTTAGAAATGAAGCTTTAACGATTTCATTTTCCATCGACGTCTAAAATACCCTATTTTTTTCCACTTATAGTAGGAATCAGATGTAGTTACATATAACTACAATGGTTATTAAGATTAGGTAGCAGCCAAAGTATTGGAATTTTTTTGTAATGCCACTATAAAGAACCTGGTCGACCATAAAAGTGACCGTACTTGATTTCATTTTCGTTCTTTTCTGCTACCATTACTTCAACAACTTGTTACTAGTTGTATTTAAAATAATTGGTGTAAAATTTTTAGTCTACAAATCGATTAGATTTCATTACACCTTGTACAGAAATATGTATAGCATTAACAAAAAGAAAAGAAGTTAAAATACTATATCAATCTTTGATTATTATAAAAGAAATTATTGTACTCGTGTATAGGCAAGACTGTAAGTTCTCGTAGCCTCGTCACAAACATGCGATGTTGTACATTTACACATAATGACGCTAGTGATTTATTGTAATGATAAAAAATAAATTTAAGATTAAGATGTTTTTTCTCACATGTTGGTTTTTCTGGTTATTGTAACATTAAAATAATTTCCTTGTTCATTTTACAAAGATTAATTTGAATTTTGGCGCAATATCAAGCATCACGTGATATTTGACATTCACGGGCCGGATAGCAGACAGTTAAATATAATGGCGCTGAACAGAGGTAATTTGTAATTTATTTGCCTTCTTTTCATTTAACGTAATTTATTTGCATCTAACAATTCAATTTTCTTTTGATAAAATTTTTAGAAGAACTAGTCAACACTAGAAAATATCATAGCTGAGAGTAATTTTACGCTGAAATGAAGAATGAAGAGGTTACATTACATCGCCTATCTAACATGCCCAGCAATGACAGTATTATTCAGCCTACTGATAGGTTTTGCCACAATGTACATACAAAATACAATATCACCTTTGTTTGTGTTCCTGTCAGTTCAATTTTATCTCAACTGGTACCTTGTCTACAGTATCAACAAGAAGGTTATCATACCATTCACACAGAATTGTCAAGAGGGCTGTGACACAAGATTCTGGTACTGTGGAAAGTGCAAGCATTACGCTAGAAGGCCTGCACAGCATTGTGTACTGTGTAGCAAATGCTTCTACTATCGAGATCATCACTGCTTTTTTCTGGGAGCTTGTATATTGCGACAGAATATGGGAAACTTTGTTTTAATCTGTATCTATGCTTCTTTAGCCTGTGTGTATTCTGTATTTACAACAGGGCCTTATTTATATGATTATTTTTTGCATTCTGATACTAGCAAGTTGAATATCTATTACTTTGCTCTGAATTTTTTCTTCCCAATCACATTAGCCAAATTCTTCTTGGTTGGAGATGAAAGTATACATGTATTTTTAGTCACATTGTTCAATGTATCAGTTTCGATAGCTTGTTTTACTCTAGTCTATGGATTGTGGAAGTTGATTGCTTGTATGTCTGGAAGACAGAGGTATTATCCTGATTATGTTGCAAAGCAACAGGATATATATGAAATTTTTGGAAGTTATGGTCTTCTGAACTTTGTCTTCCCGTTTAATGGATTTTTACACTCCAGAAATATAGATGAAAAGTATGAACTGAAAAGTGTTTAGCAAAAAAAATTGAAAAATGTTTATTATTTATAATGTTGAATTGAAAAAAAGAATTAATTTATGCATTTGTCATGATTTTCTTTATTGTATTGTAATGAACTGATATCAAACTATTATTAAATAGAAGTATATTTCCTTGGAAAATTCATTACAAATCATGAAATGCATTTAACCACTGATTGCACTATGAAACATTAAAAATCAGATTTTCCTACTATTTATTAATGTCATCTATCTCATCACAAAATCGTTGTTTGCTCTGATAAAACTGATATTTTATAAATAATCAATCGTTTTTTCTATAGCACATACGTATTTACATATAGCAATCACACAAATAACATACTGAAAAAAATATCTCACACAAGTATGAAAAATATGCTATTATATGAGAGAATGGAGCTGTTGTCAGTATTATAATTCTGTATGCTCATAATGCTGTTTCTTGAAATCATTAGGATGAATAAAAAGACCTTCCATTGCTTGCCATTGTGAATAACTGTTGGATGAATATTCACCAACAACCTCATGTTGACCAACGATTGGAGAACCATATTTTCGACCTGTTACAGTTAAGTACCTGCAAATAGACAATATTTCAATGTATGAAATTACAGGGAAGAAATTTTTTTTAATAAAATAATAAGTTATTAGTTACGCTTCTGTGTCTATATGTTTCAACATAATTGGCTCTTCCCTTTCCCAATAGTCACCAGGACATACTACCATCCAATGATCTCCTGTGTCACCATCTGAATTAATTCCATAGGCTGACACTTCTTGTTTTCCACTCAACGGAGAACTTACGAGATGAGAATGAAGATTCTTCTTTGTAGCTGTATGCTCCAAACGGATTATATCTCCACATTGCACAGGTTTTCTACAAAAATGCCAAACATCAACTTTATTATCACGAACTCAAACTATTAAAGTTTATCATTTTAACATTAGTCAACTATTACCCTCTAGTATAGGACTTTCCAGTAGGTGCTTTAACAAGCCAATATGAGTTTCCATCTTCTTTAGTCTCTATTGCTGTAACCGATTGTTGTCCACTTCCAGTTCCATACTTAATATCATGTGAATGCAGTCTTACATTGTAGTCTATGTTCATTAATTTAATCACTGAGTTATATGTTACAAAATTTGTTCCTTTAGCTGGAATAAAAATAATAAAACTCAATAATGTATAACAATTGGTATTATCGCATAATTATCATTAATTTTCTTCTGAAATAAAGTACTGAGAACTTTTGTTTTTGGACATATTAAATATCTAAAAAATTAGTTGTAATTTTGAAAATAAACCTTATTAATTGAAATGTCAACAGTTATAAATACAAAAATAAATAAGATAAATAAAATATTTTCCAAATTGTACTAAACACAAGAAAAAATGTCTGAAAACACCGAAAATTAAGTATTAACACTTAGGTTATACCGTGCAAGTTTGCCACCGAAGCCCTTGCAAAAATTGTTGACCACGTCAATAAAAATGTTAATTTGTTATACTCACCGGTAACACATCCTATTTGCACAACCAAGGCAAGTATTCCAAGCTCGAGTATTGTTCTCATTTTTTCGTTAAAAATTGCTCGTATCAACAAACACAGATTTATACAGTGTGTTGAAAGCAGACGAAAAAAACTATGGTTAGAGTTACATACCAAATCAGTCGCGCGCACGTGTCAACTACGCGGTTCGAATGAGTGACACGTGTCTCTCTACTGATAATTGGTATATGTGTAGGTGGGGGGGGGGGAGATGGTGATTATTTGTTTTCGATACTCCGTGCGCAAAGTGTGTTTTTCCCACACGCTCAGCAGAAAACGTGCGTTGAAAATCGCACTTTCCACAAGTCGTATAAAAAAATATGGTACAGCACATGTTCGGGAAAGAGTTTCTCGTCTCGTGTGGCGTTTACGCTCGAGCGAAGCGAGTCTATTTTCCCGCACTTGTATCGTATATCGTAATGTACTAATTTATGAATGATAGAATAAGATGTCCTATAAAAATCTAATTTATTCAACAAAATATAAATGATTAATCCCTATAATTTAGTAGTATACAGTGTAAACAGAAGTAACATTAAGAAATTAATTTCAATTGTACACTTCAAGCATAACTGTATCTTCTATGACAAGATCATCAAGCATCTCTTCAAGTGTGATCTGTGGCATCATAGGATCAATGCAGTCGGAGTCAACTGGAATTTGTTTCTTACTGTCTCTGTATATGTTGATGTTCGATCTCAACTCTGGATCTTCCTCGAGATCCTCCAAGAATTCATTGTACTCGTTGTTCTCAGAACCAATATCTATTTCTTCAGCCAAATGCTTAAGTTTCCACATTCTAGCTCTACGGCGAGCTGATTTTTCATTACCATAATATTTTTTTATTAAGATGACATCTGGTACACTGTCTTGATCTAATATTTCAAAATTATCATCATTGATATTATTTTCACTGAGAGTGTAGCCCAGTACAGAGTCACCTGGTTTCAAAATTCCTCCCAAGTGAGTTCTGGCATGTATTGTATTCTGATCTAGTCCTAAATCTTCTGATTTAACTACCCATATATCTGCAATTACATGTTTCTTTGAAATATGGCCTTGCCCAGGGAATCTTTTTATTTCTTTATCCTTTATTGGCTCAATGTCAATGACAACAAATTCCTTCAATTGCTTTGGATTACAGATACTGTTGAATGGTTGACGCCAGTAAACATTTGCACTGACTTCAGTTACTTGGCCTGATGATACATCGATCAGATGTATGCCACTTGTAACTTTGTATACTAGACAAATAGGATTTATACCTCCTAATTGGTGCACTAGTTTTTTTGGCAAACAGACAATACTGTCCTTTGATATAGGAACAATTTCAATACTAAAAGTGAATTTGTAGTTATAAGTATTGCTGTGAATATCATGAGAAATAAGCTTTTTTGAATGCTGGTAACGACAAGGTAATACTGAAATTATAAAATCAGTAATTTTTCTTGCTCCAGCTTCATTAGCATAAAAGAAGTCCAATCCATCGTGTATGGGTTTGATGGCAACTGTATTCTCATGAGCTTTGTGTTTCAAAATAAGCTGTTCTAAGTAGTAAAATGTTTTTTTATTTATAGCTTTCTGTCTTACTTGTACAGAAGCATTCCAGTAATCCTTAGCTTCTGTACGATGACAATCATTACACATTTGATGACTGACAGTGTATTCAACGATGAAGATCTGTTCCAAAGTTGCTCCAGTCATTACCTCACCATGTACAGTTATTTTAACTTTTATCCGTTTAGAATGTGGCTCTGTCCAGATAAATCCAGCATCAACTAATTTTACTCTGCTGAGCCCTTTCAGTTTCTTCAAGCACAAAGCCAAAAGCTCTCTAGATTCTAGAGCAGCTTTCACCCACTCACCAGGCGGCAACAAATATCTTTCACAATTTCTGCAAAAGTACAAAATTGCTTGCTTAGGAATACCTTCTGTAATGTCCACCTGTGTACGTAAACATCCTATGCACATGTTTGTAGGATTAGGCTCGATTGGAGTGGCACATTCACAGCATAAAATCTGTGATTTCACCTCTGGCATCAGATCTGTAGACAATTCTGTAAACTCCATTTAACTTTTTTTACGGATTACAAAATTATTTATTTTAATAAATACTAATTTTCGTGTAGAAAAATATACAACGTAATAATGACTTCCAATAAATCACTTTGTATCGTTAACAAACAGTGATAACGTACTCATAACAGAAACATGTGCCAAATTAATATTACGTCCATAGTTGAGGTTAAAGTTTTCTTTTCTAGGCCTCATATATATTAAACCATTCCATTATTCCATTCCTTAAAACAAATTCTAGCAACAGGCGATCCATATTCCACAATCTACATTTTTCAATGCTAACAGCGCGCGAAAATATAAATAAAAATTAATGAAAAATTTCGAAATGGCAACGTGGTTGAAGATTTATGATGTTCGATAAAACGTCACGTAATAATGATGAAATCTGAATGATTCCAAATAAAAATGCAACCCTAAAGATGTTTAATTAAATTCTTTTGTTTAAATATCATTAAGTATTAAACGAGAAAAGAAGAGAATTTTACTTTCCCCATCAATATTACTCGCGAAGTGCGCAGTAACAAAACTGAAAAGAAAAACGAAAAAAATGAGCACAGGAGATCACGTAAAGCGTCATACGGCGACCGCAATATAGCTCTGGCAGCCGCTGAGCTCTGGTGTCTGGTGAGTGGTGTCGCCTGCGGCAGTTTGGTTTGGTGTGCACTTGCGCAACGAAATAACGAATAGTGAGCCACACAGATTCGTTGTGACTTTGTCCTGCAGACTGCACAGTCTCACAGTAACATATACGACACAGTGAATTCAATCACCCGCACATACATTATACAGTCGACAGGAAATCAATTTTGTTCATTGCAGCATCAACAATCATCGTGAGTTTTGATTGTAATTAGACATAAATCTTCGCGGAAACTTTTTCTCATATAACTTGTTTTTCCTCCCTAGAACATCTGCTCCTATGTGTGCTGCTTTCAAGCACATCGAGGCTTAATACCAATACACGCACTTAAAACGTATATTAAATGCTGGCAAATAACGATAGGCAACGACGAATTAACCTATAAATAAAAAGCACCCATACACATACAAAGCGACAGAGCGAGAGAGGAGAAAACGATATATCTAGGTGAGTAGCTGATAAAGTGTAAACAATATGAAGTCTCAGATGGACGTTTGTGTGAGTGGGTGATTAGTGCGCGCGATTATCTCTATTTGGATATGCGCGCATGCGACGAATTTTCAAGATTCATTAGTGTGTTTACGACAGTCAGGCTTAAACCTGATTGCATTTTTTTCTCACAATTATATTCTCTCTCTTCCAATCAGACCAGAGAAATATTAACAGCTTTCGTGTTACTTTTGGAATGCATACAATTCACTCGATGCGAAATTAAGCTGCGATTAAAGAGTTATTAGCATCGTTTAACAGTAACGACGAGAGGAGAGAAAAATTAATTTGGAATGACTAGTTTCGAAAGTCTTCTACGGTGTAAAATTATAATAGCGGACCGGTTTTTCTAGACGCATGAGATTTTTAGTGACGAAAAATGTTGCCGTAGGCACATACATTTATACACTCAGGTCTGATTGCGACAACACACTTTATGACCCGCATCCTTGCATTCATGGGAGCTCTCTAAAATTCTTATTTTTCAGCTGATGGGTTCTAGATGAGTTTACGCGTAATTTTAGGCGTGAAGTGCTATGGTAACTTTTGTTTTGTTGATCGACATTCTAAAAAGCTTGTTGGCTGCTGTTAAAGCGTATTACATTCTGTACATTGTGTAGTTCAGTTGGATACAATTTTAATAAATGAACTTTAGTAATAGTCTGTAAAATGACGCAAACGCTCAACTGAACTGTCTTGGTATTTTTTAATTTTGTATTGACTTAAACTAAACAAGCAAATATTTTTTCACAACTTTCCATTCACAGATGTCTCTTTACGTTCTCGCTTGCACGTTTTTAAAATATCAATGAGCTGCAGTAAATCATTATCTACATTGTTAGTTTGTGTGTATAGTATCAAGTAGCAGCACCTATAAATAGGAAGACGAAAGAGACGCCCGTCAAGTGCCTGATAACATGTGTACTTTCGCGATCAAGCGAATTATACAGTAAATAAAAAAAAAAGCAGCGAGAGGGGTTCATGCGGGTATACGTATGATAAGGCAACGGCGAGTTTTCTTGCGGTGGCGACGAGTTGTGTATGCATGAAAGTATGTCGGATCGTCGTCGTCGAATGAGAGAGGCTATTAATTCACTTATTCAATGAGCTACAGGCTTTCGGTGGTTTCAATGGGTTTGGAGAATGCTACTGCAAAAGAAAGAACTAGTTGACGCAGCTAGTGAATGAACTAAATTGTCCCGGTGTAAATTATTATACGGAAGAGAAGACTTTTTGTCGTATCTATCACTGTTTCGCTTTCTATGATTCAATTGTGGAGGTGGGTAGTAGCCTGTGATCGCTCCATATATAGCGAATGAAAAGAATTTTGACGATGGATTTGAACATTTTTAAACTTCTTTTTGTACTTTATTAAATTATATTTGATGTGTGAGTGATATGACAATGAGTAAAAAATCCTAGGTCATGTACGTAATTATTAAAGCTTGTGATGAATTTCAGGTAAATCCAAGATTATAATATTTTTTTCATGTTGTTTTTAGTAATAAATTATAGTACATTTGAATAAGTTCATTGAATATAGATTTTTCGAAACTTTTTAGAACTGAACTTATATTGAAAAAATATTCTGAGTTAATATTGATCAAACACGAATTACATTAACAGGTTGACAGAATGACGCCGCAACAATATATGCATGTAGAATAGAAATTGATTATTCATGAAACAGTTTTTTAAAGAATTTAAAAAAAAATAATAATAAATTCTTTTTTATTTTTGTGAAATAATTATCTTTTGAATGTACGAGCTTTATCATAGTTATCTACATTATTTATTATGCCTTTCATGTATGATCTCTGTTTATCACGACATGTAAACATTTTTATGATACATATTTTTTGCACACCGCAATTTTATTCAACTTTTTTTTATGTTTTATAAAATGAGCACACATTAGTATACGCGCGTCCTACTTGTTTGTGCAAAAAAATTTGATATACCTGACAAATAAGTCCTCATAATTACCATTCGCAAATAATTTAATTTTTTTTATTACAATTACGTGTATTTATTACAATTACAATTGCTGAACAATTACGTGCCCCGAAGACCGACGAACTCATCCTCATAAACAACTCTACAAGCGCGCGCCTGTGTGTGTGTGTTTTACACCCGACATTTTTGCGATTGCAGCAGCGTAAATTTGGTCGTTGACGCTCCCTTGTACACTGATTATATAAGTCTCTCGCGTCAGGACATACACGTGCGGGCGCGTCGTTAAATTGTCAATGAGAATCTCGTGATTGATGAACTCGCATAAAAAAACACGACTTTTTGTAATGCACGTTGTTTCAATTTAAATCAATTTGGTAAGAAAAATAAGAATAAAAATTTTTTTATAACGATGATTGATATATCTGCTACGTTATTTATCGAGCGTGATGGTGTTATACTTGTAAATCATCGTTATTCATTTGAACTTGGCGGGTAATTTGGAGAGGAAAAAAAAAGACGCGGTTACGACGAAAAATCGATGTGCCATTCAAATCACTTAACACCACCTGTTTGGCACTCCCTAAAGTTCGACTATTGAGGTATCGTTAGAAGGTTACTGAGTCTGAGTTTCTCATTTACACGCGTTAATTGTTCCACGTATTTTTTCTTCTATCTTTTCAAAGCGGCACTGAAAACTTCGTTGATAAAATCACGAATTAATCTATTTTTATCGTATCACGATCGTATAATGAATGGATTTATAGGAAATAAATTGACCAAAGTAATTCAAATCATCATGTTGGAGTACATATGATTCTTGCATTGGAATAATATTATATAATGTTAGTTTAATGTTTCTGGACATTTCATTCCCGTCACTTTTTTTAGTTACAATGTGACATATTGGGTCAAATTTAACGTCAGAATCGTATTTAATGAGTAAATCGCATAAAAAAATGTTTGACAAACATACGTTTAAGTTTCTGTTTGTCAGTTGATTATGTTTAAATATAAACATCACCATAATCATACAAAATCCATTTTTTTTTCAAATTTTGTGACTAACTTTTACGATTAAAAAAAAAGCAAGAGAGGTTAATTAAATCTGACTGCAGGTTTGTAATTGACAAGTCAAAATACTATTAAAAATGTACCCTGAATGTAAGCTTATCCTGTAAACTTAGTAAACTGACGATTGGTAGAGTAATTCTAGTGTGGATTCGAATTCAGCAAGCTGAAATGCATAGCAGTACTCGTGTCGAGTACCTGAATCCGAGATTTTTTTTTAATATGCTGCTGCAATGGTTTCAATTTTTAATTTAGAATTTATAATTTAGAATAGTTTACATCTTAAAAAGTACCTTATATTCTGGGAAGTAATGTTTATCGATGCCGAAAAAAATCGACACAAGATTCACTTTTGCGACGATCCAACAATAATCATCGATTCGTCGTTAGAAAAGTTAAAAACTTTAAATGAATCGAATATAACTTTTGAATGCTAATTTGAATGCTACAATATATCGAATATATATTTTCGGTAGAACCGATCCGAACTAGTTTGAAACAGCTCGATTTTCCCTCAATGTCAATGTTTCAATATAAACATGCATGCGTGCTGTATGATACTCATCTTTTATGTGATTCAATCGCTTGTAGGTCTATTCACCTTCTCCTTTCTCTCTTTTAGATCCCTTATGAATAATCTGGGTAGTCGTGTTTGTTAACTTTATATTGTTATTTTTTTTATATACATTAATTACTACTGATATTTATTGCAACTCATGTGCCAATTTATGTATACTTTCACTCAATGCTCATTCGATTAATTAGACCTCCACTATATCAAATGGTATGTAAATTTGGTCCCCTATTATTGGAGGATAAATCAAACTTAAAAAAATTGTAAATGTAACGCTTGCATATTAATCACATAACTTAACTAATATTTCCAAACACCTTAGTTATATATAAAAAAATAGATGCGCAGCGTCTGAAAATAGATTGAAATCTCCTCTAAGCGGATACCGTGTTATCCTGCCAAGTGTCCAACATTGACTTTGACGTGTATAGAAAGAGATGTATGTGTATAGCCATACTCGCGGAGCAGCGTGACAGAAGTTCGCACAATTGCGCTTGGTAACTCTATCAAACGATTCGGCCGTGGCCCAAGTTGACAGCAATTCAAAGTTTCTCCCTCCCTTCTATACGTATCCCTTCCCCTTTTATCTTCCTGGCTTTTTTTGTGCGTTCGAATCACGGTAATGAAGATAGCTGTCGTAAACACGTAAGACGCAAACTGATCACCTATATACACATTTCTCCGTTTGCGTACAAATTTGAATGTCCGAAGAGCACTAATGCGATTCGCGCAAAAGATTGATAGTTTTTAAAGCACAACGATGACACAAGCTGTAGGCAAGTTTAGTCTCACATACTTCGTTTTTCCGTAACGCAGCGTAACAACGACGATGGATACCGAAGAGCAACCAAATAAAAAGAGGAGGGACGACGAAGAAGACATGACTAACAGGAAAGTCCGCGTGAAACCCAAGCCCGTACTATTTGAAGAATTAACGCAGCTACCGGTCCTTGAAAAGTCGTATGTCGGAGTATTGAAAGACAAAAAAAACATCTCCAAATCAATAACCGGTTTGACCAACTGTCTACCTTGTCCGCAATATCTCAAACGTTGCTCCGGATTGAGAATCTTCTTGTCGAAAGTCATCGGTACACCCGAGGATCTCAAACAATTTATGATCCAGAATGGTTTTGATATGTCTATTCTGGAGGATAAATTTGAAATAGTTGACGTTCCTGCTGCTCCACCTAGGACTCGAGCTCAGATGGCTTATGGATCCAAGTTTTGGCCAATGAACTTTCATCCCGATTTAAATCTTGAAGCTTTCATTTCTGGATCCTTGTTCGATGATGATCAACTTGCATCTCTTGAAACGTGTATTAGACTTGCTATTTCAGCTGCCCAGAATACTGCTGTGGGTTCAAGAGAATGTAATGGAAGTGCAGTAATAGTTGATCCAGAAGAAGGAAAAGTACTTGCTATTGCTGCTTCTAGCGTAGATAAACATCCAATGTGGCATGCATCGTTGATCGCTGTTGACTTAATTGCCAAGATTCAAGGCGGCGGTGCTTGGAGATTGCTAAATGATTTTGAAAGATTCAAATTAGATAAGGTTAAAAGAAAGTTTCCCGATGATTTACCTCTCAGATATCCAGATTCGTTGTTTACGATAGAGGTTTCACAAGAATCCAAATTAACTTTTGAGAAAAAAGAGGGAAGAAAACTAAAAAATGATCTCGATGTCAAGTGTGGACCTTATCTCTGCACAGGTTACTGGGCAATTCTTCTGCAAGAACCATGTCCTCTGTGTGCTATGGCTCTTTTGCACTCGAGAGTATCAAGAATATTTTATGGAGCTGCTAATTTAAGAACCGGTATTCTTGGTAGTAAGGCGATTCTGCATTCTGTACCAGGACTTAATCATCGATATCAAGTTTGGAGTGGGATCTTAGAAGATGAATGTAATAGAATACTTGAAACGTGCCAAGTAATTGACAGCTGACGGACGAATCGATTTTATTATTACCTTTGATTCATGACATTTTTTTATATGTTGAATAAAATTTATTATTTAAGAGTTTTGAGATGTCATTTTCATTATAAAGGTTTGTTGAACGAGGTTCTATATTTACTTTGATGTTTCTATTGAGTATGCAAAAAAATGAGATAGCAACCGCACAATCCCCTTATAAAATCTTTTTATCCCCTTATATAAAAAAGTAATAGATGCCATGTTGAAGCATTTTATTCGTGATCTGATTGGCTGTCATCACTGCTATGTGACGGGAAATAAGTATGCATACATTATTTGAAGTTAAATGTTTAGTAATGAAAATTCAATTTATCATAATAAATACGAGTCATTTTAGAGATAATGAAAGTAAAAAAATATACTATTGTTTCAACACTCATTTTATACAACAAGCAGCGAGTAAATCTTTTCGTAAAAGCAGGAGGTTATGTTTTCAAATTATTCTTATTATTTTCTATTACAAATCAATAATTTGATTCGTATAGTTAAAAAGAACTATAAGATTATTTATAGCCGTTTATAATATGATAAATTATAAATTTTGAAAACGCGGAACTGTTTTACTAATACACATTTGTTCACTGCGCTATGTGTGTTTTGTAAAAAAAATTGAAAAATCCATCTTTAAAAAAGTTATTTATGTCATATATGTTAATCAATATGATAAAATTTAAGAAATAATATGAAAGCGCGTGGAGCTCGTCTAATATTCCTTATAGTTTAGTAAAATATTTAATGTACTTTTCTATGTATTAAACGTTAAGGTCTAAAACGTTATTATTTATTATCAATATAATAAATTGAGTTATCTTTAAACAAAGCATAGTAAATTTTGAAATTAAGAAAAAAAATTCTATCCACGTAATAGAATTTTTTTTCTTTAATCTTATATGTTGAATTTAACAAGAAAATTCAGATACTATTGTATGTTTTTCACATTTTCATTTTGACTATTAAAAGACAAACCCTAATAATGTATACTAATATACGGTCCATCCATTATTGACATGAAAGATAACAACTAAATTCGTATTTTACTGATCACACGTGTTCATTCTATTACCAACGAAGATAGATGCGGTTTTCGTTGATATTACTCAACTAGAAACATGGATAAATGGACATGAGTATGTATTTTTTGTTAAATGATCTGAATAATAATCGAGAACTAGTCGTTGCTTTAAAATGTTAGTTAAAGAAATAAGTTGTTTGATAAGCATAGTCAGAAAAAATATTGCGCCTTTATTTAAAAGGGACACGTTTGATTCATTGGTTTCTTATTGAGGTTATTAAGTGATCGGTATTGAATGAATTCCAATTCCAAAGTAGGATCACGTAAAGCTACTGAGTCAGTAGCACTAACCTATCAAATTGAAGTTAACCAGTATCTCCATTTGTTTGACCATACTTTTGTTGAAAATATGTAGGATGATTGTGTTTTTATTATCATCATAGCTCGCGATGATTGTAAAGTATTTATTCAATACATTCTCGATCAAAAGTCATAAATTTGTTTTTGAAAAATATTATTAACTTAAGGAGGCTCCAGCGAGGAGGGGTATTGAAAAATTTCGATGTTAGTTATAGTGATTTCGATAAGTGAAAATGCACTGAATCCAACGGTATCCTTCTTTACCCCTCAAGCCGTGGAAAATTTTGAGATATTCTCCAAAAAAGTCTGAAATTATCTACTTTATAGGTTATGTGCGTCGTACCAAACTCAAGTTCTGGAACTTCTGTTGTAAAAAGTTACCAACTGTAGTTGAAAATCGTACTATTTTGTAATAATATTGCTTTAGAAACTGCTTATAAGATTTTTTAGCCGTTAGCTTGAAAGTTTATTTTTTGTTGTGTTTTTGATCCCGGCGGTAGTCGCTGGAGCCTCTTTAGTACGATTTTCAACTACAGTTGGTAACTTTTTACAACAGAAGTTCCAGAACTTGAGTTTGGTACGACGCACATAACCTATAAAGTAGACAATTTCAGACTTTTTTGGAGAATATCTCAAAATTTTCCACGGCTATCCATATTTTGCAGTACATCATTCGAAAGACCAAGTTTTTATCTATAAGAAGATCAGTTTTTCATTGCGTAACTACACCATTACTTTTAGTTATTGATGAATTTCTAACATTTTTTCACCTTGTTCCATAAGATACTATACAAAAAGCGCAAACTTTGAGATGAAATATCTCGAAATTTTCCACGGCTTGAGGGGTAAAGAAGGATACCGTTGGATTCAGTGCATTTTCACTTATCGAAATCACTATAACTAACATCGAAACTTTTCAATACCCCTCCTCGCTGGAACCTCCTTAATTGTGCAATGATCGCAATTCATGAGTGACTGATTCATTTCCGCTATATAAAAAGTTTGCTCTTTGATCACGCGTTGTACTTATACTGTATGAAAAATGTATGTAAAGTAGATAAACATTAGATAGTAGTTAGATAGAAGTAAATAAAGAATTTGCCATAACACTTGAGATATTACTGGATAACAATGAAATTGATATACGGTACACATTGAAGTGTAAGGAGCTTGTGTCAGATAGATATCTTTTATTACCGTTATATATAGACCTATTTGAAAAAGTATCGAAATTTTGAAATTAAGTTTTTCGAGATCACGTTAAGTCTTTGTAATTATTATCGAGGCTTTCTATCTGAAAATGTTAATGATATTTCGATTTGAATGTGAGTCCTCGTAAACTACCAGCATCGGCCTCGAAAATCTTTGAGGAAATTCCTATCGAACACAACGAGCACAACGAAATGTTATCATTAGAAAAAATGCACATTACCTACAATAAAAAATATATCCAACGAGGAAGCTAACAGTATTTTGTTTGGATTTACAATACAACAAAAATTAAGAAACAAACAGAAAAATTAAAAAGCATCCCAGCGATCTTCGTTGGTCGACCTTTCCCATTGACATCGATCACGCCTGATATTCCGTCCGACACTATTCGCGCTCTAATATACGGCGCTACGTCTTTCCTCTCGAAGTGACGACTCAGCCAATTGTCGCTCGCGGCTTTAGTTTCCCTCTTGACGCACTATTATATGCTCGATTAAAAGCACACATAAAAAAACGAGATTTTTCTATTGCCTCTTTGTTGTTGCTTATTAACTTTTATTAGTGGTTGACAATTTTTATGTTTCCGAGAAGGCATCACGATCTTTGGTTTTTTTTCTAATGGAAGTTTCGATTGCTTACAATATATTTTATTCAACGATAAATGCATTTCTACGAACAATGTTAAAGGATTAATTTTTTTTAAAACGTTAATTTTTGAAAGATATATAATGCAAATATTACCTGCAAATATTGATATTACGTCAATATCGCAATTTTAGTTATCAACGTTATCTTTCTTGCTAGTCAGTAGAAATTTTATAAAACAGTTGATTTTCAGAACAGTCCAAACTAGCTGCGTGTAGAATTGATCAAACTTAGAAATTAGAAAAAATATTATCCAACCGATCCATTATCTATTTGAAAGCTCACTATCACTTGTGGTACTGTTGAAAGCAGCCGAGCTGTCACTGAAGCGGATGCAATAAAATTTTCACGAAACTATATCTTACCAAATATTATCGGTATCTAATCGAAGGCTCAGTGCACGGCGACGCACGCATTCAATTATCTTGTTTTCTTTACGACGATCACTCCAACATCAAGAGCGGCGTAAAATTAACGAAAAGCATGATTTACGCAATTAAGATAATACAGATAAGATAAAAAAATTTTTTTTTTTATGCATCGCTATATCCTTTGTTGTGTACAGTCATGTGTAAAGTATCAGTCTTTCGCGGCTAAAGTCAATTGAAACTTGAAAATGTAACGATATCTTTGCAATAAAGGTAGCCGAACAAGAGCTCAGTCCGTTGATCGATCTCTCTAGTAATGCGTAAAAAAGAAAGGAAAAAAGAACATGTGAGGTAAAATAGTGAGATAAAATAGATATGGAAAAGTTGGTAAGCAAAAACCCACATCGAGAGCGAAATAGAGAGAGAGAGAGGGAGAGAGAGCGAGAGAGAGAGAGAGAGAGAGAGAGAGAGAGAGAGAGAGAGAAGACGAAAGAACGAATGAATCGATTAAAAATCACAGCCGAATGCCAACCAAATATTCTTTCTCTGTTACAGATCCGCGCAATCAATGGCGTGAAAAAACAAGGAGCAGGTTACAGAGATCTTCGCACGGACGTGTCCATAGCGAGAGAAAGAGAGATAGATAGGTAGATAGATAGATAAGCTGCGTTGTGGTGTACGAGCGCGCCGTTAGCAATCTTGTGTAACTTGTGGCGCGTCGTCATCGAGCCAATTGAGAGTGTTGTCTCGCGATTGGTCAGGCCGTCTCTTAATCGTTAGCCTGCCGCTGCCGCTGACGCGCCGCGGGAAGGCCTGTCATAGCTTAGTTTTGTCAGTCGCTCAGGGAGCTGCCGTAGCAAACATATACATATACATCGTTCCGCGCCTCCTCGTCGTCGTCGTCGTCGTCGTCGTCGTCGTCGTTCTAGCAGTTTTGCTCTTGAACTTGACGCCGGAGCTGCGAGTGGATGCGCTCGCGCACTTGGACACTCAGCGCGCGTGCGAGAGAGAGAGAGAAAATTCCGAATGGCCCAGATCTATTGGTTGCTCCTCTTTGAGAGACGTTAACGGACGGACGGCCTTTCGTCCCAATTTTTTGCGCGAGCTTTCATCGGTAAACACCTGTAGCGCATTTCCGCTGTGTTTGCAGCTCATTTCCATTTCGGTGGTTTGAGGCAATTGTTGTGGTGATTGTGTTACTTTTAGATTTCACTTTGAAGAAAAGCCGGCAGCTGCGTTGCTTAGTGCGTAGGCGCACTGCTTCCTCGGCGACAGTTTGATCGTGCTTCGAGCGATCATCGTTAGCGCCATCGTCCTCTCGTTGTTCTTCACGGTGTGCATTCTCGTAACTCCTGCTAGCCATGGAGCGGAGGATTTTGAAAATGTGGTGACAGCGTGACGGGCTGATGCCTAGATCGATCGAGACACTAATGAGTGTGTGAGCCGTGTAGTCGGGAAAAGCCAGCTTTTGCATCTTCTTCAGCGCCATCTTCTCGAGGAGGCTAATCGGCCTCCTAAGCCAGCTCAGCGAATCGCGCTTCCTCGACGACTATCCGAATAAGCTGCTTTCGTCGTTTATCTGGGCCGTTCCAAGTGCAAGCTCGAGGTCGAGCATCAGTCAGCTTCCAGCCTGCGTCTGGGAGTGGAATAGCCGGGCAGTCAGAATCTACGAGCTCTGGACGGCAAAGAGACGCCGCTCCCGCTGTTCGCCGGTTGCGGCTCTACAGATCGGCGGCGATCGACGAGCTTCTTCGTCGTCGACGAGAAAGAGTACCCGAGCGCGAGGCTCGCCGAACGGGCGCACGGCAGAAGTGTTTCCTCGAGCTTAGCCACGTTTGTCGAAGATCGAACAGGAGATTTCTCTCGAGGATGATGCGCTGCAGCGGCCAGGGCGTTGCGATGGTGTTCGAGGACGCTTACATTGTGTTTTCACGTTTTTTGTCTCTCAAGTCACGGGGCTGTACCCTCCTGGAGACTCATCGGCAACGCGAGACAACGGGCATCAAGAAATTGTATAACAGTTTCTTCGTGATGTTCTAAGGTCTGTGGAGAAGTTCATACAGCAAAGCACAACGCTTGGCGATCTCTCTTCGCCAGTTTGAGGAGAGGGCCCTGATTTCCAAGCCAAAAAGACGAAAAACAACCATAGAGGACGATCAGTTGGCAGAATAATCAAGAGACGTAAAACAAAACATCGTCATTATCATCGTGTGCGTCCTCGTCGTGTTACCGCTGATTATTTTTGTTCGGGAGAAAGTGAGAGGGCAGAGAGAGCTCTTATTCGATATTGAACTAACAAAAGGGGTAACAAGCCTGTTCGCAAGCTATGCGTGCCTGGTGTGCGCGAACGACCCCAGTTGTAGTAGTCGAAAAAGAGTATCCTAGAAAACCGGACGACGTGCGCCTGGACGGTGATAGGTTCGTCTAGGAGATACTCTATTCTTCGACAAGGATTGCCAACAAATACATAAAGTTAGACGTGCACTGTTCGTCAGAATTTTGCATAGAGAAGTTTTTTTCACGCGGTTAACAGTAACAACATCGCAGAATTCTCGCCACTCTTCCTCCTCGCCCCCGTTTTTTACCCCCCTAATTTCTTCTTCTTAAGACTTGATAAAACAAAATCAGAGGAATATGCTGGCGATGTAGTAATCAAGGAAATATTGGGACTCTTTTTTTTTTGTTCTTTCTTTTTTTTTCTGTCTTTTCTGTTTTTCTTCTCGTCCTTCAATTTGAATTTTGTACCGTAAAAATTTACGACCACCGCGTCCCTCTTTGGTTCGAAGTCGTACGTTTTCGTGGTCGTCAAGGGAAAGGGAATAGCCGGTGGGGAAATTAACGAGGAACCGCGATCAGACGACATCAGCGGGTGACAACAGGTAGACTAAGAGGCAGGAGGCGACCAAATGGAGTTACAACTTACAATGGACAACGGCGACTCCGAAGCCTCGATGTGGCTGCCTGCTTCGCTCACCTATCAACAGCGATCACCTGATAGACCAAACGACTGCAATCGCGTCATTGACCAACAAGTGAGTAACGGTTCTTTTACTTGCAAGAAGATTTAGCAAAATGGTCGGTGAAGAAACATCTGGCGGTGAAGAGTAAGGCTACTATGTTTTCTGTCGAATGTATTAGTCGATACGTACATGCATAGACCGATTGACAGATGTTGTGTCCTCGGTACGCGGGCACGTTATTGAACAGACACATCAGCCGTTCTAGAGTGCCCAATCGTGCAAAGCATTCGATTCAGATCGCACGGATATTAAAACAAACTTATGACGACGAAAATCGAGATGAAAATTGCTAGCGGTGTGTCTTGATCGAACATTGTCTATAGATAAGATAAAAGGCCATTGAAAAGTAAATTTCAAAATTGACTCACAGAAGGCTCGCGACGATATAATGTTTGCCAATAAGACAATTGCCAGCTCGCTATAAAGGACGCAGCCGAGTAGCTTGACGACTCCATAAAATGAGAGAGCTGCAAATCCACGTGTCTGTCTTTCTTCAATAGAGTGCGATGAAGCAATCGTCGTCCATTTCAGATCTGATTCGTCGGCTGTATTCGCTTTTTACTTGAGGGCGTTTAGTCAATTCAGCTAATTTAGGCAAATAAAAGACGCGTCTCTCGGGTTTTTCTTAGTCACGCGACCGTGTGCATCACGTATACGCGTATTTCTGGTCTATTTTTTTTGTGTTTTTTTTCCAATACCCTCGTGACAGATTGCGCGTATCAATCGACACGAGCCAGTATGTAATGCGAATCCTTCATTGAGAACATTTATCGGGGGCTTCGTACGGGCCGCGCTCGTCATGATTTCCCGTGGCCAAGCGAACGCGAATCGAACATTTTTTTTATGGGCTCGAGGCGAAAAGCCGCACGTACAACGGATTACTTCTATTTCAGCAGTGACGCGCTGACTCAAAAAAACCTTACGGCCAATTTAGTTTGATAGCCGATCTAATTGCGCAAAGACGAAGCGACGCGCGCGTTATAGAAGGTACCAAAGCCTCGAATTCGGAGTGGAAAATTTGTTCGCGACGCACACTGAAACCGCGGAGATGGTGCGGCGCTGACTAATGTGTGTGCGTATAACACGAAACGATTGGCACGATGGATAATAAAGAAGCGCGAAAGGCGATTGAACCCGCCGCGCGTGGAAAGCAGTAAGTCTCGGCAGTACGCACCCAGAAATGTGCCGTCCTCGAGAGCTCCGCGCAGACATGAAAATGAAAGGTCAAACGAGAGGCGATCGGCTTGAATTGCCGCTTCAAGGTGACTGCGACGAGTCGCTGCGCGCTAGGTCCACGTCTGTCCCTCGCCTTGCCAATTGGGCCAATTTCGCGAATCTCAAGTGCGAGGCGCGCTCGCGCGCTACTTGGATCTCGATGCATTGATCGCGCAGGGCTGTGCGCTTTCGGTTTTTCGAGACACGGCGCCTCGATCAACGGCCACGCTTCGGCGATATCGGAAGCTACGAACGTTAGTTGCGCGTTCGACGCGATCCAGAGGTTCAAACTGGTGGCTTGCGCGAGCAATAATCGTCTAATCGCACCCCCCTTCTCTGTCGTTCTCGAAAGCAGGCGCCGCTGGGCTGCCACACGGCGCAAACCGTTGCCTGGCAGGACAGGTCGAAGGCCGCGCCGTCGCAACAGCAGCAGCAACAGCAGCAGCAGGTACTGCAACGCTATCGCCAGCAAGCGGACTCGCCGCCGTCGAGGTCGAGCACGAGCAGCGCCAGTCAGTCTCCCGAGCACAGGCCTTCGCCGCAACGCCAGCCGCAACCGCCGCCGCTCAAGAGGCGCAATAACCACGCGCCCGCCTACGAGGCCTTTCGTCAGCAGCTCGACGACCAGCCCGAGCGCAAACTCTCGCGCAGAAACGGTCAGTACGACGGACTCGCTTGCACAGGCGGCACCGTCGCTGTCGAGATCGCTCGGTCCACTTTACATCGCCAGTCGCGTGCAGACAGTCTCCCTGGCACCCTTGTTTGCGCGCTGATCCGCCAATCGGGCACTGGGCTAGCTCCGCCACATGCCAAGTCCTCCAATGGGTCAATCGCTAATTTCCTGAATGGCTCTCGTCGCTCGCGTAGACACGCGAAAGCCTCCTCGCGAAGCTGCATCTTTCGAGGGGCGAACGAGTTTCGTGCATGTGGACGGCGAGCGACGCACAGAGCTTGCCGAAGAACGCTCGTTTTGCGCAATCATCGGCTTCCGATAAATTTATCAATTTACAACAGGCGGACCGTCTTTGTCGCGATTTCGTCTACTTGTTCAACTCCGACGTACGCTAACTACGTAATGGAGGGCACGTAGTGACGCAGCAGCCGAGCGTGTGAAAGCAAAGCTTGCAGCGTAATCTTTTTCCTGCGCCAAGTGTCGGAGCGTTAATCATTGTCATCTTCCTGGGACACGCACGGCACACAATGATGCTTAATCTTTCTGTTTTCGCGCTTATCTTTTCATCGAATTCTTCCCGTCTGCGTAGGTTTTTCCTTGCGGTAGAATCTTGAATATACTTTTCATTCATTGGGACAGCGTCAATGTTGGTATTTGTTTGTTTGCTTGATTGCCATTAATAAAATGTTGTTTTGGTTACAACATATTTCTCTTTGTCTATCTTACTGCAATACTTTGCATACTGTGAGGAGACTTTGTTCGGGAAGTCTTTTGTAACGTCACAGACGATAATGGAGTGTTACGTCGTAATTTACAGTGAGAAACTTCGCAAGGTCTGATAATTTTTGACGCCTGTTGAACATCTGTTTTCGTTGTTCCTATAAGACGTCATCAGATTGTCAAGTGCTAGAATGCTTATCACGACATTATTTCAATCAATAATTTTTTTAATGAATAAGTACTTTTTACGCAATTTTAGGACTGCTTATTTTATTTCCACATTTGTTGCTAAAAACAATTCAATTTATTAGCGACAATAAAAAAAGGAATGTACTTCATTCTTCATAGTAAAAAAAGTTAACAACGATTGTCAGTGGAATGCATCAGTATGCGCGTATAATTATCCCGCTTTTAGCTTCTCATTATCGGTCACACGCTAATCACCGTTGAGGAGCTTGTTTATCTAAATCCATGGAGGCTTGACCTCTTTATTCTTTTCCATGATTAGAAGTGACTCCTTTAGAGTTGCGTCAAAAATTTATAGTTGTTTCTATTAACGATATTTCAAAATTTATACAATTGGTTTGTAATGTTGATTGATACCGTTCTTTCAACATTATTGTCTGTATATTATTTTCTTAAACTTTTAGTTTTCGGTATGTTAGTATTCGAATAATTTACTTACTACGGTCAAACAGAATTTTTCCTATAATTTTAATCAAAATCATCAGTAAAAATGCCTTCAACATAAGTACATCTTTCGCCATTTTATTTTGATAAAAAAAGAATCGAAATTTCTCAATGAAATTATGAATTACATGTCAACTGCATGTAGCCCAAGCAACTTTATACAATATAAAAATAATACCAACGTCTTTTAAAACTTCATGCTCAATTCTCATGATTCGTCTTTTTTTAAATGATTTTAAATGATAGTTTTGTACTGCACATGGAACAAACCGAAAGAACTTCATAATGCATTCTTAGCATGTACAAGAGTAAAGTTATTTCCCTCAAACTCGTTTTCTTCGCTTACTTCAACTTGTCAATCTTCTGACAATTCCTAATTGGTGAGTATGCGATTCTCGATCGTTATTTATCTTTTACGAAAATACACGCTCATTTACGATTTCGCACATCGCTTATCCTACACCAACCAGTTTGCAGGCAACAAGACAAACACTCGTTTAATGTTATGAGAACGGCTTTATAATTTACGTGATTTGTCGCGTTGCTCCTATTTGTATTGCGAAAGATTTTTAAATGATCAGCTTTCAGATTAGCTATGTTCATAAAATTGTTTGCTTAACCGTTTTTTTTTTTATTTGCTTATCCATATTGCGGTTCGGTTTAATTGACTACTCTGTATACAGTTACACGTTATAAAATCTTGAAAAAGCGCATAATTCCTGTCTGATCTGTTACATTAGGAATCCTATGTTTGCTGTTAATAATTAATAATTTTGTTTAAATTTCTGTTTAAAGCCCAGGTAAACAATAATCGAGTACAAAATTTCCAATCTTGAATTTAAAAAATTTCACTCAATTATCATTTTTTCAACAGAGCGTGTTTAATATGATGGTTAATGTTAAACAATTCAATTGCAGGATCAGTAGGAAGCAATGACTCCCAGGGATGGTCATCGCAGGTCGACGAGCTTGCCGAACACCTGGCTGCAGATTTCGATGGTTCGTTGTCAGCCCTCGCAGCCTCCGATCTTGCGACCGCTGTTGCTTCTTATAATATGAGGTACGCATTAAAATATGCTGTTATGATAGTCCAGATAGGAGAAATTGTACTTGAGGAAAACGATAGGCTCACAGAATATATTTTAGGAATATCTTATTTAATGGAAACTGTATAGCTTTCAGAAAAATCAGGTTTGGTTAATATAATGAGGATATAAGAAATATTCTTACGTAAAAATATAAATTGCACTAAATTCATTGTCTAATCGCAAACAAATAATTTAACACGCTAACTCGAGTAGACTATCAGTTTCTACTGATAATATTGTTCTGACATTCATAAGTAGAGATTCTGATACGATCGTTAATTCATAAAATGAAGCGACCTACATTATCTGGTACAAATGCCGGTAAAATAGAATAACCGATACCATAAGATAAAACAATGGCTGTTCAAGCCCCACTTTACCGACTGCAGTAAAATCAGCTGTCTCCTACCGACGGGTTTTAACAATTATTTTTAAATTTCAAAAATAACTTCTCCCGTGCAGACACTCGCAAGCCTCGAAAAGAAAAAAAACAAAGAGCCCCGCTTAGCGCGGAGGAAATAATAGAAGAATGAACGACCGTGTGCCTAAGACAATACCAAAAAATATGGTTGCAATCAGTTTGAGTCGTGTGATAAAGTTCCGTGACATCGTGGATGAGTCGAGACAAAGATTATACCGTCTTTATTAATTAACGAGGCGCGCAAAGCTGTTTTATCAGCCGAGCTCGTGGAAAAGGAGAACGAGCACATGCAGAAAGACACATACTGAAGATACATCAGAGTTAACTGCCGGGCATTCGTCAGTACGTGGGTGGTATTGATGATACGTTCTCTTTGAAACTCCCGTGAAAAGTGTCACTCGTTACCATATACACAAAATACAGGTACATCGAAAACGATAAGACTACACTTACAAATGGAATCAATCGGACAAGACCAACGTAGATTTTTTTGAAAAAAGATTTCCTTTTTTGATAACGCGTGTAATATTGTCTCGAGTGGTGTTGGACAAAAGTATATACAGTTCCGGATTGCGCGTGTTCTCAAATTTGTAAAAAATAGAACCTCCAACTCCATTTTTGCATTCCATTTTGTAGTCTTTCATTTTCAATTTTACTGTTAAAAATACGTTGTAGCATTTCTAACAGTTGAATTACAAAGTTGTAAACGATCTATCGATTTGCAGGAATAATCGATTGGTATTCACGTCATATAAAGATGCATAGTGTCCAACCTGCATAATTAACTTTTGGCAATCTCATTGTGGATTTCGGTTACGGTATAGTACGTCTGATTTTCTCGCTTGATCACTTTTGACAAATAAGCTAAAGACAATCATGAAGACGCAACATTATGTTAAACGTCGGTGAGTCTGGAGTTTTTCTTTTTGTTCATATTTTGAGGAAAACTATGACGCTGCTAATTGTTACTGTCTCTCAAAGTGTTGTAAATTGTTCATTTAAGTAGTTTTTTTGTGTATTTATAAAAATCATATTTATTGCAAGGACCATTACAATATGCTAACAACGCGAAATAATTTTGTTTTATTTTCCATGTGATGCAAACGGCTGATACAAAGTTATGATCACGTGCAATTTACAACATAATTTCATGGGTCATAAATGGTCGTAAAAGTGGAAAAAGAGATTTTTTGTAGACATTCTACATTCAATCATTTGGTAAAAAACGAATTTAAAAATTCTTCTTTACTCTCTACACATTCACAAAAAATAAAAATCAGAATAAAAACTTGCTACAACCCGAAAAATAATCGTTATCAATTTCACATAATCCGCCTGTATATCTGTTCTCTTATGATTCATTAACAGACTGTCGACAAATATTTATATATCCAATGTAAAATGGTTACATACCAAGGTTAGGATCATTGTAAAATGCATTCCTGACCTTCACGATAATTAGCATGGTTATCCGATAATATTGATTCGCGGTAAACAAAAAGACGAAAGTGCAACGCTTAAGAAACCGAGTCTCATACAATCTATACTTTTAAAAATACTTTATTATAGTTGTTGCCATAAAATAAAAAATAGCATTAAAAATAAGAAAGCTAATAAACAAAAAAATTAAATCATCGTTAAATTTTACGTCAATGTAGGAAAATGACTCAACGCGACTGTCCTCGCGTTCGTGGAATAGAAACAAAAACACAGATTCGCTCGGTTTTCTTCAATCCGACATTCAATCGTTAATCATCGTAGTCCAGCATATAAAGGAATAAACTCGACAATAGCGCGTCGTCGATTCAGTTGTTATAGCCTCCATCAAAAAATTTCATACCAGTTACTTGGTTCCCCGTGTAGTATCGCATTATGCAATTTTTCACTCAAAAAGCCTTATCCTGATCACTAGCCAATGGCAGAAGAATCAAACGGTTGATCGTTTCATGTTCATGCACGGTTATAAAAAATCAAACAATGCGCTGGAGTATTATTATGCGGACGAAGTAGCATAAAGACAAAACAATGTGGGAGAGAGTCTCCATTAGATTAGTTTAAGCTGGATTGTACCGGAACAATTTGCTGCTCCGTTAGTTCCACCACCTCCGTTGTTTTTCAATCTCTTGTAAGATAACGTTCCATATGTGTACCTTTAATTGCGTCTTTTTAAACGGTAATGAATCTCATAGCTTTATCAGCTTGAAAAAAAAAGTGAAATAGCAGATTGATATTGATCACTTTTATTAATTGCGAGGCAAATGAGATTTTGTGTGCTTTTTGTTCTTGGCATAATTGTGTCTGCCGGTTCGAATACAGGTAGCACGTACAAAGAAAAACTTTATTGTGTAGTGCACGTTTTTTTTAATCCTCGCATCATTACCTGAATTCGAATGTTTAAAATTTTTTTTTTGTGTCTAAAATATATCAAAGTCGGTAGCAAGTGACTAATGAAAATCTGTTATCCTCATTTATCAATGAAACCGAAATTATGCAACGAATATATGAAATATGTGGAAAAAAAAATTCGGCACACATTCTTAAAATCTTTCTTATAAGCAAAAATAAATCTCGATTGACGGTTTCTCGTACCAAAATGTAAATAAGAAAAAAAAAAGAAGAATTCAGCGATAGGTCACGTGTGAAAGGTTACTAGCGTTATACGTGTCTAATGATGAAGGTGGGGGAGTCGAAAATCGGTCGGATGCTTATCCAGTTTAGGCTGGATTAGGTTTAGTAGCGTTCTGGTTTAGAGTACTTACGCTTGATTCATGAAGCCGCCACGTGATTGCATACATGTATGTTCGTACTGTTTAGACTCAGTTCTGATACAGGAAAAAACGATGGTAATTCAGGCGAAAGAAGTCATATTCGGAAGTATGCCTAATTAACGAATTTTTAATAGATGAAAGCACAAGTAGAGCACGAAAGCGATTGGGGATGTGCGATTACCCGATCGCTAAATATGTTGTTTTTAGACCCTGCATCAAATGTACACTTTTATTATTAGAACTGTTGGGAAGAATTAACTAAATCTTGATAAAAAAATCTTTACCTCACGACTCGACATATTTGCAATAAGATTTTCTTAGGTGTTCCAGTATCAAATCGCATTGGCTGTCTTCGCTATCAAACAATTGACATTTTTGGCTTTAGAAAAAAGCTTAACCACGATATTCCCTCTCCTTAAAGTGATGCCCGCGTGACCAAAAAGAATTGAATAAAAGTCATAGGCAATACCGGACAAAGGTAAAGAAAGCACCTTGCGGTCATGATAACACGCAAAGAGAGAGAATGAGTGAGAGAGAGAGAGAATGAGAGAATGAGAGAAGACTTGGTACAACGCAATAAAGCTCAGTAATAAGTCCTAATAGCACTTGCAGGCCGCGTGGGTCGAGTCCCTTCAGTCATCCAACGTGCCTCGGTAGGATATAACCGTGAGCCGTCATTTTTCTTTTGTGTGTAGATCACATCTCTTTTTTTTCGGCTCTCGATTGGTGCGCCATGCTCTACGTGAAACCTAGGTACGAACGAGAAGCACGTACGAACTTATAGATTAGAATTTGTTCATATTTTGATCGATAGAATAAGACGTGCAATTCTTCTAGATATAGACGTTGTGATACGTTCGTCGATGAGTTTCCATTGACTGATCGATCGAGTGATGGCACTTTACATTACGTTTTTCTTTGTCGTGTTACAGCGAAGCTCTGCTGGCCTTGCCGTCACTCACAATTTTCAAGCAAGAAGCTCCATCGCCCGAGAATCAACAGACCAATACAAAGTGAGTTTTTTTTATGCTCAATTTATAACGCATTATCGATCGTTGATAAAATAGAGAGCTCGTTGCCCTTCAATCTCGAAAACTGTCTAGATTAAAAAGCACAAGATAGAACTACTCTTACCAGTGGATAAAAAAATGGTTATTTTAATTTTCTGCTTGTGCTGCTACCGGTGTAGCGCTATTCGTATCTGAAATTACATAAAAGAGATAGGTAACTGAGAATCGATTATATGTATCCTCCGAAAAGAGAAGAGATGCGAGAAACCGCTTCATCTCTCGCTCTCTCAAGCTTGATCTGAGAGCTGCTCGTGGTAGTCATTATCACGAAACTCGTACTCCGGGGTCAAGTATTTGTGCGCACAAGAACTCGGAGCGATCAGTTTATCGTCGGTCTCGGTAGCGAGAAGCACGGTCGTCGGGAATCACACGAGTCTCTTTTGCACGCGCGTGGAGCGATTTATCTCATTTCTTCATTTCTTCATTATTTTCTTTTCGTGTAGAATCAATTACTAGTGAAAGTCGGAAAAATGAAATGTTTCAAGTTCTACGAGGCGATGAACCGGTTCTTTAAATACATGAACAATCGTGCTTTCATGTGAACGGTTTCGGATTGGTTGTCAGTATTATTACGCGAATACCTTTCTGTACAAAGAAATCTGTGATACCTACGGTTTAGTTTTCATTTTCTTTATAAAAGTGACGTGAAGGCAAAATTACTAGAGTAATGTATTCTTGTGGAAATACGATGCTCATGAAGAGTTATCCGGATCCGAGGATCCCACCATCTCCATTATTACCACCGCCACCTCCGTTGGTTCCACCACCTCCGTTAGTTCCACCACCTCCGTTGTTTTTCAATCTCTTGTAAGATCACGTTATTGATGTATATAACCGCTCGAACTTGCGTATTCATGCACTAACACGATAAAGAAAAATACCAAGCGGTATCGAAGAGGATAAGATGAGAGAGCATCCCGTTTGAGCAACTTTTTCCATCTATCATTTCGTTCGCGATTACATAATTCAAGGAAAAGTACTAAAGAAAGTCCATATATTTGTAGTCTGAATCATGTGGCACAGCAAAATGTCAGCGTGCCACCATCATGTCACGGAAGCAACGTACTTGTTGAGACAGACAGCAACAATGGTGGCCAGAACCCTGCGAGCTTGCATCAATTACTGTACACCTCCAGCGAGGAGTACCCGTCTAATTCCCATTCTGGCAATCACGTCACCTCTTCGCAAGGCCACGAATTTGGCGACGACTGTCGGTAAGTCGTGGACGATGATAACGAAAAAGAAACTTTTTTACCGACAGAATTTTCTTGGTTTGTTTTTTAGCTTTCAATATGTATTGGCTGCGGCGACTAGCATTGCTACCAAGGTAAATGAAGAAACTTTGACGTATCTCAATCAGGGTCAATCTTATGAGATTAAATTGAAGAAACTCGGAGATGTATCAACTTTCCGAGGAAAATTGTTAAAGGTAAACATTATTTACTTTCTCTGTCTATTCAATATATGATAAATCTTTGCGGTGAACCTCGGCCTGTACTATTCCAGTCAACAGTACGCATTTGTTTCCACGAGCGCCGTCTCCAATATACCGAGCGCGAGCAAATTCTAACATGGCAACGTGCCAGACCTGGCGAGCGTCTCCTGGAGGTAGATGTGCCCCTCAGTTATGGCTTGGTTGATGTTTGTCAACCCACTTCATCCAATAACAGCATTGAATTCATGTGGGATCCCACTAAAGAAGTCGGCTGTTACATTAAGGTAATTGTTTATTTTGAATAAGCGTTTCATAGACCAAAAATCGCAAATTTATCGTGTCATTAATATAATTTATCTGTAAAAATTACGCTAAAATTAAATTTCATTCACCTTAATATTTCAGGTCAACTGCATTAGCACGGAATTCACTCCAAAGAAGCATGGTGGTGAGAAAGGTGTACCATTCCGTATAAAAGTTGAGTCGAGAATCCCTAGTGGGCCACGGCTTCACGCTGCTTCCTGTCAGGTCAAAGTATTCAAGCTAAAGGGCGCCGATCGTAAACATAAGCAGGATCGTGACAAAATACGACGCCAACCACCACATGACCAGGACAAGTATCAGCCAAGTTATGAGTGTACCATCCTATCTGATGTAAGTGTAGAATAATATAGTTTTGGATGTATAATTAGCAACAGAGTATAATTTTGAATGATAAAACCCACATTCAGGATGAAGTTTTTATTGTAGCATTCGCACTTTGTATTTAAAGTAGAATACTCTATACTTAAACTAAAGTATGTGACTTTTGCTGAAAATTCTTTATGAACAAATAAATGATACTTTTAATGGAAAATATTAAGCTTGATCGTTCAACTTTGATATTTGTATATTTTCAATAATAATTAATTATGTAATAATAAAGAGCGCTCGTGTTATTTTTAGAGCACCAAGGACTTCACAGCCTCTTGACAAATAAAATTCAACGCGTGACTCATTTCACCGTACATAGTCCACTCACGAACATCAAATTGAAAGCGCACCCGTATGATTGAATGAAAGAGTGAACGAACTCGTCACGGGTCGGAAAAAAATAGAAATAGACAATTTGTATCTATTCTCATCTAGCAATCGAACGAGGCACAGCAAGTAAATTGAATGGAGACTGATATTTGTTCCCCGACATTCCAGATACCTTTGGACTCGTTCTCGCCGTCCAACTCCATTGGCCAGAATATCTGCAGCCCTTATGCCTCTTCCGACGCTATGTAAGTAATGTTTTCTCGAGTCTTTTTTTTGTTTGTCATTGCGACTAGAACTGAATGGCTTGGCAATAAGAAAAGGAAACAAACAAATTGGGATCAATCCGAGTATATAAGTGTGAATCTCGATCGCGCGTCACTGATCACAGCGAGCGAACTGTTTTATTTATATTTCCTTTAATTTGATTTGGACGAATGAGTCGTTATCGTGAGTATTAACCAGAAAAATCCGTACCGAATATCTATCAAGCGAGAGCTCTCTTTGCTATGCCGCGGTGACACTTTCCGGTTAAGACGGGATCGGTTTGGTTGGTCGTGCGCGTTATCGCACCGGCACCCAACGGCATACACAACACGGCTATTATTTGACTGAATTCAGACGCGCGGAAAATCACTTGCAATACATACATTGTTGGCTCATAATTGACACGCTTTTCAAACACTCGCTCGACAATATGTTGCAGGGCTTTCATTTGATATTTGCGCTGATTGATTTTTATTGGCGCTGATGTGCACACTCGCTATGCAAACATTGTTTTTTTCGAATTTTGAAATAATATAGCACGTCGTAATGTTTGATAAACCATGGATCTTTCCCTCTTTAAATTCACGACTGCGTCAATTTGCATTTGCTAAGTAACTCGGTGTATAAATTTTAACTAGCAGTAATGCTTGTTTTTTTCTGTCACACAACTATTACTATTGCAAAAATTTCAAGTCAAACGAGTAGTTACCAAGGATATTACTCATGTAAAATTGTCGAATTCGTTTCAAACGAATAACGATTCCGCTAAGTTATTGTTATTCTCGTGTAGCGGAGAGGAACATTAACAAGTCGATTACGAAATACACTACGGCGAGCTTCTATAATTATCGACGAAAATTTTGCCGTTCTAAAGATAGAAAAACCAGTTTTCTGCCTACGCTCGATTTTTTTGCCTTTCACTTGGCCCACACAAATGCCTTGGTGCAAGCAACACAGAGGCTTGCGGAAACTATAAGGTTTTATTCGCGAAGCGATAAACACGCAATTTCTTCTCGAGCAATTATCTCACAGATATTGCAATACACGCTTATGCCAGTGTAATCAACGGAAACCAGAAAAACCATTTCGTCATAATTCAACAGCGCAACAGTTATCAACGATGAAACCTTGTCTTCGCTCCCTCTCTCGCAGAAGTTGCCTATTACTATGATGCACAAGGCCGTGTGATAAAACTTCTTTTCGCGCGCCAGAAATCAGTTCGATGCACATACTAGCTTATGTCGTTCCCGTGTAAAAGTTTGCTCAAGCGCGACCTAGAATGAGCCGTTCGTCAAAGAGTCTAGAGGATTTTTACGATAAACCTTCTAAAAGCTTAATCAAAAGTGTAGGAGGATACAAAGGTCGTCAATTTGAAATTGAACGAATATTCCGTGAAGCGATTCCGACTATAAAGAAAAGCTGACGTGCGCAAAAATAAACAAGCTCGCGACGATGTGGCAGTTCGCTGAAATCTACAGTTACGAATTGGTAAGAGGAACATTCGCGCACCCGCCCGCGATCAAGCAAGAAATCTTGTTTTACGATCTGATCCGTGCACTATTTTGGAAATCTTGGCATGTGTCGATTATGCAACAATTGCATCGATTGATCAGTCTCGATTTGGGTTGTACGTGAAATATTATTATACTTTCCTACCTTCTGCTTCGGTTTTGTCAATTTGTTTTCTTCTTTTCGATAATTCATATTTTAGATAGACGTCAAAAGTGTAATAAGCAACATTGTAAAAAAATATGATCAACATTCTTCGGCGCCTCGTGACTGTTGGCACGCGAGCGCAATTAACTCTAACTACGAATGCCAATCAGCGTTCAATGCTTTTGTGACAACGGAAAACGCGATCGTTCAAGATAATACTGATCTATCGAGTGTGTTGATTTCCTCGAAAGATGAAAAAGACCGTATAAAAATAAAAGAATTGAACAAGGAAGCACGGCTCGACGTCCTTGCACTGCTTAACAATTTATTGATCCCTTATTAATCCACTTTTTTCTTTAAACGGATGACATATGGGTTCTATTATTTTCCTTTCACTTTGTAATTGTACTGCCATGCATGATCATTAATGTAGTAAATCAATTTTACGAACTAGAAAGAAAAAAGAATTGTGTGAAAAGTTTTCCAAGTGATTGAATTGATTGGCCGTATTGCATTGACCAAAACAATAAAATTAATTTTGAGTGACGACGAAAAATACAATGTTATTCCAACCGCCAGCTGATACCGAATGCATAAATCATACTCCCTCAGCGCAGCCTTAAAGATTCATGAAGCTCTCACATTTATACATGTAATGGAGAAATAAGGCAAAAAAGAGATTCAGTCGAGGAAAATTCAGACTCGTGTCCGTACGACCTCAGGTGCAAGTTTAGATGAGCAAAAAAAGGAGCTCAACGCGACTTTGTCATTCGAAGCATATTTTGGAGATACAATAGCTGCTTCATTTTTGTTACAAAGGTCAATAAAACATAACGACCTTTGGTGACAAAACAACTTAAACAAAGTAAAAACAAAAAAATAAACGCAGAATCTGCGCGACTGGAGGCGCACTTCGAAATTGATAATTTCCTCGCGAGCGCAAAACAAGCAATTCAAAAAGCGCAATCGGAGTGTTATTTCAGTGCAGTTTACAGCAGTAAACCCATTGTAAAGTCGAATAAAAATCGCATTCACTCCCGCTAAATTCATCTTTTTATAAACGTCAACGAACTGCAGCAGCAGCCGCATCGTCGATGTAATCGAATGAGCCGCACACATTGTCGGCAGCGAGCAGCAGCAAACCAGCAGCAAACTAGATATAACAGAAAGCGACGCGCAGAAAAACAGAGAGCGAGCGAGAGAGAGACGGAGCGGCAAAACTGGTTCGAACCGGCCTCTCGGAGTTGCGGAGGGGGCCCCCCCGTCGCCGCGTTTTCGTTCGCTTTATAGTCTCTGCGCTCAGTTTACGTCGGGACGTTCTCGCGCACGGAGCTTTTTTAACATCATAAAACAACAAAAAAGCTGCGAAGTCCTCAAGTGTATTCATACGCACACATACACACACACACACACACATCTATATATATATATTTATATATATCTATACTGCTCGCGCGTTGTTTTCGATTAAGGAGGGGACGGGAGCGAAACGCGTTGCGCAACATTGCGCAAAGAGAACGAGACGCCGCAGACATGATCTACCGCTAAAAAGATCCCCTTCTTCCTTCACCGCTGCACATCGCGCTTTTATTAATAGTGAACGACCTCAGCGATATACACAACACCTAGTTTTGCACTTTTGCATATACGTATACATGAGAAGTGTGTGAGTGTGGACAAGCCTTTTATCAAGAAACAGGAAAAAATAAAACTCTCGAATCGAAAATAATCCTTCAGTGCATATTTCGTGACTATATTATTAAAGAATTCGACTTTCCACATTAAGAGAAGTGCATCATAAGTGGAATGGTACCGACGAGTTGGATTTATTCAGTGGCATCAAAGGCCAAGGTATTGCTGCTGCTGTTACTCACCCTGACGAAACAACAACAAAAGTTATTCACCTATGGAAAGGTGGAAGTAGTCCAGGTGATACTTACCCGACAAGATCATCGACTGTGCAGTAGATGACGAGTAGCCAGCGAGCCGAGCTGATAAATTAATATCTAGCCGGGCTTACACGTTTTCTTTTTTTAAATTTAATTATCGTTTGTCGAGACATTGAAATATATGTGCATTGTACAGCGTTTATGTCTCAAGCTGCTGCTCTGTATATATATATACGTTTTACTTCTCAGCGGCGGTTATAAACATCGATGATGATGATTACGTTCGAATTTTACGAGGAAACCAGAAGAAGAAGATATGCAAGCTGCGCTTTTTGACACCTCGCTTTTCCCCCCATATAGAGAGACAATACTTAAATAGCACTAGAAACAAAACACGGAATCAAAACAACGAAATCGAAAGGGATTCATATTTGCTTTTTTTGCTTGTGATTTCTCTAGCTCTTTCAGTCCATTGTTTTCTTCAACAATTTCGACGAAATAAAAATGTAGAGACCAGCGAGGAAGTCATTGTTTCTGCTATTTGCTTGTTTGCACTGCCACGTAAAATCGAAAAAAAGAGAGAAAAGAGGACTGAGAGAGAAATTAGATATTAAAGAAATCTTGGATTTACAAAAGAAAAAAAGACTGACGGAAAGAAACTGTTATACCAAGGAAATACGTAGAAAAGGGATGCTGCAACAACACTGGGATGTAAGCAGTCGCTGGAGACTGCGCCAGCACGAGCGTTTGCAAGGATTATTATTCGAGCACGAGGTTACAGTCAGTAGTTCGAATGTCGAGCTCATCGCTAGATTTCTGCACGCACTACCGAATGCAAGACGCGTCGCTAGGCGACAAGGTGGTCTTGTCAGTCTCGTCGTTAGGAGTAAACGACCGATGAGGAGAATCACCAATGCTACTGTTGGTAAACTATTGCTGCCCACGCCCAAGGCTTTGGACGCGTAAGATTTTTTCTTGCTTCTATAGTCTCGTAATCAGGCTACGGTTTTGCTCTTTATAGCCTCAACATTGATTGATATCTGTTCGGATCGCTTTCTTCTTCTTATACATGGCTCTAACTTTGTCACGTAATTTTGACTTGAGCCAAAAGAGATCATTTTCAATGATAACAATTCGAGCTATTGAGTTTTTTTATCTATCAGCCTTAACTTCCATGTACATTTCATCCAATGAGGATTTTCTAGTTGTCTGACCGCTACAAAATACCAATTTTACTTGAGATGTTGAGGCGTACGAAAAACTTTATAAGAGCTCGTGCTATTGATTGAAAAATAAAAAATAAAAATTCCATTATGAAGTTGCTGCCACGATCTTGCGCAGCAAACTAATGAACAGTCTTAAGAAAAATAACAGTAAATCATTCACAACTACGTGTAGATTGCTTTCGAAATAAAATGTCAACCGTGTGTAGTTAATAGAATCAAATCAGCATTATCTCGGACGTTAATTACATACGTCGAGACACGAGAATTACATGAGAAAATCAAACCTGTTGTTGTTGAGGGAGGAATTGTAAAAAGACAAACGGAAAAATGCGGTCAGTATTGATTCAACTATGGACACTCATGAGACGGTTTAGGTTCTTTAATGAAAGTAAACTCGTTTTAATTCGAAGCTTCCAGTGCTTGTGTACGACTTTGCAAAGTCAATGTGCTTACACGATATCTTCTTTTTGTCACGCTATCAGCACAGAAACTTTTATTGAGTCTGAAGTTGTTTGTGGCGCGTCCAGCGTTTTTATATAAACAACTTTATTGTGCGGTTCTTTCGTTGATTGTGTTACTTCAGCCGTGGCCGAAGTTTTGTATAATAGGTCCCTTTGTGTGCATCACGAAAATATGGAAAATTTACCTTCCTAGTTTCGCCTTAAGTATGTATATTGTATATTGTAAAACGAATGGATATTATTTAAAGCACGTACGTATATTAAGACACGACAGTAACGGAAAATAGAGAGTGCGAATGTGAGAGAAACCAGTCGAAGAATTCAGGAGCGCACCTAGGAGGAGCATGTGCGCGCGAAATGGAAGGGGGAGAGCGGCACGCGTCACAGAAGCAGTGTAGCTGTGACCGGCGAAATCGACTGAGTTTCGTTGTTCTGTTCTCGCCGGAAAAATCCTTTCTTGCTGCGATTCGCGAGAGAGAGATATATGCTCTCCGAAGACCACACCAAAAGAAGCGTGCTCGGGATCGATTATCACCTGCTAGTTCATAGAGATTTTGTTGTTTATAGTAACAATGTCTTCTTCCTCCTCCTCCTCCTCCTCCTACTCCTCCCACAGGTAGGCAATAATTATTTGCCTCGTGAGAGAGCGCTGCGATATCGCAAGTAGCCCGCGGTCAATTTTTGTTTTCGTATTCTCTCTCTCTCTCTCTCTCTCTCACTCACTCACTCACTCACTCTTCGTTGCTATTTGCGATCAACAAGTGCGTTGGCTTGTCTACGGAATAGAGTGCGCTAAATCTCTCGGTCAAAACAACCTTTTATTCTGTTGTCGCAACATTTATTTGTTTTTATTTATTCTAAATTATATACATATTTACATAAAATCAATGCACTGTAAAATGTTTGTTATCCACCAGAGGAAAGAATTGACTGTAAGCTGGTCTGGATCAATTTTTAAAGTAAAACTAAACCACAACCAAATAAAAGTATACGATATAAACGTTTTGTTCTGCTTTACTTAAACGATAGTTTTCACTACCAAAAATAGTCAATATTGCACTGTTTAATTCCTCTTTTTCACCAGACTCTGCTAAACATTTGCCTAGCTATTGTATAATATCTCATGCTAGTTTTCCAATTTCTTACATAAATGATCTTTTCTGAGTGGTAGATTCGTGACGAACAAGTAACAATCGTTTGTGCTGTTGAAAAGTTGAATTACACTCGCAAGTATATGTGAAAACTATATCGTCAGCAACTATTTGGTCCTTGTGTTTTGGTTGTAATTAAATTTGTGAAAATTTGTCTTCCAGTTGTACCTCTATCAAAACATAATATTGTCTGTTATTTCCTAAATCGATGATGTTCGCATAGGTCATCCTAACACAGTTCGAGTGTTGCTTAGGTTTCCCAGGGACATACTCTGATTTAGATATTTTTGGCTTGATGTTGCTGTCTTCAGCTAATTTGTCTGTTATATCATAGATAGTTTCAATAGGCTTATATTTATTGATATTTTTACATGGTACAGGTTCTGCATTTGAAGTTTCTGTTATTTGAAGTGACGCTTCATGCTTGCCCGCATCAACTACCCTAACAATCCTCGCTCATGATTCAGAACCTGAACGAATTTAATTGTCTCTCGCTTCGCTTCGTGCCACGCGCTCGTTTTCAGTCACGCGAAACGTGTGCACAGCAGCACCGAGCATACCAGAAGCAGATCGGAGCGGTGCTTAGTCTATGATTGTTAATTCGATAATTTCGTGTTGTACGATTGCATTGATTAAATCGTAACTCGTTTGGCCAGGCCGATTATTTAAAAATAACTAGGTAATGATTGAACGCAAGCACCACGCACGTGGATCTCGTTTAGGGGTCAGTGTGTAATATAATATTTAGTTTTTAATCTTTTAAGCAATTGAATAGTAAATTTTATCTATTTCATATTACAATTTAAAATATTAAAATTGCAATAAAATTTATAAATATAACTCTTCGTATACGAAATTTTTAATACTAGTTTTATTAGGAAAATTTGTATATCTTTTCTCATTTCTCAAATCTATTCCCATTTTTCTAAAGTTTGGCCTTATGCCTCATTAATTGTCATTAGAAATGCTATAGTAAATTATAGAAGTTTACAAATAAATGAGTAGTCTTTTCAAATGAATATAATGTTATGTGATTTATAAATACAATTTCAACTTTTTTATTGTCAGTTAAAATTTCACACTTTAATAAATTACCAAAAATGTTTGAAACCAATAACATAGTGCCATTACATAAACCTTAGTTGATACACAGATTTCGAATAAGCATTACTACACAATTTTATCTTCATTTCAAATCATGAGGTGAAAGAGATATAGATGAAATATTTGGTTCTTTGGTGATTTAACACCTTCAAAACTTTCATTGTCGGAGTTTTCTATACTGTATTTATCGTGGATGTCAGATAAAACATCATTTGAAATTGCATCAGCTATTTATTTTTATTTTTCATTTCATTTTTGATATTATTCGCAACTAATAGTTAAACAAAAATCTAACATATCATTATCAGGTAAAATATCGTTGACCTCTTGAAATATATCTTAAAAATTCTTAAAAATTTATCAATGCTTTTATCTTCCATTGCAATTAAAGTTTGAATGCCTGTAAGTGCATTGGAATAACTTTCATTTTTATTAATATATTGTCGTATAAAGTCTTCAGACATTGTCTTTGAAATTTTCCCAAAGTTTAGGTGGTTTAATAGGGTAAATTAAATTTAAATTCATATTTGGACAAATAACGAAGTTACTTTGGCATCATAAATACTACAACTTCTCTGATTGCATTAGTCCATTATTAGCCATTTTCAATAAAACCGTGAGCTACAAAAGGGTTTCATGAACTACTCCATTTACTGTTCTTAATTCAAAACTTGTAGGTCCTTTTATTCGAAGTAATAAAACTCTTATATGAAATGATTCAAATTGACTTAGATTAACTGTGTATATTCATCCAATAATGTTTTTAACATTTGTTGTCCTCTTAATTCATCTATTTACTTTTTTCCCCTCAATTTCAACTTTTTAGAAAACATTGTTCAGGAATTTCATAAGAATAATAGTGGCGTGCATTTTCATGGAAATGCGGTAAGCCGCGCTTCTGAAACTCGAAATTATAAATATAAACTTCAATTTCACTAAAAAATGTATCTTTGACGATGAAGTTTAATAATGCATTTTTTAATGAAAGATTCAGGTGACTAAATCAGGTCGATCTGATGGTTGTTGACCTGGTAATACATTTTCTGTAATATTCTGTAATAATAAAAATAAAAATAAAATAAAAAAAGAAATAGATAAAACATAAACATCGAATTTTAATTGTTTAGTCATCATGATAGGTTAGAGCTATGTTAAAGATAAGATAAGATTCTCATCAATTATTTTTAAATAATCGATTTTATTAAACGAACTGCAATGGAATCGAAATTATTGCATCGTATAGTTCTTTTCGCGTCAAATTGTGAAGAGGCCGTTCAATAGGTAAATAGATCGTATATGCCCGAAAAGCTCCTGGACTGTATTGAAACTTAAAAGCCGAGGAGGTAATGGAGGGGATGACTACTGTATACAACCGTATGGTAGTCGGCCTAGCACATGGGTTACATGTCAACAGAGAGGATAGTACACAATTACGTCGTACACCACCTATTTGTCAATTGAGTGCCTCCTGTGCGTAACTCGAGTACGGCTTCGCCAAGGTTATGAAATGTTATAAACGAGCCTAGCGATAGTACGGCATGCAAAAGAAGTTTGTAGTGCGAGCTATAAGGCCGCGCATCTCGCTTCGTTCGTTGTCTCAGTCTTATACTATTCTACGCAACAAACATCTTCCCCATACCATATTTGCACTTGGCTCGCCCAAGGTACACAAATAACTAATATATACCCGAGACAAAACGAGGGAGGCAAATTTTCTACATTTTGATGGTCTATATGTTACCGCTAGAGGGACCTGAAAAACTGGTCGCAATTGCTGAATTTATGAAGTTTTATTAGTTCGCTTGAAAGTCATAAAGGCTAATCGAAGCATCCGGTGGAGAGCATTATTCAAATATCATTCACTTCTGATAAAATCCAATTTACCCGGATAACGTCACTGGCGAAAGAAATTATGGCATCACTCATAACAAAAATTAGCAACAATGTCTCGCTATCAGACTGACTCAATTGTAATCGGATTGCAACTGGTTTTCGAACAATACATTAAATCTTCTTTAAGGAAACATTAGTTTACAAACTGGAATTCACGTGCTGCATATATGAATATTTCTTTATCTGATATTTACCCGAGATGCACGTGTTAGATAACTCTTTTATATCAATGTCATTTTGTCGTGATCAGCATTTTTACCGAAAAACGACGACCGCGCAAAGTTAATACATTTTTTTTGTAAATAGCTCACCGGAGAGCCTGACCACGACAAGCAGCAGCTCTTCACCAGTGGCTGTGCCGATAGTACCTACGTCAGACTTGGTCAAGGAAGACATTGGACTTGCACCTGCTTTGTCGACGCCTACGGTCATCTTGTCCGAACAGCATCGTACTGACATCAATGTTAGTATTTTTTCACTCGCAGTCACTGTATTTTTCTTAATTTGCTTACTCAATAGGTTTTCAATTTTTTACAATTTGTTCAAACTGCTACCAATAAAATGCTAATTTACACGACAGTGTATACAATTGTCACATTGTTTTCCAACTTTTGTATGAGTTACATGAGCTTTTTCACTTGATTAATTTATTATTAAAATCATGATTACCTAGTAGTTAAGCTTTGATGAAGTTTCAACTTTAATTTTTGTATTTAAAATGTTTCTATAATTTTAAAAAATTTCTCGTTTGTTATCGTTCCTATAGATATCCACAGAAAACGCGTTACCACCCAACGCAAACGCCACACAAACAAGCAACTGGTTACGAGCACGCGGCTTCCACACCTTCGAGTCGATATTCGCAAATTTCTCCGCCTCGGACATCTTACGTTTATCACGCGACGACCTCATTCAGATCTGCGGTCTAGCCGACGGCATACGCTTATTCAATGCCGTACACTCGAAAGCCAAACTGTGCCTGTATTTTGCGGTCGAGGATCGATTGTGGCGTGCAGTTTATCTCGAAAGTTTGACGAGCAATGTATTTATCAGCAAATTATTGGGAGCTCTGAATTTACCTCACGAACGATTGCACTCGGTCCTATTGCTCGGACCGCAAGGCATTCACGTGCTGTTAACGAACGAACTTATTGCTAACATGAAGGATGAAAGTATGTTTGCCGTCGAGATTATTAAAGGTAATTTTTTTTTATGTTCATATACAAAAATTTATTTCTTAAAACTTTTGAGTTTACATTAATGACAGCAATGTCATTGATTAACGATATTTTACGAATTTCCTTACTTTCTGCCCATTGATTATATATTATTTACGTATTAGGATAATACTTGGTATAATTTATCAAATCTAAAGATCCTAAGATAACTGAATTTACTTCAGAAGTAAACACATGAAACAGTGCGCTGTTATTACCTACAACAATCACTCCAATACAGTCATGACCTTGGTTAGTGTTTTAAAGGCGATTGTGTTTTGTGATCGACTCAAGAAATGGCATTTATCCATCTACTACCATAACCACCGTGTAGTCTTTAATTAACTCGGCACTGTTAATAGTACATTACGATACAAGTGCGGGAAAGTAGATTCTAGTCTCCTGTAGCGTTTACACCCGAGCAAAGCGAGGGTGGAATGGTACACGAGACGAGAAACTCTTTCCCGAACATGTGCCGTGCCGTATTTTTTTATACGACGTGTGAAAAGTGTGATTTTTAACGTACGTTTTTTGCCGAGCGTGCGGGAAAAACGCACTTTCCGCACGGAGTGTTGAAAAAGCTATTTCAATTTTTAAAACATTTTTTTTTTTCATTTTTCAAAATAAAATTAAGCTTATGAAATGGTGATTGTAGTATCATTGAAAAATACCCCGTCAGATCCATTATTTGCATACAGGAAAGATGTACTTCAATTGTTGTTGGCTGTTCAAAATTGTGATCTAAAAAAGAAAACTTATCATGTATTTTTTAATTTCGAAATCGTTACTTAAAAGTCACGTATAGTGATATGAGTCATGATGTTTCTTTGTATTTTTCAGATCCAGGTAGCGACCAATTCAAACTCCTGCTAAAACCATCATCAAACTAACCAGATGCAGCGACCACTGAAAGGCAACAACGTATTCTCCAATTACAAAGTTGATTTGAACTTATCATGTTGATTTTTATTGTGAAATGTGAATTGAAAAAAAAAGAAAACGAAAAGGATTACGTGAAAAAAAAACAAAGATATATAGATAGACAGATAGATGTAGTTTCACTAGAATTATTCCGCTATTTTAATTATTCCAAATTTAATTTTACATCGTTTACGTTTTATTTTTCTTATTTTTTCCTTTATTAATGGATTCCCTTGCTTGTGAACAAAAGAGAATATAACTATTTGTTAAATATATTTATTTCCATTTTTTTGCCTATTCTTTTTGCTTGTGTGCGTCTTTTCAACTTATAAAGATTGTTTATTATTGTAGTAACAAAGATAACTAATTGTATTATTATTAGATCTTTATTATGTGCATCTCAAACGAATGTTATTATTATAATTATTATTTGCATTACAATTACTATTTATTTCATCGACCTGTTGTCTCGGAATGAAACCTCGGAGTGATGAAAGTCGTGCCGGTTGAATGATATCGCTATAATTAAAATGAAGTCGAATACTATTATGTATTATATTAATGGACATGTCCTCACAAGATATGATTAAAAAAAATTGTGCCAACTACGTAAATTTAACGTACAATTAAGAGCAACTTTGTGATTTTTTTTAAATGTACGTGAAACGAAAAAAAAAATCGATTTAAACTCTTTATAGATATGTTATTTATGACTTTTATGATTTATCTTAAGTACGATATGATACTATAGTGCAATTTATATTTTACGTTGCATTTGTTTCTTTTATTAATTCGTTAAAAAAAACTAAAAATAATTTTAACGAAAATGAAACTAAAAAGTAGATAGATCCGAGTGTTTGTGTGGAAAAATTATTTTTCTTTATGACTAAATGATTTTTCTCCCTTACTTTATTTTGTTGTGTAGTGATTGAGTATTATATAATAAAATGATCCTTAACAATATACGAGCTTATGATTGGCAAAATACTTGTTTTTTGTTGTTTTCGTGCTGTATACTGGTTATTTTCATTCGTTTATAACCTATCTACCAATAATCTCAACTATAAAGACTCAGTGATACGTGGAGTGTGTGAGCTCAATTTTTCTCTTTTTAAATAAAATGGAATATATCTTATGAATAAGATGAATAATATTGTTAGAGTAACATATAGGGAGTGTTAATTTTTAAAGTACATCAGTTACTGTTACCTAAAACTTCCAAATATACAGCCATCGTCAGTTCTCACATAAAAACAATTACCGTTTTTTATATACTTTGTGTACTTCTTTTTCGCGTTTCTCTGCCTCTTGTAAACGCTGATAATTACAACAGAAAGAACAACAATAATTGCATGCCTCAATGAGGATATTGTTAAGCGTGTAAACCTGCAACCCGTATCAATTTATTTTTGCATTTTATAAATTTTTTCATTGATTGTAAATGAGTTACTATCATGATTCAATTAACCAAGGTATGTTCATGGTGTGTATTATCTGGTATACGTGCAAATGAATTTTATACATCGACATTGTCTGTAAATCCTTTCGAAGAAGTGATAAATACATCTGGTACAAAACTCTCATAGTAATAAAAAAGGTATTTGTAAATATATTCAATAATCACAACCATAAATATATACGTATATTCACAAAGAGAACTGAGAAGAAAGCGGAATAATGGAACTGTGTATATACATACGACATAGTTAAATAAAAAGTAATTAAAATAATTGCCAGTTAAAGTTGTTAATGCATTTGCAAAATTTTATTTATAATTTTACGAAGACGATCGCAGCTCGTCAGTTCAATTATTCATTTTCAAAAATTCGACAATACATTCTTTATGAATGTCCTGAATGAGTACAAGTTTACGTGAACGTTGACGACACGATTAAATTGATACGGAAGCAAGAAGTTTTGTTGCGGACATCGGCCTACGTTACGCCTACGGAGCCCAAAACAACCTGCGTGTCGTTTGATTGCAATTCTTCGAAACAGTGAGCAGCTGTCAAAACGTGCCTTTCCAAGATGAGTACACCAGTGCAAAAAATGTCGCAGTCAGTTTTCGTGATAAGCGCAACAACAAATGGAAATTCACCTTCTTCTACCGCAACCACGTTTTCACCTCTTATTGGCTCAGCAATGCTGAAATCTGTTTCAATTTATAATAAAATTTAGTTGGTATTTATTTTCGGTTTCAATTTACGAAGAGATAATCCCGCAATTTGCACACAATAATAGACGAGATTTCTCATTGTTGTACAAGACGAGACCTAAAGCGATTTTTAAACTCTTGATTTCAATTATTAAAATAGTCATTGGAGAAAAACACGTAACTTCTGAGTTGTGGCATCTTTATCAATAGTCGTGAGTTATACGCACGAGTGGAACTTCAATGTGCACCGTCGTTTTATCGTTGTGCCACGATATGTAGCTCGTTGTTCAAGCTGAAAATCACGATTTGAAATTGTCAATAATCATTTTAAAAGGCCACGTAATAGTTATTGTACGTTCATATCGCATCGGTGAATTAAGTGAAAACGAAGGAATTGCATGCTTCGTGTTGTTCTTTGTACATTTTCCATCAACGTAATAATTTCTTGTGACATCCTCAATAAGTTAGCTACAAGAAACATATTTTAAACATTTTTTACATATCGTGCTTGTACATGTGCGACAATAGAAGTTTAGTCGATCTTCAGTAAATCTTCTATATAAATGAATTTTACTACCGCACGTTCGCATGAAGTTTGACATGATTCTGTACTGGATGCACCTTATTTCTGCACTGTTGCCCTGATTTCATTTGAGAACTGCCAAGTTTCAAAAGTTGTATCGTAATACAAGCAAAGATATTTGTAAAGGTATTCAATAGTGATGACAATAAATAAGCGAATATATGTACAAACAGCACTTAGAAAAAAGCAGAGTAATGATAGTGTGCACAAACAACATGGATAAATAAATAGGAATTAAAGTTATCGCTAGTTTAGTTTAGTCTCTATTTTATTTGCGAGATTTTCAAAAACCGTTCAATACATCCTTTATGAATTTTTTGTAGTAGTGTACGCTCGCGTGAAGGTTTACGACTCTGTTTATCTGCCGTGAATGCAATGCGAAGTAATTCGGACATATGCCAGTGTTAACGCCCACGACTTTCCCCTTTTCAGTGAGAATCGGGAATATTACAATAATTTAATATTGTATAAAATATTATAAAATATAAAATATAAGATATAAAATTTTATATTTTATAAAATATAAAAAGTGGAACTTAAATGTGCACCGTCGTTCTATCGCTGTGTCACGATACGTAGCTCGTTGTTCAAACTGGAAATCACGACTTGGTATTGTCAGCAATGGTTTCGAAAGACAACGTAATAGTACTGTAGATCTATATCGTTTAGATAAATCCATATTTATTATACATTTATGAAATCAGAATCATTGTATTACATTTTCATCGAGTGATTTTTCATTACCCTTAATGTCATACGTTATCATTTCTTGCAACATCCTTCTTGTGAGATTCTTAGATAGTCTTAATTTACCTGAGAAGTGAACACACCAAATATTAAAACGATTCGGACTTGTGATTTGTAACTCTCACAATTTGTGTCAAGTACTACATGGTACTATAGGTCGATATATATTTTACCTTGTTTTTGTTTCATTTATATTCTGGAATTAGTCATGAAAGAACTGAAAACAATTTTGAATAAAAATGTAACATAAAAATGTTCTGTAGGTATGATAAATGCATACGTAAATTGGAAAAATTATTTTTCTCTATCACCGAATGATTATTTTTCCTCACGTGATAACAATATGTAACTGCAGATTTTCGCAGATAATTGAACGTTCGAAAAGTGTATCGGTATAGCTGGTATGAATTTAATATGATTTAATGAATTTAATCGTATATACTAAGCTTACAATAAAAACCGTCTGATGCCTCGAATTCAAATAATTCTTCAATTAAGAATAAGCAATAATAATACGAATCGATAATTTAGCATGACAAAATATAGTACAATGATTTTGGCATTATTCTGTTACATAAAATATGAGAAAAATATTTGAAAATGCACGTATTGCAATCGCTACCGTAAAGTATATCCACTAAAGTATATAATATTTACTTCGTGAGTAATATGATTATAGAAAACTATAATATTTTTAGAATTTATATTACGTTTTATCAGTTGTTCAGCCGTTTTTTACACTGTTGATGAGTTTTCAACACAGAAAATTGTATAATAGCGACTTAAAGCTTCATTGATATTACTTTTTAATCACGAGTATCAACGTAACTCCACATTTATTGAACAATAAATAACTTCGTTGGCTGTATCATTAAATTAAGGAAATATTCAATGCATATTAAATTTTCGAATTTTCAGTTTCACCAAAAAAAAAGTTTAAATCTATATTCGTGCATTAAAATGGATGCGTAAAACAGATGAAAAAGATGAGCACGCTAGAGATTAGTAGTATCTTTAAATAAATAATTCTATTGAGGAAGCGATACATATATCTGATACAAAACACGCACAGTAATGCAATTAAAGGCAATTAAATTAAAGGTATTCATTATATTTATTACGATCATATTTAGATATGCATGTGCATTCATAAAGAGAATTGGCATAAGAAGAAAGGGAAGTGATGGCATGGTAAATAAAGAGGAATCATATTAATTATTGGCTCAAGTTTTTATTGCATTCAATGAAATATATTTGTTGTTCCGCGAATTCCGTCGCAACTAGGCCTCTTGGTAATTTATATTCAAAATGTCTCCAACACCTTCTTTATGAATGCCTTGAAGTATACTACCAATGCGTAAGTGTTGACGACATCATTCATCTGATGCGGAAGCAAATACTTTTTTTCGGACATATGCCTATGTGTATGCCTACGACTTTCCGCTTCTCAGTAAGAATCGGGCAGCCACTGTCACCCTAGAAATATCTACGAATATTATTTTTTGAACGAACGGTTTATTGTATTGTTTCTGACTCACACAAACCAGCTTGGAGGATGGTTCATGTTTGGTACAGAAGAGGCTGTCATCCAGAGTAATAGTTTCATTCATTAGGCCGGATACTATCTGTTCGCATCTTTCACTAGTCAGTACCGTAAGACTTGCCTTTTGCAAATATCTTGGACGGTCATTCGAGTCGGGATTCGTCTGGCCCCATCCTAACACCGTTACGTTTTGAAGACATATTTCGGAGCGAGTTTTTTCCGACAACTCAGCTGGTTTTGCTACCTTGTTGTCGACATTCTCGCAGAGCTGCAAGCAAATTTTGAACAATTGTTCAGCCGAAAGTGAAACACGTCATTCTCGAATTACCTTGATAATGGCTATGTCGGTTGAGTCATAACTTTGAGGAACTCCTTCAATTTCTGCCCATTCATCGTAAGTTATCCACTTACCCACGTTGTACCTCGTACCAATTGTTAGGTCGACGGAGCCCAAAACAACCTGCGTGTTGTTTGGTTGCAATTCTTCGAAACAGTGAGCAGCTGTCAAAACGTGCCTTTCCGAGATGAGTACGCCGGTGCAAATAATGTCGCAGTTAGTATTCGTGATGAGCGCCACGACAAATGGAAATTCACCTTCTTCTACCGCAACCACGTTTTCACCTCTTATTGGCTCGGCAATGCTGAAATCTGTTTCAATTTATAATAAAATTTAGTTGGTATTTATTTTCGGTTTCAACTTACGAAGTGATAATCCCGCAATTTGCACAAAATAATAGACGAAATTTCTCATCGTTATACAAGAAGAGACCTCAAGCGATGGTGAAACTCTTGGATCCAATTATTAAAATAGTTATTTGAGAAAAAACGTAACTTCTGAGTCATGGCATTTTTTACGGTAGTCGTGAGTTACTCGCACGAGTGGAACTTAAATGTGCACCGTCGTTTTATCGTTGTGTCACGATACGTAGCTCGTTGTTCAAACTGGAAATCACGACTTGGTATTGTCAGCATCGTTTCGACAGACAACGTAATAGTACTGTAGATCTTTATCGTTTAGATGAATCCGTATTTATTATACATTTATGAAATCAGAATGATTGTATGTATTACATTTTCATCGAGTGATTTTTCATTGCCCTCAACGTCCTACTTCATCATTTCATGCAACATCCTTCTTGTGAGATTCTTAGCTAGTCTTAATTTACCTGAGAAGTGAATACACACCCAATATTAAAACGATTCGGACTTGTGATTGGTAACTCGCACAATTTGTGTTAAGTACTACATGGTACTGTAGGACGATATATATTTTACGTTGTTTTTGTTTCATTTATTTTTTGGAATTAGTCATGAAAGAACTGAAAACAATTTTGAATAAAAATGTAACTTAAAACTTTCTGTAGGTATGATAAATGCATACGTTAATTGGAAAACTTATTTTTCTCTATAACCGAATGATTATTTTTTCTTACTTTATTTTATTAATTCATAAACAAGTATTGCATACTGGAGCGATCCACAACAATATTATACTCTTACGCTTCATACAATACATTATTTTTTGTTTTCGTACAGCCCACGCCTACCAAGTTATACGTTTTATTAAATTTTTTCATTCATTGTAAATGAGTTACTATTGCAATTAAATTGACCAGGGCTGGATGCTTAAGTGTTATCACGTGAAAATGAATTTCATAAATCGATATTTGTCTATAAATCCTCTTGGAAATGAGATACATACATCTGGTACGAAAGATGCATAGTAATCCAATTAAGGGCATTTGTAAAGGTATTCAATAGTCATAACTAGAAATATATAGACATCATTTCACAAGGATAACTGAAAAGAAAGCCAAGTGACAGTATGTGTTCACATGGCATGGATGAATAAAGACGAATGACAATAATCGAAAACTCCATAATATTGACTAATGATTCGCAAAAGCGATCCTTGCTCGTCGATACGATGATTATCAGAAGTTCCTCAATATATCCTTTATGAATGTCATGGAGGCGACCACGATCTCGTGAACATTCATAACGAGATTTATCTGATGCTGACTCATTAGGCTTTGTTCTGGGCAAATGCCTACATTTATCCCGACGACTGACCCCTTTTCACTGACGATTGGACCTCCACTGTCACCCTAGTTTTATACACAAATATTTAGCTTTTAAAAGAAATGTTCATTGTATTATTCCTGACTCACGCAACTCATCACAGCAAATGGTTCAGTTTTGGTACAGAAGATGGTCTTGTCCACAAAAATCTGTTCATTTGTCAGGTTGAGTACAAGGTGTTCGCACTGTTCCTTCTTCAGTACTGTAACACGCGCCTTTTTCAAATATCTTGGTTTTTCTGTGGAGTCCAAACTTGTCTGACCCCATCCTAACACCGTAACGTTTCGTTGATATAATGTAGAGCGTGTTTTCTTCGACAACTTAGCTGGTGCCACGTTATTGTCCACATCCTCTAACAGCTTAAAACACGTATTACTCGATTGTTCAGCCTAACATGACTTGTATCATTCTCGGTTTACCTTCACAATCGCAACGTCCATTTCCCGGGGTACATTAACAATTCCTGTCATATTGAGCCATTCAGCGTAAGTTATCCATTTACTCACATTGTACCTCGTACCAATTGTTAGGTCGACGGAGCCCAAAACAACCTGCGTGTCGTTTGGTTGAAATTCTTCGAAACAGTGAGCAGCTGTCAAAACGTGCCTTTCCGAGATGAGTACACCGGTGCAAATAATGTCGCAGTTAGTTTTCGTGATGAGCGCCACGACAAATGGAAATTCACCTTCTTTTACCGCAAACACGTTATCACCTCTTATTGGCTCGGCAATGCTAAAATCTGTTTAAATTTATAACAAACATTCAATTGGTATTTATTTTCGGTTTCAACTTACGAAGTGATAATCCCGCAATTTGCACAAAATAATAGACGAAATTTCTCATCGTTATACAAGAAGAGACCTCAAGCGATGGTGAAACTCTTGGATCCAATTTTTAAAATATCATTGGAGAAGAAAACGTAGCAACTAAGTCATGGCATCTTTAACGGTAGTCGTGAGTTACACGCACGAGCGGAACTTAAATGTGCACCGTCGTTTTATGGTTGTGTCACGTTCCGTAGCTCGTTGTTCAATCTGAATATCACGACTTGGCATTATCGGTAATCATTTCGGAAGACTACATCCATATCGAGTGGAGAAAGAAATCACATGCTCCATGCTGTTTTTTGTACAATTCAAAAATCATAATCAGTGCTTTAATTGATTTTCATTGCCATCAAAGTAATATTGCTTGTAGCATCCTTAATGAAATGGCTAGGATGAACTTATTTTTGAGACCATCCTAAAGTTAATCTTATTATGTCGAAATCAATATCTTTTTGAGAGGCTGCCGAAGTAGGAGCGTGTTTAGTTGAATGGGCGGAAAAATGGAAACACCTGCCCCAATGTCTTTTATCACATCCTTTATCTATCTACCAATCGTCGATGCATTCACAATCGAATACAATTTTATCTGAGGTTTTCTGTTTCTTTTAAGAATTTTCGGATTGTAGATACCACGCAAACACGAGTTTTTTGTTAAACTTCGGTAGTTTTAATTATTGCTGCAATCTCCGCGAATCTGAAATGTTTATAAACTCCGGTACAACGATTAGCAATTACTCGCCATCGCGTTTTATTTTATTACTATTCAATGACGTCAACCTTTGCGCAGTACTTAACGTTGACAACATAACTGTTGCATCTGATCAATTTTTTAAATTCAGAATATCTAATTTCTCTAATTAGTTTGATACAATCGACACATCCGATAATGTGGTGAGTTTTGGTCACTGCGGTCTCAGATTTGAGATGCCTTTCATGATTCTGATCACATTCATGTGATTTCCAACTTTATAAGTAAATAAATTGAAAGTGAAAGAATTGCGATAAGAACATTATTATAAATATTGAGGTAAATTGAAAAACGATATTTTTTCTGGCAAAATTGATTCCACTGGCTCCAAAAGCAGAACCGCACTGTTCTAGCGTAGTCTTTTACGACGCTAATATACTACCTGCAGCCTCCTCAGGAATTTGCCTTTTTAAAACGGGTTGCCTTATACTCTGCTTGTGATTCAATGTGGACTCTCGACCCTTGGGTGCGACAGACTTCCAAGGTGACAGTAATAGATTTGAGTAGGCATTAAAAATTAAACGTTTACTTATATTCTCATATAGATTCCAACATCGGATGTCATGTTTGTTTTTTTAATTTAAAATTATTTCTTTTGTTTTTTCCTGCCTGATGTTTGCTAAAGTTTTAAAAATTAAGAAAAAAAAGTAAACTTAATTTATTTCCCACTCTTTACCATTAATTCCTTACTATATATATAAGCTTTCAGCCGTGAAGTTGTTTTTTGAAAATATTGCTACTGAGATAATCTTATGCTGCTCCGCCCCTTGCCCCATTTCTTAAGACAGTGGGTTGAAATGATCGAACCTGATTCTGCTTATCTTATTTGCCAATCTTATATGTCACGTGATCATAATATATAACTGCAGATTTTCGCAGATAATTGAACATTCGAAAAGTGTATCGGTATAGCTGGTATGAATTTAATATGATTTAATGAATTTAATCGTATATACTAAGCTTACAATAAAAACCGTCTGATGCCTCGATTCCATCTAAGCTATTCGAAAGAATAGCTACAAATAATTCTTCAATTAAGAATAAGCAATAATAATACGAATCGATAATTTAGCACGACAAAATATAGTACAATGATTTTGGCTTTATTCTGTTACATAAAATATGAGAAAAATATTTGAAAATGCACGTATTGCAATCGCTAACGTAAAGTATATCCACTAAAGTATATCCACCAAAAAAAGGTTTAAATCTATATTCGTGCATTAAAATGGATGCGTAAAACAGATGAAAAAGATGAGCACGCTAGAGATTAGTAGTATCTTTAAATAAATAATTCTATTGAGGAAGCGATACATATATCTGATACAAAACACGCACAGTAATGCAATTAAAGGCAATTAAATTAAAGGTATTCATTATATTTATTACGATCATATTTAGATATGCATGTGCATTCATAAAGAGAATTGGCATAAGAAGAAAGGGAAGTGATGGCATGGTAAATAAAGAGGAATCATATTAATTATTGGCTCAAGTTTTTATTGCATTCATTGAAATATATTTGTTGTTCCGCGAATTCCGTCGCAACTAGGCCTCTTGGCAATTTATATTCAAAATGTCTCCAACACCTTCTTTATGAATGCCATAAAGTTTACTACGTTTGCGTGAATATTGACTACATCATTCATCTGATGCGGAAGCAAATACTGATCTTCCGGACATATGCCTTTGTTTATCCCCACGACTTTCCGGTTTTCAGTAAGAACCGGGCCTCCACTGTCACCCTAGAAATATCCACAAATATTAGTTTTTGAATGAACTGTTTATTGTATTGTTTCTGACTCACATAAACCAGCTCGGTGAATGGTTCAATTTTAGTACAGAAGAGGCTGTCTTCCAGAGTAATAGTTTCATTCATTAGGCCGGATACTATTTGTTCGCATCTTTCACTAGTCAGTACCGTAAGACTTGCCTTATGCAAATATCTTGGACGTTCATTCGAGTCGGGATTCGTCTGGCCCCATCCTAACACCGTTACGTTTTGAAGACATATTTCGGAGCGAGTTTTTTCCGACAACTCAGCTGGTTTTGCTACCTTGTGGTCGACATTCTCACAGAGCTGCAAGCAAATTTTGCACAATTGTTCAGCCGAAAGTGAAACACGTCATTCTCGAATTACCTTGATAATGGCTATGTCGGTTGAGTCATAACTTTGAGGAACTCCTTCAATTTTTGCCCATTCATCGTAAGTTATCCTTTTACTCACACTGTACCTCGTACCAATTGTTAGGTCGACGGAACCCAAAACAACCTGCGTGTCGTTTGGTTGCAATTCTTCGAAACAGTGAGCAGCTGTCAAAACGTGCCTTTTCGATATAAGTACACCGGTGCAAATTTCTTCTTGTTCAGCGTTCGAGCTATCGGTTTTTTTTATCATAGCCGCCGCGAATGGAAATTCACCTTCTTTTACGGCAATCACGTTTGCACCTCTTAATGGCTCGGAAATGCTGAAATCTGTTTATATTTATAACAAAATTTAGTTGCTATTTGTTTTCGGTTTCAACTTACGAAGTGATAATCCCGCAATTTGCACAAAATAATAGACGAAATTTCTCATCGTTATACCAGAAGAGACCTCAAGCGATGGTGAAACTCTTGGATCCAATTATTAAAATGTCATTGGAGAAGAAAACGTAGCAACTAAGTCATGGCATCTTTAACGGTAGTCGTGAGTTACACGCGTGAGTGGAGCTTTAATGTGCATCGTCGTTTGGTCATTGCGTCATGATAGGTATCTCGTTGTCAAATCTGAAAATCACGACTTGGCATTATCGGTAATCATTTCGGAAGACTACGTAATAGTACTGTACTTCTTTATCGTTTAATTTACCTGAGAAGTGAACACACCAAATATTAAAACGATTCGGACTTGTGATTTGTAACTTTCACAATTTGTGTCAAGTACTACATGGTACTATAGGTCGATATATATTTTACGTTGTTTTTGTTTCATTTATTTTCTGGAATTAGTCATGAAAGAACTGAAAACGATTTTGAATAAAAATGTAACTTAAAAACTTTCTGTAGGTATGATAAAAGCATACGTTCATTGGAAAAATTATTTTTCTCTATCACCGAATGATTATTTTTCTTTACTTTATTTTATTAATTTATAAACAAGTATTGCGTATTGGAGCGATCCACAACGATATTATACTCTTATGTTTCATACAATACATTATTTTCTGTTTTCGTACAGCCCTCGCCTACCAAGTTATACGTTTTATTAAATTTTTTCACTAATTGTAAATGAGTTGCTATTGCAATTAAATTGACCAAGGCTGGATGCTTAAGTGTTATCACGTGAAAATGAATTTCATCAATCGATATTTGTCTATAAATCCTCTTGGAAAAGAGATACATACATCTGGTACGAAAGATGCATAGTAATCCAATTAAGGGCATTTGTAAAGGTATTCAATAGTCATAACTAGAAATATATAGACATCATTTCACAAAGAGAACTGAAAAGAAAGCCAAGTGATGGTACGTGTTAACATGGCATGGATGAAAAAAGAGGAATGACAATAATCGCCAACTCAATAATATTATCTATTGCTTTGCAAAAGCGATCCTTGCTCGTCGATACGATGATTATTAGAAGTTCCGTAATATATCCTTTATGAATGACATGCAGGCGACCACACTCTCGTGAACATTCATAACGAGATTTATCTGATGCTGACTCATTAGGCTTTGTTCTGGGCAAACGGCTACGTTTATCCCGACGACTGACCCCTTTTCAGTGACGATTGGACCTCCACTGTCACCCTAGTTTTATACACAAATATTTAGCTTTTAAAAGAAATGTTCATTGTATTATTCCTGACTCACGCAACTCAGCACAGCAAATGGTTCAGCTTTGGTACAGAAGATGGTCTTTTCCACAAAAATTTGTTTATTTGTCAGCTCGAGTACAATGTGTTCGCACTGTTCCTTCTTCAGTACTGTAACACGCGCCTTTTTCAAATATCTTGGTTTTTCTGTGGAGTCCAAACTTGTCTGACCCCATCCTAACACCGTAACGTTTCGTTGATATAATGTAGAGCGTGTTTTCTTCGACAACTTAGCTGGTGCCACGTTATTGTCCACATCCTCTAACAGCTTAAAACACGTATTACTCGATTGTTCAGCCTAACATGACTTGTATCATTCTCGGTTTACCTTCACAATCGCAACGTCCATTTCCCGGGGTACATTAACAATTCCTGTCATATTGAGCCATTCAGCGTAAGTTATCCATTTACTCACATTGTACCTCGTACCAATTGTTAGGTCGACGGAGCCCAAAACAACCTGCGTGTCGTTTGGTTGAAATTTTTCCAAACAGTGAGCAGCTGTCAAAACGTGCCTATTCGAGATGAGTACACCAGTGCAAAAGAAGTTGCGATGACTGTTCGAACAGTTAGTTTTCGTGATGAGCGCAACGACAAATGGAAATTCACCTTTTTCTACCGCAACCACGTTATCACCTCTTATTGGCTCGGCAATGCTAAAATCTGTTTAAATTTATAACAAACATTCAATTGGTATTTATTTTCGGTTTCAACTTACGAAGTGATAATCCCGCAATTTGCACAAAATAATAGACGAAATTTCTCATCGTTATACAAGAAGAGACCTCAAGCGATGGTGAAACTCTTGGATCCAATTATTAAAATATCATTGGAGAAGAAAACATAGCAACTAAGTCATGGCATCTTTAACGGTAGTCGTGAGTTCCACGCACGAGCGGAACTTAAATGTGCACCGTCGTTTTATGGTTGTGTCACGTTCCGTAGCTCGTTGTTCAATCTGAATATCACGACTTGAAATTGTTAACAATCATTTCAAGAGACCACGTGATAGTTACTGTACGTTCATACTGCATTGACGAATTAAGCTAAAACGAAGCAATTGCATGCTTCGTGTTGTTCTTTGTACATTTTCCCATCAATGTAATAATTTCTTGTGACATCCTTAATAAGTTAGCTATAAGAAACATATTTTAAACATTTTTTACTTATCGTGCTTGTACATGTGCGACAATAGAAGTTTAGTTGATCTTCAGTAAATCTTCTATATAAATGAATTGTACTACCGCCTGTTCGCATGAAGTTTGACATGATTCTGTACTGGATGCAACTTATTTCTGCACTGTTGCCCTGATTTCATTTGAGAACTGCCAAGTTGCAAAAGTTGTATCGTAATACAAGCAAAGATATTTGTAAAGGTATTCAATAGTGATGACAATAAATAAGCGAATATATGTACAAACAGCACTTAGAAAAAAGCAGAGTAATGATAGTGTGCACAAACAACATGGATAAATAAATAGGAATAAAAGTTATCGCTAGTTTAGTTTAGTCTCAATTTTATTTGGGAGATTTTCAAAAACCGTTCAATACATCCTTTATGAATTTTTTGTAGTAGTGTACGCTCGCGTGAAGGTTTACGACTTTGTTTATCTGCCGTGGATGCAATGTGAAGTAATTCGGACATATGCCAGTGTTAACGCCTACGACTTTCCCTTTTTCAGTGAGAATCGGGCCTCCACTGTCACCCTAGTTTTATACAAAAATATTGAAATTTTCAAAGAGTTGTACATTGTATTATTCTTCACTCACATGACCCAACAAAATAAAAGGTTCAGCTCTCGTACAGAAGTAACTGTCTTCAATATCAGCTAATCGATTTAACAGCTTCAACATTATCTGTTGGCAATCTCTTATCTTCAGTACTTGAAGTTGTGCCTTATGCAAATATCTTGGGTTTTCTGTAGAGTTCAAACTTCTCTGACCCCATCCTAACATCGTTACGTTTCGGTTCTTTAATTCGCAGCGTGATTTCTTCGACAGCTTAGCTGGTACCAGCTTGTCGTCGACATCCTCCGACAGCTTAAAGCAAATTTTACTCAGTTGTTCTGCCTGATGCAATACGCATAATTCATGGTTTACCTCTATCACGGCAATGTCGTTATCGTATAGTACTATATGAATTCGTTTCTTCATTGCCCACTCATCGTAAGTTATCCATTTACTCACATTGTACCTCGTACCATATCTCAAATCAATGGAGTTTAAGATAATTTGCGTGTCGTTTGGTTGCAATTCTTCAAAACAGTGGTCGGCAGTCAAAATATGCCTTTTTGAGATGAGTACACCGGTGCAAATGAAGTCACATTCATCGTTTAAGCATTCAGTTTTTCTTATCAGAGCCGCTGCGAGTGGAAATTCACCTTCTTTTACCGCAAACACGTTATCACCTCTTATTGGATCGGCAATGCTGAAATCTGTTTCAATTTATAACAGAAATTCGATTGGTATTTATTTTTGGTTTCAACTTACGAAAAACAAATCCCACAATTTGCACAAAATAATAGACGAAATTTCTCATCGTTATACCAGAAGAGACCTCAAGCGATGGTGAAACTCTTGGATCCAATTATTAAAATATCATTGGAGAAGAAAACGTAGCAACTAAGTCATGGCATCTTCAACGGTAGTCGTGACTCAGATGCGTGAGTGGAGCTTTAATGTGCATCGTCGTTTTATCGTTGTGTCGTGATACATAACTCGTTCAAATTCACGACTTGGCATTATCGGTAATCATTTCGGAAGACTACATCCATATCGAGTGGAGAAAGAAATCACATGCTCCATGCTGTTTTTTGTACAATTCAAAAATCTTAATCAGTGCTTTAACTGATTTTCATTGCCATCAAAGTAATATTGCTTGTAGCATCCTTAATGAAATGGCTAGGATGAACTTATTTTTGAGACCATCCTAAAGTCAATCTTATTGTGTCGAAATCAATATCTTTTGGAGAGGCTGCCGAAGTAGGAGCGTGTTTAGTTGAATGGGCGGAAAAATGGAAACACCTGCTCCAATGTCTTTTATCACATCCTTTATCTATCTACCAATCGTCGATGCATTCACAATCGAATACAATTTTATCTGAGGTTTTCTGTTTCTTTTAAGAATTTTCGGATTGTAGATACCACGCAAACACGAGTTTTTTGTTAAACTTCGGTAGTTTTAATTATTGCTGCAATCTCCGCGAATCTGAAATGTTTATAAACTCCGGTACAACGATTAGCAATTACTCGCCATCGCGTTTTATTTTATTACTATTCAATGACGTCAACCTTTGCGCAGTACTTAACGTTGACAACATAACTGTTGCATCTGATCAATTTTTTAAATTCAGAATATCTAATTTCTCTAATTAGTTTGATACAATCGACACATCCGATAATGTGGTGAGTTTTGGTCACTGCGGTCTCAGATTTGAGATGCCTTTCATGATTCTGATCACATTCATGTGATTTCCAACTTTATAAGTAAATAAATTGAAAGTGAAAGAATTGCGATAAGAACATTATTATAAATATTGAGGTAAATTGAAAAACGATATTTTTTCTGGCAAAATTGATTCCACTGGCTCCAAAAGCAGAACCGCACTGTTCTAGCGTAGTCTTTTACGACGCTAATATACTACCTGCAGCCTCCTCAGGAATTTGCCTTTTTAAAACGGGTTGCCTTATACTCTGCTTGTGATTCAATGTGGACTCTCGACCCTTGGGTGCGACAGACTTCCAAGGTGACAGTAATAGATTTGAGTAGGCATTAAAAATTAAACGTTTACTTATATTCTCATATAGATTCCAACATCGGATGTCATGTTTGTTTTTTTAATTTAAAATTATTTCTTTTGTTTTTTCCTGCCTGATGTTTGCTAAAGTTTTAAAAATTAAGAAAAAAAAGTAAACTTAATTTATTTCCCACTCTTTACCATTAATTCCTTACTATATATATAAGCTTTCAGCCGTGAAGTTGTTTTTTGAAAATATTGCTACTGAGATAATCTTATGCTGCTCCGCCCCTTGCCCCATTTCTTAAGACAGTGGGTTGAAATGATCGAACCTGATTCTGCTTATCTTATTTGCCAATCTTATATGTCACGTGATCATAATATATAACTGCAGATTTTCGCAGATAATTGAACGTTCGAAAAGTCTATGAGTATAGTTGGAAAGAATTTAATATTATTTCATGAATTGAATCATGTATTTTAAATTAAAAACCGTCAGGTACCTTGATAATTAAATTAAGCTTGCAAAAGATATGCTTCAATTACACAGACGCTTTAATTAATTTTTCAATTAAGAATAAGCGATAAAAGAAATGGATTAGCACGACAAAATATTGTTTTATAATTTTGGTTTTATTCAGTTACATGAAGTATGAGAAAAATATTTGAAAATGCACTTATAGCAACCGTGAACGTCCACCAAAGTATATATTATTTACATCGTGAGGAATATGATTATGGAAAACTTTAATGTTTTTAGAATTTATATTACGCTTTATCACTTGTTCAGCCGTTTTTTAAACTATCGAGGATTTTCAACAACAAAAAATTGCCTGATAGGAACTTAGAGCTTCATTGATAATATTTTTCAATCTCATATCATATTAAGAGAATATTCAATGTATATTAAATTTTCGAATTTTCATTTCACCAAAAAAAAGTTTGGATTAAAATTCGTGCATTAAAATGAATGCAACAAACAGATGAAGAAGATGAGCACACTAAACATCAGTAGTATCTTTAAATAAATAATTCTGTCCAGGAAATGATACATACATCTGATACAGAACCCGCATAGTAATACAATTAAAGGCATTTTAATCTATTCATTTTAGTTATTACAACAATATTTAGATATGCATGTAGATTCATAAAGAAAATTGGCATAAGAAAAAAGGGAAGTGATGGTACATGTACATATGGAATGGGTAAATAATGAGAAATCAAAATAATCATTGGCTCAAGTTTTTATTGCAATTGAGGGATTTTATTTATTGTTTCGCGAATTCCATAGCAGCTAGAACTCGTGGTAATTGATATTCAAAATTTCTCCAACACCTTCTTTATAAATGTCTTGTAGTACGCTACGTTTGCGTGAATGTTGACGACATCATTTATCTGATGCGGAAGCAAATACTTTTGTTTCGGACATATGCCTATGTTTATGCCTACGACTTTCCGCTTTTCAGTAAGAATCGGGCCTCCACTGTCACCCTAGATTTATCCACAAATATTAGCTTTTGAACAAACTGTTTATTGTAATGTTTCTGACTCACACAAACCAGCCCGGTGAATGGTTCAACTTTGGTACAGAAGAGGCTGTCTTCCAGAGTAATAGTTTCATTCATTAGGCCGGATACTATCTGTTCGCATCTTTCACTAGTCAGTACCGTAAGACTTGCCTTATGCAAATATCTTGGACGTTCATTCGAGTCGGGATTCGTCTGGCCCCATCCTAACACCGTCAGATTTCGAAGACATATTTTGGGGCGAGTTTTTTTCGACAACTCAGCAGGTTTTGCTATCTTTTTGTCGACATTCTCGGAAAGCTTGAAGCAAATTTTGCGCGATTGTTCAGCGGAAAGTGAAACACGTCATTCTCGACTTACCACGATAATGGCCACGTCTTTTTCGTGTGAACTATTACGAACTCCTTCAATTTCTTCCCATTCATCGTAAGTTATCCATTTACTCACATTGTACCTCGTACCAATTGTTAGGTCGACGGAACCCAAAACAACCTGCGTGTCGTTTGGTTGCAATTCTTCGAAACAGTGAGCAGCTGTCAAAACGTGCCTTGCCGATATAAGTACACCGGTGCAAATTTCTTCTTGTTCAGCGTTCGAGCTATCGGTTTTTTTTATCATAGCCGCCGCGAATGGAAATTCACCTTCCTTTACGGCAATCACGTTTGCACCTCTTAATGGCTCGGAAATGCTGAAATCTGTTTATATTTATAACAAAATTTAGTTGCTATTTGTTTTCGGTTTCAACTTACGAAATAATAATCCTAAAATTTGGAGACAATAATGCACGAGGTTTCTCATCATTGTGCAAGAACAAGAATAAAGCAACGTTTATACTTTTGAATCCAGTTATCAATAGTGTCTTTGAAAGTGAAAAACGTAGCTGCTGAGTTATGGCACTTTCAACGGTTGTCGTGAGTGGTAACTCAGGATTGCTATTTATACCCCGATCCGATTTTATCGTGATCAGCTATTTTGCTGAGAAACGACCGCGTAACGTCAATAAAAATATTTTTCTTCCTTCGTTAATAGATCAGCAGAAGGTCGGGCGAAAATAAACGACAGCCCCTCACCAGTGGGTGTGCCGATAGTACCTACGCTACACTCTGGACTTGCATCTGTTTTGCCATCACCTGCGACCATCTTACGCGAACAGAATTGCACTGACACCAATGTTAGTACTTTTTCATTCTGAGAGTTACTCTATTTTTCTTATTTTACGTACTCGTGACTTTTGGAGGGTTACAATTTTTTTGAACTACTATAACTGAAATATGCTAATTTAATTAATAACGTGTACTGTAGTAACATTGTTTTCGAACGTTTGTATGAGCCACATGAGCTATTTCGTTTGATTACTTTATCATTGAAATCATGTGTACTAAGTGGTTAAATTTCGAAAAGTTTCAATTTCTGAATATACAACCGTAATCCTCTCTCGCAGAAAAATAATTTCCGTTTTTAATGTACGTTGTATAGTTGGTTTTAGCCCCGTTATGCTTCTTGTAATCGTTGATAATTGCATCAGAAAGACCAACAAAGAGCAACCAAGATTTATATTTAAACAAATTTTTTGATTGATTGCAAATGAGCGACTATTTTGATTTAATTATCCAAGGTTTGGTGCCTGAGTGTTTTCCTTATGTGGAAGTGATACATACATCTGGTATAACAATACTCGCATAATAATATAATCCAAGATATTTGCAAATGTATTCAATAGCCATGACAATAAATAAATAATTAAATATATATATGCACGTCTATTCGTAAAGAAACCTAAGAAGAAAGCCAAGTGACAGTCCGAGTACATATCGCATGGATGAATAAAGAGGAATTATAATAATCGCGAGCTCAAGCCTCGATTGATACATTTTAATTATTGTTTTTGCGTAGGTGATCGCAGCTTGTCCGTTCAATTATTCATTTTCAAAAATACCATAACATGTCCAATATGAATGTGTTGTAGTAGTACACTCCCGTATGAACGTTGACGACATTATTCATCTGATGTGGAAGCAATGCGGTGTATTCCGGACATACACCTAAGTTTATCGCTACGAGTTTTTGCTTTTCAGTCAGAATAGGGCCTCCGCTGTCACCCTAGATTTATATACAAATATTTAGCTTTTGAACGAACTGTTCATTGTATTATTCGTCCTAACTCACACAACCTGATGTAGCAAATGGTTCAGCTTTGGTACAGAAGACGCTGTCTTCCACGTGAACAGTTTCATTTATCAGCTCGTGTATCTTTTGTTGGCATTCTTCACTAGTCAATACTGTGAGAATTGTCTTCCTTAAGTATCTTACAGTTCTATTCGAGCTGAGACTCGTGTGACCCCATCCTAACATTGTCACGTTTCGGTTCTCTAATTTGGAGCGTTTTTTGTACGAGAACTCAGCTGATATTGACACATTTTTGTGGACTTTCTCAGAGAGCTTTAAACAAATTTTGCCCAATTGTTCAACGGAAAATAAAACACGTCAATCTCGGTTTACCTTGATAACGGCGATGTCGTTTTTTATTATTGCCTTATGAACTCCTTCAATTTCTGCCCATTCGTTGTAAGTTATCCTTTTACTCACATCATATCTCACACCATGTCTCAGGTCGACGGAACCCAAAACAATTTGCATATCGTCCAATGATACCTTCTCGAAACAGTGAGCGGCTGTCAAAACGAGCCTTTCCGAGATGAGTACACCCGTGCAAATTAGGCCGCGTTCAACGTTCGAGCAGTTCGTTTTTTTTATGAGCGCCGCCACGAATGGAAATTCGCCTTCATTTGCCATGACCACGTTGTCACCTCTTATTGGTTCAGCAATGCTGAAATCTATTTCAATTTTTGAAAGATTTTATTTATTTATTTTTAGCTTCAACTTACGAAATAAGAATCCCAGAATTTGCAGACAACAGTACACTTCATTTGTCATAATTACGTATGAGCAGGAATAATGCGATGTTTAGAATTGGTCCAATTATTGATAAATGTCAATCGAAAAAAAACGTAGCTGCTGAGTTATGGTATCTTCAACGGTAGTCGTGAGTTAGATGCGTGAGTGGAGCTTTAATGTGCATCGTCGTTTTATCGTTGTGTCGTGATACATAACTCGTTGTTCAAATTCACGACTTGGAATTGTTGACAATCATTTCGAAAAGCTACGTGATAGTACTGTACATTCAACAACTCCGTGCTATTTTTGTATATTTAAAAAATCAGAATCAGTGCTTTACATTATAATTGATTGATTTTTCATTGCCATCAACTTAATGATTTTTGTGATATTCTTAATAAGATAGTCATGACGAACGTTAATCCAAAAATAATTCGCACATTGAACTCATACGTGTACAGTTATAATGCTGTAAATCTTTCACATCGATAAAATTGATATTATAAAATTTGTCATTATCCACAGTAAAAGTTACTAGAAAACATAATCTTGGGATATATTCGGGCAATAGTAAAAATTGCTACACATAACGGTGTGCAGTTTACTGGAACCCATATAACGACTACTATGAACAAAATGTAGGAGATTAGCTCGTTAAATTTTATATACTGCACTACACCTATATATACTTTGGCTGGTTTTAGAAACTAATTGTAAAGGTTATACTTGATTGGAATTATTGTTGAAAGTCACATTAATTTGGAAGTTCGTCTTTGGAGTAGGATGCATATACGATTCATCGTCCGTTATCATACCTACACACGTGCACGCGCATTCATATATTACATATCCTATTTATTCTTTAGTTTGCAAGTTAACCACCCATCTCATGTAGTTCGCCTTTTAGACACTATCGTACATCTGCGGATAGATGAATTCAACTTTCACAGAAGTTCCTAGAGTATCCCGCGACAATTGGTCTTCCTCATTTATCACTGGAGCTCCATTGTCGCCCTGTCGCCAAAAATCAATGTGTTATCGAAAATTGCAATCAGAGATGCCATCTCAACGGTGCGTCGGACGAAAACCAAACGATTTCGCCACCTTTCGACTAACTCTTTTTAAAAGCTTGGAAAACAATGCGTCTGAACGATTCACTTTCTTATTTCAAGTTTAAAATGCCTCTTGCAGATTTTATTTTTTAATAAGAACACGGTTTACTTTAACAAAACCGTTTAAAATTTTTCATTATGTCTACAATTTTTTTCCTATTTAGTAACTACCTGCTCTCACATTCATGTGTACTAACCCGAAATTAAGCAGGAAATCTGCGAAATACACGTTTATTGCTCGTATCAAAATACATTTCTTTCGCAGTGCTAACTCAAAACACTCGTGGAAATCCTAAATATATTAAAAGATGCTCACTCGCGTATTATTTACAACCAAAGTACACGGACCCGTAAAATATGTTTTTACGTCTTATAAGTGAATTAATCAATTAATTAAATGCAAGCAATTTAGTTCTTTTCAACTAATTATCTCTATTAATGTTTTCGTTTTTTTAATCTGGACGTAACAAAACTCCATCAAACTGTTATTGTATAATTTAATAAAAACTTGAAATAAATAATTAACAAAATTGATGGCATTTGAATGAACTAACTTAAATATGAAAAATGGAAATGATTGAATAGAATCGACTATTTGGAATCGTGGACTCGTTAAACAAACATTTTCCCTCAAATAAACGATATTACATATTATTTTTAGGTAAGTCGTCCTGTCTGTATAATGCGGAACGATGCGCATTTCAAAATACGAATCTCCAATACTTTGTATAAATATATATATTTTTTCATAACAAAACAATTTTTTAAATTAATTACAAGGAATGTTGTTATTGTACACCAGTCACTGTCGCACGTGAGTGATAAAGCGCCACTGTCCGAGTTCTCACAACACACAGTTCAGCAGTTGTCCTCTTCACTTCTTCTTCTTCAGCTGTCTGTTTTTCCTCTTCTCCTCGCGCTTCCTCTCCCGTTCGGACAAACTGCTGTAGAGCTTGTAACCGAAAAACACTGCGAACCAACGAGAAACAAGAAAAGCGTTAGGTGGTGTTCGTGAGAAATATTGACGTCGAGGCGTCTGTTGCTTGGCGCACGCGATAAATACATTCGTTTGCCAAAAACAAAGACCAGAAGCAGCGAAAAGTGCCTTAGGGAAGCGAGTCGCGAACTTTCTCCACGTACTTTTCGACATGCCCCTTCAGGCTGCCTTTCGCCAGGCTCAAAACTCACTCTTGTTCCCGTCATCGGCGGCTCCGAGCGCTCGAATATCCTCTAAACGACGGACTCGGTCAGCCATCGTTCCCGGGGCTGCCGTGAGGCGACTGATTAGGCGCCGCGTAACGCGCGTATTGTCGTTACGCAACCAGGCACAAAAACTTGTCGGCAGGTATTGCATCTGCGTTTATAAATAGAAACACGTTTGCCTAGTTGTTTTTCGTGCCGATTTATACATTCGTTTTTTGGAAACACTGCGAGACGAGAGAGAGAAAGAGAGAGAGAGAGAGAGATATACCGAATATGAGAGTGATGACGGCGAGCATAACCACGAGAATGAAGAATTGCGAGGCGAAGAACGAGGTGGCGATGTGCTGCTCGTCGGCAACCAAGTCGTCGTCGACGAAACCGCCCTGTGCCTTTTTCAGCAGGTCGCGCCGCAGCGCCTCCTTATCCTCGTCGGACAAGCCGCCCATTGAGTCGAGCATCTTCAGCAGCTCTTCGGCCGACGGCATTTTGCCGTCCGGGAACGGATTTCTCGGGAGCTCGTCCTCGACAACGCCGTCATCGCCGTCATCTTCGTCGGCAGTTGCTGACACCAAGAGACTTCGCAGACCGAAGAGCAATAACGACAGCATTTCGGCGCCGACTCTGTTTGGAATTCATATTCGTCAGAGTGCAAAACAAGATCGTCTGTTTTCAAGTGTCCCTCGCGCGAAAGAACAAAATCCCCGACTTATTTTTCGAACCACACGTGGATGCTGGTCCAACAATAACTTTTTGCTACGTTTTACTTATTACCGGTGATCACGATGGATTAGCCATTTTCAGCTGTTGTGCTCTCTATTATCTTATCTTCCGTCCTCCCCAAGATCACCATCGAGACGAAGAGATAAAGCGCGCACTTGCCAATAGCCGTGACACGGCGCACAGGCTTATCCGAAATATAGAAGAAAAATAAAAATATATACAAATGCGTGCTACGTGTCACTCGGCGATATTGCCAAAACGACTTAACTTGCAAGTTTACGTGGATAGCTTTATTTGTTTATCATCGAAATTACGAATTTTTGAATTGTTGCCTTTTTTAAAATTCGCTGTCACCTTTATAAATCGATTGAGAAAATCTATATACGAAAAAAGAATTTTTTTTTTCAATTCACGTGAATCATCGCGTAGTGTTCAACTCGTCAAAAAGACGGAAGCCGGTGAAAAGCTACATCACAATTAATACTCTCATATATGAAAAAGTAGGCTACAATTACATTTGTTGCTTCGTTAAAAAAATAAAACGGAAATTGTATTGACATACACGCACCGACGGTCTTCGCTTGCCGGCTAAGAAATATACTTTAATGCTTATTCACGAAGCCGAACCATCCAGGAAAAAAGTAATTTTCAAACAACGATTCGATATTCATTGACAAAACTAATAATTTTTAAACTACTCAAAGTTAAAGCGCCGTGATCTTCACACCTCACAATTGATCGATTTTAAAAGAGAATAAGAGAAATACCTGCAGGGTTTTTAAAAAAGTAGCAGAATAGTTCTAACGGACGTAGGCGCGTGGAAACATACGGCGACACGACTAAAACTTGCCAACGAGCATTGCATGCACGAGGTGTTCTCTCCCCACACATGTACATACTATACACGGATAACGGGCCGGCTACGTGGCCGCTGTGAGTTTGTGAGGGGGAGGAGTCAATGATCTTCGATGGAGAGAGAAACCGAGCGATGATAATGGTACAGCGAGCTACTCACGAGAGCTAATTTCTGGCTCTTCTTATGACGAATGCATCTCTATGTCAAGGTCTTTACAATCACATAGAGGATTAATAAGAACAGCGCATCAGGGTTTTCTGAGATTTGACGATGGCAAACACAGCAAAGTTCTTTGAGATTTTGAAGATGAATTTAAGTCTGAGTTGCGCAAGTGCTGAAGACTTGTTTACCGGCAGTCTTCCGTTTATTTACGTGTAAATAGCAAAGAAACTTAGGAATAAATCGCAACTTTTACTGATATTGTTCTCCTAAAGATATGCAGGTTTGATTACGACTAGAAACATCTAGCAAAAATCCAATTACTTTTGCAATTTCAAGCAGAACGAATAGAAACTTGATTGTATAGTCTCGTCATCAATAAAATTCCATGTGTACAATTGCAATGTTCAATTGTCATATCGTAGACCCACATCAAATTACATTGAGACATAATGCAAGCAACCCGTTTGTTCTCAACAATCACCCTACCGTGGTGTACGCACTACATACCGCGAAGACTGATGATTATGACGGCAGAAATAATGAACATGTCGTTGCTGAAATCATGCAAGATTGGTCCCTCTGGAATGTTACTCAGATTGACCATTTCTTTTTCTATTAATTTTATGCTGAACCATGAGAATAAGCGAGAAAACTTATGCTTCCGCACGTCGTCTGCCAAGAGACGCCGATACTTTTATCGTTTTTTTTTTGCGCTATAGCCGGCCGAGTGGAACTAGTGGCACACGAGCGACATCTGGAAAATGTCTCCATTTCATTTTAAATACTTCATATTACCGATGTATTTCTTTAAAATATGTGAAACTATAAATCAGTGATTAAAATTATCTTTTTTCTTCACCTTTTGCACGAACCATCACTCTCTTTTTATATCGATTTTTGAATGTTCTTGACCACAGTGATTTTGATTTATTTATATCTTCTTCGATTTTGCCATGAATTATTATAAATAGTTTTGTGAATAATTTTTTAAGTAGAAAATTAATTTTCATACTTTAATAGTTTGTTCATATTGGTAACTTTTCTATAGGTATCACATTAAATTAAATAATAGTGAAATATTAATTTGCTTTCATTTTACTGAAAATAAAAATACTGAAATTTAATTTAAATTTTTCAATTTTTAAACGTTTTACAATGGAAATTGATAAGTGCTTATAATTATAATTTGCGCGTGCTTCGATTACGTATATAAATTCAAATATTATGAATTGAATACAAATTTGCTTATTTGATCAGCACTGAAATAATGTTATGATTTGAAATTTAAAGTAAATAAAACAATAAAATGAAATACACTTTCCCATTCATGCTTAATATTATTCAATAACTTGCAATTCATTTGTTTAATTGTTATATCCAGAAAACATTAGAAAAATGGCAGAGAATTAAATTTTATCGCGCACACATAAATACATAAAACAACCTATGTGTAAGTCAGGTCAGCTGATGAATGCTGAATGCGATTATTTGACACGTAATAAATTCACGGACTAACCGTTGATTGTTGTAAATTATCAGCTGTCAGCTTTTTAAAAAATATAAGATATAATTGTAAAAAGTTATGGCTTTGAATGCAGCTAAGGCAGCTCTAAAACAGGGCAAGACTGCTCTTTTTGTTTGTGATATGCAAGAAAGATTTGCTAAAGTTATCTATGAATTTGATAAAATTACAACTAATTCTTTAAAATTAGTAAGTAATTACATTGGATTACTTTCAATTATATTAAAATTACTATTTGCACATTAAAAACTTTTTCACCAGATCCAAGCTTGTAAAATACTTAATGTTCCAATGATTGTAACCGAACAAAACCCATCAGCTTTAGGCAAAACTGTTCCTCAACTGGATATTGGAGGAGCATCTGGTGTTTTTGCAAAAACTCAATTTAGCATGTACACATCTGAGGTTTGTTCAGGTTAATAGTTTTGAATAAAGTAAACTGCAGACCTTGATTAAGGATTGACCAAATTGTATAGGTTAGCACAGCACTGTCTGCACTTTGTAGTAATGGACCACCCGAATCAATCATTCTTATTGGTATTGAGTGTCATGTTTGTGTGGAAAATACAGCTATTGATCTAAGGAAAAATGGATTTGAAGTTCACACTATTGCTGATTGCTGTTCATCTAGAACTCAAGAGGATAGGTTACTAGCTTTAGATGTAAGTATAAGTTTAATATATGTAGTAGTCAAATAAATTTCAAATAAAATGGAATAAATATTTTACAGAGAATGAAACAAATGGGATGTCACATTGCTACATCTGAAAATGTAATATTCAAACTCTTGGGAGATGCTAAACATAAAGATTTTAAGCAAATACAAAGTTTAGTAAAAGCTCCATCATTGAGCACTGGCTTAGCAATATCCAAGATTTAAAAATATTCTTATTACAGTTATACCCTTGTTAAAAATGTGCAATTTTTTTCAAATAAATATATTTTTTAGAGATTGTTATTGGAATAGTTGTTTTTTATAAAAAAAAGTATCCAAAAAGGTTTATTTAAATAACATTAAAACTATCATTAATAAAAACATTTAGATTATCATATTTGGTTCAGAAGCTTAGTTGATACCAGTAGATCCAAAACCACCAGCTCCTCTTTCAGTGTCGTTAAGGGCTGTAGTTTCTTCTAACTCTGGATAGGCAATCTTTTCACAAATCAACTGAGCTACTCTATCACCAGGCTTGACAATAAAATCATTATCACTGTGATTGAAAAGAAGTACACCTACTTCTCCTCTAAAAAATAGAAATGAAAATCACTGATAATTACTCATTATAATACATTTTTATTAGAAAAATAATAGATGAATAACTATATAAATTACCTGTAGTCAGCATCAACAACACCTGCACCAACATCAATAAAATTCTTTAAAGCTAAACCAGATCTTGGGGCAACCCTTCCATATGTGCCTTTGGGAACAGCAAACTGCAGGTCAGTCTTGATGAGTACTTTGCCATGTGCAGGAACAACATGCTCATATGCACTACACACATAAATAGCGAATTGTCCGCATTTAATCACATTTTAAAAACGCGTTTGATGAAAATATAATTGTTAATGTATGATTGTTAATGTATTCAAATTTTATAAAGTCTTGAGAATAATTTACATGAAACTTAGCAATTTAGTTTAGTTGAACATACAAAAAATAAGAATAATAAATACGAAATATTAGTTCGATTAGACTGTAATTTCAACATTAAATAGTAACAAAAGACTAAGAAAATCACTCACCTCTTCAAGTCATAACCCGCTGATAAAAGTGAACCTTTTTCAGGAGCAAAAGCTTTGTCACTCATTTTAACGTATTTGAGCACACATTTTTCCTCGCTTTTAACCATATTGAAGAATAGTTTTCTCAATAATTTGTTGACTGGCAACGAAAAAAGTTTTGAATATTGAAGAATAAATGGAACCTTACTTCTGGCGGTTTTGTTCGCTTCGCAATGCTAGGGAAAAACTGGATTTGCGCGCGAAATGTAATGGAAGAAAGCAGAGAAGGCGCGCGGATGTATCGTAACGGAAATGAGTATGAGGAAACAGGTATACAAAAGAACAAGTTTGAAATTAGTATAAGTTTAATGTATTTTTGTTAATTTGTTGAAAATTAATATATACATTAGTTACTTCTTAGTACTGAAACTGAACTTTTTTTAAGACTTGTAAGTAGAAGAATTAAAATATTTATTTACACATGTAACATTTATATTTCATTATTAAAAAAAATTAATATACTTTAAAATTCTTTAAATTTATATAAAGCATTTTATACAGTTATTTATTGTCAGAATACCAAAGGGCATATGATAAATTATCATTTGGCTTCATTGTAAATAATTTCACAATTTGGCAATGTCTTACTCAGCTCTTCCTTAATTTTATTATGATCCTCTATATATGGAAAATTGCCAAGTTTCAGATTTTTCAAATTTCTGAAATAAAGTACAATCTACTTATTTATGATCTACTATGTAGAAAAATGTATGCTCCCTCTAATATAGTTATGATTCAAATATTTTATGCATACATTAACTTTTTAAGATGTAAAAGACCTTCATCAGTGATATTTTTACATTCTATAACTTCAAGGTTCTGAAGTGAATCTTTGACAATTGATAAGAGTGATAATGCATCATTTTCTATGTAATTACACCTGACAAGCTTAACTTCTTCTACGTATTTACATCCAACTATAATAAAATCAAATTTTGAAATTCTTAACTCATTATTAATTGATTAAATCAATAAAACTTACAAAAATGTGGGAATCCATCATGATGAATAGCTGAATCAGTTGCATCAACTGCTTGTAAGTATAATTTTTCACTTTCTTTGGGCAATAAATTATAATCTTCTAAATAGTTTTTGTAACCTTTCCATCTAACTGATGCACCGTTACGCAAAAGCCATTCTGCACATGCTCGATCAGGCCCTACTTGTTTGACTCGAGAGTCATCAATTCTGATTACAAAATACTATATTAGTATTAAAACACGAGTAATAAAACTTATTGCAATATTTCTAAGTATTCACATACCTATTAAACATAATTATTAACCATCTGTTAAAATGCCTAATATTATTTTGAAAAGTTGCACCACAAGGCACATTTTTATAAACAGTGCTCAACATTTTTGTAAAATTAATATAAATTTCTACTAAGTCAGAAGTAAATAAACATCATTATAACTTATTTTCTTCTAATATGCTATCTAAACTTATATTATTTTTATCCTTCTATATTGGACACACTGCATTATTTTAAAATTAAACTTATATAAGCTTATTGTTTACGGTGATAAAAGGTGTCGCATACATATCACACTTAAATTAATTAAAAACTTATACAAATCAATCTATAGCAATAGGATAATTTTTATCACTCGTGCAACTTTGTTTACTGCTTCATTACCTATACTTACGTATATCAAAACATATAGCTACACACACAAACACACGCGCGCGCGTAGAAGAACACAGTTACAAATCAGACACTAAGCAAGGAAAAACAAATCGTCCAAACTATGGTATTAAACACCATACTACTTGATGTATCTACATCTGCATCCTCACAATATGCTAATAACTCAAACTATGCCCTTTTGGTTTTTCTAAAAAAAAATTTCTTTTATAGTACATTACGATACAAGTGCGGGAAAGTAGATTCTTGTCTCGTGTACCTTTCCACCCTCACTTCGCTTGTGCGTAAACGCCACACGAGACAAGAATCTACTTTCCCGCACTAATTGTATCGTAATGTACTATTTTGCAACGGCGATAATTTTGCAAATACTCAATATTTCGAATAAGTAATTAGATGAAAAAACTACATCTTGGCTCATTGTAACTGCAACCGCCTGATTACTTTATCTAATTACTTTTTCAAAATAATTTATATAGTAGAAAAACAAATAAATAATGTATTATCCCTCTCTTAGTCAAGTTAAGCTGGCTTACTTTATTTTTCTTTATTATAGCTTCGGATGGATCTAATAAAACAAAAAAATTGTTACTCCATGTCTTTCATAAATGTTTTTTTCTTCACAGCGTTTCCGCGTGTAACAAAAGATATTAAACTGGTCAATATTCTGACGTATGTTTTACAAACGAGACATATGGCGTAAAATCCCGTATTAATTTATGGATTGAATATTTTATCTAGCATATATTTCGTTTCGAAAATGATCGGTTCTTTGAATATAAATTAATAATTACTATATATAACTATTAACAACTACAATAATTATTAATAACTACTATACATTTAAGGAATAGTTTGTTAGTTATGATACAGTGGGATGATCAAAAGATTAACAAGTATGTATTAATCGAATTCAACAATGTATGATTCATTGTATTCTTCAGGATTTCAGATTTTCTATCAGAACGTTTATGATTATGTCTTATTCGTATATTTCAAACAATGTCAATTGCTATCATGTAGTGCTACTCGTATTATAGAAAGCTAATTTTCTTTACTCAAAATTAAAACTTGTATACGTGCATGTATACATATGATCGATAAAAGAAATTTTCTTATATATTATTTTTAACATATAATAAAAATTTACGTATCATATTTATGTTATAAAATATTGCTTCATTGCAATTTATTTTATTATATTAAACGCAATTTAAATCATTAGAGTTTTTCGATATCATGTTTTCATAAATATCGTAAAGATCGTAACAAATAAATGTTTGAAAAAAGTACATGACGGCTTTTAAAATATATCTGTCCATTTTTACTTATATAAATATTGTTTCTATGCTTTTACAGTATCTAAAAAAATATAGAAATTACAGCAATATCAACTCGTACTTGAACACTAACACGCTATGATACAAGGATAGGTCAAAAAATCCTAAGAAAATAAAAAGATAGCGCGCAAGTTATCGCAACTTATGTTACTACAGTAAGCATCACTTTTAACTAAAGTGTTGTCAAAGTTTCAGCCAGAGGGGGGGGGGGGGGTACCGTGGGCTCGTTGCCCAACCTACTAATGCGAACACACCTCCAGGCGCGAGAAGTAGGGATAATAGTGAGAACACTCGCTCGCCCGCTCGCGCCAGTCAGTCTGAAAGACTTCTTGCTCAACCAGACTTATACGTCGGTCTCGTCTATAATAGTTAATAAAGTTTCTTACTATCTATCTTGGTTGTAGTGAAATCATTTGGCCCTATCAATTCCTAGACACCTTCCATAAGAGTTTGTTAACAACACTCTTCCCCGACACCGAAAAGGGTACATATGTCAGCATATTGCCCGCGCACTTTTTTCTCCAATCCTGCGCTGTCACATTGACGGCAATTTGCCGTCATACCGTACTGGCGTATTATGCTGTCGTATTTTGTGACGGCACGCGCTGCTATATCTACTGGGAGGTTGCTGGCTGAAGTGGTGGCGGTCAAATCGTCTGCTAGAGTATACCAAACAAAGGAGTCAGCTGTTCGTATCTCGAGTATCATAATACAGACATATAAGACGCAATTTCTCAGCTTTGTTGTGATTTCAACAACGTATAATGATCTTCAAACGTTTTATTATAAAATTGTACGAGAAAACACGATGTATTATTCGATGATTATTTTTTCATTTCTGATGAAAAAACTTGCATATTGGAGAAATAACAGTGACATGTACAAAAGAAATCTGGATTGTAGATCAGAGTGAAAACCATCAAGGTTACAAATAAAATACATGAAACACCAAACAGTAAGTTGCAAATATGCTCATTGTGTAAATTTATGTCGATTTTGCAAACCTACTACAGTTTATGAATAAATGTTGAATAGGTTACCAGTCTTAGAAGTAGAGTTTCTCTTCAAGGCAATCAAGATAAAGATAATGAATTATGGTCTTTTGTGGAACTGGATATGAAGCTCTATCTTTCGCTATTAAGAAGAACTCATCTTCTGCAATAAAGAAATTACTAAGTGGCCCTGATGCTTTGATCATAGATGAAACATGGACCGACTACATACTTTTGATTCAGGCACTTCAACGAGGTCGTAAAAAGATTGCAAAACTACTGCTGGACAGAGGATGCAGAGTTAATAAACCAATTAAGACCAATTTTTTTCACACACCGTTGTATTATGCTGTGAGATTTGATAATGCTGATTTAGTTGAAATATTATTGGATAAGGGAGCTTTAATCAATGGCAGAGATGCTACTGAAGATACTCCATTACGCTTGGCTTTGAGGGAGAAAAGCTACGGGATTGTTGACATTATGTTGTCTCGATACTTCAATCAAAGAAAGATTTTTTCAACTTTTAGTGATGATGATTGTATTGCTTTTAATGCTGCTTGTATCAGAGGCCGTACAAGTGTTATTGATGAATTCATAAAATTGGGTATTCTAAATCCCAAATCAATATTTGAATCGGGTGGCCCATTGCATTTTGCAGTCCAAGATGGCAATTTAGAAGTGATACATGAACTTTTGAATTATAAAGCTGACATTAACTTCAAAAATAAAGTTGGTCAGACAGCTTTACATTTGGCTCAATATTTAAGAGGACAATGTTATCCATCAAAACATTCTTTGACTATTATTGAGCTGTTGTTATCTGAGTTGAAGAAAACTAATAATAATCCAGTAGATAAACATGGACTCTCTCACTTTCATGTAGCATGCACTGTTGACCAGCCAGAAATTGTAAAATGTATTTTACAGCGTAAGGTAGATATAAATTGTCCTGTCAATTTCGATTCTCCCTTTTGGTCAGGTTATACCCCATTACATTTTGCAATAAAAAACAAGCAACAAAAGATTATAGAATTACTCTTAAGTCATGGTGCTGATATGACAATCAGAAATACTGCTGGAGATAGCCCTTTTCATTTTGCTTTCAGCTTTTTTCATTCAGATGATGAATTTATAAATTTGATTTTGTCCAAATATATTACAAAAAGTTCCAATCCTGTCAATAATAATGGCTTGTCTTACTTTCATATTGCATGTACTACTAATAATATAGGAGCTATAGAAGCTTTTCTTCAGAGTGGAGTAATGATTGATACTCCTATTCATTCTGACTCATCAAAATGTCCTGGTTATACACCTTTGCACTATGCTGTAACATTTAATAGAAGAAAGACGGTAAAAACATTATTGGAAAATGGTGCTAATCCAAATATCAAAGAAAAAAATGGTTTCACACCTCTCCACTTAGCCTGTCAACAGTCAGCTAAGAAAATTCATACAATTCTTAGGAAATCTGTGAACACTGCAGCTGCATATGGGAAAATTGACTTTGAATTTGAATTCAAAAGTTCACCTAAAAAGATGTTGGATAATATAGCCAGTCAAAATGAACAAATAGAAATAGTTGAATTGCTCTTGCAATATAAAAGTGATGTCAACTCCCAAGATAGTCTAGGAAAAACACCTCTGTTTTATGCCTGTGATATTGATAATGACACTTTTGAATGTGAATTTGGACGTCGTATGACTCAAACTTTACAATTTATAATCAATGAATTTTATGTTAAAAGAGATAAAATAATAGAGACCCTTTTGAAGTCTAAACCTGATGTCAACATTACCGACAAAAATGGGCAAACAGTACTACATTGTATAGCGGATACAGAAAAAGTGTTTAGAGATGACAAAAAAGCTGAAATAACACAAATTTTAATCAATTATGGAGCAAACATCAATATTCAGTCATTGAAAGGCTCAACTCCACTACATATTGCTCTAAGGAAAGTTCATCTTGATTTGATCAAAATTTACCTAAAGTACAATTTTAACCCAAACATTGCTGAATATGAAAGTGGTTGTACCCCACTTCACATAGCTGCTTCTAATGATCTTCTTGCACCTGATTCTGAAGAGATAATTAATGCCTTGCTTGCAAAAAATGCTGATATACATGCAAAGAAAAATGATGGACAGACTTCATTACACTTGGCAGCTTTAACTCGTTATTGTCCTAGTAGATTGACTCCTCTTTTAGAGTTGGATTGTAATGTTGATTGCCAAGATAATGCTGGAAAGACACCATTGCATATGGCTTGCCTTAACAGAAATGCAAAAAATGTTGAAAATCTATTGAATAAAGGTGCAGATATAAATGTCAAAGATGGATCTGGTTGTACACCATTTTGGTATTTTTATCAGTATCAAATTGAAGTTTTAGGTAGAATGATCTATGACTTCCATCAAATCTATTACATTTTCAGAAATCATATACGTAAATTGAGAGCTATTGGTTTTTATGTTTGTTGGGAAAATATCCAATATTATATAAAATTAAAAGACTCAAACACAGAACCAGTCAATAATGATAACTTCCCACTGCAATGCCAGAATGAAATAGACAAAATGAAGCATTTGAGGTTGAATGGTTATTCAACACTGTATGACATTTTGTTCAAAGATCCAAATGAAATGTCAATATATGCTAAAAATGATAAACTTCAAAAAGTCATAGAATCAAGTAGCTTCAAAACTGATTATACTCATTACAGTTATTTAATTGAACTACAAGTGAAAAGAGGATTGGTAAGAAGTGAAATATTGAATTCGGCAAAAATGTCATTGGGGATTCTACTAGGAGTTCATTTGCCAGACACATGTTCAGAAAGAATTTTTAGATATCTGTGTAATAAAGTTCTAAAAGATATAATTGAAGCAGCAGAACTATATAGATAATTTAGCATTACCGTTTATTTAATTAACTTTCCACTGAAAATGTATACAATTTATACTATCAGAATATGTACAGTATTAATTATCAAATCTATTAAATATATTAAGCAATGGTCAAATGAAATATATAATAAAAATGTAGTTATTTGATTATATTTGACGTTATGGCTTATATTAATGTATGCAATTATAAAATTGATTATTTATTTGTACAGAAAATTATAGTATAAATGTTTTAAGGCAGATTTATGACAATATAAATTAACAAAATGTAATATCGTATAATAATAAAAATTAGTTAGTTTACCTTATTTGTGAAACAAAGGATTGTCGACTACCCTGACAGTATTTAGCTAAATTGAAACCTAAAGAAGTAATAGTCACGTAGCATTAACTTTGAAAGATCAAAATATTGAATTATATAGTTCAGTTTATCCAAAATATCAAACCCACTAACATCGTTAACGCGCAAGATGCCGATTAGGGTACCGATCAGCGCTAGTGCCGACGTAAAATATCGAAATTTTCTATTTTCCAACATTTCATCAAAACCTGAAAATACCTAAAACTTTCTTTTGTTCTTTTCATATCTATAATGGATTCTCAAATATATTCATTATCTTAAAATTAATATATTTTAAATAAAATAGAAATTAAGTGTCAACCGATTTATTCTAAAAGAATTCAAAGATTTCGAATTTCGATAAGATGATTGTACAACAGTAATACATATAATAGAAACGCTTACTCATAACCTAAGTTTCATATAGTTTCCCGGCGCCGTTGTGCGAGAGCCGACGCGCTCACTTATGGTTATTTATTTAATGGCTGGTGACATGCGAACAAACACTTGTTTTATTTGCATCGAAAATGCAATAAAGGGTGTTCTTTCAATGAAAATCTCATCAACTTACCTATAAACCATTGATTTCGATAGGTTTAAGTGAAATTTACAATAATACATGCCTCATAAGAGGATACAATGTGTTTAAATACGTACAATCTTGTGTACATAGTTTTTGACGTTTTTCAAATAACTATCTTGAGTTTTTAATTAAAAACCGAAATTCTGGTTAACGAGGTAGGTAAACAATATATTTTACACGTATAACTTGTTTTCATAGCATTTTCATATATTACGAAATATTCTCGTACTTGTTAGGTTAGATCTTCGGAATTAGTTGATTCAAAACCGCATTATTAAACATCTATAAACAGTTATTTATGCAACTTATTCGCTTATATCGACTGTTTATTTTAATTTCATTGTGATTTTGTAATGTTTAAATTAATTTTATAAACGTTAGGTACATGTATAATTAAGAAATATTATAGTTGAAATATGTAAAGCACTTCAAAGTAAACCAATGAAATTGTAGAAATTACAAGAGTGGTTGAGTATACTTTTGGAAGTAAAGTTATTTTAATGTTCATAAACTTTTCAATTAATTAGAAAAGAAATTAATATTAATTTGAAATTCATTTAATTTTATTTGATATTTTTCAATATAAACATTTTTATTAATTCACAAAAAAATAAAGAATTATCGAACCAAAAATTTCATTAATCATTTGAATCATATATAAATTATGCAAATCAAATTTATTATTATATATCAAGTAATAACTGTTATGGTTATAATAGTCCATTTTACATTTTACAACAGTGGGCTCTAAGGTTTATAATTTAAAAAAAAATGGCAAGCTCTGATCTGAAAGCATTATTTGGTAATTATTGATAAGTAATGTTTTTGTTCACATTAATTAAGTATGAAATTCTTTCATGCACATGAAATCAAATTATTTTAGATAATCCAGAATTTCTCTCAAAATTTCAAAATTTAATCAATGAACATCGTATTAATGGTTAGTATAAAATAACAATCTATTGAAACTCGAATTAACTGTCCTTTAACATAGTACAACTTTTTGATAACTTTATTGTTAAAGAGGTAATTGGGAAAAGTGATATAAACTCAAAAAATAATAAAAGACAGTTTGTAGAAAATAATACGAAAGAAGTTTATAAAAGAAGAAAAGTTGTAAATCAATCACCCCAAAGTAAATACTCAAAGTTCTAACTTTTTTACTTCACTTTATATCATGAATAAAAAATTAATTTATAACCTACTGTTTTAGAACAAAATGACTCTATTCAGGATGTCAAATCATTGCTACGTAAGTTTTTTTTTTAAATAAATTAAAAAATGGTAATATGAGTATGAATAAATTTTCTTTATGGAATAAATAAATTATTTATAATATTTATAATATATTATAAATCTTGATGTTCTATTTCTATTTTTGAAAAATATAGAAGATAAAGATATACAGAAAAAAATAGCCCCTTATGTTAGCAAATGTATACAACTTACAGATAATTCTACAGATAATTATAATAATTCTTCTGGTTCGTTCTTTTGCAAATGATGCATATTATTTTTATTTCTGTTTAAATAAAATAAATCAATTGGTTTTTTTGTAGATAAAAACGTAGCCGAAACCATTCAGAAAAATGCAATATCTATTGGTAAATGTAGAATAAAAATATTTATTTTATTTTTTGTTGTCCATTTGAAAAAAATGTAAAAAAGAAAACAATTTTTTTATTTCATAGATACAAATGAAGATAACAAAGACATTAGGCCTAGAATGGGAGAAATTAGATTTCTAAATCACAGTGGTAATAATATTATTAATAATTTAAAAACAATTTCCTTTTACTCGAGTACACAAAAAAGTATATTTTTTTAGCTGCAATGATGAAGCCTCCAAGTAAACCACATAGTAACGTTAAAATTATGCAAAAAATTGAACAACATGGATTAGAACTACATTTTACAGATAAAAAACATACAGGTTTGTGATATATTATTGATTTATGTAATCTGTAGCAAAAGTAAGAAAACATTGAAACATTGACACCTAACAACAACAAAATTAAAAACATTTTATGTTTTATAAATGTTCTTTTAGACAAGCAAACAAATTTTCATGATAAAGATGAAATAAAAATTGTAAATACAATAGAAAATAATGTTAATCCCCAAAGTGCTAGTGCTGTTGTGAACAAAAAAATAATAAATGATTCATTAATAAAAAGTAAAATAATAAGATTAGTCCCTATCCAAATGATTAAGAATAGGCATATTTTACCTAATAGAACCAATTTAACTGATAAAAGCATATTGGAAGAATCTATAACTGATTTAGGTACTCAATATAATGAAGAAAATTGTGAAGTGTCACAATCAGGTAATTATAGTCTAAATCCAATAATATTCTGTTTAGTAATAAATATCAAATATATTTTCAAAAATTTTCAGATGATATTTATTATTTAAGTATGGCAAATGCTTTAAATATATCATCAGATAATTCAGAAATTTTACCAAAAAAAAATGTCACTTCCAATATTTTAAATAATTCATATATTAACAATTCCATTATTACGGTTGCACCAAATACATCAACTCCAGAGCTTGAACCAAAAGTCTTAAATCCAATTATCAAAAGCAGTGATTATAAAAAAACTAATTTGTCTAGTAAAAAATTGAAATGTTTTACTATTCCTAATTGTAAAATTGGAAATCAGAGCAGTAAAACAAATCTCAATAATGTTGATTTAGTAAACAGTCAGAATAGATCTACTTTACTTGTAGTAAATGACAATAGTAAACAGTCTGTTAAAATACAAAATGTACAGAAAAATATTGGTTCCAAACCAGTTATCAAAAGCAATGAGAAAGTGATTCAAGGCAAAATAATACTAGAAGGCAAAACTATTAGAAAGATTGGAAATGACATTAATGACAGTCTTGTAATTGATATCAGTGATAGAATTATAACAAAAGCCAATACAACAGATTCTTTTAAATTACCTAAAATTGAAAGTGTAATGTCGTATGCTGAAAGTTTACCAAAAATTACAAATGTAACTTCATGTGTTACAAGTATTACAAACATTGAAAACACAGTTACACATACTACAGACATACAAAGCACGGAAGATATTTCTCTCGCTGAAAGAATTTCTGCAGTTTCTAAAAATTCTCATGAAAAAATTCTCAAAATTACAAAACCAGCCACAAAAATTAAAAGTAAACGGAACTTACAAAATAAAGTTATGGAACAAGTCAAAGACATTAACAATAAAATTAAAAAGAATAACAAGTTTTTAACTAGCAGTAACACAGTAGATGCCACAATTGAAGAGGTTATTGCTCAGGCAGTAAATTCAATGGTATTGAATAAAAATAAATCTCAGGAAAGTCTAAATTTACATATTAATAAGTTGAATAAAAAAAGCTCTCCAAGAACGGGGCTTAAAGTTCTAAAGCCAGTTAAAAGAATAGAGTTAGCTAATAGTGACATACAAAGCAATACTGATAATGTTAACTTTGTAATAGAAGAATCTGTTGATAGATTAGGTCTACCAAGTATCAGGAATGTTGTGTCTTTGGCTACAGATCTTGTATTTGATGATTGTCTAAAGGAAGCAGATCAAGAGTTATCAAGTAGCAATCATTTATATACTGCAAACAATCCAGAAAAGAAACTTAAATTTCTAAACCCGTTTGTAAGAGACAAAGATGGATCTCAGTTATCAAGTAAATCATTTGAAAATCTGGATGTAGACTTGCAAACTGGAAATGATGATTTTAATTTTGCCATAGAGTCTCTCATTGAAGATATAAGTAAAAAAAAATTAGATAAAAAATCACTTATTAAAAATAAAGTCTCTCATCCATCTCCACGAAAACAGTTTAGTGTATCAAATGTCAGAAATCGAAGACTTAATGTTTTGAAATCTGTAAGCAGAAAAAAAAGGGATAAGCGTGAAGCTAAGTTTACTGAAAAGAAGGTTCAAATCATTGACAATAGTATTAAAAATGATATAATCAATATTGAAGATGGTGTCCAAAATGGCATAGATAATGTTGAAAGTACTATTAAGAATGGCATAGATAATCTTGAAAATAGTGTTCAAAGTGGCATAGATAATATTAAAAGTATTCTTCAGTGTGGTATAGATAATGTTAAAAGCACTGGTCAGAATGATGTAGATAATATTGATACAACTATTCAGAATGGCATAGATAATGTTAAAGCCACAATACAAAATAGTAAAGGTAATATTGATATGATGGAGATGAATTTAGCAGATTTTAACTTGATAGACACAAAGTTGACATTTGTGAACAGTGAATATAATGATGCCTCTTTTGATAAAAGTATACCGATTAAAATGGGTAAGATTTTGAAACTTAATTAATAGATTATAAAAAATATGATTTAAATTTAAAGTTAATCTTGACTGTTTCTTGTAATTGTAGATATTATACCTAATAAATTATCACCTATGAAATCACTTGAGGAAGATTTATCTAATATGAACAGCTTTGCAAAAGAGCAAACTGTATCTGTTGATAGTTATAGTAAGTATTTCATTCGACAATCGAAACGCTGTTATACTAAAAGTTCAAAATAATTTATTTACAGTTGCAGAGTTACTACCAGACAACAAGACTGTTGTTGAAGAATCTTTAGGTAGCCATGAAATTCTTTTGTTTTTACTATTTATTATCTTTTTAATTTTTAATTCGCTGTATTCTTAATAATTATTGTTCACAGATGGCTCAATGAGAATTGTAGAAGAATCAGAGGAGCTTCTAGAAGAAGTACCATTGCATCAAAGGAGATGTAACAATTTCTATGGTAAAATCTTTATGATAAACTATTATTGTTATGAATACTCTTTGTCAAACCTAGAATAAGATTTTTTTCTTAGCTCGAGTAAAAAGCAAACATTTACAATTTGAGGTTAGAATCAAATCTTGTTCAAAATAAGTACCAAATGATGTGAACTGGTGATTTTCTATCTATCCTTGAATGAGATATATTGAAATAATTATTTTGAAGTAGTTAATATACGAGGGTGGTCCGATAAGTACTTAGCCTACAAAAGAAAAACGAAAATTTTGGAAAAGTGGCGTTTTATTTTTCAACATAGTCTTCTTTTAGTTCGATACACTTGGCCCAGCGATGTTCCAACTTCTTTAACCCGTCTGAAAAATACGTTTCCTCGGGGTCTGAAAAGTAGGCTTCCGTAGCAGCGATTACCTTCTCATTCGACTCAAATTTCTGCCCGGCGAGTGACTTGGCTCTTCAAAAATCGACGTGCGACCACGTTCAAACTCGTTAAACCAATTTTTGACGGTTGCCATCGAAGGAGAAGAGTCGCCGTACACAGCATCCAAGCGCTTTTTGATTTCGCTGCGCGATTTCCCTTCCAAAAACAAGAATCGAATCACCGACCGATACTGCTCTTTTTCCATTTTTCAAAAATCAACGGACACACTTGCTTTCACACGCTCTCATCAAAAATAAACTACAACTCCGATCCGGCTGAAATCTTGACAGTAACCATTGAGAAGGTTGTACTACGTGATGGAATATTTCTTTTGTGAGAGTGGCCCCATCGAGCGGTGAGGCTAAGTACTTATCGGACCACCCTCGTATAGTGTTTTTCACTTTCGTGTACATTAAGAAATCTAAGTTTTCAAATTTTGTGGGTTTACTTTTGAATATTTGAAAACTAAGATCCTTTATTTTGAAGTAGTATTGTTGAGTTATTAAAAAAGTTTGTTTTCAAATCGCAGTTAAAGTTCCAACCGGGGAGGAGCTCGGTAACAATATCGACCTCGCAGAGTATGAAAAATTTTTCAGCATACAGGACGAGAATTATTCAACAAAAAAGACTCAGAAAGTAGAAATAGAATCACTTGATAACGATGAAGATATTGAAGGTAAGTGTTTAATAGTTCTTTATGTTCCCATAAATAAAATAAGCAAATAATTAATCACAGTATAATATTTTTTTACAGGCACACCAGGTAAACGTCGCACTAAATGCTCCAAGTGTGACAGAACTTTTGTGAACTCAACTAATCGTAAGATTCACGAGGCTACGTGTGAAGTTACTGATCCTCAAAGTTCGGAATGTTCTAAATGTGGTAGATGGTTTGCCAGAACCGCTTATCGGAAAATCCATGAGAAAAAGTGTCAAAAGGTGTACGGTACTATCGAGGTTCCTGTCACGCCACTTAGCGATGTTCTTAGATGTGCCATGTGTCCTTTTAATACTGGACATAAAACTGCTTATATAAATCATCTTAAGAGTCATATGTATAGTCATAAGAAGTCCACTACTATAAGCTCTAGAATTGCAGCTTTGAGAAGAAAATTTGGATATAGGAGGAAGAAGAGGAGACTCCGTTTCGGTTAGTCGAAATACACATTCTCTAATCAGCAAGTTTTGATTTTGAATTATTACTTCAACAATATTTTTGAAAGATTTAGCTTCAAAAACGACTATTTTGTACGTTTTTCGACAATACATGAACTTAAGATGTTGAAACTACATTTCATCTATAAAGTATGCTGATTGAAATTACGACGCGTTTAGAAAACGTGTTTGCAAATCTAAATTGAAATGCATCTACTAAATACTATAAAAACTGCTAAAAAAGAAAACTAGTAATTTAATTAGAAAAGTTGAATTTAAATTAGTATGGTAGAGGAAACTTGATTTAAATAAAATTTTAATAATGAATCTAATAATACATAACTTCATTTACGTAATAGGTATTGATTTTGAGTAATATTTATCACAGGTGCAAGTCTGACGTAAAAATAGTTTGTTATATTTTAGTTTGAGTGTTATGAAAGTAAGAGTCCGTGAATTAAATATACTACTATGTGACACTACTAAATAGAATATATTTCTAATTAAAAATTTGTATCATGAGCAGACAAACATGACATAGAATGTATTTGAAAGTAGGTGAAAACGGACTAATTCGTTGAGGTGTCAAATCGTTCGGAATATCTGTGGAGCTGCACGGTGCACTGAAGTTGCTTACGTCGACACATCGAGTTTCAAATGATTTTTTCTTACTCTTTGTAAAAGTTGTTGAACATCAAATTTATGAAAACATACAAGGAAAATGCTCATGTTTTCATTTCAACAATTTCCTAATCATATTCACACAACAACGTAATCATTATCATTTTATAACAATTATAATTTTAATTAATTCATTCTCGGACTCACTGATTACAAATCTATAACATTCAAAATGTCGGATCCAATACAGCAGACAATATTTTCGAAACAGTGGTACATTACTGTTACATTTTGTTAACATAAGTTTTTAGGTTGCTGATTATGAAACTGATTTCAAAGTTTCAAATTGAAAATATGTATAAATATAATATATCGGATCCAATGCGGCAAAACAAAAAATTGTTTTCTAAATTAAAAACAAAATTAATTAACAAAACATTCTGAAAAAATATATTAGAATTATATTAAAACTATATAAAAGTTTCGATATGTAATATTCGATTTTTGCTCAAATAACTTTGACTTTTAACAGTTTGGATAAACTCGATAAAAACAAACTCAAAAAACTACATTGTCGGTTTGAAAAAATAATCTATTTTTTTTTCAGGAGCTTTGAAGAATCGCTGCGAGATCTGTAGTGACGATGCTGCTGGTGTGGAGCATATGGTAAGTCGTTGCCGTCGTTGCGGCGCTTTCAACTTGCAATGGTGCGATGAGTGTTACAAGGGTGGCTACTCAACTGCATGTCGACTTAAACACCACGAGACTAAGTGCACAGCTACACCTCACACGAGATGTAATAATGTGCCGCGCGTAAGTGTCGAGAAAATCGGTAAGTACGTTTTGCATTGCTGAGTTTTGATATGATCGCATGACATTTAAAAGACGGAAAACATAAGAAAAATGCCATTGTTTAGAAAAAAATCCATGAAAGAATTCCTTATTGCGTTGATGTTGGCAAAAGAAAACGTACTGTTAACACCGGAGAGATGAATTTTCATTTCATAATAAAATATGCTGATGTAATCACTCGCTGTTATTATTTCAGCATAACTCACAACTGTTGATAATTAATTTTTAACTTGTTTGCATTACGCTATTTAACAGTCATTGACATTATGCTCCTTCAAACGAAATAGAATAAAAAGAACAATGTACAGTTTTTTAACAGTAATTTAATTTTTGACACTATTGTAGCCATTGAAATAACTAAGTACAAGAATAGAATCAATGAGACGTATGATCGCACGTGAAACTACAAATACTTTTTACAATAAAATTCGGTTATTGATTTTGATCCATTGATTTTGTTTCTTCTAGGCCCACCGTTGCCACTACATTGTGTGACTTGCAACGTAACTCGTATTTTGTACATGCGTGAGAAGCGTTGTGGGCAATGTTCGTCTCCATTGGTGTTTAAATGCGAGATGTGCTTCGAGTTGAGGGATACATTCGCCGAGCTCGTCGGGCACGTCGCTCGAGCACATATTTACGGATGCCTCGTTAAATGCAACTACTGCGGCAAAAATTGCGAGGATATAATTTTGCACCAACAGGTTTGCGAAAGTGAGTTTCTCTGTTAAATTTTAGGGACGATTGTTTGTGAAATGTTGCTCGAAACATTTGTAACGCTATGAGAGGAAATTTGCACAAATTAACGGATCGTTTTTATTGACCTGCAGGTCAACAGAAGGAAGACGATAGTGCAGTAAACATGGAAACAAACCAGTTATCCGAAGACGATGACAACAATGAGGATACGCCGCACTCTTTAGGTATTGATCATTATTTTATTTTAAATAGAATGGTTACGATATATTATTCTTACTACTCATCTTTCGTTGATTGCTTGAATTATGTTTATAACGAAATATTTTATATTTTGAATACAGTTTTATCACTGTCGAGCCATTAACTCAATTATATTTTGTAACGTTCCAGATAACCTTGTTCTCGAATTGGATGAAGAATCAGACGAAGAACCAGCTCTAAGGGTAGAGGAAGTGTAATGATCGAATAAGGTTAATTGTGTATTAACTTTTATCTTTTTCTTCAAAAACGTACATTTTTTCGTGCAATGATCGAAACCTGTGATTTATATTGAAAGATCGATCATAAATTATTATTGAATCGATATTAGGTTTGACGAATTTTTTTAAATTTCAGGAGATGTTATTAAAAAAGGTTAAAACACTCTTGCATGTATTATACTATCATTTTTTATACTACGCTCTTGCTTGTAATTACTGACTTCAAAAGTGCACTCTGTTTAGGTTGAATGATCTTATATGTTTTGTATTTATATTATTTATACTATTGTATAAATAGTCATATAAGCATAAACAATTATGTATCATACATTGACATGGATTTGAAATGACTACATTTAACTTGTATTATACATCTTACTTATATTGTCTTGATAATTACAATTCATTTTTATGCTATTTATGATTTTGGATTTGAAAAAGTTACGATGAAAATCAAATTCAAATTCAAATTCACTTTACAGGTAGAGACTACTTGAAATAACTAACATAACAAGTCGTTGACAATTATCAATTGCTTCGTTAAATTGCTTTTTTCTTTCATTTTTTTGTTGTTAAAAATTGTTAGAGGTTTTTCTAAGTTCTCTTTTCAGTTCCTTTTTAAGATTTTAATTACCTTTTTGTACGAGTAAACGCAATCAAACGGAAAAAGCGTATATAGAATATTTAACACAAGAGTTTTTGTAAATTTGTCTGATAAAACTACTGTACACTGCTGTATTCAGTCGATTATTTAGTGAACGTGAATTTTTTCTTCGAATAACTGTCTAAATAGAAGAACCATTGATTATAATAAGCAAACATTTTGAAATGATAGTTTGAGTTTATGTTGTAGATCTATGCTAATATAAGAATAGCACTGAAAAATACTAATTTTATTCAGTATATTGCAACTATATTACGTTAAACCTTAGGTACTTATAACTGTAAATATGTGTACAGGAAAATACTCGTAATAAACAATGAATAAAAATTTGAAAAATTGTGATCATTTGTATACAATTTCACGCCATTCTATCAAACTAACAATTCTGAGAAGCAAAGCGTATCATAAATGTAATATTTTAGATGTAGGTAAATTTCAATAGACATTCGATTTTTGAATACATCAGCATCAGTCGCAAATATAATAACTGATTATTAATATAATGAAAATACCTTTGAAATCATATTAATAACAACGAATGAATGTATATGTATTATCTACAAGTTTATTAATCGAAACTAATTAAATATAATTAACTCTTGAGTTACAAATTAATATTATATTTTCTGGAGAAATCATGATAATTGTGTTGCCCTAGTATTGGTCCAAAAAATGCAATCCTCCACTATTAGGTCTTTTATTTTATAGGGTATAAATGCCTTAAAGGCATTTGCAGTTGACCAAGTGTTCGCAATTGTCCGCGATTGTTTACCTTTAATAAATCGGAATTAAGACTGTGAATACTTTATTAATCTATAAAAGATACCTGGTTTCAAATATAATTGATGGCCGACCAATATAACTGAAACTAAAGTATAGCCGATCAGTGTAGTGAAATGTCGATTTTTTCCAAGCTTCAATCACTTCTACTCTACGGTGAGTAGAATTAAAAATAAAATCATATCGAAAGATAAAATGCTACTTTATAATCTAGCTATGGCCGACTACTAATAATACCTTTACTCTATGCGTGAAAAAATAGTAAGTGTATGTTACCTACCTAGTGTGGGAAAGTAGATTCTCGTCTTGTGTGAGGCTTAACGCCCGAGCGAAGCGAGACGAGAATATCTTTCCCAAACATGTTATATATGTACATACAGTATTTTTCAAAACAACGTGTTGAAAGCCCGAAGTTAAACTCACGTTTTCCGCCAAGCCTGCGACGAAGTCCTACTTTGCGCAAAACGAATGAATACTTGAAGCTGAATAAGTGTTTAAAAACATGAGATGCCTGATTAGAGCGAAGATTTTACTTAAATCATATCTTTCAGCGACCTTACGTCCTTCAACGAACTCTTGTCAGAGGCGCGCGCGCATTCAGACGGCAGCGGCAGAGTCATATAGCCCTCCCTTAATATGCCCCACTCTTGTCGTTTAGCTATAAAAGCGACTGGTTGTTCATCTAATCGGCACAATCTAATCTAATCGTGGAGCATTCCTCGTTATTGAGGGAGGGTGAGGCAGAAGAGAAAGAGATTATTTCAATGATGTTACATCTGTATATGGATATGTATATGTGCGTGTGAGCGTGCGTTTCGTAAAAAATTTTTCTTCTTCGAAGGTTGTAGTATTTGTGAAATAACGACGGTACGTATTTAACCATTTTATGTTTTGGTATTGCATCCTCTAAGAATAATAAGTTGTGAAAATTATGCATGAACATTCTAAGTAACCGATGTCGCTGATGCAAATGTCCGTACGTAGTCTGTACAAATAAGAAGTGTTGAAAATTTGTTTGTCGTGATCTTACAATTGTCGCGGATTATTGATTAATGATCAGTTTTATTGAGAGAAAGAGAGAGAGATAGAGAGAGAGATTTGCGGGAAACTACCAAGAGTCGGGCGGAAAGCGTGAGGGTGCATTTTCATGAACGCTAAACGCATATCTTCGTCGTTTTCCGCGTGGTCAACTTGGAATCTGCAGCTAGTAATGTCAACCAAAAAGTAGAGAGGGGACCTTGCTCTCGATGGAAAAATCCAATCACGGCAACCGATCGTCGGCTTTTATGTACAATCAACATCATTTATCTAAACTATCGTCTTTTAAAATTTTTCATGTTACCCCGTCGATTTTCTACATAAGATGTTCTAAAATTGACATAACACGCTATATTACACGAGAGATTGAGAACAATTTTTTAATTTAATTTAATTTGTAATTATCAAATATGATTTTACAGAAATGACTTCCATACAAGTGCCACGTATTAAAGAAGTTATTATGGCTGATAGCGGTAAGCTTCGTAAAATTATGTTATATGGTTATTAATATATTAAATTATTTGCTGCTAGATTTCGAATATGATGATATTGAAGATGACCATGAACTAACAGATAAAATTGTTAATAGGAGATCGTTCGACAAACAACAAAAAATTCAATTAAGTTTATAATTAAATTTTTGTTAATTATATTTTTTTTAGATAATCAAGATATTAACGTCTCCGATGAACTGTACTTACAAAATTTTAAGATCCTTCGTGTATCCGATTCTTTTGGCATGTATTTGTCTTCATCAAGATGTAATCTTACCTGAAAGTACAATATAAAAAAATAAAATTATTTTTCAGATGGCGAGGCAATAAACAAATTAAAAGTAAATGCCACAAATAAAACAAGTAAACACGATATTAATAAAAATCACAACACAGAAGTTCGTTCCACAAACAATGTAATTCAACACGATTGTGTGTATTATGAGGATCACAATGACAATACAAAAGTAAATGACGAACAATTAGGCATTAATGAAGACGCTGTAAATGTAAATATTGAAAACAACGATTCTACAAATTTTTCTTTTGCTAGGCAGCTTGATATGTTTAACAATAAGTCACCCCTTCCCATGAGTTCACGCTCAGAAAATAACGACGATGAATTCAGTACCATTTCGTCACATGTTGATATTTCCAAAGAATTAAATATAGACAATGATGAAGAAAAATCAAAGAATTTATTCAAAGACGATATGGAGATTGATAATACAATTTATGGTAATTTGATTTTGTTCTTTTACAAATATAGAATGAAAAAATATGCTTATATGCTTTTTTGTTCCCATAAAAACTCAGCTGATAATGAGTTGGACATGGGAAAAGAAGAAAATAAAGAAATATTGTCGCCCTTAGAAGACTATAAGTTTGATCAAGTTGGTAAGTAGATTTTTAATTTTTAGTTATTCATGATATTCATCGCTCGTCACTGGTAGCAATGAAAATCATTCTAGTTGCAGATGCCCAATCATACATATACACGATTTGTGAAAGGTGCCTTAACGAGCAACGAATGTACGGGGAATTGTCGCAGAACCAATACTGTCGTCGATGCAAAAAGGACTTAACATTTTTGTGTAAAAATTGTGAACAGCGATTCAAATATTATGTTGCTATTTTGAGACATTTAAGGAAAGAATGTTTAGCGCGATCGGACAGTAATATTAAACAGTTTATATGTTACGAATGTAATATTAGCTTCAAATGTAATGTTACGTTACAGACGCACGTCTGTCGCAAGAATCGATGCCGGATGTGCGATTATACTCACAGCAATAAAGATGCAATTGAGAAACACTTTCTTAATTTTCACATAAAAGGTGAGTTTCGTGCTTGGTTGATTTTATTAATATTATCAGACTTATCTCAGTGCTTACTAGCATGCCATAATGTTAACTGACTTCCACTAACACGTTTATTCTTTTCCGTTGCTTCTTTTCTAGCTACTTGGAACAATCCGAAAATATTTTCGAAATTCATTTCAGAAGCCGGTAAATGTATTTTTATTTTTTTAATGCTTATTAGTTTCGATCGAGTGGACTACAATTTCGTAGTTTATAATGCATGGGCAATTTTTTATTTAATGCTTTTGAGAAGTGCTTTTCAAGACATTGGTTTACAATACTAATGAATTTACCACCATAATAATAATAATGGAAAGTAACTTTAAAATATATCGTAATTTTATTTTTTTAGATAGCAAACTAGTGTGTCTACCTAATATTACTAATAGTTCCAATATTAGCACTGAAACCAACCTTGAAACCGAAGAAGAATTTCAAGCAGAATCAATAAGTATATGAATGTTTTATTAATTCATCAAATATAATACATAACAGAGTCAGCTCTGTTAATAATTCTTCCAAATATTTGTTAATTCATCCATTGTTTCTTCTAGGACTGAATAAATCTACAGAATTTCATTGTACATCTCTAGACTCCATTGCGTTTGAAAAATTTTACGCACAGCGCCAATCATATGAAGGAATGCAATATTCCTGAAAGTCGGTTACACTGGCAATGTATCTTGTGCAACTGGCGTAGTAAATAATATGGTGATATCTACAAGCATTTACAAAATAGAATTGCAGTAAGGCTTTTGCTTTGAATGACGATTTCGAGAAGCACCGACACATTTGTGGTCAAGTCAAAGGACTTTTCATAAAACACATTAGAGAAAAGCGCAATCTCCAAAGTGAGAATTTGCAAGTGATTATAAAGAGTGTTCTACTAAAGATAAACGATTGTGTATCAAGTATTATATCCATAGGATGAACAAAGTGAAAAGTAATTTTTTTCAAGTTCATTCAAAATCACCAGTACAGTATTTTAGCAATCGACGTTGATTATTAGAGTAAGCAATAGAACGATAGAGCATCTCTAGATTTCCTTCTTTTACATTGTCATTTTCATTGTGTGGATTTCATAAAGATTCACGACTCAAATAGCAATTATTTAAACAAACAAAAAAACACATGTATTTAGTACATCCTCTGTACATACTAATTGAATTGTACATAAGTTCAAAGTGATTTAATAAATATTTTAATATCCCTATAAAATACTACCCATTCACTTCAATTTGACTTTCATTTTTACTATAAAAAAATTTTACGAATAATAATATAAAAATACATATTTTTAGTTTCAATTTGTGGTTTTTCTAAAACCGTTCGAGTTTGGTCTATTAATATAAATCTTCAATAATTAACAAGTAAATTGATTAAACGATAAAATGCAATCATTTCTAACGTTAGGAGTTTTAAATAATTGAAGTTACGAAAAAAAAACAAATTGGTAAATTTTTTCAAAGCTTTGAAATCCCACGTTAGAACGACGATTTTAAAAATAAATTTTCTCTAATTCACTAGAAGTTTTTTAAATTACATGAAAGATGACGATTACATACTTCAGCCAATGCTTCAAAAAAAGAAATATCATCTAACTATATTGGAAATGTTTGTAACATGATATATAATTTATTTTATAGATATAGAATTATAGCCAAACAAAACTTGCTAGTGAAACGAAGTTAAGTACCAAAAACAGAGTAATCTTATTGATACGGATTTTATATCTACACCATTTTATAAGTTTCAGTTGTTATACTCCAAGTTTTAGAAATTATTATTAGTAGTAACAGAATAGTAGTAACAGAACTAGGTAATAGCCTCATTATCGCAGCTATCACATGGATGTTATGAATGAACCACTTCTGATCTCATACATAAACAATACATACGCCACTTAATTAATGATTACTTACACGTGACCAATTGCCGATGTACATTATGTGTCGTATTTTAGATACAGTCTTGTTCATTGACCTAATACGACCTTGTGTTCGTCAGTGTTCGATATATCAGCTGCTCGTCAAAAGTTCGTTAGCTCGGCAAAAGTATAAATAATAAAAACTACCAAAACTTTTAAAGTATTTTTTGTTTACTGTTCAGTAAAAAAGACAAAACAATAATAAAGTTGACAAGTGTGAACGTGTATCAGTTGTTTGAAAATAGAATCCCTGCGTTCGTGAAAATGACGACTCCTCGGGAAAACGAGTAATAAAACGTTGAAATCGCAATATTAGGTAAGTTTAGAGAATAAAAAAATACTTTTAGTTTTTGCAGATTAATTTTTCCTACGAGTGATGCAGAATTAGGTGATATTACGGACGATGAAGATTTCGAGTTGAGAATATCTGATACTTCTGGTATGCAGACAGCAGATACGTCAAATTTCAAAGAACACAAGTAAATTAATTTTTTTATTTTAGATGACGATGACAACGTCACAGAGTATGATGTGAATAAGAATGTGCTGAGCCAGAGTGAACTGTCGAAGGATTTGAATCGTGAGAACAAAAGAATTAATATTTACATTATACATCTTCGCGCAATTAAATCGTTTTATTTTTTTCAGGTTTGATATATGTGAGCAACCGAGAACTCGGTCAAGATATTATAGTAACTTCGCAATATTGTTCCTGTTCAACAAACGGTAAGGTCAAATTAAACTAAGCTTGAAATATAATAAAATAATTTACTCTGAAAATGTATCATCTGCAGATACAATTCACAATAGACTTTATAAGATATTACATAGATTATTGAACGCAAAAGTTGTGATACAAAAGCTTCCCGAGTCTGTGATTCAACAGTATTGCTCTGACAGTAACAAAACTGTAAAAAAGTGTAATAACAAAGATGTCCAAGGTAGCATATTTTACCGATTTCTTTGTCGATAATCTTGTTAAATTTTTAAACGACTTTCTTTATTTGAATCATAGGTGGAGAAAAATATTGGCGCTACTGTTTATTATGTGACCAAAGAACCGAAGGATCATCTTTAAAACAATGCCAAAATTGCCAAAGAAATATTTCATACGATTGTAAAAAGTGCAACAAACGATTGACGACATTCTCTGGGATCATATGTCATTTGCGAACCATTTGTGACTTTCAGGGATATAATTATTGTACTGAATGTGATTACAAACATGCAATGAAAGCTAAAATTAATTTTCATATGAAAAACAAACATCCGAACGTGCATATTAGGAATATCAAACGTCAAAGAAAAATAAGATAGAAGAAATTGTTAAAGGTGATTTTAAAAGGTACAATTTTAAATAACGTGTATTTTAACTAATGACTACAGTTGTTTAATCAAAGATGAAAGCAACGGCTATTCAATGCTCTATGAAATATTATGAAGAAATTCGCGTTAACTTCCTTGATATTTTAAAAATCGGATATTTTAAATAACGGATTTTAAAAATGTGATACAAACGAATCAGCGTAGTGTAGTTGTTTGAAATGTGGTGAAATTAGTACATTACGATACAAGTGTAGTACATAGAAAGCAGATTGTTGTCTCGTCTGGCGTTTACTCGAAAAAATACACGAGACGAAAACCCGCACATGTACCGTACCGTATTTTTTGATACGACTTGCGGAAAGTGCGGTGTTCATCGCACGTTTTCTGCCGAGCGTGCGGATTAAACGAGAATCTACTTTCCCGCACTTGTATCGTAATTAGTACATAATTTGTGTTTTACTGTGATTGTTGATTAATTGAAGAATACAAGACTTCCATTGGATTTTTAACAACTCTGATTGAAGTATATAGATACGTGTAATTATATTCATGACTTGTTCAATTTGTAAAATTAGTTCCATAATAATAATTGACCTATGCTGTTATTTACATACATTTTGTAATTTTTATCATTTCGAAAGTGTCCAACGAAGTTAATAATATTTTATGAAGAATTTATTACGTAATTGTTATTGTTATGAAACGATCAGCCTGCTGTAGAAAATACCTTTCAATACATAGCATTCGACATTTTATATTCAGTACTTTCAAAGTTGTTTATAAATTTTTCGAAAGGAATGTTCGAGAAATGATATTTGAAATGAAATACATATTAATGGCTAATTATCAATTTTTCTTCTATTTATAATACTCCTCAAATATGTACGTCAAGTTTATTTTTATTGTTGTTGTTGTTGTTGTTACTTCGAAAACTACGTCCACGTGGAACGCTCCAGAGATACACTAGGTACCTGTAGGCATAATCTTAGTTCCCTCTATAGTCAGCAGTAGACTATCTACCTCCCTCACCACATCATGACTGAAAACTACAGTTTTAGGTAGCATTCAAACCACTACTTTGTGATAAATAAATGAATTAAGATTATCTAAATTCTGTTTGATGGCTCGCAGATAATTATACTGAATAAATCGTTATTGACTGATAGTAGCAAATATCAAAACGATTGAAATCTATGAAAGCTTTTCTATATTTACACTAACTGAAGAAAGTAACAATACAGAGAGACGAAAAGTTTTACAAGATATAGATTTGTGACCTGCGTTTTATGATTCTCGACGAGCTATTCTAAAAATTTATAGCAGGTATAATAAGAGATTCAAAGATTTAAATAGTGATGACGAATGTACTAGAAAATTCACAGCTATGCTGAAGATCGAGATAAAGTTGTAATTAGAAGCGCTGAAAAGAGAGTGACGAAATAAATTTTATAAGCGTTAATATCATGTCATTTTGCTGAAAAAACGCTTAACAAATTTTTTTTATATATGTGTAATGCGCAACAATACTTTTCAACATAAAATTCATCGTTTCAATCAATGATCGAACACCAGGAGTACATAAAACATTATTGTTAAATGAAATTCATTGTCGAAATATCTGTTTGATAGTAAAAGAAAAAGGTTTGATGATCATTAAAAGTGTGTAATGTTTTTGTATACGCTATTACTTGTAGTTTATGTATATATTGCTGAAGCAAATTCGAAACGAAAGGATCACATAGATATGCATGCATCAGAGACTGATTCCCAGCATACACAGAGTTCACGAAACGATACGCAGTGGGGGAACGAACGACTGCTTGCGATCAGCTGTTCCGACTCCGACACCGGACGCGTCACACCTAGTTTGCTATTTGCAACGTTTGCATTCGTTATTCCATTGTAGAACCACCGACTAGACATTAATTTGTGAGTTGAAATTGTAAGTTTTTCAATTGTAAATAAAATAAATGAATGTATTATTAAGAAGTTGGTGGTATTTTTTCGGATACATTCGCTCGAAAATAAGTCGTTTAGGTTCTGAAAACAGAGTGAAATTGGGCATTTAGATACTGCATGACCGGAAGTTTTTTCAAATTTAAAAATCAATGAGACTATATAAACAACAAGTTATTGAGTTATTACTTTACCTGGATTAAAGTTGTGTTCCACGCTGTGATCTGATTTATCTAAACAAGATACAGCAATGGGTATCTCTAATCAAGACGGTATGTATACTATGAAGATAAAAATGTTTATCTTTCGTTCTATACACTACATAATTTCATAAGTATGTTGCATTCACCATTGTAGATTTTTAAAATAATCAAGGAAAAATGTTTTATTTTAACAAGAAATATTCCTCAAAATTAGTAACAAACGACTTTTATTTCAAATAAAAATTTCTTATATTAACGCACTTCCTAACATCAATTTTTCTTCTTATTTTGCGTGAATTTAACCAACATTAAAATAAGGATTAAATATACTTTTTCTTTTTTCTTTTATAAAGGAAAAAGAAAAAGTTTGTTGTATCTTTTTTTATTTTTGAGAAAATATATTTGTTAACTATAAGAATGCAGTTAGTAACACATAGTTCTTATTCATGTTTAAGAAATAATTGCTCTTATCTGAAGTTTTTTTTTCTGTATATACGTATATATACAGTATATATAAATTTGATATAATATATGCAAAAAATAAGGCCTTAAAAAATATTTTCAGGAAATACTTCTACGTGTAAAACTATTTTATAAAAAGATAAACATAAAAGTAACAAAGAAAAGTAAAATCTTATAATGTTCAGCAAATCTATACAAACCTGTTAAAATGAAAATCTATTTTTTTCTAGGCGAATTTGAACGTGCAATCATGAAAGTAATGATAAAAATATTCAGTGCAAAAGTTGTTTTAAAAAGACTTCCTGACACACTTGAACATAAAAACGCAATTGTTCAAAACGAGAACTTTGAGTTAATTCCGGAACAAAAAGGCAAACGTAAGATGTCAAATAAACATCTTGATGGTCGTTCTTATGAAGAAAAATCGAATAAAGAAATTCTCCAACCTGCCGAACAAAATTGCGATCCTAATCCAGAGCCAAAAGCGAGAAATCCGAAAGGTAATTAAAAATAGTTTTTCTTTAGAATAATTGACTAGTTAATCATTTAATGCACTCGATGCAAATTCATATCATGACTTACATCACAGAAAGACTTTTTTGGCTCACAATTGCAAATAAATTACAGCATCTAAGTATTATTCTAGTTAATATCAAATTTCAGAATGTTTTAAGAGTCCTACTCAAATATTGAATCTTACTATATTTAATATTAAATTATTGTAATCTCTATAAACATTTTTTTCTGACAATTTCGAAGTAAAATGTTGAGCAATCGTTGCCGAAAATGTAGAAGTTCTTTAACTTACAAATGTAAAATATGTAGCAAAGAATTAACAATAAATAATAAGATAAAGTATCACCTTTCTACTAAATCTAACGTTCAAGGAGTTTACTACCAGTGACTTGATTGTTCTTATCAATCAATACTCAGGTATACAGTGATATGTCATATTAAGAAAAAACATTCTAATAAACGAATAAACGGCATCAAGTAAATAAATCGTGAAGAATTTCAGAAAAATTTAAGAAAATTTTTATATACATGCACAAAATGTAATCAATTATTTAAAAAAAAAAGTTTTTTTTTAAATCATTGTAAATTGTACCATAATAAGTTGAAAGGTGCTATTTATAGAAGTAATGAAATTAATTTCACAAAAATAGAACGTAAGATAAAAATATAAAGATATTTTTGAAAAATTGATGAGATATTCTTTCATTTTCTACTTTTTTTTACATTTCTAGGAGGTTCATCACCAACGAAGATTCCAGATAAATTACGTAATATTTATAATATTGTATTGCTCAATTTACATTCTTTTCCAATTCATATTTGAAATTATTTGAGCGTTTATTTAATATTTCAGTTGTAAATAAAATGTATGTGTATTATTGCTCGACCTGTAATAAAGAAAAAGATTCTATAAATACTACAAAGAAATGTTCTAACTGTAAAGAACGTTTATTAATTAAATGTTCGAAATGTAATCGTACTTACAAAAGAATGACAAATATGGTTCGACATTTAATGACAAAATGCACGACTCAGAAAAATAACAAACATTTTGAATGTGAATATAAAAATTCAATTCAAATATCAGAGCTTGATCATTATATGAACGTTCATGAACCAACTTCAGTAGGTGAGGATTCTTATAGTGCATTAAACATAAATAACATATAATGATTATTTTTTGATACTAGAATAAATGTTACATAAACTTTCATCTGCTAATATCGTAGTATTTTTATTTATTTTGGCATTTTTTCACAGAAATCAATGTTTCTATTTCACTTTTTGGTCAATTATTTTACATATTTATTATTATACATAATATTTTTGACTTTATTATTTTTGTAGAATGCTCTGAATGCGGTATCACTTTGAAAAACGAAAGAACTTTAAGGGTACATCAAACTTACTGCAACAAAAATGCACCTTTATTTTGGAACGATGAAAATGGTTCGTTGAAGACTGGTATTCCAGTATCTTCAAGGACATACAGAAATAGACATCTCCAAAAAACTAATAATGGTGAGTAGATATTAAAACCATACGTGTGAAAAATTAGTCTTAACGTTTCATTCCAAGACATTTATATATGTTTTTGCAGATTGTTCCAAATGTGGAAAAGTCTTTCTTAATCGAATGAGAATGAAACGTCATTTATTTAATTGTAGACGACCAGAAAATTTTAGTAGTAAAAATGGTTTTTACGATTTAAGGCGGAAAGGAAAATTGGAAAATCACATGTTACGAATACATTTGAGAAACAGCAACAGTGACCGCGATTGTAAATTGATTACAATAAATTATTTAAATTATTTTCATGCTTCTTATGTATTATTTTGTGTTTTCAGTTTGTCCTAAGTGCGGAGTGGCGTTTAAAAGTAAGAAGTTTAGTAAGGGACATTTACGTTTTTGTGGTACATCCAAGCTTCATTTAAAGTGCAATTATTGCTATTACATGACACATAATAAATATTCACTACGGATTCATCTCAGAAATATTCATTCCCAAGAAATTAACAATATTCAGACACAAGAAGAGACAAAAGATATCCAGATAGAAGATTAATTGAAAATTGATCATTGCTCAACAAAATAATTTTTCATATTCAATTTCAATAAGAAAAAAATTGAAAGGAATATTTGCAATTCTGTAAATAGAAATTAGAAAATTTGCTTTTCTAGTAGTTTTAGATAAAATATTTATGAACTACTATCATGGTCTTTTTGATTTATTACCACACGTCTATAAAAATTGTTATACAAATTCTAAATTAATATTGACTTCTTTGATTAAATATTCTATGTTAATTTCATCTTAGTTGGGTGTTATTTTTCTTTAAAAGTACACTTTTCATAAATATGTACAGATTCGGAGTTTATACGTTTTTCCCTTATAAACTTTTCAATAGACTATCTGTACGGTCAAAGACGTACTCAATTTCAAATACTATGAAGTCGATAATGAATAAGTCTGCAACTCGAACTCAAAAATACTTAAATATACCAACGAATACAAACGATATATTTGTTGCATATATAACATATATACATGCTTAGGTGTAAGATTCTTAATCAACTAATCAAGCATCAATATCTCATCCTAAATCGCATTTACTACATTTATGTTAGTTGATTACCGTCGAAACTGTACTCTGTTCAAATGCACTTTATTAAAATTATGTATACTACTTCATAATTTTATATGAATTTTAAATATGTATTGCGTTTTACAAGATAATTTGTCAATAGATATGATTGCTAAGAGATATGTTTTTAATAAAAATTTGTATAATAATTTGTATAATTAAGTTCTTAATCCTACAAAAATCTATGATAAATACATATTAAAAAGTATTTATAGTATTTGAACCCTCATCTGCAATATGATAACTCTTGTTAGGAAATAATGTTTGAGTACGATCTTAAGAAATACATTTCAAATAGATGTTCAAAAATTGAAGAAAAAGTCACGAACAAACTGAAGAAATATATAAATACCTAATTAAATAGTAATAATCAAAGTAAAATAACTGAATATTTTTTTACCATTATTTCGAGACTGACTCGAATGAATTTTTGTCTTTTAGTACTATCGATTATAGATATCGAATAATATAACTAACGGAACGTGGCAAAAACAGTTACCAAACAAATTTATAGATGAAGATCATTTATCAGATGTGTATTGTTTATTGATTTCGCTCAAATTTTGGTATAAAAATCCAAAAGTGATAGATTCATATGTAAAGTTTTATAACGACTTAATTTATAAATGGTAAATGATGGCTGTATGTTTGTAATGAATTTTACTATAGTATCAAGTACTTTGATCCTTTCCAGTTTTTGAATCAAACAGAATTTTGCTGCGTTAAACTTTTGTTATAAAAAAAATTAAATTTAGATATATTTAGAAAATTTTAAAAATATAATGGAAACAAAAACAACCATTGTACGAGCTTTTTCCAGCCTTGTCTTGAACGTACTTGTGTCCACCGATATTTTGGAGAAAGACAAAATAAGTGAATATCTGAGGTAAAATGAAAAACATAGATTCTTCTCCATTGTCAGGGAAGGTGCGATGTTTTAAGATCGAAATAAATACTACTGCTGTATTGTTGTTTAATTGTTTTTTCAAAGTCCCGTTAAGGAAATATCAATTACTATGTTGGTAAGAAATACGAATAGATACAATTAAAAAAATTAGCATTTAACGCAAAGTTTTCTTTTGATTATTCAATTTTATCGTTGACAAATATATTTTTATACAAGTCGAATAATTATTGAAAAATATATTTTTTAATAATACGATTTTTCCATGAAAATGCATTTGATACTGAATAATGGCTTACGAGATGTTGTGCAAGCAGTTCTGTAATGTGAATTTAATATGTCCAAGATAGATCTACGTAAGCAGAATATTTTACGTAAGCTTGGTGATGAACGTTAATGTTTAAGTATTTTATGACGTGGTTATTTTGGATTTAGTTGACAAATGAGCATGAGTCTTTTCATAATGTAATCAGTTAAAATTTTGTTACATTTGTTTTATCTTAAAATAGCCGTCAATTAATTTTTTAATTAATGCAATTACATTTTTTCAATATTACATTGTTTTTACTGCAACGCTTGTGTAGGAATCGCAATAGTTCGTTATGTTTCTTATTACTGTGAAAAATTTAAAATCTATTTGAAGTTGAAAGTAAGTAAGAATTTTAAACTATATAGCCACAAAGAAAGAAGAAAAAAAACTGTTTAATATATGAAGTAAAATAATAAATATATTATTCAGTGTGCATTATTACGTAAAAAAAAAAAACATTGGTTATCGCAATCTTTACTCGTTATCCAAAGAAAATGGCATAATTGTGTTTAGCATTATCACATAATAGCTTACTCTGATAACACCTACTTTACTTTCGGAGTTCGTATAACACCGTATGGATACACAGTCCAACAGTAGCCGCTTTACACAGGTCAGTGCAAAATTTCTAATATGGACTATTCATCTGAGAGTCGCGATGAATTGCTTTTATCTGAAGCTTGCAGTAAGTCATTTTTTAAATCATCACAATTCATAAGCTTGATTTAATTTATGTATTATATGTTCACGAATCATGGAAAACTTACACGACATTATGGAAATATTTTATTTACAGAATGTCCCAAATGCAACAGCACGTTGAAAAGTATGAAAGTTTTGAAGGATCATCTAAGATATTGTCAAAAACAAGTGTACTTGCAATGCGAATACTGTCCTTTCATAACAAAGTATAATGCTAATTTAAAAATCCATATTTCATCAATGCATTCGATGTCGAAATTTACAGAAGAAGGTATTCAATGCGTGCACACGACAAGTCGAATCGATTTGATAATAAAAAATTCTAATTAACGTTATTGATCGTTTCAGTATGTTCAAACTGTGCCAGAGTATTCAAAAACGAAAGATGTTTAAAAATGCATCTGCGAATTTGTGAAAGTCCGAGTCGATTTCAGTGCTACGATTGTTCGAAAAAATTCAAATCTAAAAGTAATTTAAGCAATCACATTTCGCGAATGCACTTGAAAGTGAGCGTGAATGGAGAAATTATTGGAGATAATTTGTATCTACAATGTAACGAATGTACATATAGAACTAAGCATAAGGATGATTTGAAGAAACACGTAATTAAACATTATGGCAACATCAACGCAGGTATATTTTTACCTTAGCTAAAATCACTTGAAAAATAATATATATATTTTCAAGTTTTTTGTACTCTAGACTGTGAAAAATGTGGTCGGACATATAAAAACCAGGGTTACTTAAAAAAACACTTGCAGTGTTGCCAAAAGCAGGATTTAGAGTGCTACCACTGCCCTTTCAAAACTCATAGTAAAGGTATAATGAAAAAACATGTTTATGGAATGCACATCAAAGGCCCACGTTACGGTACGAAATCATTGCATAAATGTAAATCACGTTCAAGTTGAAAGCAATGACAGCAATTTTCACAACTTGTCGAGTGACTATTTTACAGAATGTCCTGATTGTGGCAAAACATATAAGAAGGAATCATACGTAGTTCAACATATTGAACATCATTGTGGAAAAGAACCTCGTTTGATGTGCGAATATTGTCCTTTCAGAACAAATTACAGCCACAACTTGAGAAAACACAGGACAAGCAGGCATCTCAAAAACACTGAAGCGCTAGAAGTTATACTCGTCAAAAAATTATAAACATTGAAAAAAATTATATTACTTTGTGAATATATTATGTATATACCATTTATGAAGAAATTACTGATTAGATTTACGATGTTACAATTTGTCGTTAATTTAAAAAAAAATGCCTACTTCCTAAATGAGGTTATCTAAATGTATTATTTCCACGGTGAAATTCTGTGCCGATATTCACAGTCGTGTTCGTTGCCGCCGCCGTCGTCGCTTATTTTTCGCCAGGATTTTGCAAAAAACAAAAAAAATATCATGAGCGTTAAAATATAATATAAGAGCAGCAAATTTCAAAATTTAATATTTTTTTAGTGCTTAATAATATTTTTTTATTTGCGTTACCAACGCGAGTTAAATATATAAATAAAATAAATAAAAATTATACAGTTCTTAAGCTTGAAAATTCACCGTGTAAATGAAAAAAATTATACAATAAAAATGATTATTAGAAAAACATTAAAATTAGATGTATATAAAAGCATTTGTTTCCAGTCGTTTCATAAGAATGTAACTACTGAATCATCATAAATAAATTGCTTGCGACTGACGTTGCCTAGGTCAGGTCGCATTAAAACTAGATGTATAGTCCTTAAACACAATACAGTTACGACATGAGTAATACCTTATAATATTTATAAATGTTACTTCACATAAACCGACGAAACACATATGCGTTAGAGAGCAAGGTGTTTACATACTCACGCAGTCGGCAACACGTACTTTTTCAATTACTTCGAACAAAAATTGTCGTGATCCGATTTACTTACTTATCGTGGGTAATAATAAAGTAGCAAATAAAAATATTTAAAATACATGAATAAATTTTTTCATTCACTCGTATGTTTCTTTAGCTGTATATTACAATACAGTAGTTTTGATTGAAAAATTTCCACATGTTATGAAAAAAGCTTAAGTAAACCCATTAAATATATTACTTGTAAAAAGCTTACAGAAATAGTGAGTATTTTATAATTTTGAGAACAAGTCCAAAGTAAGAAAAATATTGATCAAATTATTTTTAACAGAAACTTCAAATGAATGTATAAGATTCTATGAAAAATCTAAGAAAAGAATTAACTGTGACTTGAAGCCTACAAATTATTGTTCAAAATACAAAAATTCTTTAGACTATGAGTGCAAAAAGTATAAAAGACATGCAATAAGTTGTAATCGATTCATATACCATTTTAAAACTACTTGTCAATCTCAGGGATATTATTATCAATATCCTAGATGTACTTATAAATCAGCATTTGAAGTTTATATCCAAGTGCATATGAAAAAGTTAAATAAAAATTTATTAGTTTATCATATGAAAATTATAAGAGAGGGAGGGAAAATGTGAAGGGAGATACAGAAACCAGAAGAATATATGTGCACAAATGCTTGAAATGTAGTCAATGATTCAGATATTTACATTATTTAAACCATCACATGAAAGCATGTGGTGATTTAAATAATGGTGATCAAGTTAGATTTAAAGGTGGAAATATTGTTCAAAAGAAAATGCCAACTCAAATTAAAAATACTACATACATTATACAAAAATATCTGAATGGATTTTATATTAAGAATAATTTATTTAATTATTATATATCTTTCATTTTTACAGATCAACGAAATCAACATTTTCCTAGACTCAATACTATATTGAAATATTTTTATATTTCATCAACACATAACTGTTCTTTTTAGGAAATTTTATTTATTTACAGATACTATAAAAATGGCTGTATGTTGTAAAAAATGAGACGCAAAATTTGCTACAAGTAACAGTATTTATGGTCTTTAAAAATGTAAGGACTGCAAGTTAGATTTATTATTCGAAATTGTACAAAATTTGGAAAACAACATAGATCTGATAAAGGTATTGTTTATCATTATAAAGCTAAATATGCTACTCACGAAACATACTTTTTGAACTAAATGAACAATCAGAATTTAATTAAAAACTTACTAATTAACCATTACAAAAATGTATATCAATCTATTTCTGTTGGTGAATGGTGAGTTAAATTTAAGTTTAGTAGATATTTTTTATTTTTTATTCCAACATTTATATTCAAATAATATTTAAATATTTTATAAATATGTCATTTAAAGTTTTAGTTCTCCAAAGTATATTAAGGATTTTATAGTACCTATCATCTTGATGCCAACCAATACCTTCAAAAACTGTAAATTCAAAAATTTTACAATACTTTGAATACTTTTATTAGTTTAGATTTAGTAGAAGATAGTTACATATATAATTGTTTTTCAGAGTACGCAAACTTGAAATGTATTAAAAAGTAGTACATCATTAATTAAACATTTCAAATATTGTGGCAAGAAGGTACTCTTATAAAACTCATAATTGTATGGACTATTGAAAGACTATATAAACTGACATTATTATAATGGTAACAAAACATAGTGATTATGCAATTAAATTGACTAGATATAAATTGATTATAATTTGAATTGGTATCAGATCAGCCATTTCAATTAAATTAAGAAATTGAAAATTGTTATTTTTCTGTAAAACTTTTATATAAAACTCAAATGAAAATAAATTTAATTGTTACACCAAGTTGCCTCTGACATAAAAAAAATTAAAAAAGCCATATCTAATATATGTTTATAAATGAACATTATAAAGCAGGGTTAAAAGAATGAATGACTCGCATTTTAAAGATGAAAATAATTATTCACATACAATTTTATATGTAGCATCAGAAATGTATACTTATTTGGTTAGATTGAGAGGTGGTTGAATACATTACATCTTATTTACAGCTTGCTCAAAGGATGGTGCTAAATTTAAATAAAAACATTGTCCAAATACACATTCACAAATTTTTGGAATTATTAAGCCTTATCTTCAATGCAACTATTGTTCTTTCAATTGTAATTATATCACATGTCTAGTAAACATATCATCTTGATAAGTCTATTTATAATTCTAACAAATATGATTTAAATATTAAGTTGAAATTTATAAGATATATAATAATATTACCAGTTTCAATATTTATACAATATGGCGTCAGATATGCATTATGTGTTTTATAAGATTTGTAAAATACAAACGGCTTTTGTATACAAAAACTTTTTATGTGATGAAATTCCTTATTAATAAAAATTGTACTTCCTTTTTAATAAATCGATATGATATTCACGTAATTGTAGATAACTTTCTTTTAAATACAAATACAGATCATGTAAATTTAAGAATATTATTCAAGGAGAGTAACAGGGCAGGTAACTCCATCGGTGCAGTTATTATTACAAACTGTTTTATCAACTTAAGTACTGTTATCAGCGCCGAATGCGGCTTGGCTTCACTTTGGCATTTGGCGATTCGGCGTCAGTTTAGTATGCAGTTTTATTCGGTCTTTGAACTGTAGTATTTTCATTTTAACGAAAAAACGTTGACAGAACACAAATTGTAAGATGTCTTTCTCCTGAATTTTTTCAAGACAAGTTTATACATGAAAATTTTTCATGAAACATTGAAATTTTTCGACAACTTTTCTCAACAACTAAGTGGCAAGCTTGACATTTGCGTCATAACCTATATTCAATGCATTGAAGCTAGTAGTGTCGATCGTTGAAAATCGTTGTGCGTTACGAACGTAATTCGCTCTACAGTTGCTTGGGGTATTTTTTAATAACTTACTCACTTTATAAAGATCATTAGTGAATAATTCAATAGTGATAAAAGAGCTGTGGCTCTAACGTTACGAGACATGCAGTATTTTCTATAACGAACTTTTATTTCAAACACTTAAACTTTTTATCTCGTAACGAATAAAATTCGGTCAGTTATTATTTTTTATTTATAATTTATAGTAGTTGACCGCGGCAGTTCCTTGTTTGTGATTCTTGGTAACATACTTTGTTTCCGTAAATAATAAAAATACCATGTTTGACACTTGTTGCATATAATCACGACAAGTGTGAAGCACGTGTTGCGAAAACCATTAAAAGTTATCAGTTATTTATTTACCTGTGAATTGTAATTAGTGAATTGTTTGTTTGTTAATTTTGCTTTGAAAGTTCCAAATTCTTTGAAAAATATTTTCAAGTGTGAGTGTTTATGAAACCTTCTAGCATTGTAAAAATAGATACAGATAAATGATAATAAAATGAATTTGGTTCATCTAAATAATAACAACGTTCGATCTAACAAAAATCCTATGGCATCTCACTATCACGATAAACTTAAAGTTGACACCCCTGTAGGATTGACCATTTATGGTATGTATTATCATCTATTAATTACTTATAATCTCAGATATACATGTAATTATGTATACATACATGTAACTCTAAATATTATTAATCATTAATTTAGAAAATTGTTAATATTATTATCTCTTTAAAGATGATTACTGTTTTGTTGAAAAATTTGATTGTGATGGGAATATGGATGACAGAGAGGGTAATTTATTAAAAAATTTTTTAAATTTAATTTTTTAAAAAAGCTATATTAAGCAATAGAATGAATTAAAAATGTAGTGTTATTTATAAATGATGAATAACTTATTTCAGCTAAGATGAGCGGAAAAGCTAGAGTTCTTGTACAAAAGCTTCCTGATTCTATAGTGCAACAATACCTTGCAAAGAAAGAAAAAAATCAAGAGAAAATGAATTGTGAAAGAAAGTTATTCAATTCAAATATAGAAAATGTTAAATACAAAAATGAAGAAATCTCTCTTTCAAATCAATCTTTAAACAAAAAAAAGAATTTCGAGAATGATAAATTTGCAAGAGAACTTTCCAAACCTATGATGCAACAGTATCTTGCAAATACAGAAATGGGTTGTCTCACTGCGGATTTTGAAGACACTACTTCTGATCTTCCAAAGTACCCAGTTAGATCAGATAATTGTACTACCGATAGCTTAATAAAAAATCTTTCTGGTAATGTTGATATACAACATCCAATTCAGATGAAAACAACGACTTATCAAGATCAATTTATAAAGAGTTTATTTTCTTCAACTTTGAACCAATTTAGTGATCTCTCCTATTCAAGAATACAGGAATGTAATGAGAATATAGAAAAAGCAAATGATGCAGCCAAAGAAAATTCCTTCAAAAAGCAAAATAATTACAAAAAGGGAAATTTTGTTCATGGTAGAAGATCCAAAAAAAGTGAGTAGAATTTTTTCATATCGTAATTTATACTTTTCCCAATTTACATATAACTTTAAATATCTTTACTTTATTTTATTTGTTTTTATTTTATAGATAAAACTACTAATTTATGTAAAAGAATTTGTCTGTCTTGTCGTAAATATGTGCAAAAAATTCATAAAAGTAGTGATGAAGTATGGTGCGATACCTGTAAGGCATTGACATTTTTTCAATGCAACGCATGTAGAAAGATTGCCAAAACTTACAGTGCAATCACAGATCATTTATTGTATCGTTGTGATGCACGAGATTCATATAAGTGTGCACATTGCAAATATATTGTGAAGAAGAAGCAAATATTAGCTTATCACATAACGAGAAATCATAAAGAATTAATTACCAAAAAAAGTAATAGAAATATTAAAAAACTTAATAATATATTGAATCAAGATTCAGAATATAAGAAACGATTTGAAAACTTAATTGTTTTGAAAAAGAAAAGAGTAATCCAAAGCAACACTGAATGGGTCATTAAGAATGTAAGACGACGTGACTTGGGAGTCAATAAATATGTAGGTAAGTGTGAATTATTTAATTTTTGTTTTAATAAAACTTTGGTTTTTTTAAGTATTATTTAATTTATTCTTAATTTATACTTTTTCTAGATTCACTTATATCGCCAAAGACCATTTTTAACCAACCAATCCAAAAGTCAACCACTTTAAACAACAGTATGTCTTGATTATGATTATTAATTGTAATAATTTGAAAATAAAACTTCCCCTAATTCATGTATTAAGTTACATTTTATTATACGTAGATGCAGAAAAAGTGGTTCAGTCATGTAAATTATATTGCAAGCATTGCGACAAACAAATCGAAAATGGTAGTATCAATACACAAACTGAGACTTATTGTCACACTTGTGGAACAGATGTTCGATACAAATGCTTGAAATGTCACAGCACTTTTGAATCATTTACCATTATGGAGGATCATTCAAGGAAATTTTGTCCTTTTAAAAAGGATAGTAGAGAATACTATCATTGTTCACAATGCAATTACAAAAGTATCCTTCAAGGAATAGTTACAAATCATCAAGAGAAAGTACATGGTTTGTCATAACAATTCACTTCTGATAAAGTAACTTTTATTTCAAGTCAAATTATCATAGAGTAGATTTTAAGATATGTAATGTAGATTTGGAATATGTGTCTTTTACTTTTTGTACCAATTTATATGCCAAAATCATATTACCAAATAATATATATAATTTAGAGTTTTGCTTATCAGATGTAAACATAAAATGTAAGATTTATCAAAGTGATCTGGCAACATTTGAGATTGAGATCAAGTATTATTCTTGTTGACTCATAATATATTTCATCTGTTTTACTTAATTAATCAAACCGTTTAACATATTAATTAATGAGTGCTAAATTAAACTAATAAGTATCTTATCACTTCCATTATTGATAGGATAACTTTAATTACATTTAGAAGATAATTATTGTACAGGTATCAAAATAAGGTAACCTCTAAAAGATAATTATTGTGCAGGTATCGAAATACGATAACCTATCAATATTAATTTTATATTTTCAACATTAGATGTGTTGGCTATTAATGATTCTATTTTCGTTTATTTTTCTAATTTTTCTTGATAAATTTTATATAATTTTTAATACTTTTCTTCATAAATGTTGGTGTTCTAACCTACAGAATAATAAATATTTCATTTAAAACCATGTACGAAATAATGTAGTGAACAATGAATCTTGCACATTCCTTGCAGTTTTTTTCACTCAAAATCACTTTCAGTGTCATTCTTCAGATATACTTTTTGGAGTAAACTCACGCCTGTATCTCTGACTCCTTACATCCAGCATCCATTTTGCGATTCTTTGTTTCTCAATAATTCAAGGATATGAATAGATTTTTCACATTATCAGATACTTTTTAACCGGATTTTTACATAGCTGTGAATAAATATAATGCTTTTTTGTTCAGTATACATTATGTTATTTTTTTCTTTATTATGACTGGAAACTTTTAATACAATTGTAGACATTATAAAATAGCTATATTTCTTTAGTAGCACCTTGTAATTGAATGTCAGAATCAATAAAAAGGGTAGCTAGTTCTTTTAAAACATTTGATATTATAGATTTTAGTTTGTTATTTACATGAAACTTTTTGTTGTAAATTTAAGTGAATGGAAGAACTGTAACTATCAATAATATTAGTGCTATCTTCTTTTTCATATATAACAGATATTTTTGTATTATTCGTTATTTTTTATTGTTTATTTGAGTAAAAATTTATAATTTATCACTTTATCACATATCATATTAATTAATCATTTTATCACTAAGTGTTCAGTACATTGTTATTTACTTAGTTGCCACACTTTGAAAACTGATTTAGTAAAGTTAAACCTTTCCTAAATTTTCCCACATTGTGTAGTTTGGTATTTAAATCACACATTGAAATTTCCGACTGAATATAAAGTGTTATTTGTTATATACACGTGTCCAAAAGATTTCGAATCCTAATATGTCTTAAATAAATTTTAGAAAAATCTGTCGATTTCATACAAAAACAACCAATTAAATAATTCTGTTGATATTGTTAATTTCTGAAAGGGACTTAATCAAACGTACAGTAATAGTAGTGAACAAATATCGTCATTTATTGGATTTACCAAATTTTAATTTATTACAAATTGTTAAATAGTCGTTCAAATTTAGTCGATTTAATACAATTGGGTTATGTCATTATAATTAATAGTACATTACGATACAAGTGCAGGAAAGTAGATTCTTGTCTCGTGTACCTTTCCACCCTCGCTTCGCTCGGGCGTAAACGCCACATGAGACAAGAATCTACTTTCCCGCACTTGTATCGTAATGTACTATTATGCGAATTTATAGAAATAAATCTAGCATTGTCATTCTTAGAATGTTTTTTAAATAATCATAAACAACTCACTACACTATATGCTTACATTTACGATGTGGCAACTAATACCACTACCTTTTAGAGCGACTGCTAACAAATAACTATATAAATGCATTTTTTTATTAAAAATCGTACATAGATAATAATTTTTTGTCAATTCAGATAAGATAACGTGAATTAATTAAACGTTATTTCCGAAGATTTTTGAGGTATGTAAAAGTTAAGCAGCCTTGATTAGTTTCATCGAATTCGATAAGATAAACCATAAAAAATTGTTATAATTCACGTGTAAAAATCTAAAATATTTTACATATAAGCCAAATAATGATAATAAATTAATATGTAATTGTTTTTTAAAAATGTTCCTAATAAAAACTGTAATCGATGATATAAAGAACAAAATTATTACGTTTAATTAAGACGTTATGTACTGACATTACATTCATTAATTACATAGCTTCTCGGTATCATACAAAATGTAAATTGAATCTTTATAGTAAAACTTTATAATAGAATTTCGAAGCACATTATAAGAATCTATCTCCTACGTGTAATTCTTATGTATTTATAAACTTTGTATAATATCTGACGCAGCAATCTTTTGAAATTAAGAAAGAGGACTGCCAGATATTTACATATTGTTCAGAAATTAGAGAGAGTAACGAAATTTACAAATATGTCGGTAACTATGTATTCTTACGTATCCGTATATGTATTGTATTTCACATGGACTCCTATCCTATAACTCGTGAAACATCAGGGGATTCCCCGCATGAGAATTCTTGATACCAAGCAATGTATAGAGAGCATCATCTGACTTTTCATGGAGCTCAAAAAAATGTTATAAAATAGACATTCTAACACACGACGTACTTGATAAACTTTCAAAAATACATAGACAATTTATGAATGAGGTGCGTGGTAATTTTAGGCATAATTTTTAATTACCTATACATTTATATATTCTTATATTATATACCAAATATACCAACTTTTTATAGTAATTACAAACATATTTATAAAATAAGTTATTCTAATTTTAAAGGTATTAAATTTATTTTCATCTTACTATGAATAGCTATATATAGTAAACATTATAATTATATTCTAAAGCATTAGTAACAAAGTTAGAGCTTAATATCGAATGTAAAGTTGTACTTTGATGTTATATTATAAACAGTATTTTATTATAACTGTTGAGTTTGTCATTGCAAGTAGTATCGTTTAATGTATGAAAAATAACAAAATTTGGTTTATTAGCGTTGTAATGACATAAATGCTATAATTCAATAGAGATTATACACATTTTATTAAAACGAGTTGCTTCTCTAAACATTCATATCGCGTTTTGTCATAAGTAACTGAATGATAGAAAAATTCTATTCTCGTATATAGCACTTTTCGCGTTCCGCATTCGTAATACTTTTTAATATCTGCTTATCCTTCAAGAAGCTTGGCTCGTTCCATTGCTGTATTTCCCCACTACCAAATATTACAAAAACTACATTCGAAACTACGGAAACGGCTAACAGCAATAAAAACACATGTCGCCACTCGGTGATGATCAGGTTTGGTGTTAACAATCCTACTATGTACGGCGACAAAAAACTCGGAACCATGGCCACAGCAAACGCAATACCTTGAATTGTCCCAGCGTAATTCGGCGACAAATCTAACACATTAACCATGACTCCAAAATTGGCGCAGCCAAACATTATCATCGCAACGACTTGAATTCCAATAACGGCGAAGCGATCGCAACCTACATAAGTAGCAATTACGAGAAAGAGTCCAGTACCAATCATAGAAATCGTGCATCCTATTTTTCTAATGCATCCAATCGACAAGAGTTTTCTGGTAATGATACAATCGGCGACCCAGGAGGTAAAACACGAGAATAACCACGAACATAGGTGAGGTATCGAGGTGACGTAACCGTTAGTTTCGATGGAAAATTTCAGCACGCTACTCATGTATTTGGGCATGTCACTGGATAATACAAGCAGGCACCACGCTTTGCCAATCAAACCGATCTGGAGGGCCCAGATTGGTTTTGAGCGTAATATGTGCTTCCATGGCGTTGGTGGTAAGTCTTTGTGTATATTTTCTGTTGGCAGTATACGCATGTCAACGATTTTTGAGTTTTCATATTGAACATTATGAAATAACTTGTTACCTACCCAATTTTTGCTTTAGATAGTTTCTTTCGGCATCAGATATGAAAGGATGCACGCTGGGTGAATCGAAACATAATACGCAATGAATTAAAAACGATAGTAAGCCAAGTACTCCGTAAAAATAAAAGGCAGCTGGCCATCCAATACTGGAACGTTGAATGATTGTTCCTGAACCAGCCATTCCTACAATGGTACCCAATGACATGCCAGAGTAAGCCCAAGCACCGGCTAATGAACGCTCTTCTTTAGGTATCCAGTGAGCCATTAATCTTGTAATTGACGGTTGTATTGCACCTTCGCCAAGACCCATAATTATTCGTAGAATGATGAGCCACGTTACACCGCCCCATTTGATTGTTAGAGGTGTTACGAGACTCAGAATCGAGATGGATAAAATACTCAAACCCAAAGTGTGCTTGCCGCCGAGTTTATCGATGATTGTGCCACTGAAGAAGCTGGCCAACACGTAACCCCAGAAGACGGATGACAGGATGAGACCCTGTGAATTAAAGTGTATTACAGAATATAATACTCGAGTGAAAATTATTTTAGACGTTTACTTACTTGAGTTTTTTCATCCCAGTCATAAGATCCTTTTATGATAACTGTTTCGTTACTCAACGAAACCGAATCTGTTTTGGGACACGTATCATCTATAAACTCGATAGAATGATTTTTTGGCTTAACCATTTCGATAATGGTTATCGATAGACAAAGTCGTGTTGTGTATGAATGAAAAAGGCCAAGGCAGCACATCACGATTATTACCCATCTTTGTGGAATACATGACCCTAATTTCATAAATAAATATGATTATTGATAATTAATTTATGTTTAAAATGGATAGTTTAATTACTTTAATAATTTGAAATATTTAAATAATTTTTTATTTATTATAAGCTTTCAGAAACATTGGAATAATGAATCTGATAAGTAATACGATAACTTATCTACAACCGCACATCTACAAGTCATTTGATAATAGGTATATATCATATAAAATGCATACAGTGAATAATGCAATATTCATATAACATATGAATATTGCATTATTCTCATTCAGTTTAAAACTTGTATATAAGTCATCCACCATTTCTTAAGTTAATTTGAATGGCGGACGACTGACATATTTACAACAAATTCAAAACTAAACAAGAATAATGTAATATTTGGAGGTTACTACATTGACGAGTAGCGGCGAGAAAAATATAAAAACAAATATTCTCTAAATATTTATAAAATTAATTCAGAATACTCTTTAAATTAATAATACGATTATAAAAATAAAATATAAATCTTATTGCTACTTGCAGGATTTTTTTGATGAAGAATACATATTAAAGTTTTTGTGATTATTTGACAATTGATATTTTCTGTGTTTTATGAATTCAAATTACCAAATTAAAAGTTTCATATAATTCTTTTTACATTTCTAATGAAATAAAACACGTTTGAGTTTTAGAATCGCGTCTGTGCTTGTCAAGCCGTTGTTGAAGCGTGAGTGTAAACAATCGCGTTGTAACGTGAATTCATAGCATATCACGAGACAATAAGTAAAAAGAAAGAGATAGAGAGTGTCTGTGGTATTAATGATCTAGTGATAACTCAAAAGTAATACGATCGAATGCATATAAATTTTCAATATATTCAAATGTAAATTGCCTATTCGTAATATTTATCTCATAAATATGCTCGTTTCAAAAATAATTATTAGGTTCATATATCTATATAACGAGTGTTTTATTTTCTAGAAGGAGTACCTTACAAAGTTACCAATTTGTGGAACAACCTTTGTATTTAAATACTAGAAAAGTCTTCAAAACGTTATTATAATATTTAATTAATTTTTAATCAAAGTCATGGAAAAAATCTTGTATATCTGTTATCTAGTAAACCGGATAAGAAATATTATTTTGCGCTTCATCGCCGCTTATCAAAATGGATTTTTGGAAAATTAATGTTTTACGAGCCACAATAATTAATTTAATTTGATGTTCCTAGATTTTATTCTTTTAGTTTAAATTAAAAATTAATTTAAAAATTTGTCATTTAGTTTAGATTAATAATTTGTCAATCCTTAATTGATGTTATCGTAAAAATCATCAGTACAATGTTATCATTTCTTTTGAAATTTAATATAAAATATTATGTAAACAAGGGCGCCTCCGTTATCACATATTCTACCGTAATAACACAATATTTGATGAGAATTTAATAGGTATTTGCATTATATTGTAATACGTATATGTATTAAAATGAGATTATGTGAGTGAAACCTATATTCAAGTGATTTGGTTTAGATTCTGTAGTGAATATCTCGACATATAAAATTTTTAAAAGCAGTCCTCAATATTCTCTCCTTTAAATAAAATATAATGTAGGTCGCGATGAGAAATGAAAAGAAAATGAAAAAATATACTATTTTTATTTCTTTGGATATTTTCCAGCGTTAGTGCAGCAACGTTTAAGAAAACACAACAAATGTACATTTTGACTCAGACTTTATACAATATCATTTCTTGGCATTTTCTTCGTTACAAGCTTAATATTTTCTTTAACATTAGCATTCTTTCCATGTTCTTCGTATTTCAAATAGTTTGGATCGTTCCAGTCTTGCACTTCAGCACTGCCAAAAATAAAGAAAATCAAATTGGTAGCCACGCAAATGACAAAAACCAGCCAAAACACAATTCTCCACTCGTCGACAGTCTGATTAGGTATCAACAATCCAGCAACATAAGGCGACACCAAGCCAACGCTTATACTAATACCAAGTAGAATTCCTTGTATGGCACCAGCGTAATTCGGTGCTAAATCCAGAGCATTAACCAATGTACTAAAGTTAATGCAACTAAACATTATCATAGCAACGACGTGAAGACCAACGACAAGAGTTCGATTGCAACCAACATAAGTAGCAACCAGGAGAAACGTACTTGTACCTAACATTGCGATGCTATTACCAATTTTGCGAACCCAAGTGGTAGAAGTGATGTTTTTGGCTATCAGTCGATCGGCAATCCATGACAGCGTGCAACTAACGATCCACGCATAAATGTGGGGAATGGCGGAGACGTAGCCGTTTGTTTCGACGTTGAATTTCAATACGCTGCTCATGAATTTTGGTATGTCGCTGACAACTGTGATGTGGCACCAACTGTTGCCTATCAAAGCTACTAAAACAGCCCAGACTGGCTTTGAACGGATTATTCGACGCCATGGTGTTGGTGGTAAGTCTTCGTACGAGTGTTCTTGAAGAAAACATTGGCATTTTTAAAATCAATTACAACCCACTTCAACAACTGTCTACTTACTTAATTTTTCTTTGAGAAACTTGAACTCGACTTTGGAAATGAAGGGATGATCGTAAGGTGAGTCGTAGCAGATCGCGCAGTGAGCGAAAAACACGACGATACCAAAGCCACCGTAAGTATAGAACATCGTTGGCCAGCCAGATCTTTGAATGATAATTCCAGATCCACCCATGCCAACTATAATTCCACATATTCCACCGGAAAAAGCCCAAGCAGCAGCCCACGAACGCTCGTCTTTAGGTATCCAGCGGCTCATCAGCCTCATGATCGCTGGATTTAACATTCCACTACCCAAACCGGTGAGAAATCGTATGATCGTGAGCGAAGTTGCGTCGGCCCATTCAACACTTTTTGGCACCATTAGCGTGAGTAACGCAGTTGACAGTATACTCGTACCCATCGTATGTTTACCACCGAGTTTGTCAAGAATTGAGCCGCCGAGTATGCACGTGATTATGTAACCCCAGTAATAGGAAGATAAAATCTGGCCCTGAAAAAAGTGATCTTTGATGAATTCTGTAATAATCATGGCTTCGAAAATCGTATGTTTACCTGTGCTTTTTCGTCCCAATCGAATGTCTCCCCTTTCGTGAAAGTTTCATTGCGATACGATTGAACCTCTATTATTTCTGGTTGACATGCCTTGTTATTTGATGATACTGTGTTTATTGGTTCAACCATTTGAATTATAGCTATGGATAAGCAAATCTGCACGTTGCAAGAGTTCAGTAAGCTGAGAAAGCAGGCCAAAACAGTTATCCATCGTTGCGGAATTACTGCAAGATTGTTTATTACTTTTTGTCCTTCGCGCGGTATTTCATCTCCAGATGAATGTCCATACTCCCGTATCCGTCGAGATGCTGGCATGATAACCACCAAGTGCGATTATTACAACATGTTTCCAAATTCAATTTACAAAAAAATGAAAGAAAATCAAACCGTCGTTGTAACGTGACTATTTTTATTTTGAGTCACCTGTTGCAATTTTTAAAATTCAGACTGCAAAACGAGACTATCAAGTTTTTTATTTATGCGCAGAGAAAAATTGAGACGCCAACTAATTAGCGAATAATACGTTGCGTATACCAGAAAGCGATTACACATACATTAATGTTTACCATTAACATAAATGATTTCACTCAAACATTGCTAACGTCAGATTTTGCTCATTATCAACACTTATTATGACAAATCATCATAAATTTTCATGTTTATAGCTGGATTAATACGAAAAGTTCTTTGTTCGGTCTATATATATATGTGTGTGTGTGTGTGTGTGTGTGTGTGTGTGTGTGTGTGTGTGTGTGTGTGTGTGTGTGTGTGTGTGTGTGTGTGTGTGTGTGTGTGTGTGTGTGTGTGTGTGTGTGTGTGTGTGTGTGTGTGTGTGTGTGTGTGTGTGTGTGTGTGTGTGTGTGTGTGTAAAAATATGTATAATGCAGCCTTAATAATTATTGTCGTATCGCGAAAGGATCTGGAAGATATAGTCGGAGATAGGCGTGACTGCAGCAAAATAAATTGCAATAAGTTTTCTGCTTAATACAAGACATAAACTATAACTAACTCGTTATAAGGAAACGCGAATGCTAATAGAGTCGCACGAAGTCAATGGATTAGAGTATCTTGTGAATGTGCAGTAGGCCAAAGACCCACTATAAGCATGTTGTTGTTATAGAAGTTCTTAAAAGCTTCATAGAAAGTGGTACTATCAAACACTAATTCGTTCTAATTATGAAATAATCATCTAATGTTTTCTGATTGAGTTGAGAAATGTTAAATTTAACACAAAAAATTATATCTATTTCTTTCTTCTAAGTATTGGTTTCAAGTTTTCAACTAGCGCCCGTAAAATAGTGTTGTCCTTAGTGGTGGAAATAACCCCATTCACCCCATTGGCTTGCTGAAATGCCGTAATGATTTGACGTGAGAATTGGAAATTATTTATATACTTTGTACAATTTAACAAGTGCTCTTCGCGCGCAGCGCGCATAGTGATTACTAATATTTAAAAAAACTATAAAATATATGATTTATTACATATAACACTATTCTCGGAAGGAATAGAGGTAGTAATCACTACTGATTGACGTCGCTTAACCCTTGACTTTGCGGAAATTTTGATACTTTGTAAATGAATCAAGGTACTGTACAAGTATGACAATATTTTTCATTAATCAATGAACATGGAAGAGAAAGCGACGGATAAGAAATTTTCATTACGATTGGTTTTCTATAGACAGATCGCAATCAGAGTTCATTAGAATTTTATAAACATATAGGTTGAGTAATATAATGCTCGAGCAGTTACTTTCTTTTATACGGTTGCGATCATTTGAAGATGACAAGTGGAAGATTTTGTTATCAAAACATAAGTAAGATAACGACGTGACATGCAATTTACAGTGGCAGAGCTTAATATTATGGCATTTTACACCTTACGCGATCTACGGAAACATAATTTTATCCTAATGAAATATTCTATATATACACGAATATTACAATTATTTCGAAATAAGCCAATCATTAATAAAATACACTCGTAATAGTCCACGTGAGTAGCAGAAACGGTCTGTTTGAATTAGCAAGATAAATAGTTTTACAGCGTAACAAGTTGTATGCATTTGCCATTCAAGCTTACAAATTGATATTTTAAAACGTAAATGTAACAGCCAAAAATGTAATACAGATCAAAATTATTTCGAATTTTATTAATCCAATTCATTTAATTATCATCGACAGCTGTCAATTGTAGTCATTCTTACCTTTTACTCGCGTTTGAAATTTATGAAACAAAATTATTGCTAAATGCTTTTCTAATGCGTTATTTTGTTATAAATAATCTTTTTGACATTATTTTGTTAATATTTTAAAGATTGATATAAGCTTTAGAGACTGTTTCAGGATTCAAAAAAAAATAAGCGAAAGAGACAGTAGAAAAGGACACAGTAATAATGGACAGTAAACATTTTTTTATAGAACGTATAATAAATAAGTATTTTTGTGCCTGAAAACTATTTCCTTTCTATTGAGATGTCTACCAAAATATGCAGTCTTTAAATGGAAATTAATTAAAAAAACTAATCAGCTTAAGTAAAACGCTATTTTGTTACATTGAAAAAAAAATTAAAAATACGCTATCCCACGTGGTTTCAATTCGTTTTTACTTTTTCAGCATCCAATTTCCAGCTAGGTAATAATATTTTGATCATACTTATAATTATTCTTTTAACAATAAGTAAAATTAATATCATAGAGATGATAATAAATCCGTAAACATCAAGTAAAGACGCTTGGTACCATGGCATGTCGACCAAAGGTGATCGTAATGCATTTTTTCCGTGTCTGACTATGTATTCGACCCAAAAAACAATCAGCTCTTTCGGACTTATTGGAACATCTCGAAAAGCTTTGCTAATTTTTTTCGTTGTTTCTCTAAAAAATAGTTATTATACATAAAACAGTTATCTTCAAAATTTAATGTAATTTGTATATTTTATAATTGAAAAGACAATAAGTGGAAGGAAAAAAAAACCTAAAAGTATATACTTAAAAGTCTAAAGTTATATAATATAACTTACTTGTAAATAGGATTCTTAATGATTTTATTGATTGCATCAGAAAGACTTTGCTGCGTCATTTGTTCCCAATCGAGGCTTACAGCTATATTTTTTCGAACGTAGGATTCTATATTAAGAAATTGATCACCCAATAAAGGTATTCCTATTAATGGAACACCGTAATGTATTGCCTCTTGCGTACCCATCAGGCCACCATGCGTTACGAATGCTTTTATATTCTTATGTTCTAAAATAAATAAAAAATCATTAGGACGATCGAATCGTAACGTTAATCAAATAAATTGATTTTACTTAGAACTGCGATTTGTGGCAACCAAGGATTACTGATGACGTTCGACGGTAGTCTAGATGGCAATTCGTCAGGTTTCGTTATCTTCATTAGCACTCTAATCGGCTTAATACTCTCGAATGCACCGTAGAATGCATCCAGTACAGTTTTAGGAAAGGTCTCGATCCTGATCATCGACCCGAAAGTAACGTAAATGAATCCGTGTTTACTTTCGTCAAGGAATTTTTGTATGTTCTACATTTGCATAGAGAAAAAATATTTCATTCCATAAGTTCTCCATCCATAAGTATGATGTTAAATGTAAGACTAGTTGAACATTAATATGAACCTGTGGTAATTTCTCGCCTTTATCAACGACGTGCAGTCCTCCAACAGGCACAATCGTTGGAGCGAGAGGCTTGTTTCCATACACAGCGTGATGATGGTTGAGAAAAATGAGATCCACGTCTTTTTCCATCTCGACGACATTGGGGTAACCAGATCCAAATATTTTTTCAACGTAAGCGTCTTGCTCTCGAATGTAATAATGAACACTTGATGTACGTATGTAGTAGGAAGTTTTCCAATCGCTCGTAAAATGACATTGGAGGAAAAGATCGAGCAAAGACACCCGTGTCCACTGCGAGATTATAAGGATTTCCATTCGGTTCGTTTGCCCATTCAAATAGCGAGAAGGTCGTCACGATTCCAATTACGGGTACGTTCAAATGTCGGCCCCAAGCAAGATGACAATTCGACGTAAACCACTAAATGTCAAATATAATTTACATAATATAAATATAATTTACACTTTTTTTTATGTATGTTGACGCAACGAAAGTGATTATTTATTTAATACTTCTGTGATGACGAGGTCGTAGGGTGGATCTTTCGGCGGATTTTTGACGAGGTTTTGAAATACTGGAAGATTCAAAATTTCGCAGCCGGGTGTACCGCAAGCAGGCAGAAACTGAGACATCGCCACAGTTCGGAATGCGGACATAAAGAATTCGTAGGTAACATTGTTGACGAAAATCGGAAGCGAACCAGCAAGACTGAAGTCTGTGTAATTAGGCACTGGATTTTTTAGCGGAAAATGACTATAGACGTCCACTTGATGGCCTCGTTCGGCTAAGATTTTCATTATATGCTCGTCCATGTTGAACTGACTTTTTCCGGGGAATGGAAATATACCCAAAATTCGTAATTCATTACTATTTTCAATCGATACAAGGAATGTTAATAGTAGTGGAAAACGTAATTTATTTAAAAGTCGAGTCATGACGAAACCTGTAAAATAAAATGCATGCATTCAGAAAAGAGTTCGTCAATTAACAATTAAGCATCACGATGACTGGTATGATCTTGATGACCAATTAATTTGCCAACTGTCATGTTTAGCTGATAAGTATATATCATAGATAATAAATGTATTGCGCAATATATTTCAAAATATGATATTTTTTAATTGGTTTAGTAATGCATAATACATACTATGTAATAAATTATCGTTGACGTTGGCAGCTTTTAATAAATCAGAAAACTAATAAAATTTCAACTAAGACTTCATAAAACATCAAGCAACGTTATAGCACAGTAAGACACACAATAAAATGACTTACTAAACAAGCGAGTTACGTTTAATAAGAGTTTGCTTTATGGATCGAAACACTACATAATTTGATCACGACGATTTTCGAAAGGATTTCAAAATCACACGTCAGTTGAATTCGGTTTCAATTTTCGTGTGTCCAACGGTATCGTTAATTGCGATGACAAATAATTAGCACTAATGCCAGAAGAAACCTCACTTCTGAAATTGCAAGCACGTCAGTTTGCCAAGCAAAAAAAGGTGACTGGCTCGAGGCTATAGTTGGAATTACTGCGACGATCTTGATAGCGCTCGTCGATCACTCCGTTACAGCTTCGTCACTGATCCAGTAAAGAATAGCTGCACTGGTCGGAAAATTGCAAGTCATTTCAAATGATAGCTCGAGCACATTTGAAACGTACGTACAGACGAAGGCTGACGATAAGAGACTGCCGATGCTAGTTTTGTAGCGTGAGAAATGGTAGTTTCAGAATTTTTATTCGATGGCTTCGACATAGTATCACGATTTTCAATTAAGGATGTGTAAAATCTTTGTCTGCGATTTTTGATGGTGATGCAATAATTGAAGTGTATTCCAACCAAGACTTCTTTTGCATTATTTATCACAGACTGCCTTCACCCTAAATGTTTGCATTTCGTCGAGAAACTCCATAATCTTACAGCTCTTAGAGATTTTCAGCCTTTCCCGAGGACACTCAGGATACCGTTTCATTCCTACGCATATATTATATCTATAATCAACAGTCATCTTCATTGTTTTGTTCGTGTTGATCAGAAGTGTTATTGGTGTAATGTTTACATTTAAACTTGGCGCTTGATAGGAGGGGGATTGTAAATTCAGCTGTGCGTGCACAATGCAGAGGTTCACCGAAAATTGACTGCACGCACTCTCGCGCATTTCCATTTCACGCTTTTCCAGACTTTTGACGACACAACGTCCATTTAAAATTCGAGCTATGCTAGGACTGTTTCGTCGCGAAGAAATTGGTTGTAAGACTCGGGTCTGTTTCTTCGAATCGAACTCGAGATCGAATTGTATCAGGGCAAATCAAGCACGGTGAAAATGCAGGTGAGAGATGCGTCGAAGATCAAACAATTGCCGTGTATGCGCACAAGTAGTTATATTAGGAGCATGCTATATCGACGACGATAGTGATCATACGTGCAAGAAGATTACTTGTGATTCTAAAGTAGTCTCCAGGCACCTGCAGCCTCTCGCATGGGGGTTTTGCCTATATTTAAAGTTTAGGATTACGAAAATTATACAAAGCTATAAAACTCAACTTTTTCCCTTAAGTCTGTATCTTCAAAATATTATTCTATTTACACGCTTTTGTCATATAATCTATGTTTAATTTTATATTTCTAGTTGGATAGAAACTTTAATAATTACATATTAGTTAATCAATTATTTTTACAAATTCAAAATACATAATGGTAATATTGTATACAATTTTTTGTAGAATGTTCATAATGCAAGTCAAAACAGTAAAACGAAGCCAATCTAACAAAGCGCTTATTTTTGCGAACCATTAAAGAGTGAACATTATCTATACAAGAATAAGCGACAATGCATGTGGAAAATTGATATATTCGTGAATAGTACGAATTAATGCATCTACAGAAAAAACATTCGAAATAATGCAACTTCAAGCGACAGTGCTGTTTATTATTATAGCTTTTTATATATACTTGAATTTTGTATTCATAAATTTTGATTATATTAATATCTATTTTATTTATTTCTTACAATTAGATATTTTCTACCTAAGTAAGTTTTACAATTCATTGATAATCGCTTGATAGATAAGACTTTTGTTAAATAAAATAATATTTATTTTAAGTTCGTCAATAAAATGCCAAAAGATAAGTAATGTAAGGGTAATGTTACTGTCCAATGTCATTCTCTATGTTATTAAAGTTCTGTTGTAAATATCTAAAGATCATGCATATGAAGATTATTTTATCGTATATACACCCTAATGCGTATTGATTTTTATATTTATTCATTGAGTAGACGACGAAATAATTAATTTTTTTAATTTTCAGTAACCCGATCATATCAACTTTAAAAATAGTAAGGAGCAAGTAAAAAACATGTAAAACTCAAGGTTTGAAATTATAAAATCTAATTAGTTTCTTGGAATTGAATAATTTAATCATATTTCACAAAATAATATTTATTTATTTTTACGTTTATAGCTGTGTACAAAAGACGCCAGTATTCATTCGTACAAAATTTTATTGATGTTTCAGGAAAATGAATTTTCATGAACTTTCATTACAGTACTTGTTTTGAATGGAATGAGCCATTATACAATCTATAAATTATAAAATGGCACCACACCAAGTAAAACAATAAGCATGTAAAAATGTGAGGTAAATAGAGTAATAGAGATTTTGTCGTTTTCGTAATTTAGAAGCACTTGCGGTGGACAATGCCAGGACCTGATTCGTCGTATTCCTGCTTGGAGATCCACATCTGTTGGAAGGTGGACAGAGAAGCAAGGATGGAACCACCGATCCATACGGAGTATTTCCTCTCTGGCGGGGCGATGATTTTGATTTTAATGGTGGATGGAGCCAAAGCAGTAATTTCCTTCTGCATACGGTCGGCAATACCAGGGTACATAGTAGTACCACCGGACATAACATTGTTGGCGTACAGGTCCTTACGGATGTCGACGTCGCACTTCATGATGGAGTTGTAGACGGTCTCGTGGATGCCGCAGGACTCCATACCCAAGAATGAGGGCTGGAAGAGAGCTTCCGGGCAGCGGAACCTCTCGTTGCCGATGGTGATGACCTGTCCGTCGGGAAGCTCGTAGCTCTTCTCGAGGGAGGTGCTGGCGGCGGCGGTGGCCATCTCCTGCTCGAAGTCGAGGGCGACGTAGCAGAGCTTCTCCTTGATGTCGCGCACGATTTCGCGCTCGGCCGTGGTGGTGAAGGAGTAGCCTCTCTCGGTGAGGATCTTCATGAGGTAGTCGGTCAAGTCACGGCCGGCCAGGTCGAGACGGAGGATGGCGTGAGGCAGGGCGTAACCCTCGTAGATGGGCACGGTGTGGGAGACGCCGTCGCCGGAGTCGAGGACGATACCGGTGGTGCGACCGGAGGCGTACAGCGAGAGCACGGCTTGGATGGCCACGTACATGGCCGGGCTGTTGAAGGTCTCGAACATGATCTGCGTCATCTTCTCGCGGTTGGCCTTGGGGTTGAGCGGCGCCTCGGTCAGCAGCACCGGGTGCTCCTCCGGGGCCACGCGCAGCTCGTTGTAGAAGGTGTGGTGCCAGATCTTCTCCATGTCGTCCCAGTTGGTGATGATGCCGTGCTCGATGGGGTATTTGAGCGTCAGGATACCTCTCTTGCTCTGCGCCTCGTCGCCCACGTAGCTGTCCTTCTGTCCCATACCGACCATCACTCCCTGGTGACGGGGCCGACCGACGATCGAGGGGAACACGGCGCGCGGAGCGTCGTCCCCGGCGAAACCGGCCTTGCACATGCCGGATCCATTGTCTACGACAAGGGCAGCTACTTCGTCGTCGCACATACTTGCGGTTCGGTTATCCTCTTACCTACAACATCAACAATTGCGCATTTGACAATTCAGCTTTTTAGACGATTTAAACTCTGGTGCGAAAATGCATGAATTGTGATTACATTGGTTTTAGAGCTTTATAAATTCAATAAATAAATGAAGACAAAACTATTGAAATCTCGCCAACTGTTGTAATGTTTCTTTAATGTGCCAAAAAAATTTACTTGCAAAAATGAATTACTATAAATAACTATTTTAATTACACAGTAATACGTATGAATGCTCTCCAAAAACCTTATAAACATGCAAAAATTATAAAAAATGCGTTTTAAAACAATATTTACTAAATATCAAAACACATCCATCAAAATTCATTAAGTATTAAGTACCTAGAATAATTGTAATATTTATACTTAATTCTAATTTAATAATCAATATGAAAGTTGCATAAATAAAAACGTTCACTAATTAATTAACTTCTAATAATTAATTATTTGAGTTAAAAGTTGCAATATAAATACGTGGTAATGAAAAAAATTGTCCAATCAGATATATTCCATCTTTTCGCCGTCTCTTCTATTTCTAATTGTTATTCTATATATTTTGATTTATTTATGGCCAAGTCTTACGCAATCAGTCCAGATTTACTAACATTTAACATAAAACTGTAACCCGATCGTTTCTCGATTTCATCTTCTTTCTTAAATAACTTTTTTCCCTAACACACATTGATGAGGTCAGACCGAAATAAAGTCTGTCTCATTTTATAATACATTCTATTAATAGTAGCGTCGATAACGTTCACTGAAATTGTGAGTTTCAACCGATTGAGTTTCCTATTGGCAGTGATGAGATAAAGAACGAAAATTCAAATATCTATTTTCAGCCACGTCACGGTAATTTTAGCTGAACGACGCCCGAACCCTATATGTTCAAGCGTTGATTATAAATCGTAGTGCATCGTGACGGGTTGTCAGAGTACAGGCGATTTTTTAAGATCTCACTAGACTTGTCAAATTTTTTTAATGATTTTAGATGTTTCTGAGCAAGGATAATTTTTTCACGTCAAGCAACTGATAGTTTGATGTAAATTTCTAAATTTTAAAATAACACTATTGAATTATATTGAATTACAACTTAACAAAAAAACTAATTATAACGAATTTTTACGATTAATTTTGATAATTTTTGCGAGAACAAATTATTGAATATATATTAAAGTATTATATGAAACTATCCATTACTATTTTAAATTCAATTGCGAGGGATTATGCACACATTAATTATTAAAAAGATTTTTTTAACTTAATATTTCAATGAGAACTTTATCATTTCGACTTTCTCATGAATTTTTTCCGGGTGTATAATAAATGTCTCGCTAAGATG